GAAAAAAATTACAGTTTTCGATCAACTATAGACAATATGGTTTTCTTTCTTTCTTAATCACTATGCTGAGAGAAGAAGAAAAGAATGGAAACAGTATCCCGCAAAAGAGAAAATAACATCATCATTCTCTTTCTCTCTAGACCGATAATGTCTCGCAGTGTATATTTTTGCGATTAATATTGATTACATTATTGTGTGAAAATAAGTCGCGATGTGAAAACAAATGTTTTCTTTCCCTTTCATATTTCATTTTTCGCCCAACTGCTAACAGCATCCGACATTTACATAAAAATCAACCCAAAAACCTATAAAGCACAAAACATCATGTATATGCCATGCCGCTATTCGAACACGCAATCAACGTAATCCGAAAACGAAGAAAATTGAAAACTGAAATGAAAAATGTCTTAATATTAAGAGGCATCGTCAAACATTTTAACGAGAAACTGCTTATATGCTGCACAACGAAATCGAAACGACAAACAAGCAGAAGAGAAGCAACAAAATACGAAACAATATTTGCGCTTCTATTATGAATCGAGAAAATTGAATCAATTATTCTTTCCCTTTTTCTCGGAAACAAATAATTTTCTGAGAAAGATTTCAAACAGTGTTAACAAAAATACAAGCGACGCGTGAGAACGTCTAAGCAGCTGATGAAAATCCAATGCACAACAACAAGTGATTGGAAAGTTTTTAACATAATTTGGGAAACATCGAATTTTCAACATTTGAATGCAAAAAAAATGACAATTCCATTCAATTTACATGTCAATGAAATTTTGGCGGAAATTAAGATTTATATTGCCATTTGAACACACATGCCAAAGTATTGATATTTCCATTTGCAAAAAAATGATACGAAAATAACAAAATATGAATAAGTTGAGACTAAATTGATCTGAAATTGCGTTGAAAATAGAATAGCAACTTTTTAGCGAGGAATTCGTGGTTTCAATTTCAGAAAAAGCCTTGTGTTATGGTTCCAGTTTCAAGTCACTTTATTTCTAACCCATTGAGGTGCAGACATTCGATGTCAGAAGTTATATAGAAAATGTATTCAAATCAACCAATATTTCAAGTGCCAATCATTCATGTAAGAGAAAATAATTTCGCACGAAGTTTGCAATTTATATTATATCACATGCGAAACACCTTCTATGAAGTGAACTCCAATCATTAAACCAATTGAATGCGCAATAAAGTTCAACTGATGACAATTTTCAAGGTTTTTTTTTTCTTCAGACAGACGCTTGAATGACTGACTCTGAAGTGCAACAGAAAAAAATATTCTTTTTGATTCTCGGACATTTACCTGTGTGTCATTATTGATATTGGTGTCTCGTTAAATCTTCTTCAAATTCCTTAGTGATGAACTCTTGTGATTCATCAACGAGCGACCGAATTGAGTCAGCTGTCAACAGATTTGAATTGAACATATTTTGGACATTTTAATGGAATACACTATACTTGGAAGTAATGCTTGATGTATCGATGTATAAACGGATCGAATTTGAAAAAAATATATATTTAACGACCCACATCCTCGGAACAACTGAATAATTTAAATCAAAACTGTAGGATTTTACCTCGAGCGATATAGACTTTTGCTCGGCAATCATCTTCATGGTAGCAGCAAAAAAAACAGTATTACTGATAATGTGTACTTGATATTTATTATTAAAACTTGCTCCTTTTTCTGGTAGCTGCTTGACTAAATCTATATTATTTGGAAATTAAATTAAGCTGATCATACATATGAATATTTTAATGAAACATTTCATTTAAAATGATTTAGATTAGAATAGAAAACAAATAAAGATTGGGAACAAACGAAACGGCAGTTTCACACGCCGTGAATGCTTCCACTGACCCAAAATGATACTTGAATTTTAACGGGCGAAATGATTATTTGTATAGATTTCATGCAAAATTGCAAATGACGCGTACTAACTTCGTATCATAATAAATAATACCCATTGTAATGCTACGTTACTCGTCGTATTACGATCGATTTTACTAGTTATCGTAGTAAGTATGATATGTTAATGGGCTATCTGTAAATTTCATATTGCTCTTTTATTTTCATCGGTATTTGAGCTCACTTTTATCCTCATCCATTCATTTGAATGTCATCCATTTTGAGTCACTTCCATTCTTATCTTATTTAAAGCTTGATCAACTAAATTCATTTAAATTAATGAAAAGATTGAATATTCGAAAAAATCCATGCCAAACTGAGTGGTTTTCCTTTTAATATTCATGCTTTGTGACAAACAAAACTCTGAGTAGAACCATCAATTTTATTGTTAACAACATTTCAAGAATAAACAAAAAATAAAACGAAATAGTGCATTATCTGATTTCTTGTTATAAATAAAAATACACTTTCTTTAGATACTTAATATTTAGTTGGAAATAATGCTTGATGTATCGCTTTATAAATGGATTGAATTTAAAAAAAAATTCTGACCACCAAGGCTTCTCGGACAAACTGATCAATTTTCGTCAAAACTGGAGGATTTGAACTCGACCTATTCCTAAAAATTTGTAGCTATATAGACTTTTGCTTGAAAATTTATGAAAATGGACAGCAATTTGGTGTTTAAATTCTTGCTATGTTTTTTTTTATTAAAAGAGCATCTCAAGAGCTACAAGTTCTTAGGAAAAATCTCACTTCTATGGAAAATCATTTCCCTGTGCAAATTTTTCATTAAGAAAAATATAGTTTTTGTGGATTGGGCTCAGATATCTGAAAAGAGTAGGTCGTGTTCACCGAGAGTCAAGCGCAATAAGGGCACACTATATAAACGCCATCTATTAATAACCGACTAACTACAATGTAAATCAAACGTATCTGTTTCCCCTTTTTATTTACTCCCTTCTCCTCTCGCTATACTTTTACATTGTAGTTAGCCTGTTTTACAAAGATGTCGTTTCTGTGTAAGATGTGTGACGTCACAATGTATTTATATGGATAGCGCTCGACTCTCGGTGTTCACCTCCTGAGTAAATTTTTTCTTTTTGCTCCAGAAAGTGACCCGATTTGAATTTTTCAAATCTGTTGACTGATTTTGAATTGTGCATATTTTGTCTACCAATCCGTCATATACTTTTAAGTTTTCTCTGTAAAAAAACACCTCTCAAGCTCAAGCTTCACCGCAGACAAAACCCTTAAAATAAATCAAATACTCAATGGGCGATGCACAAAGAACAGCCATTTCTTTCTACATTTATTGATGATATTTTTTGGCCAGAAACTGCATTGGTTGCGTCAAAACATTTTGTTTTTCGTTCCCCAAAACACATCATTTTCCGATATGAATAAAAAAAACATATAAGCCAAACAAGACATATATGATGTGAAACGTGCATGGAATATAAGATTTGTGTAAAAAATACAAAGTTTGCTCGTTTTATCAATCGATTGAATAGATAATATAACAAATTTTTGTTTAGTCAACTGAATAAAACCCATGCTGATGATTTGATTTCAAAACTTATTTCAGACTTGGAAATAAATTGGCCCGGTTGTTGATTTCTCACAGTTGAAAATCTTAAGTTTGAATAATTTGAATGTTGCTCGGCTCTCCAAGTGTAATACGACTCTTCCATTCTTCTCAGAACACGCACAAGCGAGTTTAGAAAAAAGTTACAATTTGCTTTGTAAAGCTCTGAACTTTGGAGCGCGAAGCTGAATCATCTCTTTTAAGTTTTCATAAGTTGCATTCTGAATACGGAATTATATCTAAAAAATAGTATAAAATTACGTATTTTATGAAGAGTATACTTTGAATACCTGTAAGCTATCATAAAATGTACCGTTTCAATTTAAATGCTTTTTTCTCCGTTGACGATTCATCTTAGTTACATTTTCGTCCATATTACAACAGGTACACGCATAAAAACATACAGAGAGCATATCTTTAGGCGCATTTGCTATTATTTATTTGGTAGACGGTTGCCATGTTGTTGTTATTTTGTAAGTTTTATTATTTCTAATGTTGATAGGTCCACAGCATTTGCAATGTTTTAACCACATGCAAACGTTGATTGCCGTCATTCGAACGTAATAAAGAAATATATACGTATATATAAACATACTCATAACTTTGAATAGGTTAAAGTTTGCGAACATAATAGCTTGACCTTGAATATTTGGAAAGAAAATACTTACCCAATGGTAATCGCAATTGTTCCTATTCGTATAAATTAAGCATATTAAATGAAAGAAAACGTTTTACTTTAACGTTTTATGATTTTCACGTCCAAGGAAATGCCATTCACGATTCAATATTATTAGTTCTTTTATAAACAAATATATAAGAGTTTTCTGTTTTATTAGCTTGAATGTCTTATGATTTGCGATTCAGAAGTCGTCGAGAAGACATTTTATTACATTATTCACCGAATCACCTTGTTTGACATAACATGTTATGTATAGCAATTCACTGGGTATATAACATAATTTTCCTTTTCTTTTTCTGTACGCAAATCTCTCTAATCGTCTGCAATAAAGTTCAACTACTTGTTTTTCCACAAAATTTATCTATTTTATTCGAATTTATGGAATGTTCTTAAGAAAATATTTGAAAAAGCCTCTGATCACAATTTTCAGTTTTTTTTTCTTCACTGTGTGACAGACACTGAAGTGCTACAAAAAAAAAAATAATCTTTAAACATATTTTATACATTTTAATGGGATATACTACTGATTTCTTCTATAATTTCTTATTATAGATAAAAAATATACTGCCAATGTACTTGGAAGTAATGCTTGGTGTATCAATGCATCAACGACTTGTATTTAAAAAATACATGCAGTAATTTGAGTTTATGTAACACAATCGACGTTCTTGCCGCACCATTTAGTGTTATTGCCGCACAATGAAAAAATATTTCTGACCACCAGGGATGCTCGGACAAACTGAACAATTTTAATCAAAAATGTCGGATTTTAGCTATATCTCCATGGTAGCAGCAAACAAAAACAGTATTACTGATAATGTGTACTTGATATTTATTTTCTTTGTATTTTTATAATTTGAATAATCAATTGGCTACAATGGTATTTTCACCACACATTCAGCCCTATCATCTAGTCTCTCATAACATAGCCCCATGTTTTCGGAGAAGTTCAGCCACATTGTTTCGACCTGGAAAGCAAAGAATCAAATCATTAAAAGGAATTCCTAGTTTGAGTCGACAGTGTTACCGTTTTTTGTAGCTATTGATAGCGGCGTCTCTTTATCTTTATCTTCTACATTGATATTAGCCCCATGATTGATAAGCAGTTCAGTCACATCCTTATTACCTGGAAAGCAAAGAATCAAATATTAAAAGGAATTCATAGTTTGAGTCGATATTTTGCACTATTACCCATTTTTGCAGCTACATGAAGCGGCGTTTGTTTATCTTTATCTTCTGCATTTATATTAGCCCCACGATTGATGAGAAGTTTAACCATTTCCTTGTGAGCTGAAAACCAAAGAATCAAACAATAATTAGGTTTTAGGTAAGCTTATTTTTTATGTAGCATGTAGGAATTTCAATTTAGAACGAGAACGATTTTTTCTAGGGGATTCCGACTTATACGAATGTTGCATTTGCGAGCGAATGTTTCATACATATTTTACGAATGGAAGCAAATGATCACGCATACAAACTAAACACAGGAATGTTTATGTACAAATCACGACAATATGTCTCAAACAGTATGCGGCATTCGCGAATGGCTGCGAATGAAATATACGAATTTTCATAGATGTTGATGAATATACTTTATTTCGTATATTTTACGTATGAATAGGAAAAGTTTATATTTTGCGAATAGACTGCCATTTGCGAATAGTAGAAAGCCCCTGGGATTTTTTGAATCAGCATCGAGAGAAACTTTTAGAAACAATATTGTTAAATTAGACCATTTGATATTTGTTAATCGGTGAATTGATCAATTTTAAGACATGTTTTGGGGCGACAGAGATCATACAATGAACACAATCGATATCTGCTGTTCCGAAGTCGAAAAGGATAACGGCTGGGCATTCGATCGAGTAGTGTTTCATTGCAAATAATATTGTAAAATAATTGAGGGGTTCCGAGGAAAAATGTTACGTAGAAAAGTTCCGTGGAAAAATGTTCGGGAGCTAAATGATATCATTTAGCAAAGCTAATTGGTACCAAATAGCTCTTTTAAATGATACCAAATAGCTCAACCAAAGCTCATTTAGCTCCCGAACATTTTTCCGCGGAACTTTTCTACGTAACATTTTTCCTCCGAACCCCTCAATTGTGATAAATTCATTTTGTGGTTAGACGGTGAATGAATAAATAATAATTAAATGCGGACACTATTACCATTGTCTACAGTTACGAAAAGCGGTGATTCTTCTGCATTAATATCAGTCCCATTATTAATGACTTTATCTTCATTTTGTGCCCAAAAATTAACATCACTCTTCTTGAGAAGTTCAGCCATTTTCTTCCGATCTGGAAAACAAAGAATCAAAAGATTAGAAAGGTATTCATAGTTCCACTCGATAGTTTGGACAATTACCCCATTTTGCAGCTACATGTAGCGGCGTTTGTTTATCTTTATCTTCTGCATTTATATTAGCTCCACGGTTGATGAGAACTTCAGCTGCATCCCTTCGATCTGGAAAGAATCAAAACATAAGGAATTCATAGTTCCGCTAAATGAGTGGCCGTAAGCAGAATTGTCAATTCATGAATGTCTTGAAGTCAAATTGAGAATTTAACGTATTTTAACAACTCTTTACCGAGAAAAGTTAGAGTGATATCAAAAGAGTTAAGTTTTGGGTTCACTCGAAAATTTTCTGAAGCTTCATGTAGTGGCGTTCGTTTATCTTTATCTTCTGCATTAATATTAGCCCCAAAAAGGATGAGATGTTCAACCACATACTTCCAACCTGGAAAGCAAATAATCAAATATTCATATTTCCACTAGATAATTCGAACTATTACTATTTGCTGAAGCCTCATGTAGTGGCGTTCGTTTATCTTTATCTTCTGCATTAATGTTAGCCCCATGATGGATGAGAAAATCGGTCACTTCTCTCCCATCTGGAAATCATAGAATAAAACATTGAACGGAATTCATTATTCGGAACTCGATAATTTAGATTATTATTACTATTTTGTGCAGCTTCATGTAGCGGCGTTCGTTTATCTTTATCTTCCACATTAATATTAGCCCCATGATTGATGAGAAGTTCGACCACATCGTTTATACCTGGAAAGAAAAGTATCGAATATTAAAAGGAATTCATAGTTCCACTAGATGAGTGGATGTAAGCAGAATTGTCAATTCATGAATGACGCGAGTGCCTTCAAGTCAAATGGACAATTAAATGTTTTTTATCAACTCATTACGGAGATAAGTTTGAGATATATTGGTAAATCCACTCGATGAGTCCATCCGAAAATTTTCTGAAGCTTCATGTAGTGGCGTTCGTTTATCTTTATCTTCTGCATTGATATTAGCCCCATGATTGATGAGAAGTTTAGCCACATCCTTTTCACCTGGAAAGCATTTTGAAAGGAATTCATAGTTCCACTAAATAATTTGGACTATTACCTTTTCTTGCAGCTGCATGTAGTGGCGTTTGTTTAAAATTATCTTCTGCTGTAATATTAGCCCCATGAATGATGAGAAGTTCAACCATTTCTTTTCGACCTGGAAAACAAAAAATCAAATATTTAAACTGTTTGGATGTTCGGAATATATTCGTATGTTTGAAAAAAAAGCGGAACAAATGCAATCACTGTTGTTAAAATTCATGTCGTCAGACACCATGACGTAACGCCATCTCAACTCAAGGTAAAAATCATACGTGTACCGAACATATTCGGTGTTCGATCGAACATACGAACGAAAATGGTGAACATTTCATTTTCTGCAAACGATCCGTACTTTCGTTTGTGTTCGTTGACAGCACTGTTTCCACTTGGACTATTACCGTTTGCTGAAGCTGTATGTAGCGGCGTTCGCTTATCTTTATCTTCTACATTGATATTAGCCCCAGAATTGATAAGCAGTTCAGTCACATCCTTATTACCTGGAAAGCAAAGAATCAACTATTAAAAGGAATTCATAGTTTCACTCGATAATTTGAACTATTACCATATTCCGGAGCTAGATGTAGTGGCGTTCGCTTATCTTCATCTTCTGCATTAATATTAGCCCCATGACTGATGTAAAGTTTAACTAAATCGCTCCGACCTGGAAAGCATGGAATCCAATATTAAAAGGATTTCATACATGATTTCATAGTGCCACTAGATAATTTGGTGTATTACCTCTTCTTGCAGCTGCATGTAGCGGCGTGTGTTTAAAATTATCTTCTGCAGTAATATTAGCCCCATGAATGATGAGAAGTTCAACCATTTCAATGCGACCTGAAAAACAAGGAATCAAATATTAAAAGGGATTCATAGTTCCACTCGATAATTTGGACTATTACTATTTGTTGAAGCTGCATATAGTGGCGTTTGTTTATCTTTATCTTCCGCAGTAATGTTAGCCCCACCATTTATTAAAAGTTCAGCCACATCTATATTATCTGGAAAGCAAGGAACCAAATATTAAAGAAATTCATAGTTCTACTCGAAAATTTGGACTATTACCATTTGCTGAAGCTTCATGTAGCGGCGTTCGTTTATTCTTATCTTCTGCACTAATATTAGCCCCATGATTGATAAAAAGTTCAGCCAAATTATTCCAACCTGAAAAGCAAATAATCAAACAATATAAGAAATTCTTAGTTCCACTCGAAAATATGGACTATCACGAAATATTGAAGCAGCAATATCATGTAGTGGCGTTCGTTTATCTTTATCTTCTGCACTAACATTAGCACCACGATTGATGAGAAATTCAGCCACATCCTTCAAACCTGGAAAGTAAAAAATCAATTCATAGTTCCACACGATAATTTGAAATATTACCAAGGTAGGCAGCTTTATGTAGCGGCGTTCTTTTATATATATTTTCTGCATTAATATTAGCCCCACGATTTATGAGAAGTTCAACCATACTTTTATTAACTGGAAGTCAAAGAATCATATATTAAATGGAATTCATAGTTCCAATTGATAGTTTGCACTATTACCAAGGCGGGCAGCTTCATGAAGCGGTGTACTTTTATAAATGTCTTCTGCACCAACATTAGCACCATGATTGATGAGAAATTCAGCCACATCCTTCCAACCTGGAAAGTGAAAAATCAATTCATAGTTCCACACGATAATTTGCAATATTACCAAGGTAGGCAGCTGTATGTAACGGCGTTCGTTTATATTTATCTTCTGCATTAATATTAGCGCCACGATTTATGAGAAGTTCAACTATAGTTTTATTACCTGGAAGTCAAAGAAGCATGTATTAAAGGGATTTCATAGTTTCACTCGATAGTTGGCTAAATTCATTAATTTTGAAATGTTGTATGGAAAATCGACTATAGTCAATTAGTCATTCAGTAGATTATTTTGGGACATTTTGACTGTCAGGCGTTTATGATTATTGTAACATTTACGACGGTTAACTAAATTTAACTAAAGTTGTTTATTTTTTCAGTCAATAGTCAGTCAATTTATCCTAAAACAGCTGACAGTTACTTTTTTGCACACGGTGGCATTTTAGGTATTTTGAAAATAATTTGTGAAATCAAATTGAATGCTTAGTATCTCTAAGCTGAGCATATATAGCTGAACAATTAATCAACACTGAATAATTTGAAGAGAAATTAAGCAAATTTCACACACAACGCCGCAACATGGTTAAGTGTTAAGAAAGATCTATCAAAATTACTTGGCATTTGATTGATAAAAGTTTGAAATTACCTCTTATAATGGCAGTTGATAGCTGTTCGTTCAAATCAGACATTGCACGCACTTTCAGAGACAAACATATTAAAACAATCACACATTCCACTTTCATTGTTACAAATGATGTAGGTTTCGATTAAATATTCTACACAAAATGTTTAATAAATTTGAAAAAAAAAAAAACGATATTTACGATGAAAACTCAAATGAGTACTGATTTTTCTGGCTTTACGCTACACGTTATTTATTGCAAAATGTGGATGCAATTTTGATAATGATGAACGTTGGATGCCAAATCAAGTGAGAGTACACACAGAAAAATTCTATCAATACTTAACACGCCATTTCCGTGCTTACAGGGATGTAACAATGCGAGTGCTCTACTTACAGAACACGTTAGACCAGGTTGGATCCACCTGCTTCACAAGATTCACTTCCAGTCATCTCCCGATCGCTTATCTAAAGTGTTCCCAAGCCTCTAGTGATAGATTTTTTAAAACTGATTTTATAGGATGGTTAGGTATGTGGTGGAATAGATACCATTAGATTTTGATCCAAATTGGTTGACTCGATGGTCTTACAGTGGATAAAATTCTTATTTTTTCAGAGTTTGTATGGGGATATCAAAATTTGTTGATTTAATGGTAAAATTTGGATTCCTTAATCCAAAATTAGGACGATATTTTTGTTATTGATCTTCATGTTCTGTCATGTTTTTACACGTTTTTTTTTATTTTTAATAAATTTTCAGTCCACTTTTGAATTTTTAATTATTACAAAACATGGTTATTTTAGTTGGACATCATATTTCATCGTGGTCTAACATCATTTTAACATGGTTACTTTGTTTCATCATGAAAAAAAATTAATACATCACATCTAAGGCGGAAAAATTCGTCTTACCAAGCATGGCTTCTTATTTCGATTTCCTCATCGGAAAAGTGAGTAAAATCGATTGGTAGCTTTTACGATTCCCGTTTAAAACTACCATCAGAATATGTACAATGCCAAAAATGGCATTAAGTATTACTAGCATTTTTCTCTGTGTATGTTATCAAATAACTAATACGAAGAAGAACAAAAAAAAAAAAAACAAATCAAAAGGTCAGGTTTTATTTTTCTTTTATTGCTCATGATTTGTGATAAAGTAGTGAAAATAACAATTTTAACTCTCGGAAATTTTTATTCTTAGCAACATTTCGAAAACGAATTCACAAAAAAGGAACAGCTTGGAAGCAAAAAAAAAACTCCAATAACAACATTATCGTGCTCGTGTTTTTTCTGCTTAAACTCAGTACAACCACTATCACAAAGCATGGACTTTGCATCGTATGACATAGTAAGAACTCTTTCGCAACTGATTGATAAAACGGGTAACGATGTTTACTCATGACTTGAGATTTGACCAAATGTGTTTCTTTTGGGTATCTGCAAACTTTCTAGGGGGGAGACACCAAGAAAAAATTCCGAATCCACTATATAAAGTACTAATCCAAAAACACAAATGTGAAATCGAAACTATTTTTCCTATTCTATGCGCTGTTTCCGTCAAAAATGTTAATTCTGCTACTCCGCACTATTCCACTAATCCATCAATAAACGTCAAAAGAAATGTCAAATGGATTTGAAGTGAAACAATTTTTGCTATTCCATGCACTGTTTCGCTATTCCACGCGAAGCCATTCACAGGCGTTGCTATTTCATTGCAATTTTTCGAATCTTTACACTTAAAGTCTAATCCTATTCCACGTGTCTGCCCCCTAGCAAATTTTAATCGTTTGTTAATTTGACTCATGATTTCATTGTTGTATGCACTTCGAAGATTATTCGAGAGATCTTCAGCAACCAGTCATGACTGTAATTGACTGCCGTCATTCCTAGAATATGATTTTTAAAAGAAAATACTTACCATTGCAATTGTGCCTATTCAGACAAGTTAAGCATATAAAATGAAAGAAAACCTTTTATATTAACATTTTATGATTTTCACGTCCAAGGAAATGCCATTTGATATATATTTCGTTTGTTCTGCCTTCTTTCATTTGAAAAAAAAAAAAAAACTATTTTTTCATCATTTGTTCTTCGATTATTTCAATATTTACAACAGAATGAAAACTTGATTCCATCATTTTTTTAGTTTTTAAAACATATAAAATATGTAGTAATAAATAATGTGCTAATATCTAAGTATTTGTCATAAATAAATAATGTCATCGCTCTAATATGTTATGTCTAATGTCCATTCATGACAGCTTCTCCAGCCGACATTCACGATTCAATAATATTAGTTCTTTTATAAAAAAATATATAAGAGTTTTCTGTTTTATTAGCTTAAATATCTTATGATTTGCGATTCAGAAGTCGTTGAGAAGACATTTTATATTACACCGAAGCACCTTGTTTGACATTATATGTTATGTATAGCAATTCACTGGGTATATAACATAATTTGTCTTTTCTTCTTCTGTGCGCAAATCTCTGATCGTCTGCATGCGAATGCCTTTTTCTATGCTTAAAACAAAACTTTTTGAAAGTTATTCCATTTAACTATGCTTTCTTTTTTTTTTAAATTTCATTTTCTTTCATCGAATTCGCGCAATGTTATCCTAGTTTATAAGTTATCACTTGTGTCTGGGATAAAAATAAAATTAAATTAACATACAAAAAAAAATTACTATCTAAATTTGTTGCTTTTTCTTTCATGAAAAAGAAGAAGAATGAACCCAAAATCACGGCAGTTCATGCCATTACTTTTCGTTTTTGTTTGTTTTACTGAACACAAATAATTCAGCGACCAAATAAATACTCGAACGTGTGATGGTGTCATTTGTCTAATCAAAACACCAAACTATTCATTGCGAATTTAGATAATGTCTTGGCTTCATTGGGTGGGCGAAAGTTCAATTAAAATTGTAAAATTTGATTAATCCATTCACGGAACTCGGATATTCTTGTATAGACCTGTAATAAATGGTTAGATTTTCGTTAAATAAATCAGAAAAAAAAAACTTTTGTTTATCTCTTTAGAGGAAAACTTACGCCGGGTTGATTGGGTTCAGCACAACCGATTCCCCAACTAATTACTCCAGCCAAGAGAAAACGTTTGTCGTCCCGTTGAATTACAAGCGGACCTCCAGAGTCCCCTGTAAACACCGAAACAAATTCCCGTTAAAAATGTATTTGCATTTTTTTTCTTCAAAAAAGTCGATGCAACTCACCTTCGCATGAATCATAGCCACCTTTTCGCCAACCGGCACAAATGAATATGTGTGGAATGTGTTCAATGTAGCCAGCATTTCGATACATTCCTTCGCATAACGTATTATTGATGACAGGTACAGAGACTTCTTGTAAAACGCTCGGCAAAGGTCCATCTGTCACACAAAAAAAACATGCAATTCAATAATAATATATATTTGGCGCTATGTTAAGTATATGACATGAGAATGGTGCAAAAAAATACACAAGTGAAACGCAAGCAAAACTGGTCAGTCACATATTGATGATTCATACACACATCTCCATATATCACCAAATAAATATCCATGTCTATTTCATGCCATGACATCGGCGACACAGCGGTAGTCAGACTAAAATACCAAAAAACAACAACAACTCCAAATTCCAATTTGATGCCGATGAACGCCCGCCGATCATAAACCAATAAATGTGTTGGTTTTTTCCCTCGTATGCAAAACAATACAATAAAAAAATGTTGACCGAATACTATCACAATAATGTTTTACAAATCAACGATTTTGTTTACTTTTATTTCTTGTTCCTTTTTGTGAAAAGAAAACAAAAATACCCAAAACCTATGGAATGAAACGACAAAAACCAATTAAAAATCCATATACATTGCTGATTGCTGATGTTTATCACTCGTTGTTCTCGCTTTTGTTTAACGAAAAATTAGTTTCGGTCAAGATTTATGTGTTAGATGCGGTACACAAAGATGACAATGACATCAATAGATATAATTCACTGGATATATGATAATCACCGTTTGTGACGTTACTTTGCTGCACAAACTTAATGACACATTCACACAGGTACATACATACATGGACACGGCGTACCACAAATAAAACACTTGGGTCAAAGCACGCATATTTAAATATGAACTTGTGATTGCTCGAAAGTTAACGACCCGAAATTTAAATGCTTATCAACAATGTTTATGTGTGTGGTTTCTATTTCGGTATGGTCAAGTTGACAACTTGTTAATATAATAAAGTTCAATGAATTATTTGGGCAAGTGATTACGATAATTGCGACTAATGTAACAATTATGACACAATATGCGATTAGCTCACCTTCATATAATCGTCCCCAGCCCGTTACAAATGCCGTTCGTCCAATGAAATTCTCATCGGAATCGGGTACACAAACTGGAATGATGTTTGGTTGAAAAACGACCGGTTCATAGAAACGCAATAATGCTAAATCGTATTCGAATGTGCGCGGATCAAATTGTGGATGAGATGCAACAATTTGAACACGACGCTCTTGATACAAATATGGTTCCTCTTCCTCGGCCAAATCGTATTCACCCAATCGCAATAACAAATCGGACGGTGGTACACTGCAAAAATTCAATAGAATCCCAAGTATTTAATAAATATTTTTTTTTGTTTGTTTCTTTTCGGAGAATTATCATGGTTGTAAATTGCGGTTTAAATTTAAATTTGAGACCAACATTTAGAATATAGACGCCATGATTCCGAGACTGTTTCGATTATTCAAAGTTTCTAATGAAAATTAAAAAAAAAGAAGTAAAATCAACACTTACTTATCAACACAATGAGCAGCCGTAATGGCCCAATTCTCATTGAGTAATGCTGCACCGCATTTATGTAAATAGGTTGATGTTCGCCATTGACGCAATGATATTTGCCATGGCCAACGTCCGAATGATGCTTTTGATCCACCGACAATCCTTGGCTCTGGATACATACGCTTCCCACAAACTGCCATCACAATCAATGTTGAATTAATCAAAGGAGTTATCATTGTCAATTTATTTTATTGTCCCAACACAAATATATTAATTAAATATACAAATATATTTATCAAACGTATAATTTTTCCTTTATTCTATCGTATTGTTCAAATTCAGTCTAGTCAGCGATTGAAAGTCATATTCACATAGTAAATAATTGCATTTCACACAAAATAACGGTTTAATTTGTCAATAATCAAATTTTTTATTTATAAATTTCGCAATTTCATGCGTTTAATCACTATTTTGTGTGTATACACTGAGGAGAGTACTCAAAAACAAATAGAGTTAAAATAAAATGCACTTTAGTTGCCGTTGAACCGATCACATTAATCAAGTGGAAGTCTGCTCTGACTGGAGCACAAACCACAAAAAGGATCACAATCGAAATGCTTGTGTATGCATGAAATTAAAATTAATTCCGAGTGGCCAGCAAACAAAAAAAGGACCAAAATTCTAAATCTAAGCGATGCGTACGAAATAAAATGATTTTCTGATTGCTCGCTAGCTAGCCAAAACGCAACCTACTCCGTTCTGAACATTTTGTTTAACTGATGGACCGAGAACAGCCTTAGCATCAGTAGCAATCTTTTAAATAGAAATAAGAAAAAAAATCTATATTAAAAAAAATTACGCGCACGAGCGCAACCATAGTCAAAGCTGTTTAATACGGACAAAGATTTGCGTTTTTTTTTATTCATTGCTTTGCTTTTATCTTCATTGTTCGTTTTTTTTCGATGACTTTTTTTCGTGCTGATCGTTTAAAGCTTGTCTGGCACTTTTCTTTATAGATATTACGACGAATGATTTAATGTATAAGTGCAAAAGGCTCTAAAACATAAGTAGAGTTGTGTGTTTTTGTTTTGTGTGTGCGATTCGAATAAAAAGAAAAATAACTACATATGTACGTAAATGTATGTATAGTAACGTTTTCGAATTCTCTTTGGTATCATCACATATCGCTTAGCGAAGATGGCGCTAAAGACTAAAACAAAACAAAAAAAATGCTAATGGAGGATATTTCATTGTTTCAAATTAGCCGTGCGGATTGCAATGAGCGATACGCAAGATATGCATTGTCCAATCTATGCATATATACACTTATTTCGCATGTTATTTAACGTAAAATTGTGAATCAGTTGAAAACGCTTGTTTATAAAATGCAAACCCATTAAATGATATCCACTAATGATGGCCCCCAGTCTCATTTATCAAGCAAATACAATATTCGAATTTCTATTTGATGTTTGATAGATTTTGAATGTTTAGAAAACAACACAAACATTTGAAATAAAAGAAAGAGAGAGAGAGAGAGAGAGAGAGAGAGAGGTAGAAAAAATGCGATAATCACACAGAAGAAGAAAAAAACAATCTGCTTGAGTTTCATGATATTACAGATTTTGTCCTTGACACTTACATAAATTGGGTTGCTATGTAAGAGGATTTATCATTCTCCGATATACGAATCAGGTTGCTTTTCCATTTATGTTCGACAAGTGCTATTTTTGCTTCGTTTTTTTTTTTTTTTTTACTCGTGAAAAGTTTGAATAGGCATGCAAAAACAGAAATCTACAACTGTTTGATGATTGTAAGCCAAATATTTTCTGTCAGTAATACATAAGTAACGAAACCACTTAAACAGAAATCAATTGGTGTGCGTGATTGAAAGCAATTCAATGTATATAATTGAATTTATGAATCAATTAATGTTTTACTAATTGCCTGTTGTTCATTTAATGTGTTGTAATTGACGCGGTAAGACGAGCGAGAAAAAAAACATTATATTGTGGGAAGGGCACATTTTATATTGCATATTGCATGTAATTGAATTTAAAAGGTCTAACAGTTGTCTCAAATATCGTCGCAATTTTTTTTCTGTTCAACCATCAATAGTTGTTTGATTCTTGGAAAAACATCACAATTCAATTGGAAATCGCAATGAAAAAAAAAATCACCTCTTGGTGTGAACAGTTTCAGGAGGCGCGGGCACACATTACGTTATGCATAACCTTACATGCAAATGTACTGGTTTGTGTCATGTTATTCATTCAAAGTCATCTTCAATAATGATAATCAATTTGTAAATTCTGTGTTATTCATATGATGCTTTTTCTATCATTTCTCACAGCATAACGTCGTATTCGAAATCGGGAACAAGTTTCAGTGCAATTTTCTGCGAGTTTTTTTTTGTCGCTAGCTTTTGTGTGTTATACCTCATTTATTCTTGTGTCTCTTTCGTGCGACTATTGTCATTGGACATAAATCAAGTGTTATCGAAAATTGATAAAACTTTAAAAATAACAATAGTTCCCATAGTCATTAAGATTACCCAGTCAGTCCGAATATAACAAAATGAATGTATTTTTTTTCTTCTCGTTTCATAAATATTCACTGTATTCGGTGTATGTATGACGATAGTTTTGTGTCTGCTCTTGAAGGAGGGGATACATATGTTTTCCGACTAGACACAATGGTTGTATTAAGCTTAGTGTGTGCCATTCAAGCATTGAGTTAACACGATATATATATTTGTTTGGCGATTCATATGAGTTGGCAAATGTGAACAACTTCCTCTGTACTCGAACTCTGTATGAAATTGATTGGAATCGAAATTCAAATTTATGCTGAAGCATCATTCAAATCAGCACGATGCTGATTTTATAGAATGTTTTGTTTTTATTCTTCTACTCATTTTACACTTCAAAGCGCGTTTTATTCTTCCCGATCATTTTGCCGTGGATATAAATGGCGCTTGAGTGCAATTGCTTGATTTCCAGGCGTCAAATCTCGATTTTTGTTGTTTTTTTTTTCTTTCAATTTTCACAATGCACCTCGGGTGATTTCATTCTAAAATCAATGAATCGGAAACCGAAAATGTTGCTGAATCACTTGTATGCCCCGGTTGAATTAAATTATAAACGAATTTTCGAATGAAAGAAACATCCATCATAATTAATCCATTTTCTTTGATTAAAAATTATGATATGCTACCAATTTGGCAGCGTCATGCAAAACCAAAGTCAATTGTATTCAACTAAATATAGTCAATTGATGATGAGAATAAGATTGCGCGATAAAAATACACCGCATGTATTTTTGTCGTAATATCGTAAGCGCATGCAATATCCTCTAAGAGTCAATATATGAATGTCTCACTGGATCAGAATGGGCACGTATCTCTCTTTATATCCGCGCGTGTGTGTGTATGAGATACACAAATACACTTGCATGCCGCGTACAAATGGCATCGAACCCCGATCCACATTCAATGTGATTGAGAAAAGACATTTTTACTATGGAATGCATGCCATCGTTTGAACGGCGTGTAAAAATAAATCCGAGACCTAGTGATATTGTTGTCTCTCTGTTCTTTACATTGCCTATTTTGTAATTTGTTCGATCGCAAGTTTCACATTTTTGCCCCAACACATAGGCACGATTTGAATCGATGAGGCTTAATCAACGAACCAATGCTATCTCGCCAATTGTACGATACATAAGAGTGAATAAAAAAAAAGAGAACATCATTCAGTCTGCATAAAATCTGAAACAAAAGCAGCAAAACAAATGTAAATGACGCAAAAATACAGAGAATTCGAACGCTTATGAGCGCACAGTTTTTAGCCTTGAATGTTAAGTTCAATGATTTCTTTGTCACGTTTTTTTTTGTGTTCATCTCTCGCACACACCTGGATGCCAGTGAACTACTTCGACTCATCTTAAAAGTAGATGCTTTATTGAAACAATTATCACCGTTCATACACGAATGAAACTGAACATTCATTGCATTGCATAAATTCGGGAACTTTGTGTTACTATTTTTTGATGTGTATCGCATGGTGAATATATCAAAGCTGATTCGGCAGCATCAATTGTGATATCACCTCAAGTTTGACTTTTCATTTGTTTTGATCGGTTCGCTGTTATCATGATATTATATTACTAATTATTTCGTTTTTTCGCGATCAAATGTGTTATCAAGTCAATACGTTGACAAAAAAATCAACGTCAGATGAAAAGAGAATGTGGATGGTATTTTTTTTACCTTGTTTATAATTGGCCGTTTCAAGATATTGTGAAATGCTTGATGTTGTTAGAATGGCTTCCGTTGTTGGTAGATCGACAAATTCCAATGTGACATTTTCAACCGTTGTATTTTCTACGTCGTATGTTTCGAATGTTGTCAATGGCACGCTAGACGTTGCAACGTCGGCAACTGTAATCGTTTCACCCGTGGTACTCTCTAAACCAAAGTAAAATGAAATCAAACAGAAAAATGTACGGCTTGTCATTGATTGAATTCGAAATGTTTTATTGCAAATAAATGTGAATCTTACCAATTTTATTGATAATTGTTGTTGGTTTTTCACTTGATTCGGTAGTACTCGTTGTGGTTGATGTTGGCTCCGAAGTTGTTCTATTGTATGCAATTGTAGTACTGCTGGTCATGGCAGAGGGTGAAATTGTTGTCGAAGATGTTGTTGTTGTTGGTGGTGGTGTCGTTGCTTTCACTGTTGTTGTTGTTTCTTCCTTATCACTGCTGCTAACCGGTTTAACTGTAGGTAATTTCTCATATTCTGGTTTGATGGACGGCGGTAATAAAATGGTTGTCAGTGTTATTGGTGGTTGTGCCGTGGTCACTACAGGCTTTGCACTCGGTCGATCATCTGCATATCACGTTAACATAAATTAGATTTCATATACTTTCAAAACCAATTATTCTCCTTAATATAAGATCATTATCACTTGAAAAATTCAAACGAAATGCAATCAATTTTTGACATAATACTCACCAGCTTGTTCGGTCGAAGACGATGACGATGACATGGCACTACTTTCGGTGGACGATGTTATACTAGTTGAATTGACCTTTGACATTGTTTGATAACCAATTGAGCTCGTCGAAATGTTCGATGGAGGTACGGTTGATGTTACATGATTGATGATGACATTTTCCGTCTCACTGATTTCAGTGAATGTTGTTGTTTCTTCAAAATTATCATCGAACATTGTAACACTTTCCGTTGTCAGTGGTATTTCTTCATAGAATTCAGTATTTATCAAATACGTAGTTGTCGGTTGTGTTGATGTTGATTTCGGTGTGCTGGTGCTTGTCGTTGGTAATTTTTCGGTTGTTGTTATCGTTGTCGATGCAGTCGTTGTCGATGCAATCGTTTGTGGTTTTTTTGTTGATGGTTTTGTGGCGGTCGTTTCAATTGTGCTGGGTTTTGATGTTGGTTTCTTCGTAACAGGCGCCTTGCTCGATGAAATGATCGGTTTCCGTGTTGGAAACCGTGTTGTTTCAATGATTTGATTTGATGATGCGATCGACGGTTTACTAAACGATGGGCTTGATGTTGTTTGTGGACTGATTGAAGACTGTGGCTGAACACTCGCTATTAAAATCCATTCGGGTGGATGCTCCGTTTTTACTAAATGAAAAGAAACAATAATTTTATAATTTTTATAAAGAACTATGTGAATATTTTGTGAATTGGGACCGAATTTCTTTGAACAAAGTGAAATCAAATATGCAAATTCGAAAAGAAAATGGTATTACACGGTTTTTCATGTAAATTGGCTATAATTACATATTGCAACGCTTGAAATATATTCATGAACGAAAAGAAAATTTGGCCTACTCAAATAACAAAGAAACGAGATCATTCTTTACGCAAATTTAACTTCTATTTGTGTAAAATGGATTGATTATGATTTGTAAGTAAAAATGATCAGAATTTTTCGTTGCTTTTTACACTACGAGGTGTCAATGGGTCAAAATTCAATCTTTTTTAGAGTGAAAAAGGCGAAAATCGAAATATAAAATTATTAATTATTTGGTAGTGTTTCAAAATGGATTTTAAAATGTTTTCTTCTCAAATGTTTTTGGGTGTATTAAAGTTAGAAAGTAAAATGACTTTCGGAAATTGAATGTTAAATATTCCATTATTCGGTACTGACATACATCTAACGCTAAGTAAGTTTGTCCAATTTACCTGTTTCGGCATGTGACCAGGTAACCAGATCCGGCATTTGAGTTGTTGTTGTTGTTGTGGTTGTTGTACTGGTAGTCGTCGTAGTCGATGTTGTTGTCGCCTTAGTGGCTGTTTTGGTTGCATTTAATTTGGGAAGCGATGTTGTTGATGTGCTCGAAGCAAACGATGCCGTTGTTTGAGTTGGCTTTTTCTTTTGAGAAGGTGTTGGTCTTGTGCCATTTGATGTAATAATCGATGGTTGAGTGGACGACACTATTTTGGTTGGTGTGAATTTTGTTGCACCTATGAACAAGATTTAAATCATGAATCATATCTTAAACAAGCCTATTTATGTACAAACAAAAATCCGTTTTCCATATAAATATCAAAATATTTCTTTCTACGCATAGTACGGATGGCTTTTTTTTGGAAATCCTTGTTTTCCATATATTTTGCCGAAATTATTTGTTAATTAAAAAGAAAAAAGAAACAAAATCTCAAATAAAAAGTAAAACAAACCAGTTGAAATCGTTTTTTCGGTGGAAGTAGCAGTTGTAATTGGTTGATTGGATGTTGTTTTCTGTGGAATTGGTTTGGCTGTTGGTTTCGATGTTTGAGTTTGTTCGGGTCGTTTTGGTAATGGAGTTGAACTAATTGGTGTATGTTTCGTTGAACTTTGCACGCTGATTGGTTTTGGTGTCGTGCTGCTTGTGGTCATAGGGCGCGGTGGTTTTGTTGCCGATGTACTTGTTACAATATTCGAAGTTTGAGTTTGACTTTGTGTCGATTGAATGGTTATTTTCGGAGCGGCTGTCGTCGTTGTTCGTCGAATTGGTTTTTTTGTTGTTGTTGTTGTTGGTGTTGTTGTTGTGACCGTCACAGGTGATGGGGATGTAAACGTTGTTTCTGTAATGAATAAATTAAAATCGAAAAGTTTCGAATTGATGCATAAAAACATTTCAAAAGAAAACTCGATCAATGAAAATCGATTCAAATCAAATCTACTAAAGCAACAAAACCGACGATTGAATTCTTGAATATAATATAAAATTGCAAATGGTCTTACCTTGGACTGATTGAAATGTTTGTAATTTGATATTTTCCTCGGTTGTTGTCGGCAATTTCGATGTGATCGAATTACGAATGGTGGTTTCAGGTAGTTTATCGATAATAATTTGTTCATTGCTTGCGTCCGTTTTGCTCTCAGTATTCAGAACCGCTGTGATTGGAACAAACTTAACTGTCGTAGTTTCCGGTTTTTTCGATGACAATTGTGCTGATTGCGGCGTTGGTGGCGGCAACGAAGACGACGACGACGACGACAACGGTGACGATGACAATAGATTCGATGTGGTCGTGACTTTTTGGTGTTGTGTGGTGTTCTTAACAATTGGCTTTGGCGATGTTGATTGTCCTTTTGTTGTGATAGTACTTCTTGGTGTCGATGATGCCACCGAATGAAATGAACTGACTGTTGTCGATGTAATCGGCGAACCGAATGAAAAATGCGGAATCGTATTTTGATCGATGCTATTTTCAACAATTTCCGATTCCACAATATCAGTATCATCCTGCGGTAAATGGAATGAAAGCAACATTTATCGTGACACATTCTTGTTGTCTCTCACCAAAAAGAGTGAGAAAAGAAGAGATAGATATGGAAAAAAAAGAATTACCAACGCCAAGTTGGTTTCAATTCATTAAAGAAAGCAAAGAATTATGCCGTTACCTTTAGCTGACAACATGATCCAAAGTAGAAGCGATCGATACATGTGCCTAAATGCGTTCCATTCGCTTTGATACAGTCTATGGCAAACATGCAAACACCTTCAATACCCGATCGTCGAACTACACACGGCAAATGCCTGATATTTCTTCCAGATTGAATGTGAACTGTTGATTGATGTAGAAAAGAAGAGAAAAAAAAAACAGACCATGTTATTACATATATTATTGATGTGCGTTTATTTTTGCTCTCTTATTCTGACAACTTTAAAACATCTCTCGTTACATAACAGTAGCGGTTTATGACAGCATATCTTTTGAATCCAATGAAAACGAAAGAAAGTTCAGAAAAACACTGTGATCGTATGTATGTGTTACAGAACGCAAATTTTTTTCTTCTTCCTCTCTCCGCAGATTAAAATAACATCAATTAGATGGGCTAGAAGAAATTAAGCTCCTGCAGCTTCTTAGCTCCATGATGTAATAATGATACTCATATGTAATCATTAAATATGCGCAAAATATATATGGCACTAATGGCACCGTTTTTTTGTATTACAAATCCATTTGAAGCGCAGATTTTCATTACAATGGCGATTCGTTACGTGAATTGCTTTTTTTTTTCATTCAAAATGTAAAATAGATTCGACAAAAGTTCTAATATAGTAAAATGTACGGACATCTCACATGAAAAGACTCAAAATCTCCAAATGAATCGAATGAAAAGAAAGAAGTCTGTTTCACACACAAAAGGTTTTGAACATATCAGACGATTAACTCGACGATACTAAAATGAGCATACCACTATAAAATGAGCATTAGATTTGCGAGCTTTTTTCTCTCTCAAATACACATTCCTTGAACGTTTGGTTTGCTCACCATATAGATTTAATAGTATAGGAATGAATAGGCTAATGGACATAAATATATTGTGTGATCATTTGGTTCGTATTTGTTTATCTAGTTCCATTCATTCATTCAAGCGATTTGAATAAGTAACAGTGCAAGATTTGGATGGCCACTAAGTTGATAAAAATGCAAAAAAAAAAAAAGACACACACCAGACACACAAATGCGTGTTTCTGAATGGGAAGCAAACGCCGAACCGATAAAGTTGAAGATCAAAGAGAAATGTTTGATGCTCTCATGTGCTTAACTGTATAATTTTTACAACGGTACACATCAAAAATGAATATAATAAAGAATATGAGCCGATCAGTTGAGATTGCATTACATGCGGATCATTTATTTCACATTTCAGTTTTATTCTCTCTCTTCTCTCTCTCTCTCTCTCTCTCTCTCTCTCTCTCTCTCTTCCTGTACGATCTTTATTTGAAAAATTTACATCTCTCGTGCACACACCAAAATGATGAAGAAGAAAAAAACAACAAATCCAAAATGAATTGAATGGAATGAAATGGATGGTGCATAAATGTATAAATAAATAGAGAACACTGAAAGTGCTTCATTTGGTGCGCTTGTGCGGCCAAGAGAGTGTGCGCGCTCTTGTGCTCGCATTCTCCCGTTCACGCCCATTATGTAATTCAAATAAAAAAGATGTAAAGATTCTTATGAGATTGTAACAAAAAGCCTTGATACTTTTTTCTCTCTTTTCTTTTTGCGGAAAAGCTATGTGTGCGTACGTGTATATATATTTATATATATATATATGTGTGTGTGGATAAAGAAACCGATTAAAAAAACGGAGAAAGAAATGAATGCCAATACAACTCGAAGTTGGTTCTCATGATCTCAAAATGTTACAATCAACTACTACGTATATATGAGTACATTGTATTGATGCGTGGTTATTTAAAAAAAAACGAACAAACTCATTAAGAACAGTAGGAGCGATATATTTACTACAAACATCGACTCTGAACAGGCCTAAAGAACCGGAGAATTTCAGAAGCTAACAAGTAAAAATACATCGACAAATGCGATATAAAAACGATTATAAAACGGGAAAGTTTTAAATTACTCTGTGTGCACGATGTGCAAAACACAAAAAAAAAACTAAAAAGTAGCAACACCACAATTTATCGAAAGATAAGTACAGTAAGCGACGAACCTGCACCGCTTGCCGGCTATGTCATAACCTTGGCTCACACATTACAAAATATTTACCACAAAATCGCACTAAATCAATATACACCGATAAAAACCAATAACAATAATAATAAAAATGTGCCAAATTCTTTACGCTTTTGGGATTTGAAAATGTGGAGCAAAGAACGACCGTCGACAACAAGATTCTGATAAAGAGTTTGTTTTTCTCTTTCTCCCTTTCGGTCCCAATGATACAAGCGTATTACGAAATATACGAAAATCTCATTTGCTGCATGTGTAATGCGTGTAGTAGTTCTGATCTCAAAAAATCAATCTGCCAACGGAACACATTCACAATTATACACGCATGATTATGCGATTGCGACTTAAATTAACGGTTTACTAATTAGAGTTTAACAGGCACAGAGCGAGAGAGAGAGAGAGAGAGAGATACAGAGAGGAAATGAAAATAACATGCAGCCACAGCTAAAGAGATTGCGCACAACTGTGGGAATTTTGAGTCGACGACGTCGTCGTCATCGTCGTCGTCATCAATACGACTACACGGTATCATTATTAGCATTGTACATTTGTACGGCTGTACCTGTGGCCTATTTAAGCAGAAAATTAAGAATATATTTGGCGTTTTTATGTGTCCACACTTCACACACATATTACGCATGCATGGACTTGGGCTACTCTTCACATTTGCGTCGCAGACCATGGTCGAGAGAAAGAGAAACACTGCAGCTTGTAATATATAAATTTATTTTTTATTCTTTGTTCGCTGAATTCATTTACTGAGACGAGTGCATGCTGTGTGCTGTGTGTGAAATTAGTATTATATACGTATTGAAACGCTTAAGCAAAACAGAAAACAAAATCAAGTTTATTTTGTACCGTTATGTCGTGTTTCTGGTATATACGTAATATTTACGATTCACAACACATGCCCGACCATTTATATTGCATATACACACGAAAAAATAAATAATGCCACTTTTTTGATCATCGGCACACACAAACATAGTAATAACAATCACGACAAATATGACGATGACAAATGAGAGAAGAGAGAGAAAAAGCACCACCTTAAACAAATAGAAATGAACAAAGCATGTTCACAAATAGAACTCATCGAGCATCGAGCAGGGAAAAGAGACAAAGTGATTAATAAGAATCTAAAGTAGACGGAACACATTTTAACATCATAATAATCTTGATTTATGACCAAACGAAATTCGGTACGCATTTAACCGCAACATTTTACACATATTAGCCGAGAAAAATGAGCACACACGATCGATTGAAATGTGCAAATTATCAAATTTCGAATGTCGAATAGCCGCTCGAATGATCAATTTTGCTTGAATTGACGAGAAAAATAAATCAACCGTGCATTAATCGATCGAATCCGTAAAGTGGCTGTGATTACATTTTGCATTAGCATCGGGGCTAAAATAATATGCGCGCGTCTTCGTCTTTCGTTGGGCAAACACACGGACTAATTTAATGATCGCGATGTGAATATGCGATGAAATGAGAATGGGTGAAATGGTAAAAGCAGTGCCAATGATCTGCATATAAATAATGCATGTTGTATATAATTCATATCAGCTGTATACATTATGTGCTTGTGTATGTGTGTATGTTAACGTGATCAATATTAGGTCATTGCAATTTGAATGTTAAGTGGAAGTGCATGCCAATCATGTCAAGCAAACTGCTATACATATCTATTGGAGTGGTCTTTCAATTTAACCTTTTTTCTCTCTCCGTATCGCTTTATTTCTTTATTGATTGACTCAAAGGTATTTCGAAGCATCGCAATTAGTTTGAAAATTCGATTTAAGTGTATCTGACCAAAGTGGTTTACAGTTATATTCTCTCACAATTTTATATTCACATTGCAGCTCTCTGGACCATTATTGTGGATCCAACAAAATCTATCCAACATAATTATTTCGGTTTATTTGTTTTATACACAAAAGCCTAAAGAGCCGTCACTGCCGCATTCTTGCATGTCTTATAAAAAAATAACTCGATGGTTTTTTTCTTCTTCTTCTTCTTTGCTCTTATCGAAATGGGGTCAATGAAATTGCTTCGTTTGCATGTCATTATTTCACAGAATTTGCTCTTCGAACCCATTTATATCATCAGATACCAAATACATCTTAATTTTCCGGATGGTTCTAAAATATTCGGCGCTTCTTATCATAATTTTTTTTTTTTTTTATCAATACGAGATCCGTCTTTATGTCGATTGTACGTGTTAATTTTTAGAATTAGCCAATGCTGTGATTGCTTTTCATTGACATAATTTCAAACCAAAAAAAATATTTAGGTTATTTCGAGTTGTTCTGTTTTCCATTTCTTTCTTTTTTTGCGTTTTGTTTCTATCTCTGTTCATTTCTATTTTGGAATAGGTCGATAAAAAGTGTCATCGGAGTGTGTGTCACCGTGTTTGTTGTTACATTTTGATTTCATGTCGGTGCGAGCAAAAAACAAGATGAACATATGTGGGCGCGTGTAAATTGTTCTTGGATGGCGCGCGCGTACCAATTTATGTGCCTCTACACATTTACATTTCACAATAAAAGGCCAACCGATAAGTTTCACCATTCACAAACCAGAATAAAATGAAAGAATTGGCAAAACGAAAAAGAAAATAAAAAGTAATCGCTATTTTGTTGTTCAAAATCTGTCTCTCTATATATCATTTCATATATATTCTTTTTATGGTGGGCAAATGTACTTTCTATTTGCGCCGTTGAGTGAAATGAACGTAATTGTTGTCAAATATGTTCAGCATTTTGGTTTACAAATGCAAATCAAAACAATACACTTGTTTATATTATTTATGTTTTTATGAAATGGGTAATTATTCGCTTTTATCGGTCACACATATTCGTGTGGGATATTCATTCCATCGAGACACTCACTCAAACCGCCCAAAAATTCTTTGCATCTTTGATCATATCTGCAAAAAAAAATCGGTTGCTGTTGAATATCAATTAAGCGATGACAAACAGTTCGTAGAATCGGGTGAGTGTTTGAGAATGCATCACATTATAGCAGCACATCTTAACCGCTGCGTAGAAAGTAGTGAAAAATACGCATATCGACCGCATTCTAAAATGATGACCAATTCTTTGGCCAACAATTATGAAATGCTCATTTGCTTCGAAAAGCCGCAACGAGAGCTGTTAAGTTACAGTTTACGGTAAATTCGATAAATATTTCCATCACTTTGCTCTTTCACGCCAATAAGTGTGCGTGCCCATGTGTGTATGTGTGTGTGTTTGTGCTTTTTTTCATTCAGATTTTATTTATGTGTATTTTATTTTGTTGTTGAGCAAACGAGAGAGAAGAAATTCTTTCACATTTTCATGTGCATGCGGCTTCACCTTGCTTATTGGAATGCGCATAGATAGAGGAACGAAACCGTCGTACACACCAACAAAAAGCAATAATGTGCGGCAAGTGGCCCAATGAATTGAAATAGAATATACCATCAGAATCACACAATATAATAAAAATGTAGTGACCCATTTCTTTCAAATGAGTCAAAAAACATATATATATATATATACGTAATTTCTCCCGCTCTTTCGATTTATATGTATATTTCTTTTCTTTGACCAAACTTCGAATTTGCTTAACACATTTATTTCTTTCGCTGTTTTGTGTGTTTGTGTTTGTTTTTTTTCTTCTTATTCTTCGCCTTCTTCATCATTATCTCGTTGTTGTTTGGATTCACGGTGATTTTCGTTTTCTCAATTTTATCGAACATGATGAACTGACATACTTACATTGTGTTATACTAGGATTGTACGTAAAAACGGGACTACCAAAATTTTGGTGAATTTGATTTAGAATTAACACTAGAAACACTTGTAGACTCCATCGTATCGCTGGCGATGATAATGATGATGATGTTGATGTTTTTGTTGTTGTTTTTATTGGTGGTGTTGTCAGTTTTCCTCTGCCGGTCATCTGCATCAAATAAAACGAAAACAGGTTTTGATTAGTCGATTTTGTGAGAATGCATTCCCATCATATTTTACTTTAAAAAAAAAAAAACTAAAATAAGAACATTCTTAATGCTGGAATCTCTGACAGCAGCCGAAAATCTATGCATTTGGATTCAATTTTACTATGAGCGATATGAATGCACTGATTACGTTAATTGAATTTTACTTTGGAATATGCTTTTATAAGAATTCACTATTGTAAAATCTTCTTCTAATACAATTCTCTAGTGTGACGGCAGTGTATGTCAATTGATTTTGACAAATGTGTCGCCTCGAACTACAGGGAATTATATTAAAGTTTAATTATGCCTCAAAAAATGTTCAAATATGTACAAAAACCCTAAAATATCAAAAAGCAGTGATAGATATCGCTAAATTGTCTGTGCGAAGAATTTGTGGCTAAAATGCAATGTGTTTAGATAGATATCATTCATAACCAGATAAGCCACAGAACTATGTGTTGTGTTTACAAATAGTTCCGAATAGACGATCTGAAAATGGTCTTAAAATGTCCATCGTGTCAATCAAATCGGTGTGTGAAAGTGCATTGCTAATCAATTTAACTATCTTTTTTTGGTCAACAATACAAAAACCGTCGCATAAGAAGAATACAATCCATTGAAATGAAAAGACAATAAGAAACAATTCCAACATGAATGACATGATAAAAGCAGTAAAATTGATTGAGGTCATTCACGAGCCATTCTGTACAATTATAACAAATAAAGAGAGAAAAAAACAACACGATCCGAAAACGACAAGTAGAAAGAAAAATAACCTGCATTCAACGGAAACACACAAAATGAAATTTCGTTTCGGTGAAATTATTCTCACTTGAAATCGTATTCGCGTGCGCGCGCGCACACATAAACAACATCAAAAAAACTGCGACAAACTTTTGTCACATACAGTTTGTCTGATGAAATTGAAGCGATGGTAAACAACGCGTATTATTTTGTTTTTCGCTACATGTTGGTAATGATAATTCAAATAGAAAACAATGGAGCATGGCATCATTGTTGTGGCTTGAATAAATGCCAGATCGCGTTACAATTGGTTCTTATATCACACTTACACGAAGAAAGCATACTACACTTAAAAGCCCAAAGACTTTCACAATGATCTAATCAGAACACAGAAATATATCTGTGCAAACCACTCTCGTGAATAGCAAATGAATAGAGATTTTTTTTTGCTCGTTTCCGCGATCTTCTTGTTTTTTTTTTTGTGTGTACGTTTCAGATGAAAGGAAAGAAGCGTAAACGAAACGAGATTGAAAATTGTTTTCTTCAGTTAAATTAACTCATTTCGTATGTTCGTGTAGCGATTCGTTCTCTGCCATTCAACCAAATGGAACAAAGCCACCAAATATAGCCCGATGAAACAAAAACGAAATTGAAATATAACACGAACAACTCAATTAACCGCTTATTTGAATTGCGTGCAAATGGACCATTTGCGAATGTCCATCTTTAATTTGGTTTTTTTCTTCTGCAAATAGATAATTAAAGCTCTCTTTGCATAGTGTGTGGATGCCGCCACGCCTCAACATTCTTCCGTGGAAATATTTCACTTTTTTCCACGTAGTTTTTTTTACATATATTTCACATTATTCCATTGTCGTGCATGCATATAGGGATTTCGCGAAATAAAAAGAAAAAGGCAGCATTTTTAGCAAACATTCTAAACTACTTAAATTACGAACTAAAAAAAACATCGCATAATTGTTTTGATCATTGGTCCCCCAAAAAAAAATTCTGATTCAGTTCATCAACATCAAATGCTTTGCCAAAATCTCAACTTGTTTATTGATGATCAATCGATTATATTGTTTATTATTATCATGTGGTTGTGCGTGGTGTGTGTATTGTGTGAAAAATAAATAATTTACCAACTCACCTTGGAAATTTGAAAAATCTTTTTATCCAGAAACATATGTAATTTAATTGAAATGTTCTTCTACTTCTCTCGTTGAATTAATTGTCTTTGTCTATCTTCGTTTCAATGATCTTTGTAATCTTCAATTTTGTGGAAGAACCAGAAAGAGAGATTTGTTTGATGTTGTGTGATTGAAAATAGCGCAACAGGCAATGGTTTATTTCTCTCTCTCTCTCTTTTTTTCGGGCACTTGAACTTCTGCATACACCGTATATAGTGTTCTATGTATGCGTGTTGCGAGCGCGCTATTTTATTTCTGGTTGTGTTTCGATTTGTGCTTGATTTTATTGTTTCGGTGGCATATCTGGCATATCGATAACTCTTAAAATTTGATCAAGTTGTATGAACGCAATGCAATCAAACTATAATTGATTTCTTTTGTTGTGTGGAGCGTTTGAACCGAAAGGTTAGGTCGAATATAATATCTATTTAAAAATGATGATTTTGTGAATTTTCCGCCATAATCAATGTAACTAACAATTCGCGCACTATACTTTTTTGAATAACACTTTGTAAATTTATTTCAACATTTTGCATTTGAAAACAAAACAAAAAATTACAAATTAATAAACAATAACAGCAAACAAAAACATTAATCAATAAATATATAGAGTTAATAGAAATCGTGATGTGAACAAACACATAAACTCACACAAGCGCACACACACACACACATTCAAATGAAAACAGATCAAATCGTTTAAATGCACACTTGAACAATAACCAATTTACATGCGAACATTTTCCGCATAAAATCGATTAATTTGTTTTATATGATATCTTTTTTGTTTATATTCTTTTATGGTTTGCGTTGATTTTGTCTAGGATATAAAGAGCGATTGAACCGCGGGCAGATCACGTTGTTGATATCTTTGTATGCCGGTTGTATCGTGTTATGTTTTGTTGTTTGTTTGTTGTTTTTTTATATATATGCACGTCGTCGTTGTCGTTGTTCTTATTGTTCTTCTTTAATTTATCGAAACTATTTGCAGTTGCAATTTATTATGATGCTATGTAATTTTCACAAGCGCACTAATTATTTTTATTTTATTCTTTGAATTGATAGAGTTGATCTTTTATCGGCTAAAGCAACGCTGAAAATTCCGTTGTTTCTGTTGTGTTTTTTTTTTTTGTTATTATTCGCATTTGTAGAAGTAATTCGATCTTCGGCTTTACCGCATTGCATATGTGTGATTTATTCGAATGTCATGATATACTTCCACTTTTAGGCATTTCTGTAATTCAAATGGAGTGCAAAAAAAGTTGAATTAATAAATGAACAACAACAAAAAAAAAACCTTAATGGTGTAAGTTTAAAGGTCGCCTTTGTTACGGTAATTCGATCGGTAGTTCAATCCTTATTACCCAATGCAATTAGTCAGAGGAATCAAAAACAAAATGTCAAACCAGAATTGTTGACAATGTTATGTGTATCGGTTGTTATTCAAGTTCAGTCATATGACAACAGCTAAATTACAAAAAGGTGCAAAGATAGAGATTCTAATCTGCATGATATCGTCCGAACGTTGTTAATTCTTAATTATTTTAACGAAAATTGTCTGAATTCGAAAACTTCTTCATTCTCATTGCGTTCGTCACCCGATTTTTTTTCGTCTTCTTCCGCCTCTTCTTCAAAACCTACTTTCGGTACGGTTTCCTTCATTAACATTATCTAAGTTGTGAGTACTTTCGACTGTCTCTATGTAAAAGAGAATATGAACAAATCTATGCGATTGGGACAGTGCGTGCTCTTTATGTATTCTAATCACATCGCAAACCATTACTTAAAAAGTGGGCCGTTTAATTGTGTGACGCAGTGAGAATCCGAATATATTATTTTCAAAATTAATTTGTTTTTGAATAAGGAAAAAAAAAATAAATTGAAATATGATCAAAAAAATAAAGACCATCATAAAAAGATTATCGCTCGAATACAAAGGCGACCACTTGTTTCATTCTATGACTATCAGAAACTACGAATAGATAAAAGAGCACACATATTAAGAGCACATATGAAAACTCACTATCTATTATTTAATATGCACAATCAGACGCACGATTTTATCCTAATGAATTGTTGTCTCGCACCGGAAAACGGAGGACCACAAGCGAATGAAAAAATCCGATCGATAGTTTTGATCAGTTTGCTGGTGCAGTGTCTCTTTTTTGTTATAGCCTAAAGATCGATGGTGGTCGTTGTTTGTGTCACGACGAATAGAACAAATTTGTTGAAAAAATTATTAAAAAAAAAAATAAGACTGTTCTAAATTGAATCTAATTTCGTTGAGAGAGCGCGTTGTCTCTTCGCCAGCGATGTCTTCTGACTAATCGAAAGAAATTTCTTCGGCACTGGAAGAATGAACGACAATAGCACAACACAACCATTCCACACAGCCATACAACGGCAACGATCAACCGATCGTTGTTGCTCTTGCGAAAAGCCATTTGATGTACATAAGTGAGTGTACGTATTAGGTTAAAGTGGCATTAAAAGAATCAAGAAGAGAAAAAGAAGAAGTAAAAAAACACACAGTACACTATACACGACACGATACAGTAAGACGCAAGCCACAATGTGGCACTCCGGCATACAGACAATACATACAGGTAGAGAAGGTAAAAGACGCATACATTGGCAAATAGTGCATAGCAGTAGAAGAAGACAACGACGACGAGCACTCACTGTGTGTGTCTATACACAACGAGCGCACAAAGTATGTATGGAATCGCATCGCACATATGATAATGAGCAGTGCGATAGAACAATGGACGCGGTAAATTGTCTTTGAGACGTCGACAGCCCCGCACTGCTGTTTGCTGGTCTTGTTCGGCTGATAGGCTACTGCAAATGCCCTGGCACATCATACATTGCGGCTGAAAATTCGGTTCTATTCAGCTTAATTTCACAATGAATCACGATCATCCGCAGAAGAGAATCCAGGTGCATTGGCTCCTTTTTTCTGTATTTCTTTGAACTTGCATCAAATGTCCAATTTTAAATATTTCTTTTTTGAACATCTGCATTTTGCTTCTAATGTTCTATTTTTTTTTTTTGTCTTTAATCTTTGGTTTCTGGGCTTACATGACATTCGATTATCTTCAGCGTGGTGCTGAAACTATGAACGTTTCCATTTGTTTTAGAGAGAAAACGTTCATATATCCGTACGATCGTCGATCGGTATAAGTAAATGAGTGAGAAAGAGAAATAAAGAGAGACACAGACAGAGAGAGAGACGAGGCGCGAGCACAACCAGAAGAACCATGAATCAAAAGGCAAATACAAGCGCACGCCTGTCTTCCACAGTAAATAAAGAATAAAAAGATTAGTAGAAGAACGTCGTGAAGATGAAGAAAGCGAAATAAAAATATATTTGATTAAGTAAACGGTTATGCTAACGGTTCAACGGTTGGTTACGTATATGTTGCGCACATTCATATATGCGAATGTTATCTTTTATTTCATTTGGTTTGGCACTGAAATCAATATGTAGACGAGCATTTTAATTAAGTGGTATAATATAGCATTGCTTGCACTTCGCACACACACACATATATATTGGCATGTATGCAAAGGCACAGACACAAACACTCAATTAAGCATTTGCGTTCAGCTACACAGTAACTATTAGCCAAATCGAAAATAGTTTGAGGCTTGTTGATCATGAGCATTTCGTTCTTTGGCATATGTAAAATGGATTCATTTTGAAGTGAGATTAAAGAATCGACTTAATGTACTTAATGCATGAGGAAAAAAAAGAGAGAATGATTATGAATAAAATCGTGTAACCGATTGTGTGTCCATATTTTCCTCATCGTCATCGGTGGACGCGCGCTTTTTTATTATTATCATAACAACAGCTTTGAGTTTCGCATTAATAAAAACAGTTATAACTGCTCTTGTTTTGATTTAATTGGCCACTTTTTTGTCCATTCAACTTGAGTTTTCGACAAACACAAGACAACAACAAACAACTATATAATTACAAACTCGATCTTTTATAAATTCTTTTTTTTAATCTCCGACAAAAGAATGTATTATCTCTCTCCTCTCTCTCTATCTCCGTGAATGTTTGTTGAATCCCCCTTTGTCTATGTGGATAAAACCTCTGGGCATCGTTTCCGAAAGTGATTACCAGCTTGAAAATAATATTCAGGTAACCGAATACATGAAAAAGTTTGCAAATGTTTTGAGATTTGTTTTTTTTTTTTCTCATTTTTTGTTGGGTTTTTTGTGGCCTGCCACAGTCAAGTAGCAAATTGTTCAGCGTGGATAAATTAGCCGCTAGGCAACACGTAGAATGATGGAATCACATATACTTTTCCAGTGGCAAACGGCTTATTTTCACACGCTGTGTGTGATTTAATTGACATTATTGAGCTTTATTCAAACAACATTGTGCAATGAACACTCAAATGAGATGATACAGTCTTCGTAATCGTTTATCAATAAATTTGTACAAGCAATATTCGTTCTGCCCCAAAAGAGAGAGAGAGAAAGAGAGAAAAGCAGAAATAAGCGCATTCAACAACAGCAACCACAATCAGCTTCAACAATAAACCGAAACAATGAATATAAATGTGGAGAGAAAAAAAAGTGCACGAAGAAATAGCAAAAGTAGCGACACATCAATGTATACTGTACAGGCAAAAATACAATGGAAAAAAGGAAAACAGCAATGAACAAGAATGGCATGAAAAGAAAATCACTATTTTCTGAGTATGCGAGCGAGGCCTTGACACTGAAGACGCTTTACTTCAGGTTGAGAGAGCGAAGAGATAATCAAACCAGATCTATTGTGTGCACCAAAAGTATTATATTCTTCTTAGCTCGTGTTTCTGTTTTCTTGCTCTGTTCTCATTCGGCGACAGTATACACACACACACACACCATCCCAGCGCATAGCTATTTTTGCTAATTTACCTTCGCTATGTTGAAATGAATTTTATGCTGCTGCCTCTCCTACAATGTATTCATATGAATTTTTATATGCAGATTAGACTGGCCATTGCATTGTCCATTTGATTGATGAATTTTGATAATATTTATTGTGAAATTTGTGATAATGTGATGTGGTATCTTTTAACGGCTCATTCGTATAATCATTTGATTAATCAATCTGATTTGTGCGGACGATCAGTTTAATTTTTGATCCATTGTTTGCTTTATCATAAAAACATAATAATACAAGGTCTTCAATATAGACTGTTGTTGTTGATGTTTTTTTTTTCTTTAATGGGATGCCCACAGCGTCTCGTCTAAAAAAGCATTCTTTTCGAATCAACCGAATCGATAATAGTTGTAATTATAATAAATGCTTTTTAGTCACATGTTTTCATCTTTTTCTCGCTCTAATAAAATCACATCTGGAACAAAGCCAAGATTCGTTGCGTTGAAAATACATGATGGAATTTACGCAATTTGTCAATATAAATATATTCTCATATAATTTGCACACATTAAACCCATGTTAAACTAACCATTCTTCATGGAATAATACGGTAAAGATTACTTCACATTTCTGGTAAAAAATATTTTTGTTAACTGTATCTATGCTGGACTTGAAATTTATTGCAAAAAATACGAATTTTGTAAACTATTCTGAGAATCCATGTTAAATTACATATATGCTTTAAGTGTTGTTGTTTTTTTTTTCGAAAATTTGAGTTTTTAATACCTTTTTTTCAGTTTAAAATGTAATAAGGACTTGCAAAAATATTTTGCAGTTAAAGGCTGAAAGCCTGATTAATTCTTTTTTTTTGAATAATTTACATCGTCCAAGTAGGAAGACTTTCACACAATAAATTAATTAAAATATGCTTCTTTTGTTGGAATAATTTACAAAAGAGCGTTTGGGTTCATTAAACTTAATTAATACAACATTCTATCCATGTGATGTGTTCACTGTCAAGAGTGAACAGTTAATCAAAAATGTAACAGAGACTGAAAGAGATGAGTGCGGTCGAATCGGGCATATCAAATTCACCATGTTGTCACATGTGAAGTTCGGTCGTTTATTTTTTATGTGGCCAACAACCGATATGTTCCAAATTTTTCTTAGCTGTAAAGCCTATGTATGTAACAGTAAAAAAAATCATGTTTGTTTTTTCATTCTTTATTTCTGATTACAATCTGAGCAAAACAATTTTCGTATCATATAATTCGCACATTAGTGTTTCTTTTTATTTATTTATTTCATTTTTTTTTTTTTTTGCTTCTTCCATAAAAATGTTTACTCGTTGGTGTACGATACGATAGCCAGCATTTATGACCACTGTTTACTGCAACTAAGGTTAATGTATTTGTTATACAAATCGAAATGATTTTGTTGTGTCATACAAAAACTGTGATAATCAATGAATCAACTAATTTCTAAGAAGCTCAAATGAATTTTAAAGTAATCGAAATATTGCAGTTCGTAGGTATGAATGAAAAATAAAGCAAACATATACAATTCAAATCGTTTTTGTTGTTATTTTCATATTAGATTCGTCTTTTTTGGTTTTTATTTCAAATTAGGCGAAATTTCTCTGTCTCTCCCTGTCAAAATTTTCAATTCGGTTAAGAAAAAAAAAACGGAGAAACGAAAATATGAATATGATTGAATTTTGTAAAAGAATGAGGGGAAAAAATTATTAATTAGCGCTTTAAAATTGTTTCGTTGACAGTTCGGGCGCAATGCATACACAATATGGTTAATTATGTTTTAAGCATTTTTATCTTCCTCCATCGGTGTATTGTCCTGTTTAGATTCATCGGATTTCTCTTTCTTTTCTGCATTTTTGGCATTCGAACCGGCACTTTTTTCCAGTGCCTTGACAAATTGTTCTAAATCGCCTGTATTTGCTGCGGCAATTGCTTCCGAATTTAATTGAAATTGCGATACAACTGGACCCAATTGACCCGACTGCAATGCGGTCGAAAAAGATGACAATGCTTGTCGAAATTGCGGCGATTGAATTGTATCTTTCAATTGCTTTTTATCATTGTCGGATGATTCAATTGTTGGTAAATGCGCTACTAGTCTACCTGTAAATATTCAATTCATTAATTGAACGCCTGATAAGTACAATGCAATATTCAACGAAAATCAAATTATAAATGAATTTACTTCGTTCGCCTTCGCTTGCAGTAATTTTATCTAGTGCTTCGGTATTTATTGCACTAGCTAAATCGATGTTTCGCCCACTGCCACCAGCTGCACCCTCACCGCCCGATTGTAATCCGGATAGGAAGTTCTGCAAGTCCGATAAGAGCACCTTTTGTCCAGTACCCGAAGTAGTGCCACTTTCATCTTCTTGTCCATTTCTTCGACTTGAGGCGGTTGTGGTTTTTTTCGGCGCTTGCGGAACCTGCCAAAAATACAACATAAAGAAAAATCACGTTTTATTTGACGGTGGCGAAATAAAAACAATGAGATGGGAAGTAAAGAATTTACATTCGATGCAACGGTTGATGTAGCTGGAGTTGTTGGTGAATTTGAACTGGCGGCTGTCGAGCCAGATGTACGATTCCCTTGACTTCCCGATCGTGGTGTTGATGAACTGTCAGACGAACGGCTGAAATATAAATCGTAAAAATAAGCCCACATTGTCAAAAAAAAATCGAAGATAAATCGCTTACTTTATTGAGCCTAAAATATTACTCAGTCCACCCATTTGGCCAACGCCGCCAAACAATTGCAACAATTGTTGTTGTGACATATTGTTCAGCATATATGACAAATCATTTCCATCGCTGTTGCTATTTCCGCCACTACGATTGCTCGATAAACTATTGACCGATGGTGGATTATTCATAACATCGTTAATGCGTCGGCACCATTCCTCGTCTTTGTCTGCTTTTGGCTCTTGCATCCAGAAAAATAAACGGGCCGATGTTGATTTGAATTTAAGCAAATAAACACGTCCAGTTTTGCATTGTTCAACACGTTTGAACTCACAATCGTCGGGAAAAATGATTAAATCATCTTCGACTTTGTTTGTGGTGCGATTTTTCCAACAAAAATGAATCAAACCATCATCAGCTTGATACACATATAGTAAACCTTTGCGTGTGTCCGGATGTACCATTTTGCCAACCATTGTCATTCGACCAGCACGGAACTCCACCAAGTGACGATTACCGCCCGACGACCCTGGCAACGAACTATTATTCCCTATACAGTCCCAAGTGAACGTGAAAATTTCAAAAAAAAAAAAAAAAACAATAACATTATTATCATTTCGATAAAATTTATATCAACAATGTCCAGTATCTTTGCTATTTACTCAAATTTAATGTCGTACTTACCAAATATCGGACCAGCCATTTTAGATATTTTTATTATTAAATTATAAAAACAACACTCGCCCCACAACAAAAATCACACAATTTTTTTTTTAATATTTTTCAATCACCAACTCGATTGCAATGAACGACCAACGAAATGTTCAGAACAACGTAAATTGTTTATAATTCTTTTGTTTCGTTGTACATTCAATTGTGAAATGTCTTTGATTTACTTCGACTTTCTTTCAAAACTTGCAAATCATCGATGATATTGCCTCGCTTTCATACAGAACACCAATTCACTATTCACCACTAATTCATCTGTCAAACTGTACTAAATTGACATAAACAAAAGCAACGTAATAAACTACGTTCATAACCAATACAACCGTGTTGTTTGTGGTGAATTTGATTTCATATTGAACTGCGATTGATAATTGATTTTGAAGAAATGTGCATTCGGTCAAAATGATTTCATTTTTGTGGTGACATTATTGATTTTAAAAGTGAAAAATCAAATCATTTGTTTGTGTTTCGAATTTAAAAACTATTCTCAACATCGATTAGTGTGAATTACAACTGGCGCCACACTGTGAGCAAATGGCGTATTATACTATTATGTACATTTGGTGCAAAATCAAACTACAAAATTATTTGAAGAAAAAACTATAAACATCACAAAATATATGGAAAATATTATTTTATTAACATTTAAATATATCATTACGTTTGTATTTACAAAATAAACTAAAATATTTAATTTAATTCAGTAGTTTATCTTATTCGAAAAGTGTTTTTTTTTTAACTTGTCATTCTTCTTGCAATACAAAAATCCATTAAGATTATTATAACTTATCTCAATAAGATTTTTTCGTTTTGGTTAACTAAAAAAGAAATTGATTTAGTCGGTTTAATGCTGAGCTCATAAAATCATCTTCTAAATGATTTTTTTTCAGCGATGAAAAATTGTGGTAAATGTCTTACATCCACACAGAGGATTCAATCAAATTGATCGGCACACATTAATCACATGCATTTACCAAAGTGGCAAAAAAAACTGTTGATACAATAATTCCGATCATATGATTCTTGGTGGATTTTCGCCGCAATTCGATTAAACTGCCCTCACATACATACATTTTCGTAAATTTAATATTTGTTGTTGTTGCTTTTTTTTGCCGTAAAAGGTAAAATCAAATAAATTAATAAAGATTTAAAAACTAATAATCGTCTTTTCCCATGACCTTATCTATCCAAGACACGAATTTCTGAATATTTGTATAAACTCCGGGTACTGTAATAAACGATTAAACATTAGTTGCGGATGAGAAGACGTTTTTTTAAATAAAAATATTTTTGGATGTACTTACAGTGTTCACGTCCGCACCCAATACCCTAAAGATAAAAGAAAATAGTGAGTTAGACGCTTTTTTTTTTAAACAAAAAATTAAAATGGTAACTTACCCATGAAACAAGGCCAATCAGTGTTTTTCTTCCATCCAATGAAATTGTTAGAGGTCCTCCGGAGTCGCCCTGACAACTATCGCGACCTCCCTAAAAAAAATTAAAAAAAAACCGAAACGATAAAATAAAATCTCATAAAAATGAAATGAGTTTATTACCTCTTTGTATCCGGCGCAAAGGAATACATCGTGTATAGTTTCCCGTCGACCAGCTGCTCGGAACCATCGCTGGCAACGATCATTCGATATAACTTCTACATCGACTTCCTACACAGAAATCATTTTTTTTTTATTAACGATTTTATTTTTCTTATGGATTATGCTGATATTACCTGCAAAACAGACGGAACAGTGCTTTGGCCGTGGCGTGTACGGCCCCACCCAGCAACGGTTGCCTTTTTACCAATAAGTTTGGAAGTTTTTGGTGGTAAACAGACCGGTAGAATGTGTTGTTTAAATACTACATTGCGATCAAGTTTTACTAATGCAACATCATTTTGAAAATCAGTTGGCGAATAATTTGGATGCACTTCCTTCCGTTCAATGCTATACTCTTCATGATTTAGTCTCTCATCCGCGTCTCTAACGTCCCATTCTCCCAATCGTACTTTCATATTTGCATTTGGCGTTGTGGCGACACTATAATAAAAAGAAATTATCATTTTATAATTATGATTTAATGGCGCCGACAAATACAAAGCCAAACAATAGAACTGTTGAATGCATTTACATACCAGTGAGCTGCAGTAACCACCCAACGGTTAGAGACCAAAGCACCGCCACAGCTAAGCTTTCGCGTTAAAAAACCCGATTTAATTAAAGCCGCTTGCCATGGATGACTTCCAAATGATGTTGAATGCCCACCAACAATACGATTTGCCCTTGTGTACAGTTCACCACAGCCTATAAAAACAATTGAACGACATCCATGAAATTGGTGGCTAAACAATTTAAATTGTATTTATATTGTGTGATTTAAGCGTTATAGTATGCGTTGCATAAGATGTGAATAACAAAACGGTGCTGATCGACTCAAAGCATTTTATATTTAGATGTGTGTGTATGTGTGTATATGTGCGAAGACATGTGCATTTTCTACAGTTTACTTTAGCATATACATTTTGTTTGCAGAGAAAAACATAAATGGTGAGATACAGTTGCGAGAAAACAAAAAGAAAAATAAGAAAAGAAAGAAGAAAAAAAAAAAAACGAAAGAAAAGTGTGCCCCCCGTAGAAAAATAATAAAAGACAAAATAAAAGTCAAGCATCATTTCAATGACGAAGAGCATTTAAAAATGTGATTTTATGAAAAATACCCTGAAAGGGGCGATAATCGGTGTCTGCATGCGATGTTGTTGGTTTATTGGCAAAATCACCGCCGAAATTGTTATTGTGACTGAAAACGGCCGCCTCGGCATCTGAACCAAAACCATCATCATTGTCGACGATGCCAAAATGCTCGTCCGGATGAACTAATGGATAAAATGAAATTTGATTTGTTTCATGTTCCCAGGATGTTGAAGGACGATGGTGATTTTGTTGTTGGTCATGATGATTATTGAATGTGTTTGTATTTGTTGTTGAAGTGGTTGAAGGTTTTGCTGGTTTGGGATATGTATAAAATGGTTTGTATGGACGGGGACGTTCGGTGGTTGTTGTTGGATTTGGAGGGTAGTAACCAAGAAGATGGATTACATCACCTGTGGAATTTTTGTTTGTGTGTTTCAGTTCATCGATTAATTGCAGTTTCTTGACTTATTTCAATTTTCTAATTATACTAATTGATTTAAAATTATCACTCTTTAGCGTTCAGTCCCACAACTCTGTCAATATTGCGATTTCTATTTTCGTGGTTATTATTACACGTGTGTTGAGGAGAGAATGGATTCTCTTTTCATTTCATGCTGATTATTTCTTTTCACTCAACCGATTAAGTGGTTTTTCTTACACAGAATTTTTTTTTCATTTCAACGTCTCGGTTATGTGACTAATTGAAGTGTTTACAACGAAGATTGATGTATAGTTAACATTAGCTAACTTGCAGCCCAAAACAATGCGCGTTCAAATACTCAATTACATTATTAGCTGATAACTCACCGAGAGTCTCACTTCGTCTTTTTTTATTTATGTGGAAGTGTGTTTGTTGCACATTCTTTTTTTATGTGATTTTATTTATAGTTTTCACTTTTCTTCAACATTGACGAATGGTGTTACTGCGTGCTTGGTTTCAATACTGAATTTATCTCAAGTGATAGTAAACCAAAGTTATAACAACAACAAATGACTTATATGGGCAACAAAACGTTTTTTAATGGACCTTTGCCTGCTTCGAACGAAACAAAAATGTAATAAAAAAAAGCAAAAGTGCACAATTGTAAAGACATGAAGCGGAAATCAATCGTTTTTATTCGTCTCATTCTTTCTCCGTGGTGTGAGTGCGTAGTTGAAAAGTTCACCGGATACCATTGCTCTAATGCAATTAGACTGTCTCGAGTTTTCTCTTTGATTGACCTAGTAATCTGAATCTCAATAAGATTGGGTCACACAATTACCACACTCGTATTCATCAATCATCACTTTTCCACACAGTTATCAATTCCATATGAAAATAAAAATCTAACTGAAATCTACTAATAAAAGATCATAGCTAACTGAATAAAATCGGCGCTTTAAAACGTTAAGATCAATTCTGATTTGAAATATTTTCTACTTTCTTGCATTTTTCAGAGCTGTTACTGGCACCGCAGAAGTGCGGACACTAGTGGGTACGTGCACTTAATCCATATCTTTTTTAAGGTGCCGCACCTAAATACAAGGAGGAGTGACACTCAAAAGAAAAGTATCCACACCTCCACGGTGCCCATAACAACTCTGGCTTTTTTAGTAACTTTTGCGGGATTTTGTTTGAAATTAGTCGACGGAATTTACATTTATTTGTATAAATTTTTTGCACATCTTACACGACGGCTTTCGGAAAAAGTGAAAGAATGAAAAATTCATTGAACTTTACAATGACTTTTGATTTATCTCTTTGTTCAACAAACTTGTCAATATCGCAAAAAACAAAACTCGACAAAAAACCCAAATTGAAAAATGTTCGATTTACTTTAAATCGAATTTCCATATATACGTTGGTGTTGTCGGGAGAAAATTCAAAGGGAACACATTAAATTCAAATCAAATGAACATTGTTGTACTTACTTGCATTCTGTACCAATCCCGAGGATGACGATTCTTGATGTAAGTCCTTATCGACACAGCACGACCAAATCATTCCACCTGAACACGAATCCACGGGTTTTCCGCCAGCTAAAACGCATGATATGCTCAAACCACATTCAAAGCGTCGACCTTTGTATTTGCACGTTTGTGGTATCACTGGAGAAGAGCACGAACCGCATAGTAGAAAAAATTAAAATAAAACAAAAAAAAAATGAACAAAGATGTTGAAACAATGAACTTTGATAAAATTAAAAAGAGAAGAAAAAAAAACAACATATAAATTGAGACGTAAAATAAATATGTGGTAAATGAATGCGGTGTCAGATTCGCCAAGTAATTTGAAAGATGTGCTAAGGGGGAAAAACGATCTTATATAATGTGATGCGGATTGTATTAATTCATTTAATTCACAGCTCGTCTCGCAAACTTAATTTCACTTCCTGTCCACAAGAGACGCAAAGTCACCATTAAAGAAATTAAAGCATTTTGGGAAAGTATACAATCATTTCGAATTTTCACTACCATACTGTTTTCAATACGATTCGAACATCAAACTATCTAATGGTACCGAACATGTAATATGGTCGATCTATTTGCGATTTCTTTGGCGCGAATTTCTAATCGTGGTGTCTTGTGTTATTTGTTGTTATTACTTAAGTACACATATACTTTTTATTTACATTTATATAATTCAAACATTGAACTTGCTTGGTCGCATACACTCACACATAGTCGCATTCGAAGCGGTTAGCCAAACAACAACGAATACACGATTATCGACAAAATTGAGGCACTTAGTGATTCTACCAGTCATTGTACGATGATTGAGTGTGCGCTTATGCAAACGAGCAATTGCAATTGCAGTTTTTATTTCGTTCGTTCGTTCACAATTTATACTTGATGCTTATGTTTATGATTATATTTCATATATTTTGATGAATATATCTTTGTCTGAGCACAAGCAGTGCCATCAAGAGAAAAAGTGATAGAAATGAAATGTTGCTATGTTAGAGCATATTCAAAAGGTATTGTGGACGCTTTGATGAACACCATGGCAATTCAATCAGAGGATAATCGTCAAGCTATTATTCAATTTGTAACAAGCGAAATGAGAAAGAGTCAAGCATCTCTTTCATTCAGCCAAGATTTAGATCATTCATGTGAAATACGAAAAAGAAATTACTTAATATACATTTGAATTTTATAAAATAAAATAAGTTTGCACGCATAATAGTCATTTTGCTTTGAATGATTTGGGGAGAAAGAGAGAGAGAGAGAAAGGAAAACAAGATGTAAAACAATCAAAGTCATCAAAAGAGATGGACAAATCTGAGAACCATGTGATTGCGTTCACCCACAGAGCCAAAGAAACGTCTAAACATGGAGAAAGAAAATACAATCCCATAAAAAAATTGCGTAATATTTGCAAATAGATTAACTATTCTTCGTCCAACATTATTATGCATTCGAACCAAATGCGGCTAACAAGTTCGAGGCATTGAATTGGATATGTATGTGATTTTCTGATTTTCAGAAAGAAAAAGCATTGCGCCGATATGATGGGAAAATCACACAGTGATGACGATTTCTTTCACTCTTTTACCCATTATTAGCGTTCACATCCAAATTGTATTCGATCATGAAGCATTTCATTAACAGTGATGACAAACAAAAACAAAAGCATGCTTAACAAATATTGAGCGAATTTTATACGTAACGAAAACAAAGTGAGAGAGAGAGAGAGAGAGAGAGAGAGAGGGAAAAAAACAACGTCAACATACTTTCATAACTATGAACCGTGCCGCGTGCAGCGGTTTCATTCAAATGAAATTTTCGCTCCGTTTTAGTTTTTCTCTTTTCTCAGTTTTAGAAGGAAATGAATTTATCGACAAATGCTCATCACAAATGCCCAAGTGATCGAATGCATGATAAATTACATAATTTGCCTTTGAAGCTAAGCACATCCAAATCTATGTTGACTCAAAATTATACTTATTCACTACGATTTGAATCTTTCATTGGATATGTTTTAAACGATTTAATCAGGTGTTTCTTTTGTAATTTAATTGTCAGATGTTTGGTGTTGAACCCGATTTTTTCGACAGCTTTAGTCCAGACGAACATGCCACACATCATATTTTGGCAAGGTACATCGATTGTATGCAACCACAAACCAAACATGATGATGCATTTTTTTCAAAAGGATCCAACTACTTTGTGAAATTTCGTACTCTCTCGCATTTTGAATTCCTCACACGTGAGCAAACATTTAATTAATAATAACTATAAAAATGGCTGAAATCAGTTTTACATTAAAAAAAAAGAAAATTTTTTAATATTATTTTTCATTCAAAACAATTCTCTCTGGTGTCAACAATTTTCTTCTTTGAACAATCGAGTTTTTTTTTTGCTGTCGTATTAAAATAATGAATTTTCGCGCTTATTAACAATGACTAATAGGAAAATTAATGATTTTTGTGAAATTCGATTGGTGTCTAACTCTAAACTATGTCACTTATATATATATGCGTATCTGCAACACCTCCGTGGTATAAATAATCGAAGAGTACATACTTCGTCCGAGGATATCCATAAGCGAATTTGAGGTGCCATAATAACTAGGTTGTCGTTTGCTGAGTGCTTCCAGAAGAAGTAACTCTTGCTCCTGTTGTATTGTTGGTCCAGCGATAACAACGCTGAATTTGAGGCAAACATTCAAACACAATAGGAATATCACAGATTTTATTTGGAAAATTTTATGATGTACTGAGAAATGGGATTTAATTAAATCAGGCACTAATATGAACATTGTTGTTAATTTTGTTGTTGTTGTTGTTATAAACACTTTACACATGTGCACGCACTCGTTGCATAAAGACACGAAATGGATTGAAAATGTTGGACCAAAATCCACAACCGATTCTCAACCACGATTTGACTCTCAATGAGTAACTATCACTAAATGAATTGTATATTGTTTTTCATTGCATTGCATCGAACATATTTGCATTCTCATTCAGAATAAATAATTCCGGCAAATCTTTTTAAAAGAAACTAAAAAGTCCACTATCTATATGCAGCAGCTCAATTAAGTTTTAATAATTTTCACTTTCAATTCGATGATAAAACGTCATTCAATGATGATGATTTTTTTCAATGATATCAATTATATGCGCGAAAAAAGTGCACGAAGACAAATAATAAAATTTTGTGAAATAATTCCAAAAAATTCGTTGCAAATGTCTTCGATCGACTTTATAAATAAACTAAATCCATCAACCGATTCAAAACGATACATAAACGTAAATAAAAAATGAAAGCGAAAACGGTACGAAATTTATCATCTGAACTATTCCACGGTTTCATATCAACTGAATTGAGTCGGAATCAACAGGCACCAAATGTGTGTGGCTTTGGTTGGATGGGATGCAGTGCACCTTAATAGCTCTCATTCAGTTGGATCGTTTCTCTCACACTGCGCTCTCTCCACACTGAATGCTAAAAAGTGAATTTTTTCGACGTAAAATTGTGAACATAGAAAAATGTGGAAAAAGCAAAAAAAAAAAACAACAACAACACACAAAATACTAACTTGTGCGCCCGTGAGTTCATTGTGTTTTTCTTTGCTTATTTTGTTTCTCTATTTCGTGTGTCGTTAGCCGAGAGTGCACATGCCGTATATAAGAAGTTGGCGGTGCGCGCCAAGCTATAACACGCAGAAAACTAGCTTAGAAAAAAACAAAATAAAAAAATCAAATTGAAGGCGACAAAGAGGAAAATCAAATGTTATGCTGGTGTATGCTTTCATTTATAGTGATTTTACTCTCTGTTGACACTGCCATGAATATGCGCCGTTGATCAGATGCTATTGCTATTGATCGTGAAGGAAACATAGGCCTATATCATGGCATCGTTGAATTTGACCAGAAAAAAAGCGACAGATAATTATATCGTGAAACGTTCAAAAGGAAAGTGAAACTTTTTTTATCATTTTATTACACTTGAATCTGCGTGAATCGAGACCAATTCAATCGAACCAGTTATTATATACTCAAATTGTTATAATAATCCTTATTCGTAATTATGCAGCTGCGTATAAAGTATATCCTGTGAGATTTAATGAGATAACAAATTCAAGTTTATCGTGCACCCAATAAAAGGTTAAATTTGAAAAAAATGATGTGGAGAAATTCCATCATTTTATTTTACAATCATCATGAATTGCATTTGGTGTTTGAATACAAAACAACTGAAGTCAGTGTTCGTTCTATAAATTCATTTGAATCTTGAGTGGCACATCGTCCAAATAGAATCATTATATGCAAATAGGAAAGTTTGAATAGAGATAAACGATGAAAAATAAAAAATAATCGATGTCTGCGCTCGAACTGGCGCATCGCAATGTTTTATGTATGCTTTCAAATGAATTTCTGCTTATCTTTTTAGCTAAATATGGAATCTCATCTGAATATGGTAGCAAAGCAGAAAATTATTTCAATTAAAATTATTTTATCGGTACGTTCATCCCGTGTAACGGATCAAAACACGCAGCTATGTCAACTTGATGGCAAAGACACACAAAAATCACTACATACTACCTTATATTTATTTACAATTTTAATTATTGTTGTATGTAGCGCACTCGTGCGCTCGAACTGATTTGATACTAGAGACTAAGCGACCAAGTGGGTCGTGTCAAGATCACATCTCTTTTTCTGACTTTTAATATGTCATTTTATGAATTGTGTCGAATATTTTCTTATTAAAAACATGCATACGTATATGTGTATTAAACGGGCGTCAAATTGAGTTTTACTCATCGTTTTTGTCTCTCAAAAAAATAAACATAATAATTACAAACTTATATTATACTTAAATATACTTAAATATGTTGTTGATCTTCAAAAAAGGTAAAATGTTGAGTTTAATATCTGATGACAATGAATTAAAGATATGGTAGAAATGATGACACCTAGCGAGAATGATGTTGAATGAAAAAACCGTCTAGTTGACTTTCTTGTTGAATTGGAAAATGATTCATAGATCTATTTTTGTGCACAACAACCGAAAAATGTAGAGTACAGAGTCAGAAGCAATTCGAACTCAAAGCGTGTGCAAACGTTTAATATGCATATCAATATAGACGCGGCGTCAACATGAAATGTGTACAGAAGAAGAAAAGAAAAGAAGAAACTAGAAAAAAGAGAAATGAAAAGAATAAGACAAACGGAAGAAAGAAGAAAAGTCTTTACGGCAGCCCATTCGCAAGATAATTTTCAAGTAAAAGTTGTTGAACGATAAAATGTTTATTGCAAGCACCCGACAAAGATTCAATGTTGGTCACAGATTTCAATGGCCACTCAAAATACCAACGAAAGAAATGAAACCAACTCTAATTCTAATAGAAATTTTGGGTTTTTTGTTTGGCTTTTTTTATTTATTGTGGCTTAGACACAGGTCACAGTGTTATGGTGCATTTTTTGATATTTAGAAAACAAAACGCGATTCATTTGTTCACGTACATGGTGTGAGAGAAAGAAAATGACAACGTGATGACACTGTCGACAAAACACCATAAATTTCTCGCATATTTCTCCCTCATCACACGCCTATTTTACCATTCGCCATTAAGATTAAAATTGCGAACAATGAAATGATTAGTTTCTGCTCAAGAAGACAAAACATCTGTGCTTGCTCTGGTTTCTAAATTACTTAAGTCATCATTAATACCATTTGTTAGGTGCGAAAGCGTTTGAGCGCGCGCACACGCCCATTCGCAATTCGAAAGAGAAAGAAAAGTAAAAACGCAGTCACAGATGGCGATCGCATGATGTATACTCATATAGATGTTTATGATCTTTAAAAAAAATCACGTATTTTGCGCCCGTTTTAGCTTTGAATTTCATACGGTCACATTTGCCAATTATTTAGAAACAACAACATACGATAAGATGAACATGATAAATCTTGCTGGTTTTAAAATTTTACTTTGGCTTTTTTTTAGTTGGAAATTTCTATTTCTAATTCGGCACTTTGTTTTTTGGGAGGCAATATAAATCGTCATGATCATTCAAATACTTACGCTCGAATTCGTCGAAAAATTTTGGTTCCTTCTTCATGACTTCAGCCAATGCCTCTGCATCGGTATAATTAAGTTTCGTGATGATTTCGTTTTTGTTTGGTGTTTCATTTTGTTTCTCATGGATTTGATCCAAATGTTGTTTGAAATAGTGATGATCACTCTGATAACTTTTGCCAAAGCAAATGCATATCCAAACATTTGATAGCATCGCTATTTTGAGCAATGCGGTGATATTCATTTTTTTTTTTGCTGTTGGCACTTTTAAATATTTTTCTTATAAGTTCTTTCGTTAGTTTGTCGAACAGTAGTCAGAAAATTGCAGACGCACATCTACTAGCCTAAATATCGCATAGAATGAGATCAATTGGTTTGTTCGCTTCGCGGTTTTTGTTTCTTGCTTGAAAATGTTTTGTCGCCAAAAAGCAATGAATTATTTCGAAATGCAGTTCGGTGGGGAAATCGTCAATTCAATTTTTTGAAAATGGAATTTCTTTCGTTTTTGTGGTGTGATTCGTACGTTTCGTTGTTTTTATTATTGAGCAATAGACAATCGAAGCTCACGGTTCAACTATCAGCGAACACACACCAAACACATATCATAATTTCACTTTCTAAGTTGATTGAAACAAGATTTCTTCGACTCAGGCGAACGTGCGAATGGTTGGGAGTGAACGAGCGAGCGAGCGAATGAGGTGGTGCGCGGATGAGTAAGCGAATGCATATATGTGTTGTCTGTGGATCGTTGTTGGGACGTGTTTGGATTACGCTAAATGCACACATGAACGTCTCCCTTCATAGTTTCAATGCTAAATGCTGTTCGCTTCGAAAGCAGATTCGGTGGATAGGTACAATTGTTTTTTTTCCTTTTGTTGTTTTTATATATATATTTTTAATTTCGCCAATATTATATTTTTGTAACACACTAACATCCAAAACTATTTTAGGAAATGGCGAGAAAAGAGCGAGAAATTGAAAACTCAAAAAATTGCTGAAGCGGTGGGAACCAAATTCTTCATATATACAACGGTTTTTTGTTGTTGTTTGTTTATATTTGTTTTCGTTGAAATCTATAAATGTTTTTTTGGTACTTGCGATGCCACTTTCATGATTTGAATTTTGCGGTAAACTGAGCACAAATATAAACGCTCACGCTCGCGCGCATATACACACAAACCACACACAGCAGCGTTTATTACAACCATATGATTGGCATCGTTTATCAATCAAATCGGTCTTTGTTTCACGAAACGGTACTGCGGCTGAATTTTTTTTAACACATTTCCACGCAAAACGTTTAACGATTGCAAGGGCAATGCCAATGCAGTAGCCGACCGAGTACGGTAAATGGTTCAATATCTTGTTGAGAGTGTTTGATGATGCTGTGGTGCATGTAATTGCTGCTGTTATCGTGATTTGTAGATTTTTCCGCATTCACCGTATATTTGTTTAATGAGCAATAACGATCAATGAGTTTCGCCGATTGAACCAATTTCAATAGAAACAATATAACCGATTTACTGCAATTTCATCAAGTCCATTGGCCTATACGCGCTCAATTATAACGGATAATGGAACACAATTCTACCGTGGCTCATTCTTAATATAACACTTTCATTGTTTTTCACCCACTCGCGTTCATTTCAATTAATGTGAATTTTGATATTTGATTTTTCTTGAACTTGGCCGTTCTCTGGAAAATGTGGAAAATGTTGTTCGTAGGCACAGTGCTTGTCTTGCGGGTAAGACTATCGAATTTGAACTGATATTCAAAAAAAATGCGCAACGATTCGAAAGTATCGAAATTGGTTTTGTGTGTCGGCGATGGCGGTTGCCGCTTGTGTGCCTTTTGCTATCAATGGGACCTGTGTGTTGTGCGTATCGATTTTCTACATACGATTTACTCTTTTTATTTTGTGTGTTTTTTTTCTGTTGTTATTGTCGTCGTCATCATCATCATCATTCGTTCGAGTATCAAATTGGCTTTGGTATGATTTTATTGTTATTGAGGTGTATATATATATTTTAATGAAACCGCATTCACCACATGTGATTGCGACTTCGATTTCATTCCGTTTCGTTCAATACAAGTGTTTGAATATATTAACTTGATCTTTCGTACCTTTAGCAAAGTTTTGTGCCAGAAGTCGACCGTCACCAGCACCACATACGAAATCTAACTCAATCAATGAAATGGAAACAAGCATAAAATGAAATTGAACGAAGAAATGAGCCAAAAGCGTAATGCCAATATAACATGCTTAATAATGTGATAAAAGTTGCTGAATGGACACGATCGTGTTTTCTCTCTCTCTTTCTCTTCATCTTCTCACTCACCGAGATGTAAATTCAGTTATACAGCCAGATATTTGCCCGATCGAAGAAACGATTGTACATTTTCTTTTTTCTTTTCTTTGCCGCATTTAACAAACAATCAGATTTATATATTTCGGACCGAAATACACAGAACTGAAGAGAGAAAGAAAGAAAAATATGCCGATCAAATCAATAAATTTTTCTTTCTTTCAATTGATCTTCTGGGCTTTTCACTTCCTACTGTTTACAGAAAACACATTCACGAACGCGTTAAAAACTGGTTCAATCGTACTCTAGACGGCCATCATTAATCGATGCATTTCACTTGACAATACACTGAGCTTCTTCAAACATCTCTTCGTCATATATTGACAACGAATTTGGATTCCATTTATAATTAAAAGCAATAATTGTATGTCGAGGAAGTTACAAACCATTTCAATTAAATATACAACCAACACGAACCATTTCCAAATGTGGTGCGTGTATAAAATGTAATAATTAAAAAAATATATATATATGAACAACGAAAGTGTTTTTAATTTGCGTATTTATTAACTTGTTTGAACACATCCCAGACACCGTTCCGTCGACGAAACAAAAACGAAATGCAACAGCGCATTCCATTGATTTAGTTTCATTCATTGATACATTTACCACCTGTTAACAATTTTCGAAACTCGCATCAGTGAAAGATGTTAATCTTATGATGGAAAAAACCATGCTCACTTTTTCCACCTTATTCGAAAAACATATATACAATGTCTTTCAATTTTCGAATGTCTTCAATATTATTGAATCAATATTATTATCTACCCATTTCTCAAATCGATTTGAACGAAAACTTAGAAAAATCAAATGTATTCATTCTAAAATAAAATCCAGTTGAATTGTGATTTAGGTCAAAATGTCAACATTTATATACAATTTTTCGTTTTCGGTCATCAATGCATAATACTCTCAAATCATTTCGAAAGCGATTTAATTGAAACTGAAATATAGGCCTAATTGAAGAACGACCATCGAACGGACCAAAAAATACTACTATCGAACCGAACATTCTGTTATACATGTGACAGATTTAGAAAATTTCGTATTTACGTCATATGTTTGACGTATGAATATGCAAAAAAATTGAAGGTGATTTTTGTTTTTTTTTCTTCTTCCGGTCAATTTTTCTTTCATGATTGCAATCAATGCACGGAACACTAAACCAGCTCTTTTTGACGGTGCACTCAATTAATCGGACTGTGGAGGCAATTTCACTGCATAAGTAGGCATCATTTTACCATTGAAGTTCGAAGATAATGAAAGTGAAACAGCCGTAAAATTGATTTATTAACGAAAGTACAAAAGTAACACAATCGAGCGATCGTCGCTTTGATGGAATAAAAGTCTTCCGTTAAAAACGACATTTGTGTCTTTTAAACACACTTGATGATCATCTTCAACTAATGTACGATTTTCGAATTGATAAAAAAACGAAATTTTATTTCTCTATAGCCCATCAACAAATTGGTAAAAAAATAATTAAATTGATGGAACATTCTATTGTTAAATCGAAGATTTTCGTTCACACAACACAATTTGGTGGCATTTTGAAAGGAAATCGAAATAAGTTTGGTGAAAAAATAAAAAAATAAATTGTAGCCAAAACAATATGATTTGATTGTGTTTTGGTCATGAGATGCGGTAGTTGATCATAAGAAAGCATTTACAGCGATCGGATATTTTTTCTTGTTGTTTACTTTCTTTATTTCTTACAGCAATCATATGCTGAACAACAATGTGACGCAAAATACAAAATAAAATAATAAAACAACACAAATGTGTACACAAGGGCTCGGAAGATTTTTTTTTCTCATCCATGCAATATAACAACAAGTGAAAATTCATAATAGTGGGCGTATATTTCGCAATACGCACGTTAATAAATACATATGTAAGAAAAGTACACTCTGAAATTAGCTGAAAGCCGTGGAACAAAGTGGACAGAATGAAAGTGAAATACGCCGCGTGACACACCGGCCTTAAATGGGAAGCGCGCACTGGACGCTGGTAGAATATATACATGTATATTCCATTTTGGATTTTAGACACAATGCACTACCTAGGTTGAACATAATTTCAACGCTCGTTATGGCATTGTGTCGTTAAGCTCAACGGTTTTTTTTTGTTCCCAGAGATTTGTATTTCATTGTCCGATTTTATTTTTCTAGCATTAATGTTTGCCGATGAATTGAAGAAAATGGCGCATCAATTATTTGAGTTCAGCATGATTTGGGCGCATGCAATGAATATTCACACGATTTCGTAACAGTATGTACGACACGATAATCAAATTGACTTCTTGATTATAGCTTGGCTCGTCCAGCCAGTTTGTTTATTATCATTATTGTTGTTATTATTATTCATTCGTTTTATTTGTTTCCAACAACATTTCATTAACTGGGGTGAAAGTTTTCAGTATAGCATTTTCTCTCTCGCTGACTGCCATTGCCGTTTGTGAGTTTTGTGTGTTTGTGTCTTGCTCTTCGATCAGTAATTCTTCTCTAATTTATTACATTTGGTTTTTATTGCATTCATTCGTCATTGGATCCGACGTGGAATCTCTTACTCTTTCTTAACTCCGCAACGAATAAACATTATTATTTGGGATGGTCAACGTTTTCATTAGATGATTGAAGCAATTGATGCGTAACATATTACGAAAACATATTTAAAATCGTAATAATATCGTGCAATTTGCAACTTGTTATTTATCATGCTTGAACAAAAATACATTTGCAACTCTTATAATTTCTAATTAAAGACATTTTCGTGAGATGCACTTTTCCACTTAATATTAAAGAAGCACACGAAAGAATTTTGGAAACTTATTTGAATGTCAAGAGCAAAAGTTTTTTTTTGTTTGAAATTTATAATAATGTTAAAGCTAAGAGAAGCTCAAAAATAACAAACCAAGCGAAAAGGCCAAGTGGCGACCTCTAACTGCCTTGAAGATGCTTTTCGACAGACAAAGACTTGGCCTACAACTTTTATATTAAAGTTTCTTTTAAAGTAAAGCTATCAATGTAAAATGAGCATATCGAGACTTTCTACGAACATCACTTTTTTCGATGTAAGTTGGATATACGTCATTCTTGCATCTCACTATATTGGCCAATAGAAGATAAATTATTTAATTGAATAAAATTACAGTTAGCAAACAACACGAAAATAACGGAAATCATAATTCATTTTTGAGACGAATTAAAAAAAAATCAAATTGAAAAATATCGATATTTCGATGACCAATTTCGGCGAAATTTTGTACTACACCCGAAGAGTTAGCAAGCGGGAAATTGAGATTGGACCTTAATTCACCGAATTCAGCCATAATTATGGCCATTATTACGCTCCATGATAAATCTGTGGAGGCAAACTTCATTTTTGAGCCGATTTATATGGAAAATCAATCACTTTTCAAATTGAAAAATATCGATATTTCAATGACCAATCCCGGCGAAATTTTGTACTACACCCGAAGAGTTAGCAAGCGGGAAATTGAAAGTGCTTACTAATCGGATGGGTACAGTTGATGAAAAAAGCGGTACAGATGGTTTCGTGATGGTACACATGAAAAAAAAAAATGATTTTGTTTTTAAATTTGACCAGATTTTCATGGCAAATCTATCCGAAATGGACAGTAATCATCATTTATCATCATAATCTACATACTGGTTAAGTTTCAAGCGATTTGGATGACTATTGAACACTTTTTATTGAAATTTTTCGATTTTACTAACAGAAATCGAAGAATTTACATTGTACAAAGAGTAACTCAAAGTTTGTCAAAAACTTCCATAAATGAATGTATTTCTAGATGTATTTTGATGCTGGAATGATTTTTAAGCAAAAATCATTGATTTTTTTTTTGATATACAGTCGTTTGGACGTTCCATATAGGTCAAACACAGTCGAACACTTGATCATAAATTCTATAGTACAGTTATTTGCATGGTGCTTACTAATCGGATCGGTACAGTTGATGAAAAAAGCAGTACAGATGGTTTCATGATGGTACACATACGGTACAGCAACTAATATTTTATTCAGCGCCAAGACTGGCTGAATCATTATTGAGGTAATATTTGTTTGGTGGATAATACATCGGTGATCGGTGTAAAACTTGAATTCTGAAGAAAATCGAATCCGATCTTAGTTTTGTGACACGACTAATTTTTGATACACTTTTCATACAACAATTCCCAACAGTTTAGATTTTTGTATGATAGCCTGCATGTATAATATCGTAGCTTGCGTACGTAAGCCAACTGTGAGCCATGCTCTTTACATTCAACACGAAAAAATATTTTCATGTGCGGACATTTGAGTAGTTATCCCGATATTTCAATGACCAATTCCGGTGTAATTTTGTACTACACCCGAAGAGTTAGCAAGCATGAAATTGAGATTGGACCTTAATTCGTCGAATTCAGCCGTAATTCAGGCCATTATTACGTTCCATGATAAATCTGTGGAGGCAGACTTCATTTTTGAGCCGATTTTTATGGAAAATCAATCACTTTTCAAATTGAAAAATATCGATATTTCAATGACCAATCCCGGCGAAATTTTGTACTACACCCGAAGAGTTAGCAAGCGGGAAATTGAGATTGGACCTTAATTCACCGAATTCAGCCATAATTCTGGCCATTATTGCAAATGTTTTCGTTGAAGTTGCATAATAAGTCGTTACATCAATAAAATAATTCAAACAATTTGCAAACAATTCTCAATAAAAAAATACTTCGAGAATGTCAATAGGGATTGTGAAAGTTTGAATAAGCATTTCTATATGCATTTATCAAGTCCAACATGGATGCAATATGGTCTGACTTTAACGTCAGAAAGGGATCCATTTTCTGAAAAATGTGTACACTTACCTACACTTTCTCTACACTTAAATAAAACCATAAATTTAGAAAAAAAAATTGTAGCAAAATTATGAGTAAACAGCCAATAATCTACTCCTCTTCTCCTCAGTGCTTCCGGCACCTCATATTACTCTGAGAAACAGTCTACTCAGGGATTTATCAATTTATTTTTTTAATCCTCTTGTACTTCGAACTGCTGAGAATGCAAAACATATGAATACATCCAGTAAAAGTTTGATTTGCACAACTTTTATCTTTATTTGATTTCAACTATTTTTGTTTAACAATTTTTGATCGTATGATGTGTGTATGTTTGTGTGTAAATTCAAAATAAATATCCAAAATTGACAAAAATGAAGTACCCTTTTGTGGTTTTAAAAAATGATGTTGGTTGTTCTTCTTGCAAATGCTCTTAAGTTTAAAAATGAGCCCGATTAGATTGTCTTCAAAATGAATAATTAGCAAAGTGTTGTAGTAGAAAATGATTGAAATCAATTTCGCATCGGCGGGAATGATCTACATTCAGGGTAAATGAAATTCGAACGAATTTTTGAAAACAAACCCAGTAACTGGTCCAGTTTTTCATACATCACATCCAATGAGATTTGTGTTTCCTTTATATATATTTCATAATAATAAAATTTAATCCTAAATAATTTAGTTATTTTGTACTTTTATCTCTGTAAAATATTCATTTTCATCATCGTTATAATTCTAAAACTTACTATTTGTTTTAACTACAGAATATTGCATCAATACATGCGAAATAGTGGCGAAAATTAGTAGTATTGAGCAATCTTTGTTGCCGTGATTGACAGTATAATTTTTTGAAAGCGCAAAATTGTTCAGGATTAATCATTGATTATAATCAGTATAAATTTATACTGATTTAAATGCTTTAAAAGCTATTCAAATTTAAACCAATTCATTCCAAAGGAAAATTTGCGTCACATCGACTAGTTTTGTTAATCGGTTGAATGTCGTTCTTAAATTCACGCTGTTATTTCCATGCCCAACACCCAAACTATAAGATTTTTCTAAAGATTGAATCTACATGCATACATGGTTATAGCATCATTGGCCAAAAAATATGAATAGGCTTTGAACAAACTTGTCCAACTTAAAATTATTGGCTCCATGATTTTTAATGAAATATTTGATGAATTTAAAATATTTTGATTTTGTTGTAATTCTGATAGTGATCCTTGATAGAGGGACACAAAAATAAAAAATAAATATATTCAGTTCAATTATTAGGCTCCTCACAATGGCACTTTAAATTATGATGTGGATGGTTCCTTTTTTTGTCTTATTTTCTGCTCCTTCTATATTCTTCACTGAAAACGTCAAAGCTTTTCGAGTTGCTGCCAAAAAATAATTTGGCGTGATATGAACAATTTGCCCTTAATATGCTATTCAAGTACATATGAAGCACGATGCGCTAGACAAAAAAATTGCATTTCACAATTGGTTTGATCAATTCAATTTGTTTCTACATTTTATATTCACTGATTTCTATACACAGTTAAAATGGATTATTTTGTTTTATGTTGAATGTGGTCGGTGTCAGTTTATCTGACATATCTCCTCATTTAATTTGAAACTGATATTCGGCGTGGCACGCCACTGAGTTACAAGAGTAAAAATATGCATATCATTGGTCAAAAAATACATTTTTTTTCTTCTTCATTCACTTTAAAAAGCGTAAAGTTCTTAATTAAAAGCCATACTAGTGTGTTTGTGTGCATGCTTTTCTTAATATATATTTTAAAATATATATTTGTTTTCTTTCTGGCACAAACATTTTCTCATTTAGGATCCATAATTTTGGCAATAGTCTAGAACTATATTTGATTTACAGTCACCTGTTAAATTCTTTAAAAGTAAACCAGCTCCAGCCAATGTTACAACCGTACCAAAAGCAACAAGGCCAACCGCAGGCAATTTTTCACGACTAAACAATGAGTGTGATTCCATTTGTATATATGCCAGTCCGGGTAAAATATATGCTAATGGTATTGCGGCCAATAGACCCTAAAAAAGAAATAGACGTTGAAATCATAAAACGCTGCTAATAAAGTTAAAGCATTGAATCAGTGAAACAAAAATAATCACAACTATATTGTGTGAGGTTCGAAAATAGTCATGAATTTCAAAAGTTTCATTATCCAAAATTGGAAAACATGGTCAGGGTTTTGTTCGAAAGGCAATTTTTTTAAAAAAAGTGCTCTTACTTAAAAAAAAAATCTTACATTCAATTCCAACACAGGTCCAAGGCAATCCGTCAGTGGTGATATAAAGAATGCTGTCAAAACAATGGCCAATGTTATTTTATTAGATAAATCGTCATTGATGTCGCCCACTGCATGCACTGGATCCGAATCTTTTTCGTATTCAACTGGATCTGTTGCGTTCGATTTATATCGATGAATTTGATTTTTTACAATCTACATTAATAAAATGAATGAACGTTATTCGTACCGCAAAATCATTACATTGATGTATATAAGTGATATTACCTCTCTCGAAACGAAGCATTCAATGGGAAATGTCAATAAAATTGATATCGAAAATAGTACACGAACAAAATTCATCAAATCATCGCCCCAGCAATAATTTTCGAGTAAGTCGCCTAAAATAAACATCGAAACAAATTTAGATCGATTAGTTTAATGTCAATAATAAACTTTATATTGACACGCTCCTCTGGATGCTGCTATCATTTTTAAAGAGCAAAATCAAAACCAAATAAGACAAATTGAGTGTCATAAAATTTGCGCGAACGACATTTTACCTTGTGACAAACCGCGAAAAGTGGCATAACCAGCGATGCCAAATAGTGCGGCTACAACCCATGCAAAGCCAATCGAAATGTGTGTCACCTGTTCCCATTTTTCGAGCGTTGCATCTCGCATCGACTGATACACCAAGAATGTATTGTGATGGGACATAAAAGCTTGGGATAAAACATTAAAATAAACAATGAACATTATATTTATTGACTCTTTCGCAGAGTGAACACATTCAAATAATAAACAATCTTGTTTCGTTTTTATTACAAATGATTTCATTTGTTCGATTGTGAATAGAAAAGAGAAGAAATGAAATAAAATGTTTACATTTCATCAATTTTCATTGTTTTCGACTGTAAGTCTTGCGTACCGAATAAATGCGTATATAAAATTGAAAAATCGTGTACATTTTATGAATCGCATATATACTTAGAATACTAACGTCAGCTAACAAAATTATGTGTATAGAATGCTTACCAAAAGCCATAATGCCTGTTGCCGGGATTACATCCTTGTTAGCAAATTGCCACGAATTATCAACGCTTGGACTAAGTCAACATCACAGAAAACATTGTTTTTCATTACAAATATATATTTGAATTGCACAAACACTATCTAGAAACGCTCTAAATGCACATGTAGCTTAAATAAAACAACAAAGTTGGTATATGTGAACTGAAATTTTAACCGAACTGAAAACAAACATTGTATTTGCGAAATGATAATAAAAACATTTGTTGCGTTGAGGAGCGGAGGGAAAGAGAACAAGGGTGCTGGTGTGTGATGGAGTAAGAGGTCATTGAAAATTGGTTGCAGGCGATGAGCTGCGTTTGTTTAACATAAAATGTTGTGTGTTTGGCGTGAAAAAGCGCTCATTAAGCATAAAAGTGTATGTGTGTGTGCTGTTGGAGTTTGACATGCACAATAATCAGTAGACAATTTTATTCTAGTTTGTGTGCAGATGGAGTGCTTGATTCACACTGGATTTTTACGTATTAAGGATATATTTAGCTCTATCAATGATGCGGTAAATATATGTTTACATATACATATAAATAGCTGGATTTTATACATTGTAATAAAAAAACTGTCTAAGAAAACCACTGGCCTTTTCATACCAAATAACAATTTAAAACGAGAATTCATCGATGGGATGCTGAATTAAGCCGACAGTTGTAGATGACAGTTATCTAAAAGCAATAAATGTCCACAATCAATACAGTCAAAATAAAAGCTTTTCTTTGAAGAAAAAAAATACGAAAATAAAAAAAGGAATGTTCATCGGCAAAGTGTTCAAATTGTTTGAAATGATTTTTGTTGGAAAAAATAACAAAGCTCTCCAATTTGCACATCGTTAAAATTGATTGATAGCGAGAAAGAAGTTTCGAAGCTGGCCAAATGCGCCTCATTTAAAACATTGATCAAGCACCAAGTTGAAGTGTTTACATCAAGACAGAGAGATAGAGTGTGAGTATGTGAAAAAGAAATAAATTTTGTAACAAATTAGTTGAACCAAATGAATTATTGTTTTGAGACAGTTAAATCTCGTAATGTTTTATGTTTGGTCGCGGTTTTGCGCTACAAAATAACAACGAAAATAAAATATGTATGTAATCGTAAAAGAAATAAACCTTTAAAATGTACAAGTGTAATTGTATATGTATCACATGAAAAAACAAAAAATGAATAAAAAAAACTTACACGACATCGTAGTCTCCAGAGATAAATTTTAGAATGACAGCAAATAGAATAATACAAATAAAAGCAAGGGAGATAAAACTTGCTCTTGCCAATCGCGATATATTTTTGTATAGGCAAAGGGGTAATACCAAAAATACGGTCACTGTGAATACAACAAAAAAGCGTACGGTGCCCATTGAAATACTCGACGCCGGTAGAAAGCGCATCAGCACAGCGGTCAATGTGTCTCCGACCACTACATTATAACTTATCATTGCTAGAAACAGAAGAGAGAAAAAAAGAGAGCGAGAGAGAGAGAGATACGATACGAACCTTAAGTCATTTAATTCCCCACATACGGTGGCAAACGAACAAATACAAAACACACACACTCAACAACAACAATAAAAAATACATGTATACGCTACAACAAATTATCAATTCATAAACACAATATTGCACAATAAAGACGTTGCAAAATTACGCACAGCCAAAAAATATACAAATATGAATCGCTATTGCGGTATGGATGTACGCAGCATTTTGTCTTCTTCATTTTTTTATCGTTTATGTTCACTCGCACGGGATCGTCTTGTGCCTGATGAGACGAGAACAACGCGGCCCGAACAAAGGGGTGTTTGTAAGCAACAACCACATACAAAAGAAGAAAAGGAAAAATTGCATAAAGGTTTATATGATGACACTTAGAAGAATTTCAAGTGTAAAAATAAATACACACTTGAAGTGCTGTATTCAACATTTGAAGACGACACAGAAGATGAAGAATATAAAAAACCACCAAGGACCGAACGAAAATGATTACATCACTTCAAACTTTTTCGAATGAAATTGTGTGTAATATTAAGGTGCCACATTTGAATCGTAAATATGTTTACAATTGTACGCAGTGAACATGAACAAAAGTTATGTAGCACTCCGGTAGTTATAATGCTTATTGTGACTTGTCAAGTTTTGTTCAACATCTCTATTTTTTTTAGGTTGATAAGTTTCGGACATGTTTATGCAACAGAATTTCAATACCTCGAAACGATTATAGGAAATTAAATTTCTGAGAAAGTTGATTTGAATGTGTTCGATCACATAGCATGTGTTACTGCCGCATTTGAATTTCATGGCCATGCTATATAAAAAATTATTATCAACTGTCCACAGTTTTATACATGTTGTACTATGTACAGTGTGATATATAATCACGTTGCATGTGCGTCTTTTTCAAACTCTCACAAACACCCACCCAACCACTCAAATCGTGATCAATATTGGATATAGCGACCTGGTTTTGAATTTTATATATATAAATATATATTATGTATATCTTTCAAATGGATGACGAAGAAAAATGAGGATATCTGACGAAAATGCATGTGCATTGGAATTTACACCATTACAACAATCACAAATGAAAATCAACAAAAAAATATATTGAAGCGCACATTTCACAGCGGAACATGAACGAAAAGAAAAACCAATAATAAAGCGTTTGCCACTTGACATCACTTGCAATCTGACACAAGTGAGGACCTCACACATTTTATCGAGAGGTTTATTGGACTGAGAAAGAGCGTGGATCATCATCATGCATGGGCACAGAGGAGGTGTAAGTCCAGATAAGCTCTCTAAATCGTCCGAGGTACCCCACTTCCCTAAATTTTGATCGTGCCCATGTATGATTAGCATTTTAATTGTGCAAATAATTTGTAATTTCAACATTCTACCACAGATGCACACAATGTAATTGTCGTTAAACGAATTATAATGATAACAAAGTTCTTACCTAAAAATGGATAGCAAAACTGCAGCAAACTTAATACATAGTATCCCCATTTACCATATGCTATGATTCGTTCAAAAGCCGGCACATTAATCACGATAATATGATTTTAATATGGATTATAATTTACCTGCTTCCATAATGCCAGGGTACGAAAAACGGCCTGAAATGTGTCCACATCGTACCTTTGAACACAAAATACATGTTACATTTCGCACTCTTCATTAAAACCAAATTTGATAATTATGATTCGAGTTTTTGAGGTCTTTTTACATGTATTCCGAAACAAAAATCAATGTAAAACCCAGCAGTGTTTGATGACGAGAAAAAAGAAATATGTTTTTTTTTATTCTTGAAATGAAATTACCATTAGTATAAGTGAGTAATCTGTGATTGCAGCAACAATCACCAATAATAAAAGTCCCAAGCCAAATCCTGCACTGAAATGTATCACATTTATTGTCAATCTCGTTCAAGTATCAGATTTATTTTCAATGCGAGTCTTGTATCTGTATTTAAAGGATGATTTGGAGATATCATAATTATTCTTACCGATGAAACGCATATGGGATGCCTAAATTCATTTTTAAAAGAGAGTATATTGCATGAGAGGTTGGATGAACTAAATTTAAAAGCAATTTTGTCACGTATTAAGTAGTACCAATGATTCCAGATCCAACTATTGAATTGATGTAGTTGAATAGAGCCTGCGGCAATGATGATAAGCTGTCCGTTTTTTCAGTCGTCCCTTCCTGTCGTCGAAATAATAAAGGAACACCCCCCAAAAAAAAAAAACAAATGCGCAAATCAAAACAATGTAACATGAAAAAGAGAGTATATAGTGATAGTAAAAGTTCAACAAAATCTCATGTTTATGACTTGTACGGGAATGAACGATTTAACTTTCTTCGCTCGAAACTTTATTTTAACTTCACGTTCTCATTCGCACGCACGCACCAAGGACGAACGATGGTTGGTATGCACTTGCACTTCCATACAATATGTACAAAAGTTTTGACATGAAATCGAAAAGAAACTGAAAGTGAAGTGTTTTAATCGAAAAAATGTGGCAAACGATTCACGAAAAAAAGAAACAACCAAAAACATCCACTTGCATCTGTCGCATATTGTAATCTCAAAATGTTACATTCATGCAGTTTTTTCGTAAACAAAAAAAAACAGTCAGTTTGTTGTTTGATTGTTGAGACATTCATCTTTCTTTTTCTTGTTTGTACGTAGCCACAGAAACTGCTTCTGTAACTTGAACTCAAGCAAACTCAATTTATCATTATCTACGACGTTTGAGCTCGCTTACAATGGAAATGTGCAAGGCACAAATTCAGTGGAGTAAAAAAAAAGACAAGAGAAGGTGAAAGGGAAGGACAGAGAATGAGATAGAAATGAAGAGGTTTCCATGTATCAATTTATTTACATGATTCCGACGAGCTCATCTCTATAATCAAATTTTGCAAACCGGCAAGAAGTCAAGCTCTTTTCAGTATGTCTAAATACTTAATTTTTAATGTGAATCAAGACGAGTGATATTTAGAGAAAGAGCGAGAGAGAGAGAGGGCAAGAACGGAAAAAACGAGATTCGTAATCTATGTCAAATGTAATTTGCTTACCTCTTGTTGAAGAATATAACTGATTTCTGTGACGGTATTTTTTCTTTCTCGTTCCATGCTTAGAGTGTTGATTTGCGTTTTTACTTTGGTATCCTTCTTTTGCTACTTTTGGTTTTCAAGAGATCTGTAAAATAGATTCGCATTATTCACTTAGAAATAAGAAGAACCACTTCACGCCACAAAGCATCAGATGTCTTAATTTTCGAATGACTAAACCGAATCGAAACATATTTTTTTTTCTTTTGCTTGCAAACCATGATAATAACATTAACATGTACAATTTGTTTAAATGTGACAGTTGTGTCATGAATTGCACATTGAATATTTACCGAAATGAAATTGCCCTGAAATCTCTCCTCGTATCTTCAATATTATTTACTTTTTTATTTCTTTATTTGGTGTATGTCTAGTATTGATGATAAAATAACACATTCATTTACATACGAAACGAAAATTCGACCGAATATTGTTCCATTTTTTATCACAAACACACGGTATGAATATATAACTATTAATTAGTTTTTAAGAACACTGCTAATGACACTGCTGCACTGTATTTGAAAAATAAATTAAAATAAGGAAATCTATGCTGGCACACGTTTTTCTATTGCATTGAAAAGTCCTCAAATTGGAACATACACACACACGCACACACCGTATTGGAAATAAATGCCAAGAACAGTGTCAAACAATCAAAAGTGAACGCGTCTCTCAAGTATTAACACTGTCATATGGTTTTCGGTGAATGAAAAAGAAAAATAATAATAATATAACACTGAAGATGAATGCTGTGTGTATGCTATCGTATTCGAGGCTTTTGCTCAACTGCTGTGGTGTTCATTGCCAATTGTTGAATAAACTCTCTTTGCTCATTTTCTATATCAAACACATGGACCTCATCATCAAACCAACGAAAAACGGAAAACTCTCTTTCCACATTCACATTACACAGGCAAACGTGTAGACTTATATAGATATAGATGTATGTCTTTATATATTTGGTTATATATGTGTGTATAAAATATTTATTTGATTGTTGAAGATATGCGTAACACACAATGCACAAGATGAAGAAGTGCCTCGGTTGAAGAAAGTGCGAAAACGGTTACGATGACGGTAACACACACATTATCCGCATTCAATGGGATTTCCATTTTGAATACATGACAACGATTTCCCATTGATATGAATGAAGTGGTCGGGATGCGAAAGGATTACATTACAATGTCTTTTTCACTCTCTCTTCTCATGATAACAACAACAGCAACAACAACATAACCAATAATAATAATACCAATGATTGTTCAGGATACAAGTACAATCTCATCGATTTTGATGCTGATAAAAACAATAACGATACAATTTCACCGTTACACACCGATGAAATAAGACAAGGTCTACAAAATAATATGTTTTTTCATAGCACCTTCACAATTGTATATGCATACCAACCACAGTGTTTCATTCGCGTTTAATATCACATTTATTCTATGTTCTTCGTTCGGCATTTAAATATGATATAAAAAACTCTGTCATAATTTTTTTTTTGTCAATATGAAAAGAAAAGAATCCCGTCTCAATTATGCAAAATTTTACTGTGTTACATACGGTTGCAAAATCATTTCGAGCGATTATATTGTTGTGTATACCAAATAGTCAAAGCACCATTCTCGTACGCTAAAACTTTTCTACCATTCAGTGGTGTTATGTGGTGATGGTGTGGTTGTGGAAAATGCAAAATAGACGGCACAAGGTCAACGTTGCTTTGGTGCTTTCATATTAAATGTTCATGTTAAACATTAACACAAATACGTGTGCATTGCCATTGGTGTACATATTGTGTATATACAAATTATCGGTAGACATGGGCATAGTGTGAATGCAAGAGTAAGTGTTAGAAAGAGAAAAGAACCAGCGACAATAGATCCATTCTTAGTTTACAGCTCCACAAATGTAATTGATTCAACACAAAAACCCATTCAAACGAATGATTCGACTCTATATTTTGATGCATTTTGCTTGCTATATTTGTGGATATGTAGATTTTGCGTCAGCATCACACGTTATAAAAAAAATTATGAAAACGATTAAAATTGAAGAGATAACTTGATTCATCGTCGTTTTGGTGTGCACTTTTTTGTTCTCACATCGAATCAAATGTACCTAACGTAAAACGTTTTATGTATTGTTCTCGTTTCCTTCAATGGAATTTGTCATGCGCACCACTGTCACTTTCGTTCAAGTATTTTCTCCATCCACGAGTCCGTGCTTTGCTTTACGGAATTCCACTTCGAATAATAATTTAAATACGTGTGTGTTCCAATTTTGATATATTTATGGGCAAACATAAGATTTTGTAGGCTGATCAGCACATAGTATACCATATTTTTAACGGGATCAGGAGCAGAAAAATGGTAAAGCGTTTAACATAACTCATTCATATTTGATGCTTATGAACGGAACAATAAATCAGATCTGATCATATGAAAACATGTTGACCGTTAATTCAAGGCATACATGGGACATACAAGAGAAAATTTCTTAATAATACCTACAATGTTCTTTCTATTGACGGATTTTCAACGTGTTTCGATAAGTAAACAGCAGTATAAGAATATTATACTTTAACAAACAATGAATAACAACCTACTTATGATACGAATATAAAGGATGTTGATGTGTGGCAGAAGGTAATATCCATACTATTCTCAAGGTGAGATTTGTGCATCATAATCTTATCATTTTGTCATGAAATTTTCGTCAAGTGCTCGATATAATGATTGCGTCGGAATAAAATGCTTATTAAATTGTTTCGATTAAAATGTAGTTGAAAACCATTCTTGTTATCTGTCTTGACGAGACATGAAAAAGTACTTAATCTGCTAATTTAAATTAATTTAATCTGACAACGGTATGTAATGAACAATACATATTTGCAATCTGCAATTTTTTATATGTATAAATATTTCAAATATTTACACTTTAGTCGAAGGCTTACTTTTGGCTTACTGATTATTATGAAATAAACAAATATTCGAATTCATATATCCAATATACTCAAATTAATCAAAGATTCGATATAAACAAAATTCGACGAAATTCCGAGGTTTCCTCTCTAACCACAATTTTGAAATAACATAAAACATAGGATGGAACACGTGTCTTGTGTCAATATTTTTAAATTGCAAACATAAAAACTGAATTAAAGCAGAAGGGATGGAAATTTATTGGAGAACAGAAGATTCCGTTGAATGAAAAATTACATTTTTGACATGAGAAAATTGCTAAGGTAAGTACTTCGGAGTGTTGTTTGATGTTGTAATTTTGATTTTTGTCCATAATGACATAACGACAATGAAGGCATTTTTCGAAATATGCAATACCTGAAATGGATTTTAATTACAATTATACAAATTATATGAAGGTAACATTCAATCTATTTTATACTAACTTTTTAAAGTTTTTTGTCGGCCTTTTGGTTTATTTTAATGAAATGTGTGCTAGGCTATATTTTAAATTTCATGCTGTGCGTTGTAATTAGTACGATATCTAAATCACATTGTCAATAACTACGAAATACTAGAGATGAAATAACAAAATGATTTGAATTAAATTATGATAGTTAATAAACTAATACTGAACATTTATTAAAACCAAATACTTTTCAGATATTTAAAGCAGACTTTCGTAAATAATTAAAACTTTGCAATGATATTTACCTCATTGTATGGATAGTTTAGACTACGACACATGGAGCAAATTCTTTTTTGCCCATTCTTATTATTTGTTCTGGAGTATTCATGGCCGCATGGATGGCATTTATAATTGGCTACCCATTTCTCGAGATTACCACGATTTCCCATGAATTTGACTACCCTTGATGGTGGTGAGCTCATCTTATTAAACTATCTCTTTTTGAAATAAAATCCGACTAAAACGTTATTGAATAAATTCAAATTTATATCACTTTGTATCGAGAAAAGACACAAAACAGTGCTGAGGTTAATTAATTAATCGGCGACACACATGCGCATGGTTTTTTGATCAGGGGGGGGTCAAATTGACTTTGGTCTCGAGGGGGGAGGGGGTATTTATATGGAAAACTAAAATAAAAAATGTGCATGAGAGAAACATGTATAACTGTGTGTTGGCGAGCGAAGCGAGCCGAACTTTTGCAAGTTTGACTTCAAAATCAGTGTATTCTTGCTATTGTTTATACATTTATATTGCAAATCTGAGAAAAAAATTCTCAGAGGGGGGTCAAACCGGTAAATCTCCTAAAAATTTACCCGGGGGTAAATTTTTCAAAATTTGCCTCAGTTGGGGGTCAAACCGGAAACACCCCCCCCAGCGCGCATGTGTGATCGGCGATAAATGCGATTGGGCTCATTTGTGTTTTCATCATTATAAAAACAATTGCTCGAAATTGTTTATGTTTATACTTGAATTTTAATATTCTGTTAAAGTGCGATAGCATTTTCAATATATTCTTGCAATCATAATAGCAAATAACACACTGTTTATGTTAATATTTCTTTTTTTGTTGAAAATTGCATATTGAACCTTATTCGTTATTCATTCTGAAGTGGCAGAGAGTACCATTTTATTATAGTAATTGCAAGTCATATAGAGGAATAAAATGTTGCATCAAGAATACCTGGATGATCACTAGTCAAGGAAACTTATAAAATTTCTTCACATATTGATGTAATAATGAGTTTTGATTACAAACACAATGTAGACATGGTAGATTTTCAGAAATTGATGACTTAACTTTATTCAAACTGTCTCTAAATGTTAATAACAATGTTTTCATACTCAGGTCTCTTTGGTCCCTCCTATTAGCGAATGCCGAATAATATTTGTCGCATTTCTCGCATCTATAAGCTAGCACTATCCATTTCTCGCGATCACCGCGCTTCTTAGTTGCTGATGGATTCATCTCTTTTTTTCTTCGAAGTTTACTCCGACTAATTTCTTGCTGAATAATACTTCATATTTATATCATTTTGTGTTCAAAAGAGAAACGAAAAAGTGCTGCGATTGCAATGAAACTAATCGAAGATAAATTGAATTTATTTGTTGATCATTATGAAAACAATTCAACGAAATTCATCTTGTTTATTTTAACCTTTTGCATTTGAATGCGTTTTTATTTTATTAAAACGCAAAACAAAATTCAATATATTGCAAATATAATAGCGAATGACACACTGTTTATATTACTCTTTCTTTTTTGCTGAAAAAAGCATATTGAAACCTTATTGCAATAGCATGCTATGTTCATGTTATTTCAGGGGGTACAATTAAACAAATACAATTATAGCAACTACAAGCCGTAGAGAAGTTTTTTTTGTTATTTTCTTGAAGAATCCAGTTTAATCCCAAAATTTCAGTTTCCATGCGGAAAAGCCTATTTATTTTAGTACTAGTTGGAGTGTTGGGGTACCATTCCTCCTCTACAGAGAAACAATGACTGTAAAAAATAATTCTATATACGGATCGACTATTATTCAGGTTCTCCATCGGCAATACATTTAAAATGCAAATCTTTCTTTCAATAAATTATTTAGAGAAGTCCAGTTTTTAATGTTTACGCCACGTTTACGGTTGTATCCTTTTTACATTTTCAGAGATATAAAACACCGTTGAAATTGTTTAATACATACTTTTAATTCAATATAATTATTTGATAAAATTACACAAGTGTGCTACTTAAACACTATAAAAAAGCTCGCTTAAAAATGTATAACATCGATTTTATATAATAAAAATTAAATTAATCATTCAATTTGTATATATATTTGTGTGTGTGTGTGTGTGTTTTGTTCAAATCTGTTTTTCTGTTTGGAAGTATATGGGCAAAGAATACATTAAAATCCGAGACATATTTTGATTTAATAAAAGAAATGCTCACTTCAACAGATTTATTTTTTATTTATTTTTTTTTTCATTATTGCGATAACGCAATTTTAATTGGCCACTGAGCTCACACACACAGTCGCAATTTTGACGCAATACACAGAATTTCGAGATCAATGCAAACTATGATTTATTTATGCGGTTTTCTCTCGATTCTCTGTCTCACATCCACTTATCGATTGGTGCTTGCCAATGAAAAGGTTAATTGGAGCCGAACACAAAAACAAAAATAAATGTACATTAGCATCGCTTCTGATTAGAATAATTAAAAGCAAAAATTGTTTGGTCAATTTGAAACGATACTGTTTATGGTTTTTCAATGAATAGGAATGCGTTTTGCCGATGATGAAAATTATGTATTAAAAGAATTGAATTTAAAAATGTACATTTATCAAACGACTAAACGTAAATAAAGATTTTTCCTTTTTCTTCGTATGCAGTAGCTATCAAATTTTGAACATTTTGCGATAATGTTCAAATGAGATTGCTTCAAATCATATAGTCATAATCAATATTTAAAAAAAAGATTGTGGAATATATAGGAAAAGTAGGTATTTGAATTCTTATCACATATTCACTCTAGAGTCTTGCGGGAAAAATTCACTTAAACTTAGAACCATTCTTCTTGTTTTCTTAACTATGTCATGCATTCTTTTTAGTTCAAATAATAAACTTTGCCCAAACAAAATGGAGATACAAAAGAGACAAAAATTTATTGAAAACAAAAAAAAAAAAACTGGTTCCCAACTGAAACAAAACGCAAACATTTGTGGGAGACCAAACTTAAGTTTCATTCCGAATCTATCCCGAATCGCTCATAAATGATTCTCTTTATTGGCTTAAACAAATAGTAAGACAATTTTAACTTTAGCATGGTAAAAACTGTATACTCTTATTAGGGCCTTATGCAATCGTAAGTGAGTTTTCATTTGCCTTTTTTAAAATGATCATTTCATTCTAAAATACATTTTATGTATAAATACAGTGACGTGCAAAATTTTGAGACCACCTATGTATTTTTCATACAAAATAGCGTAAAATACCATTTTTTGAGGTTTCAAAAATAATACTTTTTACTCTCAGAAATCAATGATTTTCGGCAAATTGTTTCAATATCTTATGAAGAACAAAATAGTAAATATTTATAAAAAAATATTCACTGGTTTTGAAATGGCAAGTCTTTGAATTCAATCACAGATAAAAATGACAAATTTTATATGAAAATGAATTGTTTTTAGCTATCATTGGAGTCAAAGACTTGCCATTTCAAAACCAGTGAAAATTTTTCTTAATAAGATATTGAAACAATGTGCCGAAAATCATTGATTTCTGAGAATAAAAAGTATTATTTTTGAAACCTCAAAAAATGGTATTTTACGCCATTTTGTATGAAAAATACATAGGTGGTCTCAAACTTTTGCACGGCACTGTATATTGACTGAAAAATATGGATATATATATTTCCTTCAATATAATTGTCATTTCGTTTATTTTAAAATGAGCTTGAAAAAACTTACAAAACTATTCTATAATCAGATTATGGAAAATATGAACGTTTTTGAGAACCAATTAAAAATTAAAAATATATGTCTTATTTCACATTCAAACGAGAACAAATTTTTTTTTGTCAAATTCAATATCGAAATAATGATTTACTAATGTGTGATCTCTGTTTAAATGATAACTAACACTAGTTTTTTTTAATAAACATACACACTCACACTCTTACACTCACTTTCATTGCTTTTATTTATTGCATGACCTATTTTATTTATTAGATCAAATGGTAAAGTGTTCACATGATTTTCAAGATATTTATTTTTTTCACCATATTCACTAAAACACCAATAAAAATTTACCATAGCAAAAATGAATGTTGCCGCAAGATGTGCGTAGCGCAACATCAAATTGCTCTATTCTCTTTCTGTATTTCGAAAAAAAAAAATATATCATCGTTGAATCAATTCGAAAAAATTGTGGTAAATGTTTAATGGCGATTTATTTTCGGTATTTCGCAGCAAGTTTGGCCAAAGTGGTTGCTTTCTTGGTCACATGCCATTTATTGCTTGTGTTGCTATTGTAGCACTTGGCCGGTGCTCATTGATCGAAATCCAGTCGATTGATTTTTTAAACCGACCGTAGCATGGCCACCATAGCTTTTGTCGCACATCATTCGACTGAAGCACATTCATGCAAATTTAGATTGCTTGAACACTACACGTGTAATAATGTACAATGTGTATACATATGGTAAAATTCGGGCGAAAAAAAATTGACAACTGTAATGAAATGGAAATTTTGTCAGAATATTCGATTTCGCAGAAAGAAAAAAATGAATCATGAGGTACAATTAAAAAAAACCACCAGGAGGTAAGAATTTAGCTGAGCACATGAATGAAGATGAAGAAGATATCTTACCTTCTACTCTCTTCTACAGAAATTTCCATTTCTGTTCTCTCCTAGACATTTCCAGGAGGTAAGACTTTGTAAGCCAATTCCACACTTACTTCACAATTATAATGCAAATTTTGGGATGGGGTAACAGTGTCATAAGACGAAAATCAATTGCATTGAATACCGTTTTGTGTATAAAATTCGTAATCTAGCTTATTTGATAAACATGAAATAAATCGAATACGACATCAATCGAAAGTAAAACCGTTCATTTCAGTCGGTATTGGTTTATGTGTGTGCGTGCGCATTGGGAATAAGTATCAGTGAAATGTTCGATTATGATTCAAACGCATCCACACCAAACCCATAGAAAGAAGAAAGACACTTTTTGGCCCTTGACAGTTGTGACAATGAACGCATTTGAATTTGTATTTAAAAAGAAAGCCTCAAGGGGATCATTTTTTCTGTTCTGTACGGTGATTACGTTCATTGAATTTCGCAAAGAATCGGATGTACGATTACCATTTACGTGGCAACACACTAAATGAACATGCTACTGTATGTGGTATAAGATCGATTTATAAATAAGAATATCTAATTAAATGAATTAAAACAAGTTTGATTTCTATATAAATAATCACCTAAACTCGCATTCAATTGAAACATTTCGAAAATTCTGCGCTTTAAATTTTACAATGGACTTTTGGCCTGATATTCAAAACGGTAACACTACAATTACTTGTTTAATGTCACAATGTGTTTCATTCTTCTCAGAGAGTATATGATTTCCCTCGTATTGTGACTTAAATATATATTATCTATTTCCCTCAGTGTCGATCATATACAAAGATGTTTCCTTTTTTTCCGGTGTGGTTCGCTTTTTCTCTATTAAGCATAATTGGACGAATAAGAAAAAAAATGGTATCTCAATCATCAAGCGAACCTGGCGCTCTGTGGCTGTGTTTTGTTCTTGTGTTATTTCACTTTAAGTTTAAGAAGTCCTCCATAAGTACGAATTAAATCTATGACATTAATATGTAATGTGAAATTAGTAAATTATGAACTTTTGTTTGTTAGGTGTATGTTGTTCCAGTTCCTAGTAGTACGTAATTACATTTTCCGATTTCACTTCGCATTGATGAATGTGTGTGTGTGTATTGGGTTGAATTTTTTTGTGTGGCCAAAATCGATAAAAATGAATGGTTATAGAAACTGCAAACTTATGTGTGTTTATGTCTACCGTTCAGCAATATATGAAAGAAAGTTTGATTTTTCGTTTATGTATTTACATTTTTTTTTTTGTATATGGCAAATCATTTTTTTTTTATTATTTTTCTTTTCATTCATCTTCATGTGGCTTGTCTTTTATTTAATTTCTGCTGTCATATTCCTTGTTCAGATGGTTTAAATTCGTCCGCTGGAAAATGAAAACAAATAATATTTATTGAATTTTTTTTTTAAATTGAAATTGGAAGCGAAAATCAAAATATTTATACAAATTCAAAATGAAATAAATCGTGATAGATGTGCAGAGTGTACTGTGCGCGTATCGTACACAGCGTGTAGATCAAAAAGCATTCAGAATTAAAAGAAACTAATTTCGAAGAAAGTAATCTGTAGATTTTACTGGAATTTCAATATACCAGAGTACAGTCAGAATAAGAATATGGTTTTTTAAAATATCAGTATGATGGAAGTTTAGAAAGAGGCCGAAAATTAACTGTTTTTTTAGAAAATAAAATAGTATTTGTTATACAGAATCTCTGTAAATGATATAGTACAATTCGCATGATTTCAATATATATTTATACAGTGAGTAGTTCAGGGCGTAAAATAAGCGGTGTTTGAGAGTAATATGAGTCATGATTTCGGTAGTTAGAAGTTCTAGTTATCGGTAGTCAAGAAATTCAGTAATTTCAATAATCAAGTGAAATCCTTATTTTACGCTCTTTTTATGCAGTATTTAATGACAAGTGATGTTCGAATATATACACATCTTTTTTAACATTTATATTGAAATAAAGTGTTTTTCTTTTAATCGAATAGATTACGATAATTGCCTGAGCGATGATAGGACGACACGAACGAATCAAAAACTTATTTAAGAAATGGACGATTGCAGCTTGTTAACAATGTTATTACTGTTGTACAATCAAAGTGACCTGAAATTCCGTACAATTTTTTGTATGTAGTGTTGTTGTTGTAATTTAAGGTCATTTTAATGGGTGAGAATCCATTCACTTATTCACTTATTTAAATTAAACACAAATCTTATACAACGCCAAAAATCTATGAAAATCAGTCTCTTCTAAAGTTTTTAAAATTGAGCTATGAATCCAAAAGACCTCCGCTGAACAATGAATTTGACAGAATATTCGGATAAGATCAGAGACTGTTTCACAGGGGAAGGAGTGCTCTGAGGAGCAAAATATTAAAAATTTGCTCCCCCAAGTCAGAGCCTCCTCCTCACATCTCTGGCTAAGATACTGTGGCCATTTGTTACATTCCATTGCTTTCAGTGCGTAAGGTGTAAACATGAGTGTCGAAATCGTGTTTTTCACATTTCTATCAATAAATTTCACTATCTTTTAGTGTACCAAATAGTCTATTGTGAAATATATTAGCCAAAGTTATTTTAAGCATCTGATTCTTAAGGAGGTGCGGTAACTTTTTTATTTGCTGCTGTTTCTTGTATACAAGTTGTATTCAATTATCTGCCAAAAATGGTGCCAATAGCAGTTCTGATCTTAGCTGAATGTTCTTTCAAATTTATTCTCTGGTATGATTATCTGATTTGTGGTTGAAAAATATAGTTTGTTCGATATACAGTCAAAGGGTAAGGCAATCAAAATACACTGCTTCATGAATTCGCTAGTAAAGATGAGATCGAGATGCCCGAATTCAAAAGCGAAAACAAAAAAGGTACCACTCTCTCTTGTGAATCGAATTCTAAAAACAATGAAAATGGGAAAGAAGTGATATAATCGGAGATGACTATCCTGGACTAATTTGATGGTCGCATTCAAGCTTTGTTAGCCAGAAAATATTCATCGGAGTTCAGTTCTGAAGAAAACAAAAAGTGAATATTTCAAGAAGGAAAATAGTTGATCGATGCATTCAAATCAGCTTATATCTAATAAGTCGTGTAATTGGTAGGAGAAACAACATCACAAAGAAATGATATGTGTGTATGTGTAATGTTAATGGTTCTCATTTATCAGGTCAGCTGATGAGATGTATTTTGATGGTCATATATATAGAACGACAGAGATCAAGAAATTATGAAACGGAGATGTGAGAGAGTCAGATAGAAATATAGTAAAAAAATAGGTAAGTAGTACAAAAAGAGAAGATGAGCGCACGTTTGAGCAGAAAAAGGAGGCATTAGAGAGGAGACGAAGCTCTTTAAATGATACTCAAATCTTACCCGCAATCAACATTTCATCAATACCAATCACTGCTCTAACGAATTTTTTGCACTTTATTTAAATGTTCGTTTTGATTTCTCTTTTATATTCTTCCTTTGTTTGCTTTTTTCGGTCAAAATGTTTGCCAATACAAGCTTGTATTGGCACAAGACCAGTTGTGGTATATTTTCAACATGAAAATCGATTCAAATCATAAAATATCGAATATGAAGTAAATGACTGGATTCCAATTGTTCCTCTCGCAAGAATATAAAAAAAAGATTTGTGTAATATGTTTGTGTATCGTATACTGGCTATTGCGATTTCTCAATTATTGTGGGTACGTCTTCGATAAAACTGCATAGTGTTGTTGTTGTTGTGTGTTTTGTTTTTCTCTTGTTTTCTAAATAATTTGTCATTGAATTTTGTGTCAAACATCCTATTTTATAAGCGCATAAATGTATCTATGAAATCAGAGATTGTCTATCGTTTTTGTTGCTGGAATGTTTCATTGTATGGTGCCGCATTGCTATTTGCACTGAGTAGATTAAATGAGAACGGTGTTGCAACAGTTGTTGTTGTTTTAAAATATTGTGCAAAATTGCCGAAATCATATGGATTTTTGGTGGTCGATGCGACCCGTTTCAAATAAATATCAAATACTGGATTCCACGATGACGATGGTAATGATTCCGGTGCATTTGTTTGGCTTACGGCAAATGTTGGTACACTTGTTGTGCTTTGTGTCGTTGACGTTGTATATGGGAAAAATGGTGGTGGTTGCGATGATGTTGGGTGCGTCGTAAAATGTGACAAAATTTGTGGATGTGCCGTAGAAGATGTTGTTTGCAAATGATTGAATTCAAATTCTTTGTAGTCATATGGATTTTTATAGGTGCTTGATGGGAATTCATAAAATGGTTTGAATGTGGTGGTGGATGGTTTATTAAAATTAAATCCAAAATAATATGGATTTATGGTTGGACGTGCTGATGTTGAAGGTATTATTGTTTCAACAGATGGAATCGTTGTTGTACTAGTCATTTTTTGTTTATCGGTGAAGAAATCAAAAGCATATGGATTTTTTGGGAATTTTTGTACGATTGGTGGTTTGACAGTGGTAGTTGTGGTGGTGGTAGTGGTAGTGGTAGTGGTGGTGGTGCTAAAGAAATTTTTAAAATGCTTAAAAGGATCTTCAGTACTTGGAATGGAAAACGGTTCTTGTTGATTTGTGTTAAAATTGTAGTAGGAGCTGGGGTCGATTGGAGGAGCTAGGGTTGTCGTTGTGGTAGTGGTAGTGAACATTGGATCCTTGAACGGGCTATATGACTCAGTACTGTATTAAAAATAACGATAATAGGGATAATTTGAATAATATTTGTTTCTCCAATTGCTATAGCATAATTCAAATAAAAAAAAAGATAAACAAAAGAAAGTTTGAGAGACGAATGAGAACGAACTACAGAAATCTAATAGAGGAAATAAATTTTCATATCAAATGCAGTTTCTATTCCGCACGAACGAAAAACATAAACAAAGAGTTAGATGTCTCGAGGTGTCACCAATTTCATTCAATCAGACTTCATTTCTTTAAACTCATTTTATAAACATCTTTGATGTGATCATAGAATGGCATCGATTCGATTGTATCAAACACAAAAAAATGCGACTGAAACAACTGAAGCCATAAAGTTTTTTTTTATTTTCTACATTAACTTACTTGAGACTTTGTTGTTGATACACATTTGGACTAGCATAGCTTGGCGTATGCTGCGAATAGTCCGGAATAATATTTTCATGTTCAGCTACACATCGACCGTCTAAGCAATGCTACAAATTTCAAATAATACAAACGTTCACGTTTTTTTGTTAAAAATGGTGTAAATTTGTCTTACCGATCCGTCACCACAAGGGGAACCTTCTGCTGCAGGCCGGTATGCAACACAATAGCCGCTGGCTGCATCAAAGCAAAACAATTGCGCACACACACGTTCATCCTTAAAGCAAGCTGATGTACCACGATCACGACGACATTGGGCATCTAATGACAGTAATGTGCCTGTATGTGTGTATGTGTCAAATGTTTATTTTTTATTTTTAATATCAATTTATTAAAAAATAAATGTAGCAATGTTATTGAAAAGCGAAACAAGTAAGCGGACCTGGCAGTGCTCGACCAAGTGCATCATCCTCGTGGGGCGCATTATGCAAACAACTAGCTGTGTCACCACTGTTTTGAGAGATAAAAAAAAAACAAAAATAAAAACGCCGCACTCGAAAATGTGTTATATCAAAAACCCTGAGCATACTTTAAGAAATGGTGGAAACTTTGAATTGTGCATGGTGACCAACGGAAACCTCTTTCAGTGTGCCGCAAATCTGACATAATAAAACCATCTTCCCAGCGGCACTTTTCAGCTCCGGGTCCTCCTAAATAGCTTGGTGGTGGTGATCCGTCGTGAACAGCACCGAGCCTAAATCATAATATGTTGTTTCAATTGAATATTCGATTGAATGGCGGAGAAAATGTGAAACACTTGAATGCTCCTTCGAATGACATCAACTTACAAATGGCCGACTTCATGTGCAGCTACAATGATACCACTGAATCCGCCAGTGTCTTCAATGATTGCAACACTATTCACCTTTTCAAGTCGTTTGTTTACAACACATGCTCCACCAACGTAGGCAAATCCTATTTTTGCATTGCAATTCAGAATGGGAAAATGAAATAATAAACTCTTTGGTTTTGTTCTTTTAAACACAAAAAATAATAAAGATACACCAGTAAAAGACAGTAATTTGTCTAGAAGGAAGAAAATATGTATAGAAAGTATTCAGGAGTTTGAAAAGAAACATATAAAAAGGAAAATCGGGCTTTGGTAAATATGGAAAATTGAAACATTTAACAAAAATAGATTGCTTTATACACGTTTATATGTATTTTACAGTTGTTGTTTTTTTTTTTTTGAAAATTTCTTCGTTCTATTCAAATAATTTTTTCTTTCATTGTCACCAAAAAATTACTTAAATTGTATGAATTTCCGAAATTCCATTTGCTTGTGTTAGTCCAAAATTGTTAATAAAGCTTACCCAGCCACCGTTGTTACAGCAAAACAATTTACCAAATACAAATGAGATAAATAAAAAGGTGCTCAAGTCAAATAATTGCTGCTATGTATTCGTTTCTCTTTAGTTCTTTTAGAAGGTGATCAAGGATCTTGCAAACTTACCAACTTTTCCGTATGTTAAAAATCACAATTCAGAAAGATTTTAGCTTTTAAAACTGTTTTCTTTCATCTTTCTGAAATGCGCAAAACAATGAGACGAAGTGAAGAAATGTGAAGTGAATTGTTTTTTTTATTTTTGAAAAAAAGGTTATTTATAAGAGATCAAAAGAGAAATTTATTCACATTAGAAAAAAAAATAACTAAAAAACAAAACCCTATGCGCAAAACAGTTTTCAGAATAGGGAGGTGAATGAGACTGTAATATTACAAACAGAGAGGAATTGGTACCCAAACGAGATGAGTCCAGCATAATATAGATATTGACAAATAGATTTAATTTGTTTTATGAATTCCACGATTTAATTTTGTTGATGCGCAGAGCTGTAAATTTCATCGTATCAATCGTGCCAGTCAAATCAAACACTTTTAAATAAGAAGTTAATGACTGATCGAAGTTTTATTTATGTCCTATCATTTGGCCCGAAAAATATCCACAGTAAGAACTGGCGAGTAATCGGTTTGCTTTGGTAGTGTTAATGACAACTGGATGCTAATACGGCAAAATTTACAACTCTGCCAGTCTATTTACAAAGAAATACGGTACTTTTTCTATATGAAAAACGTACATAAAACAATTATTATGAATCAAGATAAAACGTCATTGTTTCTGTAGATTGACAATAAAATTTAGAAAGAACTATTTTGCCGCCAAAAGGTTGAACCTTTCAGAAACCATTGCTATTGCTCGAGAAAAAGCTATGGTCAATTTGAATGAAAATTATATGCTGTTGATTGAAACAGTGGTGTGAGAGGTTGGATTTCTGGGGGTGTTTTCAAAAATGAAGTGTAAAAAGAACAAACATTTCTATTAAAATGTCACAATTTATCATTTTTATCCAGTCTAGTATTAATGAATTTGCTCTCTTCTTTTGCTTTTGATTACCATGGTCCCAGAAGGGCACACCATTGCATTAGAAGCTCCACTAAATCAAAATTCAATTCATGCTACATGTGCTGTATGAAGCTTTTGTATCTAGTGCCAATCAAATAAATATAGCTTGGGCTATCAAATATACGTTAAATTTTCTTTTGTCAATCTACGATACACTGAATACTTATGCTTGATCATAATACGGGCGTTTTTTCTGGTGCACACTACAAAAAGTGCTGCGAGCACGGAATTTTCACAATTAAAATAATTCACAAAGTCACAAAAAAAAGAATGTTTAAAGAAAAAAATCGAAAGAAAAAAAAGGATATAAGCAAGAGGGAGAGAGGAATAGGAAAAGATCACAAAAATCCATGTGAAAAGCCAATCAACCGATCCAAAGAATTGGATTAACAATCAAAGACGATTCAAAGAAATGTCGGATAAAGTGTGTAAGTGTGTAGGTGAAATGTGAAGAATACATAAAGGGAAGAGTAATCACAAGAATAAAGAGATTTTCTCATCGTTCACAGGTAAAATGAATAAGAGACAGAGGGAAAAAGAGAGAGAGAAAAAAATGTATATGAAACACGGAAGAAGACCTGCCATCAACACAAAATGAAAACATAGTGGAGTGGAGGAGTAACAGAATATACAAATGGAAGAGTAACGGAATTTACACGGTTTGTGTGATAAAAATATAAATAAGTAATAAGTTTTGGCGCTGCATAAAGTCGGAAAAAATATGTTTTATTATGTTTGCTTCACGTTTGAAGAAAAAATTAAATCAATTGTGTTTGTGCTAACAGAAATAATAAAACAGGTTTTTTTACATCTTAATGCTGTGAAACATAAAATTGCACAGAATTTATCACATACTAGGAGGAGGATCACGGAAATAACAAATCTCCAAAATTGAGCATATCAATTGTTTTGCAGAACATTATACTCCCTATTTGATCGTTTTCTCTCTAGATTAGACCGGAAACATAGTTTAATTTGGGTAAATTTCTCAAAAAATCAATATGATAAGCTCGGTGCAAGTTGTTGAGTGATAATAACCGAAACCGCGTTTGAAAAGTAAGTATCTCGTTGAAAAGTGTCTGCGGCTCAGTTTGAGATATCGATAAGTAGTTAAACTTTACCAAAGATACGTTCTCAACGAAACGTTTTACTCTTCAACTTCGAAAACGATATTTCGGCTATTTCCAATTTTATTCTCGTTGCCACATTGTCCATAAATCTCTGTTCGATCAGAGTCTTATGAAAACATTTTCATTGAAAATTGATCGTCCTCCACATATAAGATTCCAAAATAAAAACGCTCCATCACATTCAATTGAACACGCAATCGTTGTCGTGTGTTTTTTCGTGGATTTTCTGTACAATGAAATATATATTCAACAAATCACCGCAGTGCACTGGTGGTGAAGCAGTCGCCATAACTTTTTTTTTTTCTCTAAATATCTGGTTTGCATAAAGTGCGAATTGTCATAGATTTGTACACTCACAAGACACGGTTCGTGTAAAAATATATATATATATATAGAAAAATGTAACGTGAAAGGAATAAGGTAAGAGAAATAAAAAAAATTGTTTGGGAGGAAAACACAGTTGCACAATCGCTGTGTGATTATTATTGTGCCAACAATAAAATCACATTTACCTGCTGTACCACGATTACATACATCGGTCGGGTAATTTCTTCGGCACATATCGAGTCTGTAAGAATTGGTTGAATAGTTAAATAAATGATATGGTGGAACTAATTCGATCTTGCACGATAGCAAAAATAAAATGAGATACAATTAAAAAAAAATAATGCGGCACAAAACAAAATAATAAAAAACGGTGGATAAAAGAAAATTTGATGACTTGGGAACACAACTGATGTTTGATATTTTCAAAAATAAAAATTCCAACGATGATAATCAAATTACTAAAATATTCACATTTTCTACAACAAAGCGTTTAACCAGAAGACATTCTTGCAACAAATCGATTGAATTTTAATGATCAAATTAAAATATAAGTTATTGTTACGATTTTGTATTCAACAACTAAAATTGAAAACCAATTCGCTAAGAATGAAGCGCTATCTGTGTTGTTATTATTATTTTATATAATTTTTGTTTTATATAAAAATTATTGGGTTATTGTCTACGACCAGGATTATTTAGTCTATATTTGTTAAAACCAAATGCAATGTAGCAAAGTTTTAGTTATCGCCATCGAGTTATATAGAGTTTACTTCCGCGTATAAATTAGAGCCCATCATATTCTCATCGTGTGTCTGTTCAACATAGTTAAATTTGTAACGATCAAAATCACTTATTTATAGCATTCCATTGTTACTATAGCATGAATAAATATTACACAATAATTGTATAAAAAATAAATAAAAAATAAAAAATTTATAGCAGTAATAAAATAACAATATGTGTGACATAAGCTTATACGTAAAACACACCGAATAAAATTAAAATCAAATAGTAGAAGAATAAGAATGTGAGAGAAAAAAAAATGGTTTTCGATATGGACTGTTGAACTTGACTGCCGACTTTGAATTTACTCTTTCACTTCACGTCGGTTCTTTTTTTTTCTTCAAAATCTATTATACATTTTGCATGAGCGCTATTTGCCAATGAGTGTATAGCATACAATCATTGCACAATATTGTTATCGATTTACGCTTTCGAATGCTACATTGTGTATTGTATCACAGTCGATGACATAATACAGACAGATATGTAATTTTGCCTTTGAATTCAATTGAGTAAACTTTTGTAAAGTGTGCACTTGTCCATCGGTTTGCACTTGTCCATATATATTTTTTTTTTCGACGTACAAATGATTAGATTAGCCGCCACATTGTGGAGCATACAAATTGGTTTAATTGTTCTCACAAAATATATGTACTTTTGTTGTGTTTCTTTTTTTCTTTTTGAATCAATTTCATTGGTTCGAACGACCGAATATATACAAAATAGAAACAGCATCATCAACATAACTCTTAATGCAAATGTTCGTGTCATTCGATGATTACTTTTGAAACGTTAAGTTTTACGATGAATTTGTCTTATTTATTATTAAATTAAATGACAACGAGCAATGTCACTCACTAAAGCAAATGAATTTTGATTTACAAAGCTTTAAATTTATGGGATTTTTTTCGCCATTAATAAAAACACTGTCTGCTCATCCAATCATTTCAATGCAAATTAGTTTCCCAAGATATTAGAGATAACGAAAGAATACAGCATAACCAAAAAAACAAACTCTATATTTTTGAGTTAAAAAAAATTATATGCATAAAAAAAATATTCGACAACTGTTAAAAAAAATGGAACCAACAAAACAACCAAAAAATAAAACCTCCCGCAATTAAATAGAAATGCAATTTTGTTAATTGTTGATTAAATTTAAAAAAAATGGTTTTTATCATGTGGCTTGGAAATTGTTTAAGGTTACCCGCTGTTCCTTTGGTACATCTGCCACCTTTTCTTCTGCGACACATATCATACCTGTGTGAGAAATGCATCATAATATTTTGGTAGGGTTTATTCGAGCTTTTTTTTGTTTTAAATTGGAGTTGTTGTTGTTGTTTTTATATAAAAAGAACAGTTATAGTAAATAAATTAAATCGAAAGTGTTGCAACTTCTTTGATTTTCGAGATGATGTGTCCACATATAAACATTTTACATTCGACAGAAAAAGAAATATGAATAATTTTAATATCTCCAGATACATTGCGTTACCTTTACAAATGTACCTTGTTGAGGGAAAACAACAACTTCAAACGACATTTAAAAATATTTTGCATTTTTTTTTTTCAAAACGGAAATACAGCCGAAACTATTTCTTTTAACTATGCATAACGCAGAAGACTTAACTTACACAAAGTGCCCTTCTCAATTCTGTCCGCGAGAAAAAAAAAGTTTGATTTTTTTTTCTTTGATTTTTGGAGGGAAAATTTGAAGTATATTTTCAGGTAATTTCATTCAATTAAAAACAAATACTTACTTTGTTATCGCAACAGCGATGTCATAGACTGGAAGTCGACGCTCTCGAAATAGATATTTGCCCATGTCCGTTAAAGCAGCAGCTGAATCAATAGCATCGCGTCCAACTCGATTACGTTCCAAATATGGTGTTGCATCTCGACCCTTAATTAATTATTCAAATCGAGAAATAAAAAAAATCTGGGCTTAGACAATTTCAATTGATCTTTGGTGGAAAAATATATTTTGAAAATATTCAGAGAATCATTATTGGACGTTAATCAGTGATTAATAATCACAGGATCTCAAATTTAAATGATGAGAAATGCCCATTTCAATTAATCGAATGTTCAAATAACCAATTGATGTGTTGAACGTGATCATTTGACCATCCAATAAGAGACATCAATCACATTTACTAATTACAAATATTGTTTTCTAAATAGTGCTGGTAACAAATCCTTTCACATTTCGGATAAAAAAAGTGTTTGGAATGAATCTTTTAAAACACGAGGACATTCAGCCATTTTAATTACACTGCATTTTCTGAAACCTTCACTTTACCAAGTCGGAAGTGTCTATTTCATAGAATTCCAACATCAGATAATGCTATCTCACGTACTATGTAAAGTGATGATGAATGCGTGAGGTTATTGTATTAAAAGAATAGAAAATAAAGCGCAAATGAATTGAAAAAATTTGTGTATTTTCGGCGGTTAACGAAATATTCAACACCAATCAGCGTGTTATTCACGATTAGCCTTCATATTTAGAATGGTAAGTGTGTTTGTTTTTTTTTTTCTTCAATGAAAGACAAATAAATGCATAATGATTATTTGAACTGTAAATTACAGTTTCTACTACAATCGCATAATTAAAACAAATACGTGTCTAATATTACTAGATTTGTCTAACTGTTTCTAAGTGCATTCCCACTAGTTTCATAAGTTTGGAAGAGATTTCTCCAATTTCAGTTTAGACTAACTACCAGTAGCGTGATGTTTCACTTGTAAAATATGAACTTGATCAAATAATTGCCATTTCGTGTAACAAAATAAGGAAAAATAAAAAATTATGATATGCGATAGAGTATACACATCTTATTGTTATTTTATAATCATTTAGAAATATAATTTATCTTCAGGCAAAAGAAATAATAATAATAAAAGAAGAAAAAAATAGTTTCCGCATAATATTGTTGTGTGAAAAATGATGAAATTATTATTATTCAGTAAATTTGGTCTATGCAAGCGAAGCAATGAAAGATTTGAATGAGATGCGCTGATGAGAGAAAATACCTGCTGAAAAATTGATTTTTCCTTGTTTTAACGATGAAGAAAAATCGCTTTCTATACACTATTCAAATGCAATATGCATGTATTTATATCTGGTATACATATTTTATGCTATTCCAAATTAAAATGTTTCTTTTTTTATTGTTGTGAATAATAACAATTTGAATTTTTTTTGTTTTTCTGCACATTTTGCATCAAGAATGTGGTACAATATACATGTTTTATTGTTCAAACTTGTGATCATATAAGTATTGTACATTGTTGTGTTGTTGTTCATATATATTTTTTTTTTTGGTTCAATAATTTATGTGATATTAACTTATGTTTGGTAACTCATAAAAGTAGCTACCCGAAAGCGATTGAAGTGTGTAGAATGTAGATTGTAGATCTTACCAATTGATACAAAAGAAGACACTCGAACTTTATCGAAAGTATTATCATCAGAAATGCTACATCATGCCAAAGAGAACGTCCGAAAATCATCGATTTCCGGAAATGTGAATGAAATGAGTGTACAACTGTAATGGGTGTTCATTTTGGTGGCCAATTGAATATAGGATCAAACAAGCTAAATAATTTAGGCACTTAACTGATCATTGATGAATTGAAATTGATTTCAAATCCATATGGATTCACAACACAATAAAATTACGTCGAATTATGTGGCAGACTGAAATATGTCGATGTACCTTTTTAAAAGCTAAATATGCCACTTCACTCTCATTTATTGCGTCTTTTCGATTCAATGATTTATTTGATTATTTTTATTTCTTTTTTCAAATTCTACTTCCGACCTATAACAAATAGAAACATCATAATACCATGGTCGCTTATTGAATGCTGTTGATGCGCGCGCACACGCGCACTCACATCTGTACTACAGCAATATAAAATGCTCAAGTCAGGTTCGATTCACGACTTTTCAAATGAAATGTATACTTGTGCGTCTCCATTTATAGTGTGTGTGTGTTTTTTTTTTTGCTTTTTCATTTGATTGACTGCTTTATTTGTCATTGTCGAATCACTTATTGATTCGAATTTGATTTGTTAATTTAGTTGTTTATGCTTATCAGGCAGTTTGTTCCTAGTGGCAAGTGGCAACAAGCAAGCAGGTGCGTTAATGTTAATTCATTTGTGAACACCACAATAAACACTTGGTTCAATTGAAATTCACAACTCTGTCAATTTCTTAACAGAAAATAAATTGAAATGAAATGGAATCATTCATTGAAGTGAAAATGGTTGATTACAAATGATGTTTTTCTATATCATTGTGGTTTCTAATTTATAATGTGTGCTTTTTTTCGGTTTGTCGCGCACATTCTCATTTATTTAAATACTAATTGCTAATCGTAAAGATAAAAATGCATAACAGATAACAATCTTCTAGACAGACGGTCTGGCGTACATAAAACCAAACCGGAAGCATTAAAACCTCAGAAGTGACATAAAAAACACACATACACAAAACAATAGATAAAAAACCACTTTTGCCATGCACTTGATCAGAATCTTTGAAAAATTTCGTAAATTATTAAATGAATATGATAGGACTCATCACAAAATTTCGATGAATCATTTTTTTTTTGTCATATATTTTAATGTTTCAAAGACTTTGCACTATCGTAAAACTGTTATCTCAAGAAAAACAAACAAATAAATTGCACCCAGATGTTTTCGCTGACAATGTTTTAATCAAACATGCTATTTTACATTTTAATTTGTTTTCATTCCATCTGGTTTCAGATACGTTTTAATTATGACCCAAGAAATTTTATTGTGCTTTTTTTTTATCTCGCTTCCTTTTGTCTCTCCTTGATTTGTCCTCTTGCAGAAACAATTTTTATTTGAAATTTCAAATGAACATCGTCACGAAAGAAAACGGGACTTAGTGTGATCAAATTGTTGAATGATGACTATTTTTGTCGATCAGATTTTTGAAACACAGAGCATTATTTTTGTTTTTCATATCGTGATCAGTGAACATAAGCCGTTTGAAATTAAAAGATTTTCAATATTATTATTATTATTGCCGTTACACGAACAAAAAAAATGCGAGAAGACTAATTCAATGACACAAAAATTACGTAAAGTAGTCAGAATTTTGCATGAATACGAATCAAGACAATTATGCGATAATGAATTTCATTAAAATGTTACTCTATCGTATGCGTGCATCTTTTCTCAAGGTGCAGTCATTTTTGACAGCTCAAAACTTGCTCGATAAATTTGAAATGATTTTCAGTTTATTGAAAAATGTTGATTTGGAAATTTCCTGCTTTTCCGTAAATCATGTTGAGAAAAACAATTTTTTTTTTCTTTCATTAAATTGCACAGAAGTTTTGTTTTCGGCGAGCAATTATTGGAAATTCTGCCTTACAAGGAATCTCGGTAATATTTCACATTAACGCATTACATTTCCTGAAAGTGAACTCATCACACAAAATGTAAATTATGATAAAACATGAAACACTTCAATGCAGTTTAGAAGATGTTTCTCTTTTACTACAAATGATTGCAATGATATCTGACACTTTTACAACATTTGCTCGTCATTTGTTGTGACATAGATCATTGCATTGCGTGTGTTTCTTCTATTTTGCATTAAGGCTACACCATTAGTATTTTTTTAATTAATAATACTGTCTGTGTCGGCGTTGGAAAGAAGATATAATTGCTTTTTTGAGCTAAAAATAAAATGACAAAAATGCCATTTCGCGTCATTTATATGCGTCACAAAATTATTGCGTACAAAATAAAGATATGCACTTTTTCAGATCTTTTACGAATTACACAGATTCATTAGCAGATAATAAAAAGGTAAAAAAGAAGAAAAGGATCACTGAAGAGCTTTGGAATCTGCTCCTCAATGAGTGACCAAAGGTCGAAAAATAATTAAAATTGATAATAATATAAGTTTAAGAGATTTTTTAACATTTTATATTTTCATTTTGCTACTCAATGAAAAGAAACTTTGCCCCTCAGAACACTTCACCTCACATTTATTGCTTTAAGAAACTGACTCAGATATATGTGCAGGGAAGAGTTTTTTTAGACTCTATATTATTTTTTAGTAATATACATAGTATAGGGTGAAAATGACTCAAAGAATTTCTTGCTTTCACTTATGGACGTTTCTGTAAACGAAAATTGGGAATATTCATTCATTTAACAAAGTTTCTCAGTGACACATATAAAAAATGCTTGAAAAACCAAAGAATTTTGTGTTATTAAAAAAAAGCAATGTTAACTCTTGATCATTTCAAAAAAGATTAAATTTAAGAGAAATTGTATTAAATGCATTCCATTTTCAATGTTTCAGCCTGTTAGAAAACTAAACTATGCTAAGACATTTTGAAATTGTTTGAAAAATTAACAACATTTATACCAAAGCCAAAAAGGCCGCCAAAACAATCGTAAACAAGTCTAATTGATGTTAACATAAATCGTGATTTCGACATTTCGTAATCGAAACAAGACCGAAAAAGAATTGAAAAATCTACCATAACATTCATTTGGATAGCAAACTTGCTCACATATAATAGTGCAGTTATATGCTATGGGCACTAATAAGTTATAAGATTTAATCATTAAAGGTGTTTGCAGCATTGATTTGTAATACGTAATAAAATTGACTTGTTTTTTTTCGTTAATTTTTTTTTACTTTTTCCCCTTCAATTTTTGTGTTATCGCCACAATGACTGTGAAATCGTCAGAATTTAGGTCGACCAATTGATTTTTTTTTATTTAGCTTTACTTCCGTATAAAATTGCATGCAAAGAAAGAAGAAAGAAACCAAAAATCGTGAGCCATTTGCCTGATAACACATTTTTCAAAATGACAACCGTGTATGTATTTATTAGGAAATATATCTATTTTCATTGTAACAATAAATTCAGGCGTTCGAGCAAGTGATACACAAATAAAAACAAAACAGGAAAATACTTTGAATACATGGTTATGCAGTTTTTGTTGTTGTTGTTTGAATCCACTTTCAATTGTTGTTCAATATTGGCTCAATGGTGCAAAGAGAATAGCTAATTCTCTTCACTTTATAGCACTTGAATGTGTGTAATGCACGCATGAATCTATTGTTTTGTGAAACAACACCGGCACTTTTATGGAATATGCGTGCATTTAATAAATAGTTGAAAGAGTACCGAATCCATATCATGAATGTTGAAAACAAATTCACTAAATTGTACATGATTGGTTTGGAACTTGGAGCGCTCTACTACACTCAATAGTTTTTTTTTATTGCGTTTTCCGTTTTTCGGCGACGCACTATTAGTCTGTATTTCAATTGTTATAAACAAGCGTGTCACGATTGTTTTAACCATTATTATGACTATGAGCCTGAAACTTTAAAAAGTTGAAATGAACTAACGTTCGGAAAATGATGGATTTATTCAATGTACGTTTTTCTTTCTCTTTAGACGCATACATGAAAATGGAAAACTATCCAATGTCAATTTTTATTCAAGGTTCTCTCAAAAAACAGCGCTAACGCTCTGACCGCAGTGTTATCAGATTATTTGAAGCATCAACGACGATAGAAACACCACTTTTGAACAAGTACAGTTTCTAAGTAAAGTATGTGAGCCGGTCGTCGGCACTATCTGATGTATAAACCAATAAAAATATTACTTTAATCAATGGATTGAAAACAATTGTGTCTAATAACGTCTAAATATTTTAGTAATGAATTGGCGCAAAACATTGCGCAAATCTCAATCGAACCATGTATTAACGTCTATTTCTACTTACGCGTGAGATTATGATACCAGCGATACTGATTCGAATCCTGGGTCCTTTCAGTAAACGATACCGTAAATCGACTCCATTCCAAAATGAAACGAAATATCTTTTAATCTGAAATTAAATGAAATAAAATGTTTTCCAATCATTTCATTGACATCCATTGTGAGGGTCATTTCCCTATTCCAAGCTTTGCTTATTAAATATATATGCCAAAAACAATGAATATTCTCCGCTTACTTGTGTGTTATCACCGCCGTGCAATCGATATCCATCGTAATCAACAATCACCAAAATTTCCGGATAAATAATATGTGGTATAGCGCGCTTCGAACGATTGGAAATTTCGTCGGAAAATGTTGAACGTTTTTTGCGGTAACGTTTTTGTAAACGATCTGGTTCCATAAAAGCTGTAAACAACAAAGCGATTGTTTCACTCTTTATTTCGTCAAAATCGAAGGGAAATTCAATAAACTCACCAAAATCGCCATTTTGATCGGTTGCATCAACTTTTCGTTTGTAGACGATATGATGCGCTGTATTTTCCGAATTTTTATCTTGTATAAGCCCGTAAGGTACGGGCTTGATAACCATGTCATGTCCAATGCTACCTTCCTGTAAAATAAACAAAATTATGTTGATGAGCTATTATTTCAAACTTTTTGCAACAGCAATTTAGCGAAAAAGTATTTGCAATCAAATTAATTAATGAATATTTGTTTAAAAATTGTTGTACATAAAGTCATGTTTCTCTCAATTTTTTGAAAACCGTTTACATTTTACGGAAAACAATGTCTTAATCGTACTAATTGGAATGAAAACGATGATGGAGTTGAAAAAGATTTTGTGAATAATCTCCATTATCATGTAAATATAACTTATAGAACATAGTCCATATCGAAAAAAAAGAAAACAAAGACGAAACAACGCAAAACGAAAACTGAAACAGTTCTGTGGCTCCGAGAGTGGTCGTCTGTTTCGAAATTGGTTTAATAGTAAGACAAAGCAATAGCATTCGTGTATTGTATTGAAAACAAGTTTTTGACCTCTCTAATGACCACATACACTCTATATATTTTACAAGGTGATTTCGCTTTCGTTTGAATTCTATTACTTTTACTCTCTGTTTGTATCTCATCTAGAATCGGTTGAGCATGGCGTTTTTATATTCACCATGTAAAAAAAAAACGTGATATTTAATATGCTACCGATATTTTACAATATCGTTACAATATTTGAACGTAAATAAATGTCTTACATTTGTCTTTGTCAACTTATAACAAAACTAACCATGATGCGACACAAATATAAACGATAAACGCTGTCGAAACAATTTTTCTATTGTTTGGTTGAAATAAATATGCACGACGTGTAAGTGTTTTCATCATCGACTGAGATTTCCAATTTTTCTCTTTCGCTCTCCTTCTCTCTCTATCTTTCCTTTTCTATGTCTCTTTGTCACTCTCGAAAAAAAAAAGAAACTGTTTTCATTGTACAAAAAGCACTGTATTAGACCTTTAACCTTCAATTCTTGTAGCCAAAATAATGAGAAAAGCAACAGAAACGGCTTATGGATTTTAATGTGTGAAAAGAAATACAAACAACAAAAGTAGCGACAATGATAGAAATAAATAAAAAAAAAAAAACTAAAACAGAAACATTCACACGGTTCGGCTTTGGTTGCTAGCCGCAATGTGCAAAGAATACATTTTATGAACTGAAATCTATCGTTTCAATATTAACAGTTTTTAGTCAACGCGGTTGGAATTAAGAAATGGAAACACTCATTTAGACTCGGTTTTTTTAGAAAGAGAGAAAAAAATACGAAATGGAAGGCAACCACGAATGCTGATTTGTCAATCGTGTCTTGATTGCGTAGATTTTATTTTGAAGTTAAAATCATATACACAGATTTGAGTGTACGAACGCAGTTGCTTCTATTGAAATTTCAACAAAAAAAAATATTTTCTATTTTCTCTAGTTTCGTGCTTAAAATACGAAAGTTAAATAAGTTTAATCATCGCCACACTGGTCATTTCCAGAATGCTAATAAAGTGTCTCGAGGTAGACCTTTTTTTCTCTACCGATATGGTCAAAATTAGTTGTTTTCATTGTGAGAGAAACCAATCAGACAATCTGACATGCAGCTGACTAACTGGATTAACTTTTTTCTCTTCCCCTTTAAACTGGACTTTAGAGATACCGAGACTCTACTATAGTTGAAACAGTCAGTCAATGTATCTACTAAAATTTGCCACGTGCGAAATAAGTTCAAAGCAATTTTAAAATTTTCACTCCGCACTTAATTCGGTTATGTACAAATGTGTACACAATACTGTATTTGTTCTATCCAACGCTCAAAGCGAGAAGGTGATGAAAACTCGTTGTGGAACGTTTTTTTATTGCGTTAGAATGTCCATGATGCCAATAAGGCAAAATAAGTGTCGTATTGTTGTAATAAAATCTGGTATAAAAAGATACATGCACTTGATTCCCAAAAGATTCTTCAAACATTTCCGGTTAACCATTTGAAATGGTAACAGATAAGCATATATGTTGTTCAGTTGTTATACAAAGATTGACCAAATAAGATACGGCTTTTATGAGTATTTAATTCTGAAAGTTATTCAAAGTAACCGATCAAGATAAATAGTTTCAAGAAGATGAAGAAAAAAATGTCGTGAAATGTATTACGGTTTCCATCGGGAACCATTCATCAAAAACAAAATGACTAAATTACATTTCAGTTTCAGAATTTCCAGTTTCATCAAATTATCTCGGGTTCAATGCATAACTTCAAAGGTATATTCTGTGTGTATGTATTTCTTTCACAATTTTAAAATTGATGAAACAAACAGACCGAAGAAGGTTCAACATACTTTGTTAAGAGGCCATCGACGTTGAGCTCAACTCTCGTTTTTTTTTTTTCGTTTCTTATTCTTCGATTCCACGTTAATGCTTACAAAGTTTGATTTGAGTTTTGAGTCATTTGACATATCAATCAATCCATACAGCACATAATCATGTTTTTATCGAAAATGCATACTAATCATTAGATTTCAATTATTATTATTGAGCACCTGTCGCTCAAAATATGAATTGAATATATATTTTTTTTTCTGTTGTTGAGACATATAATGGCCAAGTAAGAAGATTAAGGCGCATAATTTTAATGAAATTGTAAATTAATAAACACTGGAGAAACCTTGACATTTGCCATTCCCCATTACCTTGTTCGACTATTACCACATAGCACTTATCCATCGATTTTTTTTAAATGCTTATTACTATCATTTATTGGGCAATATTCTTCTGCTAGCCCTTCCAAAATGTTTGCGTATATTTTGACTCATCAGTAGGCCGAAAATGGCCATATGATCAATGGCTTTATCGTGACAAAAAAAACGAGATCATGTTTGATTTCATTTCGCAAGAAATGATTATGTTATTCCTCTGTTTGCCAGAGGACTACTACTATTGGCACCATCTGAGTGCCCGCATCTAAAAGTTATATGCCTTTTGGAGAGTCGCACATGAAAACAAGAAAGAGCGACACTTACAAAAAAAACCGGGACGTATAATAGCTGCGATGTTTGCCAAAGCCACAAATTGCATCGTTCTAAACAAAATATTTAGATGGTTGTTATAATGCTTTGGTTATTTGCACATTTCGAAGAAGTTCGACACATAAATTATTGAAACAAATAGAAAGGGGTGGAACGATACTAATTAAATTCGATTACATATACTCTTAGAAAGTGATTTTCACAATTATCGATCTTTCTCTAATTTTTTTTTGTTTTGTTTTAATTTATCGGTTGGTTTACCTCGTGGCGATGTTGGGTTACACTCATATTAATCAAATCACCAAATCCCATAAATCAATCGCCTTAAATCGAAAGTAAAAAAAATCTTTGTCGAAACTCCGTCGTGATTGGAATGATTGTAAATAAAAATTAAGATACGAATCTCAACGAAAGTTCAATGAAAGATCGTTATGTGTGACCTCTAGTTAGAACAAAAGTAAAAGTACCTTTCAATTTCACGAAAAATCTCATATTACATTTAAATCAGTGAAATGGCCACTTTTCAATTGATAATGTTCTTTCGTGTGTTACTATAATTACTTCATTGTGGCATGAGTACATTTATTTCACTTATTTTTTTTTTTTGTTTATCAACGATCGATTGTTGTGGGAAAGAGAAAATCCATTAAATACACATTCTCTAGAATTGAAGATCGGTTAAATGATAATAAAACAAAACAAAAAATGGTATTAATAATTTGTCGACGATATAATTGCGAATTTGCCAGATTAATACAGTTAAAAATGAAAGTTATGATAGTCGTGCATAGTTTCTATTTAATAACGATTTCATTTGGTTTTGCGTAACATTTGCGCATGGTATATACATGTATGTGGAAGTTGAGAAATAGTTGACACATTAATCAGTGAACGCAACAGTATATGTGCTTTGCTGCGTGAAATGACTTTCTGCTGTAACGCTAAAATGCTACAAATCTCAACTTTGCGTTAATGAAATAGTCGACGTATCATCATCATCATCGTCAAATCAATGAAACAATAATAATAAAAGATACACATATATACATGCCATACAAAAAACCCGATGACAACGCGATTACACTGGGGAAATTGAATTGATTTGAAAATTCAAGGTTTTTCTTAACTCTATTCAGCTTCATTTACTGTATAATTAACGTGTGTATATCTACAACGTATATGTGAAATAACACATAGAGAACAATAACAACAATCACAACGAAGAGAGAAGAAAAAAATTGTTGGTATTCGTGGAGTAGTGTACAATTATACTACTCTGAAAAATCTACGAAATGAAAAAAAAGACCGCCGGTCGCTATTTACGGCCGCATTACTGACGTTTTTGAGGTCACTGAATCCAAAAGTGCACTTATTTAAAAATTCACTTAGAATTTTCTGAATGAATCAATGTTTACTTGAAATATGGTTCAACTATGGGCTTTGCTGATGCGTTTTTATTCAACAACATGCGTTTCTGTTTACCATTTAACAATATTCTGTTTTTGTTCTATAGTATGAGATTTTCTTTTTGACATTTTTTCGCACATATTAATCAATATGTAATTCAAATATAAGCGACGCACGGTTTAACACGTACTCACTTAAGTACATCGAATTTAAAAAGTTCTTTGAATCAATAGTGTTATACTACTCTTTGGGTACATTCTTCTCGTTTTCAACGGATATATTTGTGTTATATGTTGGATAATTATTATTTTCTTTGAACACAACGTAAAAATGTCGGTTGCATATAGAGATGTGAAATAAGTTTTATTTCAAACTTACTACTTTACTCCAAATTTGGAGCTTATTTTAAGAACACTAAAAACTCACCATTAAAAGATCCCCGTTTTCCAGTTGACGCCGCATCAATATTGCTGCCATATTTCTTTCGTCTTGAAAAACCTCACCAACATGTTCACTTGGTTCCTGAAGCAAAAAGGAAAATTTTTAAAACATAGTAGTGAATTTAAACATATTTTTCTTAAATTAATTTAAACTTTCATGTCACTTTCAATAATCAAACCATTTTTATTCTTATTTCTTATGAATTTCTTTTCTGAGAAGAGTCAAAACATCATGCCTTCCATGGCTCTTTGGAAACCCTAACACAGAAAAGCTGGACTGTTTCATACGTTGTAAACTAATCATGTTGGTAGGTGTGTCTCTGCTAAGTAAAGATAAAGCGCTGCATTCATTTTTTCTGTTTTGTAATTAAAGCATTTATTATAACGTAGACTTAATCTAGTGAGAGCATGATTAATGCAGTTTGTCTTGCGTTTGGAGCCAAGACACAGTTGGTTAAAGAAAAATTTGCTTCTTTTCAAGACTTTAATTTGCAGTTGATAAACCAAAGGGTCTGAAGTTTTTAAGGGACTTTTAATTCCAATATTTTCCATTTGGTAACTCAAAGAAAATGCAAGCAATTTGAGAAGTTCAAGTGAATAGCAAATATCGTGGAGCAAAACCTTACTAAGAATTGTCCGTGTTTTGTTTACGTAATATTATTAGAAGCGCTTGAGTGATTTAAAATAGAAACAAATATCGGGGTACTCGTTCGATGCCCTTTAAAACACGTTTATAATAATCGAAAACATGTTTACCAAATTGTTGGTTAAAGACGGAAGAGTACTTCAAATTTAATTCATTAAAAATCCAATTCACGTGACTTGTATCAAATCGGCATAATCCGTTAAATAATAAAGTAGAAAAGAATTCAATTTGAAACAAACTCTCACAATGGAATGTGGCGACCGAAACTTCAGTAGCATGAACAATGCAAAAATTCGCAGCATTGGAAACATTTTCTTCTACTTTTTCCTTCGGAAATTCCTGACCAAGTGCATTGTTATCGATATCGAACTATTTTTATCGATTTTTTAATAGTACATATCATTTTCTAACAAAGATATGTGTTATTTTCAAATGTTATATATGTTATATACTCAACCAGGCGTGCTAAAAATAATACAATGATAAATTATAGTTCAATTAGTCGAAACAGTTACGATATCAGTCTATGTCCAACTTGAAATTATTTTTAGTGAATAGACTTTATCATACAGATTTTGAATTTGATTTTCTTCAACAGTCTCTCTCTCTCTCTCTCTCTCTCTCTCTCTCTCTCTCTCTCTCTCTATGCATGTATATATTTACATTAAGCAGCCAATCAGGTTTTATTATTGTTAGCAAAAATTAAATGGCCGAATGACATTTATTTATCGCCTAAATTCTTCTCTCCGTTGGTAAATATGTATTTGCTTCTCTGTTACTTCACTTTGGTTCGGCATCGTTTTCCATTTTGTGATCTTACGGTGAGGTACACTTTGACGTCGAATATCATTCAAGCTTTGCAATTTTGAAAGCAATTTGAAACAAAGATCGATTTTTGGCCCGATTTATATGCCATGCAAAGTTAAATACATACATATCGATTTGTCTAAGCAAAAGCAGACATTATGCACGTCTCATGAATACAATAACGTATTGATTGTCATCATTGGTGGGGAACTCGATGTATTGATGATGAAAATACGAAATGAGAAAAAAAACACACAACAAAGCGAATTTAAAAGTGTTGGCAACAATAACAACAACAACGGCAGTAGCAGCACACATCAAACAATAAACTGGATTCAATTCAAATAATGTGCTTGCAAATCAGGTTGCCAATATATTTTTCTATTAATTTTCTATTCAAATCAACTAGACCTGTCTCATTCAGATTTGTTTATACGGAATAATAGCAACGGCGGCATCAGCAGCCGAAGCTAATGAACAAAACAAACACCACAAACCATTACCATTACATCAATTCGTTGTAGTTTATGTGCCAGAAACACAATCAAACAAACACACACTCGCCAAGCAAAAACAGTCAAAGTTAAGCTAAATGTCGATGAATAAGATAATAATGAATGAATGAAAAAAAAGTAGCAAAATAAATTTGAATATATCGCTTGATAAGACAAATAATAATTGGTGCTTGTGACTTGTTTCTTTCTTTCTTTTTTCTTCATATATATATGAAGAAAAAAGAAAGAAAATATATATATATATAAATATATATTGTTACAGTGTTGTATAATGTCTGTATATACATGTAGCTTGATTGCATTGATGTATCTTTTATTCCTTTCACATCCAGCAATACACGTTCTCATGCCACATTTTACACGTTTAAATTGTATGGTGCATTATACACTGGTGCTTGTTGGTCTGAACCACTTCAACGGTTATTGTTCATTGTTGAAGCTTGGAATTGAATTGATATCCTTTAAATGTTACAATCAACATTATTTTACATGCTCTCAAAATCTTTAAGTAATTAACCTTTTCACCATTTGATGAAAACTGTCTCACAAGATTGAACATGTTTGATCTTAGATTATGACATCGATCTGATGATTTTACGAGATAATTTCGGAACAGTTTTCATGAATGTGGTTTTTTTTTGTTGTTGTTCGATGTTGTTGTGGTTGGTATCATCGGCGACAAATACGTTGACTATGTTATAGCATGACTGCATCAAATTTATGTCTGTTTTCTTCAATGTATAAATCTAAATTTATCTTGATATTGTTGAACACACAGAAAAATGACGTCATTTATTGAATGTTTTCTGTCTAGTGTCTACCTACGGCTGGTATATATGCGAATTTTATGCTTTTCACTGCAAAAGTGCAGCTTACACATATGTACTCAAAAGGTGCTCTACAGTAGACTAGTGTGCATACAAATCGGGCCAGCACATAGTATTCACCAAAATGATCTCGTGTGTATGCGTGTGATATTTAGCAGCTCTTTTTCAAATGTTACATCAATGGAAATTTCGATTTAAGTTTCAGTACATAAGATCTGTATGGTCTCACATTTCTCTTTTCTTGCGGAATTGCATTAAAAAGCACAACATTCACCCAAGAAGAAAACGATGTTGTTTATTTTATCTCTCTCAAAATTGAAATCAATGATCATTTTTTCATATTATTTTGTTTAAAATGGTTTAACTAATTGGTGTTGCACACGTGCACACAAATGACTGATTTTTTTGCGAGTCTCAATGACAGAGTGTGTCCATCGAAAGCAATCTAACCACTTAACAGTGTTGAATATTTGCACAAGAATTCAACGTATCATGTTTGTTTATTTTTGTAAATATAACGAAAATAAGACAATTTTGTAGGTGGAATAAGAGAAAAGTGATGAAACAAAGGGGAATACCAAGGGATAACATTACTCAAATTGTAAAATATCAATCAATAAAAATTAGAGACTGTTTCTCAGGAGGAGGAGCACTTTTTTTTAACTTGTAGTATTTTGCTTCTGAGAGCGCTCTTCTTTACATTTTATTACTCTGAGAAATTGTCTCTGATAAAAATCTAAAGAAAAAAGCAAATATTTACCTCTTCGATTGGTTCGTAAGAAAGTCCGTGCGTTGCATTTGGGGTAACATTCACCGTAAACATCGGCAATGATTGGGTGCCATCTTTAAATAGTTGTGTGGTTGGTCGTAATGTCAAATTGAACATTTGGCCAAATACACTGAGTGACACATTATGTTCTTTTATATTGGCTAAATCAAATTGCGCAAATGGTTTCGTCTTTATTTGCTCATAACTATCACTATCGCCGTTATTGCCGTCTTGCATTGATTCCGATGGCAACGTGAACTGTTGCTTGTACTCATTATTATAATTATCATCATTTTCATTTTGTTGTATATCGAATTCATTATCACTTGAACTATTTTTAACTAATTTTGATTGTGTATCACTACTAAAACTATTACTATTACTAGGATTTAATTTACTGTGAATGGAATTTGTAAATTTCGATGGTGACGACCATTTTGACAACACTGGTATGGTTGATTCTTTCTTCAATTCACTATAATATGCACTTTTACTCAAATCTTTTTTCACATGATGACTACTCAATTTATTGTGTGCGGTTTTATCGTCAAATTGATTATTTGACCTCGATAATGATGACGATGTCGATGTAATACTTCGCTTTGATATTCTGTGTTCGGTTGTACCGTGATGTATTAAATGTATTACTTCATAATTTGGCACTAGTTCGTGGCTTTCTACATGAAATATCGACCTCAGCTGTTCCGACGACATCTTTTTGTGAACCTGAGCGGTGAGAGAAGAAATTATGAATAAATAATTGTTAATTGCAATATTGAAAGTGAAGAATTGTAGCAAAATGATTGATGTGTTCTGACAATAGAAAAAAAAACATCAAAGCATGATTTATGTGAAAAGTTTATTCGAAGTGATCTTATTTCGAAACCGTACTTTTTTTGATTCATAAAGACATTGAGGGTGGTCGAAACGTTCGAACCGAGCGAAGAAAATGCAACATATTGTTCGAATTGCGACTCTGAGACTTTGTCACATGCAAGCTGGTTTCATGCAAAATCGAATGGATTTCAGCTCCAAAAAATAATAATAATTAAAATGAATTTAATTATTGGATTGACATTTAACTGTTTTTTTTCTTCTTCAGAACGGAAACACCTCCAACTGCATTACCGTGTCTATATCCATTGTATAGTGCTTTGTGCATAGCGTATACGTATCCATACCGAGTCAAATACTACGATTGCACAATTTTTCGTATACAAGAAATTGAATCACATTAAACTTGGGTGCTAAAATTATACTCCAACGTTGGAGGTCTATAAAAAATTTCAAATTATAACATTCGCTGATTTTTATTTCTCTCAATGCACACATTAACCTGATATGATTTTTTTTATTTGCTTTCAGTGCTCGGTATTATGCAAAACATGCCCTGAACGCAATCGCTTTTTTTGTCACACCGTTGAACTTTTTTATTGTTTTATTTTTAAACAATTAATAAGATGAAGGTTTATTGTGGCCACGCTCGGTGTATTTCACACATAAAACTTCATAATTGTTTATGGAAATCTTCCCTTCTTTTTATTTGCCGTGCTTCTCCATTTTGACACTAATACTATGTATCTTGAGTTAGGTGGCAGCACGCACATACACAAGAGCCTTAAATAGAATTGCGTATGTATCAATACTGGTATTTTGATCAAATTCACAGGTATTTTGTTCTAACAGGTCCGACTGTGTAAACTGTTATGAGTCGCTACGACTATGCTTTGATGGGAGTAACCAATATTCTGTTTACTATTGGCATAAACATAAGTAGTAAGAGCGTCTCATCGTATGGCCGTGTCACCCGATGTGATTCGTCAATTGCTTACATCGTGAATTCCAGCCAACCGTTATTCAATTTTATATATTTTTCCGTTGAATTGTGATGATATTAAATTCAAACAGAATATTTTTTTTATTATAACTAAAAGAAAACAAAAAAATTATTAAATATTCCTTTCATTTTGTTGAGACACTCCTGAGGCCGTACTTCTTCGAGTGTGGTCGCTCAATGCCAGAACGTCAATGTCGTGATTCAACGTGATATTTTTTTACTCGTTTTGGTTTTATTTGAGATCAGTCACAGTTAAAATTGCAAATTTTCAGACTTGGCTTTGATCGCATGCAGTAAAACCATTATATACCATGTTATTTTTATCAATGTGACTTCTTACACATTTAAACTCTCTTTTGAAAATGGAATGTTAAAAGAGATATATTAATTCCATTGTATCGACCAAAAGTGATTACCACGATTTGTATTTCACGAACATCTTCCAAAGCAATTTATTTGAATTTTTTTTTGGTTCCGACGTGCAAGTGAGATGCTGCGGAAAATGCATAAATCGAATAACCCATGTGTGTCTGTGTGTGATATCCGAGATATGCATTGTGTTTTAATTCTTCATTTTGGAAAAGAATAAAAATGCACACGGAATTGAGCATAAATGATGTGGTTAATAATGAAAAGCACAAAAAAGAAAGAAAGAAAGAGAGAAAAGAGAGAGATGAAATGTCGAAATCAAGTAAGATCAGTTTCGCAATATTTTATGTGTATATGTTTTATATGTGTATATAAACTGAAATATGTGGAACTTGTCGATTTAGTTGGGCGATAGCTATAAGTCTTATAGGAAATATGTAGAATGTGTCCTAAGTGTCAATGACACATTCGATTAACAGCGTAACACAAAGTTGTTTCAAGGTTAACATTACATTTTGTGTTGTTTTCGTTTCAACATTGCTGTTACTGATTGCTCACTTATGGTTTTTGATTCTCTCATTTCATTCATATTCTGGATTATCGACTTGATTATATTATTTATTTATTTTTATTTATTTATTTTTTCGGCAATTTGTAAGCCGAATACACACATACACACCTTTTTAATGCCCGAAAATGTTGTAAAAGAATCACTTGAATCGATTGAGATTCTACATTAATGGCGATTCATCGATGAACATTTTACGCTAAATCAATCAATCGAAGCAGATGTAAGCACATTGATTAGAATGTGTGACGCATGCGTATCGTATTTTTCATTTCATAATGAACGGTTTTCTTTTTTATTCTCAAACACAACGTGTGGCCAAAAGGCATTGCAACCACGTCAATAAAAAATAATCGATTCTTGGCAGACATTGTACAGCCAGCTGAAAATATCGCAGTTGAATGTCTGATTTAAAACAAACACGCACTTTTTACACAACGTCGTCTGTGTTATTGACTTCTGCTGTAGTCGACATCGCTTCTGCTCAGAGGTCCGACAATAAATATTTCTATTTGTAGGTTTTTTTCACTGAAATTCGCTCCCATATAATCAATTTTGAACTTTTTTGGTTATTCATTTTTTGGAGACCAAATTTCCCCTCTAGATTCGAACGAAAAAAATTTGGACTACCCCCTTGGGTCATCAACTTCAGAAGTTATGATAGTCAATCCATTCAGCTATGGTATGGCCTCTAGGTCTCCCGGATCAAAGTCGCAAGGCTCCGAAGATTTTTAATGACTTTATGATGATGTTATTTTGAAGGTACATTTTAGGTACAATTATTATCAGCCATAAAAATTCAAAAATATCTTCGAGTTTTATTTTGGCTAGTTGACCAGCAAATTGAAGTGCCCCGAAATGTGAACCTCAAATATTATCCAAATGAGTAAGGTACAATTAAAAATAAATTGCGGCACAATTAAGTACATTTTTGGTACAATTATTTAAACCTAGTCCCAAGTTTCGACTTTCACATGTGCGGACATTCGACTATACATCCAAGATTTTCTGTGGCCAATTTTGCCAACTTAAAAAAAAATTCTGACAGCCAAAATTTATAGTTCAATCACTCTCCCCCACTCAACAGGCGACATAACTTAAAGGACTTGTTGGTATTAAAGTAGTAATTTTGTAAATATCGTCACAATATAGATACGCCTGCCACCAGGCGTTTACTGGTTAGTGTATTGTCGTGTGGGTTGTGTTCCAATTCATTTGAGGATTGTCATAGAACAAAATTTGGAGTGTTCAACAAGTTTGGTTAGTTTGACACAGTTATTTGGAAATAACAAATTTGGTTGGAAACTTTCACAAGTTTTATTGATTCACTTCCATTATGGGTAATTGCCAAATTGGTAATGCCAATGACCAGAAAATATGATAATTTCTCTCATTTTTTTATTGCTTTTAGAATTTGAAGTGCAGAAAAGTAAGTAATTTCGGATGTAAGGCCGAGGTGTATATTTTAAATAAATATTGATCATAAATGCCTTCTAATCACCAAAATCAATTTGGATTCTTCCAAAACGTTCATTTATATTATCACAGCCAATCTCAATTGTGTGATATTCTTCCATTTCTTCAATAAAATTTAATATCTCATAGTATGCATTCATCTAATTCAAAGACAAACGTGAAATTTGATCAAACTTTTTTAACACTTTTTCAAGGCTTACTTTTATTTGTTTTTTTTTTTTTGGGTTTAAATAGAAATAATTTTGAAACTTTTTTTGCCATATCAAATGTGAGCACAGAAAAAAGCGAATTTCTATTAAATAATAATTTATGAATAAGGCATAACCAATGAGAATGTATTCGATTGTGCTGAACGCCATTTTTTCTTCTTTTTATTTTTATAACTTATCTATGCCAGTGTTATTTATATGCTCTCTGTTTTCCTCCACATAGCATTATTTCCACGCTTGTTTGTCAAGTGTTTTGAAGGTCGTTATTTTTTTTTTTTTTTGTTAATTGTGTAACATGCATACTATTACTTTTCGTGCATTTGGTTGGCTGTTGTGTGTGTGTGTTTTTTTTTATTGTTTGTTTTTTGTGTATATTGAATATTTGAAACATGGCTACATGGTAGCTTGCAAAATGTGTGTATACAAATATTCGTTTTAACAGTCGTCAGTAATAAGTGCATACATTTTAGTACTTCCGAAAAAAAAATTTAAATCTCATTAAATAAACTCACGAAAACAATCAACACTACTGTGTCACGAAAATTATTCATATTTGTTTCGGATCTTATTTTTGTTTTTCGAAATCATTCACATTCACACTTTGCGATCACCACGATCGATGCTATTTGGAAATAGTAAAAGATCTTCAATCCAATATATGGTATGGATCGAATTTTTTTTTACGATATCGTTATATATTTATGGAATTAATCAAATTAAATAAAACGGCATTTTGAATTCTTTGTGACACATGCCGACATAAAATGTTCACTAAAAATGGTGATATGGAATTTATTTTAGAAAAATACTTACATCTGGTGAGGCTAAACAAGTTGACAACAGTGTCCATGTAAATAAAAGTAGATACCGATTCATCATTTTGCTGCTTTCGTTTGTCTTAAGTTACACCGTGAATTTTTTTTAGGCTGTAAAAATAAATGAAGACATAAACAACAAGATTATTTAAATGAAGAAAAAAAAACATGATCTAAGTTATAGATAATTTTAGTATGGTTTATGCTTTTCTAATCTTAACACTCCGGCTAAACTAGACAAAATTGTGCTCACACATTTTCATCATTTAGAATGATGTTTTGTTTTAGTATAAAATATTATATAAAAACTTATCATAATATAGTAAATTCGTCGACAATCTATTTCAAAATGATTGTTTTTGTAAAAATCACTGCTTGGAACAAATTCACAATTCCCAATACAATCGACACAATATTACAAAGGAACCAATTCCCCAATGCGTTTTAAATTATCGAAGGGCTACTAATTTATTTGAAATAAACAAAAAAAAACGATCCGCAATAAAACAAACACTTATGCCTACCATAATTCACCAAAATCGCCATTTGTTATACAACAAACAAAAATGAATTTAAAAAAACGAAAGAAATAAACCACTAAAAACAAAAGACGGCCTATTTGAGTGAAACAAACTTTCATGTTGTTTTCTTCTCTGTTTAAATGTTATTTAATTATTTTGAACCTATATTTTTTTTTTCATTTCCAATGTGTAGTGAAGTGTTTGAATTTGAAATACACTTTCTTCAATTTTATTATGTCTATAATTGTTATATGAGCCATAGAATTCGTCTTCGTTGGTTTATCGATGTAATACATTCAACGTTTTATGCTGGTGCCAAAATTATCAATACCTGCAGATGTTCAGTGCAACAAAAATTAACATGTTCTGTAGCGGAAAACTTTCAGCAGAAAAATTGACATATCACCGAAATATAATCCAACCGTAAAACAATTATTATCTTTGAGCAAAACCATTTGATTGACTGAACATGTTAAAAGTGTCATATTGACAGAAAAAAAAATGATTTTAATTCATTTCGTTCCATTGATAACCACTTTACAATATGTTTGAAATTCATTCATGTAAAGTACACGATGAGCTATTGTTTTCACAACAAATTTGGGCTTTATTTTAAATAAATAAAATAAACCTTGACCAGACATTGTGTACATAAACAAAGTAATAAATCGAATAGCATTGAATAGCGTAAACTAAACACATGGCTCTAACAAAATTGCCGATCACTCAGAACTATTATTTGGTTTCGTTCGTTTCATTCTCGTTGGACTTTTTTTCCTCTCTTTTAATTCATTTATTAAAAAAAAAAACCCGCACATAGTTATTTATTTTGACATTTTATTTGTCTTCATTTGTATGAAATGTGATCTATTCATTGGTTTTAACATTTATTCGTTTGGTATTTGCAACTTGTAATTTTTACAAGCTCTAATTTGTGCACATGATTCAGTTAGCCAAACAAAAAAAAAACATATGTAGAGCACCAATGTTATTGCAGAGCCATGTCCTTGTAAACAGACTCTTAGAGAAACATGTACATATCTAGAATCATTTATTGTTTTAGATTTTGTTGCGACAATATTTACTCACTCGCCAATATTCGAGAGTTATGTATGCGTCACTCGCTTATTGGTTTAACACCAAATAGCCGCAGAACTCTCATAGAAAACCTTAACTTTATCATAATAACCAGTTTTCGAGTTTATTTTGCAAAGAACGAATTCGTATTTTTACGACCAACAATGTTTGACATGGCGTTACAGCTGGTATTTGCGGAAATTCATGAAGAGGTTCACCTCATTTCATCGCAAGTGTTCTCCACATGTATGAGTCGATTGGGTTAATGGATATTTAAATATATGATCACAATTATTTCAAGTAAATCACATAGTTACAATCGAATTTTTGATATCAATTTGAACGATGTGCAATAAGGAATCGAAACTATGTTTGAATTCTGTTCGATTTTGTTGAATTAGGCTTGATATTCTTAGCGCAGATAATACTAAAATTAAAAAAATACTTCTGTCCGACGACGGTTAAAATTGAATTTGCGGAATTGGAGAGTCCATTGTACCCCATGCTGTACAAAAACAAATAAAATTTTTGAGAAATTCATAAGGAAGTACAGATCAACTGTTGAATAATATGGAACGTTTATAAATGTATTTATAGTACGATGCAATCATTCAGCACCGTCGTTCCATGAGTACATTTTTCGCAATTAAACTGGTAAGTGTGTGAATTGTGTGTGACAACAACAAATAACAAATAATATTATTAAGTTTAGCATTCATGCTATTGCACACAGAGAGTGCTTAAAGCAATCAATGACAGTGCCACACCTTCATTTTGATGATAAATAATTGAACGCACAATATACTTCAAATAAAGTATGTATTTCCTAGATAAACCATGTCGATCGTTTATATCAGACATTTTTTTAAAGGTATGGGGTTTTTTTCTTCTTTTTTTGAAATATATGCAGCTTTTATTACGATTGATGTTTATAGATGCTATTCACATTTGTTTGAAGCATGTCATTAAAAAAAAACCATCAGAATAGTTCAATGTACGTTTTTGTTGAAACAGGCTCTCCCTTGTTTATCTGTATTTAAAAGTGTTCAAATAGGCAAACGAAAGCTAAGCCAAAAAAAAAATCATTCAGTTATTTTCCCATAAAATCATTCACTTCTAGATTGTGATCCACCTTTTTAAATCATAAGAATGTTGGGCGATTTTGGCTGCTAAGATCATTTTCTAAAATGAGTTATAATGAGTGATATATATTCATGAAACATGTGACAAATGTGTCAGTCGGGCCAGCACGAAATTATACGAACCAAATTTGCTGCCTAAATTATTTGAATATATAACCTACACGTTAAACGTGTTATGTACCACATTTGTTTTTTATTTATATTAAGTTCGGTAATTCGTGGTTTCAGTTGCCTTTAGTGTTTTTATTGTAGGTTTTTTTGTGTGATAATTTAATCATTCACACTATTTTCAACCTAAATGGATACTATTATTATAATTTTACAAAAAAAAAAAAAATGTTTTTTTATATGTCCACACAGATTTGTTTATTTATTTAAAAAGCGAGTGTAGATAGGGGCTCCTCATGATTTTTGGGAGATAAAACGGATTTTGTCCATTAGATCATTTTCTTTCGATGTGAATTAATCATCTTTTTGGTGAATCATTGATCGTTTCCCTTGAATTGCATGTTTCGAACAGTAAACAATAGGTCTTCCAATAAAATCCAACAATTTAATAGAACCATAGGCATATTGATAGTCTCGTGAAAAATAATCAATTGTCTTGATAAAGACTAAATAAGACTTTAATTATTAAAATGTCTGAATGATGTAGTCGACGCAACAATGGATGCTTGTTGTTGGTTGATTGAAAAAAATAAAAATGTGAAATAGGCTTCCGACATTGTTGATCCCACACTTTAAAACGAAAACGGAAAACGTTAATTCATGGATTTGCTTTAGAAATAATTGTCGAAATGAGGCAAAAACGAAATATGCAAAAGAAAGTACATCCGTTGGAATAAAATAAGAAACAAAAAAAAACTGGGTGAAATTGTCTGTGTGCTTTTTTTTCTTCTCTCTAACAATTATCAAGAAATTACATTGATATTTTATACTGTAAAAGTGAGATTCGCATTCGAAATGTTGCGGTAAAAGATCACTTTGCAGCACAATGTAACAATAGTATTTAAAAAGTGTTTTTAGTTTTATGCATGTGCGCAGACTAAGAAATATATATGTATATTTGTTAAAATCGTACGGATATTCGATTACATTTCCAGCATAAAGCTCGGAGCATCTATACCACAAAAGTTTTATGAGTGGTACACACACACATACAATATTCAGTGCTTTTTGCAATAGACATAGCATTCTTTGAGATTTCGTGTGAATAAGATGTGCACAAAGTGCAAACAACATGAAAATGTGATGCAGAAAAACAAGAGCCCAATTAAAAGTTAAGGAAAATATATATATATATGTATCCCAGTAAACAATACATCAGTAAAATAATATGCAAAAAAGAAAGAAAATACGAATAAAACTAAAAACAATAATAAAAATATCTCTTGTTGCGCGTATTAACACGCATGTTATTACATATCTCTGCACAACACATAATATATATATTTTTCATTTGTTTTTGTTTTTGTTTAAAAAAATTCGTATGCGATGTGTGACTGAGCTTTACTATGAGGAATTGAGTCTGCATAAAATCGAAAACAAAGTTGGTGTGTGCATTTTTGATTAAAAATTGAAAGTATTACATTTGTGGGTCGGAAACACACAGATAATAAACTGTACATTTTCAAGTTGGTGTTCCGCGTATGTGTGTGCAAGCACTTTTCTCTATGTACTGTCTGTATGTCTGTCTGCCAGTCTTTCTTTCTTTCTAGCCGTGCCATGCGAATATTACATTTACTCGGATAACCATTATGGTATTTATGTGCAGCAAGAAAAAAATACAACAAACATTATAAGCTTTTTGTCATAAAATATCAAAGTGAACCAATCATCTACATTGTAGCACTATGTTCCGCAAACACATTTCATAATCTAAATAATTCTTCACACCCTGATAACAAGTAGTTTTTTTATTATTGAATGCAAAGTTCATCTCTCTCTCTTTCTCTCTGGGTGTCTCTCTATTTCGCTAGTTGTTTGCGGTGTTACAAATGGGGCAATTTTTCGAGCATAAAATTTGCAATAAATATGTAAAATTTCTTTCTCTCTAAAACCAATACCAGTTTAATATCATCGGAAGACTGGTTTCATTTATCTTTAACAGTATTTACTGTCATTCATAAACAGGCTAATTTACTTGTTTTTTTTTAGCACAGACCTGTTTTCCTCTCGCACATACATGTAATACAGGAAGCTTTAGGTTACTCAATTGAAGAAAGTATGTCAGCGGTAAGGTTTTACGTACCTTCCGCTATACAATTCGTTCTGATTGCCCAATTCAAACCATGTCATGTGACTCACATGTACCATACTTCAACTTTTGTCTACTGCACTTCTTCTCACATATTTCGAATTAAAAAAACAAAACAAAACAAAATACACCACATACACAACAACAAAATTATAAATGAAGGTCTTTTTGTCATTTTCGCGCTCAGTGCTATAATAATAGTTTTAGTACGTGCGCCATTCAAAAAGTTTAAGATGTGTTTCATTTTATTTTATGTTTGCTCTGGTTATGAATATTTACATATTACTCAAATATAATAAATGGATTTATAAAAAAAAAACTCAACTCTTTGACCAACAAGTACAAATGTGACCCAAAATGTGCACAATAAACGATGTATATGCCATGGACAACTCAACTAACATGTCTATTTCCAAGCAATCTACTAATATAATGTTTTTATTATTATTATTCAATAAGCAGCGGACAGTTGACTTTTCCTGTAGTTTGCGTAAATGTTTTTTCGGCCTTATTTCAATTCGTTTTTTTTTTCTCTTTTTCAAACAAATAAAGAACATACTATATTATTAGCATAGTTTAAATTGATGTAATATTTATTTATATATTACATTTGATAAATTACGCTGAAAACCATCTCAAAGTATTGCCACATGCACGGTAAAATAATCATTGATATTTCTCTTTTGCATAATTTATGTTTTTCTCTGCGAAAATATTATGTGTTTTGCCTCAGAATTAATGGAGTGCATAGCATTACCGATGCACAAAAGTAATCAGCGTAATAATCAGAAATTGTATCAAATTTGTCATTTTCCAGTCATTGGTCATTGTCATTTTTGTTTTGGAAATACCCGAATCAAGAATAATCAAATGCAATGTTTGATGCAATATCTTTTTGGCGCCTTTTAGGTTTTGAACAAACCACGGAACACACCCAATTTGTCTATATTTGATGGGTTTTTTTTAAATAACTTTTTGGTTTTTTTATCATGAATTTCGTTTTGCTCATGTCCAAATTGGCAGACACGGTGAATTGGTGAAGTATCATATGGATTTATATTTTGCAGAAAATGCAATTACTAACTGTGTTTGAATTTTTATGTTTGACACTTCGGAGTGAAGCAGAGTATCAATTTAAAAAAAAATCGATCACCCACAAGATGATCGAATGGTTTTTTCCAAGTTATTTTTGAACAGTCATGGGTTCTTTTATTTTGCTTCAATTTACAAAAATCATAGGGTAGAAGTAGATGTTGGTAACATAACAACATGTTGGTATATTATAAAAATTCATAACTCCGAATGGAATAAGGTGGAAAATGTTGCAAGATTTTTCTTTGTAGGTCACCAGAAAAATTTCCGTGGAAATATTTTTTCAGCGTTAAGATCATCCAGAATAAGACATTCCGAATGACGTAGAAAACAAAATCAAATGAATGAAAAAAAAACTTGTTCTCATAATGAAATAAAAACACAAATCCAAAAATGTTATGACTAAGGTGATATGATGAAAGTCACGTGTATAATTTTTCATATGTCATTCAAATCGTTGTATGAGCCATGGCGAAGCTATAAACAATGTAGTCAATATCAACCAGACGGTCTTGGTGCCCATTTAATGTAATCTTAAAGTTAAACGAATCCCCATTTTTTTAATGAGTTGAAATCATATTGTTCTTTGGTTTTTGCCAGACGAATTCCGAAAAATAAATTTGTTCTCATTACTTTAGCTAATGTATAAAATGTAATTTCAACCGCAATCAAAATCTAAAATAAATGACTATTGTTCAGTGTACTCACCAGTTCAAATGTATAAGCAGAAATAGCTTTGACCCTTTAATAGTGATAATTAAATGATTGCTGCGTGAGTGTATGTATGGTGGATACGTTGATCAGGGGGATGAGTTTTGATATTACTTTTGTCCCTGTGGCGTGTCTATCTTCGGTAACAAAAATGATCAACAGCCTTGAAGTTTTTTGGTGTTTGTTTTGTTTTGGTGAACTCGTCTAAATGGTGTGTGCGTTTGCGTATTCTATGGGAATCACATTCAATTTACAATTGACACAAATGAATCTTTGATGTCGTTGGTGCTTCTATCTTTTATTTCTGCAAAAATTCACGGTTTTCTTGGTTCTTTTCTTATATTTGGATTATTTTATGCTCTCTTTTTTTTCGTTGAATGTGATTGATAACTCACTTTGAAATAATTCATAGACACAATCATTAAAATACACAATATAAATTATTGCTGATTTGTTGTTGTTGTTATTGCTGTTGTTGTTGTAGGTAACTTCAAACACACTTCACAGATGAATATGACAATGATAAACACACTACCACATTGAACCTGCAAGGTATTCCTTCGGTTTTTAGCTATATACACCTCATAATTGTTTACAAAAACACTCTGCTTCGTTTACAAATCCATTTTGTTGGATTGTTACTGCAAATGATTACAACTGCAAATCCACAAAACAAAAGAAAGAAAAAACAAATCAATTATATTAGAATATTAACAGCGTTTATTTAATAAATAAATGATGAAGCGAATGGATAAGGGTGTTGTTTGTATTAAGTAGCCAGAATTCATGATATTATTGGCACGATATATTATAATTTTTCATTGTATCCATGCTGCTATTGGGTTTTTTTGCTCTCGGTTATTGTTTCAATTATAATGCAGTGTTCATTTATTAAATGTGATACATGAATATGACTAATTTTTCTGTAGTCCCGATTTGTATGACGTATGTGGACCAATGATGCATGCTACTATTGCACGCGCTCGTACTTAGTTAGAATGACAAAAGTGGGTACATTACTTGGGTCAATTTTTCGACATATTCCGTAGGAAAATATTCTGATTTTTTTTATACTTCTAAATCAATTTCGTTCAAAAGTTCGTATACTCCCTAGAATGATTTGGCTGTAAATAAAAGTGACATAACGAAAGTCAACTCATGCTCTCGCTTATGGGAATTGCCGTAAGTAGAAGAAGAAGCTGAGATTTACCAAGTCATTTCCATTCGTAACTAGACAATTTCTTCTGTACGCGACTTACAAATATTGTAAAATGATATGCAACAATTGAGCAGACAATATATTTAGCTGCCGTCATCTGGATATTTCAGCTCATCTGGATGCCGTCAGCAGATGATGCGAAGTGAAAGCAATAGAAATGATTGTTATATTAATACCAGTATATAACAAGCTTATATACCTATAACAATCACTTCTATTGTTTTTACTTCGTATCATCTGCTGACGATATCCAGATGAGCTGTAATATCCAGATGACGACAGCTAAATATATTGTCTGCAATTGAGAAATTCGTTGTTAAAGAGAAGACTCTGTCGATCGAAAATTACCGTACACATTATTTTATTTATACGAAATGTGATTTATCTTTCATGATAATTTTACGCATTATGTTTTCAATGGGCGGTGCCCGCTATGGAAATATAAAATGGAACAATGCATATTGAATTATTTTTGATAAATCGATGAAAAATATTTAATAGCAGTTTCATGGTAATTAGTATTATTATTATTAAAAGATAAAATTAGTTTTATTATTAAAATTCACTATATATTCAATTTTCATGCAATCTTCAATTTAACCAGTGTCGTTGTAAACCTTATAGACTTTTCTGAATAAAAAAAATGATTGTGAAAAGGGAATTGCTACATTCCATAAGCTATCGATTGTATACACATAATATTATTTTTATGTATTGATGTTTTTTTTAAAAACAATGTCCATTCGTCAAGTTGACAGTTTAACCAATCAAGCTCCGGGGTTAAGATTGAAAAAGACGTGAACAATTTTCGAACTGCGTAAAAAAACGCCGGAAATTACGAAAAGAAAAATATGTTTGAGCTTTGGAGTATCTGTTGTGCAAAAGAAACGTACATAAATTCCTCTGCAATTATCCAAATAGTTTGAGAAGCATTTGGATTTTCATTATAATTGTAATTTAATTGAATTCAATTCAATTGAGGCCAGTAAGCCAGTCGAATGACTATGTTGCTCTCTCTCTCTCACACACACACACCCTCTCTCCCAAGAATCATTGGAAAATTGACGAAAATATGAAGTGAATTAGTGTGTTGAATGTTTGGCGAAATGGCACATTTGAAATTACAATATTTAGATGAAACTTCCGCAAAAACACTTTATGTCCGCCTTTCTAAACAGATAAAAAAAGAATGGTTGAAACAAGAGGTGCCTTCGCGGTGTGATCTGTGATTCCCTTCGATATCATCTCAACATCTTTTTATGAAAAATCATTTTCATTGATCTATGAAATTGATCTGTGGTATTATTTTTTCTCCGTGGTATTGGTAGTCAAACAAACGTGATACTCCCATTATGCACTATCTCAATATGAATTTTTATTATTTTCGAAAGGTTGTATTTGGCATTTTCAATAGATGCATCTGCCTCTGCCTGTATGTCTCAATTTATAATTTGGAAAATATTAGCGCCGTGAACTATGAGCATGTAATTTGGTTCATTTGAAATAATATTTGGTGAAAACAAGATAGAAGACCTTTGGCCTACGAAATGGTTCTGTCGATTTTTTGCATCATTTTTTTTTTAAATAATAAGATGGTGTTACGGTCTCCGGCACCGCACCTGATCTCTTAGAGAGACAGAGTGCATTTGCATTGCTGCTTGAATCCAAAGTCGTTGTTTTTCTCTCTTTAAATATGTTATTTTACCTTCATGTCTATTTTACGGTTTGTTAAACATCAAATAGTGATTTGACAATGATGTGGCATAATAACACATAATATGAATGGTTATATTTTTTCTCTTCATACTATTCATTCAGTATTACAATGTTTTTTTTGTCATGAAAAAAAAGCGACAACGACGACGATGAAAACGACAACGACAACAACAACAACAAAGACGACATCATTATTCTTGAAATCGCGAATCTATATATAATCAACAATTTTCTCTTTCTCACTTATGCTGCTCGTTTGACTGCTCTCTTCAAACTATTGTATATGTTTTTTTTTTCTATTTTCACATTATCTATTGTAATTTTTCATAGATTCATATTATAAACACTGTAATCACACATAGAATACGTTGAAAACGGCAAACGTAGTTTTCAAGCAAAAACATTTTTTTTATATTAAAGACAGCATTAACCATGATTATTGTTATTTTAAATACAAACTTGCACAATATAAATACAGACAGACAGACACATACGAAAAACCATACGAACACACACACACATAGTATACTTCGGCACTTATGTACGTGTTACTCACGTCCAATGTATTAAATATATGCCTAAAAAGCAAATGCAGTGTAGAAAAATCACTTTCTCTTGACTCTTTATTATATAGTTTTGTTGTAAATACAACTCTATGAGTATATAAAAAAAAGACATATAAATGTATCTTTTTCGGTTTTCTGTACGTATCTCTCTCTCCTCTTTCAATGGTTATGTCGTGTGTGTGTTTTTTTCTTCTCTTGGACGACGAAATGTAAACACGAAGACTCGTAAGATCAGCAAATTGAATGATCGCGAAAGAGGAAAAAAAGACTACTATATACACGGCGCACATATTATTATGGCCGTCACACACAGTCTTTTCCTTGGCACTCTTCCCTGTGTTCAATTTTCGAGTTAAAAATTATCATGATGCAGAGAAGAAGATGAAAAAAAAAGATTTAACCATTCAAACATATATGCGCGCGCATATACACATTTTAAGTTAATGTACACATATCAGACACCGAAGAAGCTAACCAATTTTTTTCTTTCTTCGTTCAATTTAAACAATTGCATGGCAAACAAATTTTATGATTAATTTCTTTAGTATCTTCTTCTTTTTCTGTTAGACTACTTTTTGAGCATAACAATAATAATAAAACTCTTTTTTTTACGAAAATAATTCCAAATAAAAGCAAATAAATAAACAAACAAACAATACCAAAGTTGAAAAAAAGAAGAAGAAGGCAGCAGCAGCATGGCAATTGTGCACTACATGGTCTCTGAACAAGACTAATTACTGTGAAGTATACACAGAGTGGTAACAAACGAGTCCATTGTTCTCTTTTGGACGAAGCGACGCAATAAATTGCAAATAAAATTTCAATAGCGAAAATTGTGAAGTGAATCAATTCGACTCAAATTCACAAAAAAAAAATTGAAAGTACAATGTCTTTGAGAACTTTCCACTTGCTATGAATACGTACATACACATTCATAAATATGCTTGCCGACAATCAAATGGATAAATGATTTTTCAAAAATAAATGTGTTTCGATTATTTGCTCGTATTTTGACTATGGTTATATCTTTCGTTGAAGATATCATCGTCAATTACATTCGATACACACAGAGAGAGAAAGAGAGATAAATCGTTTTCATTTTCTACGCTTTTCAAATTTAATATAATCTCTTCTTTTCTTGTTTGCATCTAAGATCGTCTATCTTGGTGAAAATTATACATTTACAAAACAAAACAACAACAACAAAAAAAATTGTCATTAAAAAATCTCGAAGTTCTGTCGTTGGCATTTTCGTCTGTGAAAACATATACACATAGCGTAAGCTTGTGTCTCTTTAAAAAAATTGGTTTATGGATCGCTGTTGCGTAATTTCCCAATGAAAATGCATCGAGTGCCTGCACCCACAATCCTGTATATATAATATTAATGCATTCAACAGCCGACGCAGTGGTGTGCATTCTGCAAATGCAACTGAGTGTGTTTTTTTTATATAGTTTTTGTGTTGTTGTTGTTGTTGTTTTTTTTCTTCTTTTTGTCGTCGTATAGTAATGTAAGCACGGAATGAATAAATAATTTTGATGAAAAAAAATTATGCAGTTATTCAATAAGCATAAAAAAGCTTGTGTAATGAGTATATCTATATGAACGACTGCGGCTGCTGTTGCTGGTACGTATGTGATGGTGGAGTTGGCGATGGCTACGTTAGTATGAGTGGTTTCGTCAGTGGCATACACGCGATATTTTCAGATTTACCTTTTACTCAACTTAACGATTACATTTTATTTTATTTTACCACATTTTTAATCGTATTTCGCGCATACTTTTATGCACACAAACACTTCGTGTCTTTTCGGTATTTAGTCAGCCGAATGGCTTTGGATTTGGTTCGTATATATAGTTTTTTTTTCTTGGCTATATACTAAGCATAAAATATATACTTGAAATCGTGTTGAGCTGTTTGCTGTTTGCTTTTGTTGTTACCTTTTTATGTTTGGTAAAAAAGAGTTTTCGTTAAAGGTTTTTCAATTCGAATTTATGCACTTAATCATCCATTTAGGAAGAATACCAATGGGGCATTTGGGCGGAATGCAGGAAAAATATTACACACTCTAAACACAATTTTCATGCAAACGATCTAGACGTGGTGTATGCGTTTCTGTGTGTGCGAGTGAGTGTGTGTGCGTGTGTGGTTGTGGTTGTGGCTGGATTGGGTGTATTTATTATAAACGAATTTAAACACGTGTGGTATTTATTAAAATTTCTGTATTTCATTCTTTGCTACATATAGCACAAAATGTTAAGCACACATATTGGTATTTATGAAGTGTGAGCTGGAGTCGAAAAAAGCACCATACTCGTTTCGGTTGTATGAATGTATTTTCTCTGTGTGTACACGTACAGTATATGATTTCGATTTTTTATATTAATAATAACACCTTTTTCTTCGATGTTTATGAAATGTATTTTTCTAACGGCAAACTTCGTTAAGTATGTTACTTTTAGTTTTTTTTCGCTTCTTCTGATCGCTCTCCTTTTCTCTATCAATCTATCCGCTGTCTATGTGTGCCGTTTTTGTCTTGCTTTGCATCAACTTATTACGATTATTGTAAACTTGCACACACAGCATAATGAAAATGAAATTGAAATAAATTTGTGTACATAAAGGCGATTTACGAATTCATCTAAAGCGAAACCAACAACAACCCATTGCCCATTTTTTTCTTTCTTTCTACATTTTGTTTGTTGTACACTATAATATACAATTTCTTTATTGAATTAATTTTCTGATACGATTCTTTTTCCTCACAACCACTCATTCACTTAAAAGTTTCCATTTCGTTGTGTGCTGTGTTTTTCTTTTTTTCTTTCATTAGGGCCGATCGAAATTGGCTCACAAAAACAACAACAACAACAAGATATTCAGAATCAATGCAACAGAAAATTAAATGCGAACGAAAATAAATGTGTGTTTGGATGTTTTGGAGCTGAAAGTGCGAAACACAGACAAAAAGCAAAATGCACACCGAATCTTTCTTTCACTTCATTCCGAAATGGACCAATAGTTTCTTTTTCAAATGCTGAATTTGAAATTTGCGATCGTAAATATTCAGTTTTTTTTGGTAAGATTTTCATTTTTTTTTGTTTTGTTTCTAGCTCAAATAAATTGAACAAACCATTATTGGAATGGCTAATTACACATACACACAATATCACCTTAAAATGATGATGAAGAAGAAATAAAAGCCAACGCAAAAATTGAAGAAGAAAAAACCAACGACACTGAAGCAATAGATACACACAGTCTCTTTTCCTTTCGCTAACATTTGAAAATTGGACACTTTTTTCATGTTTCGTGAACACACGCAAATAAATGTGCACGAATTCAAACGTATACAACATTTCCAAATGTAAAACGGACAGCTTTGGCGATTTTTTTTCTCTTTACATATAAAGGCATTTCTTCTCTTTCTCTCTGTCACACTCTCTTTCTTTCTCTTTTTTTCTCTCTTTCTGTCTGGCAACATAGTGCTCTCAACCTATTCCCCTTCCTCATTGTCACCAATAAACAGCATATTCCGATTAATTATCTGGAATGGATTTTTATCGTCGTCGTCGTCGCTTTTCGGTCTTTTTTTCATTCATTCTAATGCTGACTTTATATATCAATCGTATTTGAATTTAATATTTTGTAATGATTAGAAATTCGTAATTTTTCGTATTCAACGATCGAAACTCATTCATATTATAATATGTGTTGTTTGACTTGAAACCGGTCGCAGAAATCCAAAACGTCTGAATCGATTCATTCAAAATTATTTACGATTAAAATTTTATATCGAACACACAATACATCGTACATAAAACAAAACATAATTTGACAAAAAAAAATAAATAATACTATCAACAATATAACACCAACAACAACGAACGAACAATGACACAAACACACAATATCCATACGTATTAATAAAATTAAAAAAAAAATCACTTTTAATTGAAATTCAATTGACGAATGTACATGCGATTGAATAAGGAAACATCTACGGCGACAGTGATATGCAAATGAAATAAAAAAAGAAGAAAGATTTAAATTTCACACACACTAACGGTTATGACCATCTTCTTATACAGATCAGCGCACACTGAAAGCATAACTTAGAAATCGCAAGTTATTTTTCTTAACGATCGTAGAGGGGATATACAGTTAATTATTGTGGTAGGAGGTGAACTCTGTATCACTTGTTTTCGTCTGTACAACGGATCGCGAAAGCAGCCGTTTGGTTTGCTTCTTACTTCGATGGGGCTTTTAAGCGTTCAGCTCACTAGGCATTTCATGCTTAACATTTTTGGTCTTTTGGCCATTCCATATGTCTACTTATATTGTAACAACACCAATAGCAACAGCAAACCGCAACTTACAACAACGGTCTAATAATTACAGCTACTGTATTTCTTTTTTCACCTCAAACTTAAACAAAAAAAAAATTACTTTTTCGTACTGTGAGTTTCATAACAATTACAACCACATTTTTTTTAAATAAAAATATACGATTATTTCAATCGATTTTTGTCGGTTCACTTTAAGCATTATCAACGATTATTTTAAAATAAATTTTTTAAATTCCACAATAAATACCATATTTTGTCTCTATACAAAAAATTTCTCTATTTACATCGTAAAAAAATCACATTTTTAAAAGAAAAAAAATAAACTCTGTTATTCCTGGAGAGACATAGAGCAAAAAAAAGTCTCTCGGTGTGGGATTCCACCGTAGTCGAATTTAGTGGGCTTAAAAACGTTTTAACATACAGACTTTTTTTAATAAAAAAAAGATAAATTGGCATTTAGCACTTTTAACAATATTCGTACGGTAAATCTGCTTTCCGAATCCATATACGAAAACTAATGAATTAATAAATGCACAAATAGATATAAGAATAAATCAACTAGTTCTGAGCGCAAGTTTTTTTCTTCTCTCCTGAACTTATTCTGATTACATAAGATGAAATGAGATATCAGTTTACATTGCATTTATTTCGTTTTGCGGCGATTTTCGTTATGTAAATTTTGTAAAACAAAACAACGGTAAATTTACTCCCATGAATTTGCTGCCATCTTTTCATATATCAAATATGAATCAGGTTCGTGTCATGAATCGAATATTGATCGTTTTTTTTTCCAAAATTTGAAACCAAAATACAAACTTTCTTCGAACGTCCGTTTATTTAAAGAATTTTGTTTTTGTTGATACATTCGGAGTTAGTATCCAAAATTGACTTAACCGTTTTCTACTCATTTGAATAAAACAAAAGACATGACCTAATGCAATCTAATGAAAAAATTTGAAAAACTTTACCCTTTGAAATGCCGATATCTGTTCTTGACCCTCAAAATTCTAAAACGGGTCAAAATTAAGCAAATATTTTATGAGAATTTATTTGCGTCATAAAGATAGTGTGTCGCATATTCTGTGTGATGATTATTTTCTATGAATTTTTATATGTTTGCTATCTAAATCCGCCTAAATCGGCATAGAACATTATTATTATAAAAGTTCAAATTTTATCAAAAAACTCATAACATTTTAATCACCAATCGATTGCGACTGTCTAACCACTTCAGATCAGACTTCACGGCGTGTCAAGTTATGACTTGCCACTTTTTAATTTCGATTTTTCTTAGAAATTTAGCATTAGTAAATCGTTTTAATTTCTCAATACAAAATTTATATATAGTATGCTCAATTTGTGTGTCTCGGCTCGGTGTGTTTTTTCTCTCTCTTCAAATGCAACTATTGATGATATTTATTTGACTTTCGGTTCGTGGTTGACTTGACTTTGAACCTATTATAATCAAATTCAATGCGACTATCGACGAGATATAAAAGAAATTATTTGTTTATCACGTGATTCAACAACAAATAATAATGTTGTCTGAATTTTATACCATGCCAAAACTACGTCACTTTATTACAAATTGAAATTCATTTAGCTATGCAAATAAAATGCCATTCATTTAAAAACACATTGAAATCGGCTGTGGATTGACTTTAATTGCGAAACATAAACGCTTTTTCCGAAAAAATAATGACGAAGGAAATGTATGCACTTAATATATATATATATATATGTGTGATTATAGTAAAAAAATTTTTTCTAGGGGCATTTCAATCGAAAATCGAGGTAAAAATTCGGTTCGAGAAATTAATTTGTATGTTGAACATTTGAAGGGCACTTCACCTTTGATGAAATCACTAATTTTTCAAGTGCATACAAACAAACATTCAAGATCATTCAATTATTTTGAACGGAATTAATGGTTCTAATCGCTCTTCTCAAGCATTTAAAATATTCTAACGCTAGAATAATTTGCTGCTAAAATATGAGTTGCGTTCAACTACCGTAATCAAATAAATAGCAGCGCTAATATTTCTCAAGTGCAATGCTGACAACTACAAACAATTGAACGCATTTAGAATTCAACATTGCAAAGCTTTCGTAATAAACGATTACAATGTTTAAATGTTAAATGGATTACATGCAATCGAACGTTATTCATCTTATACGTTCGCAATTTTACTTCCCAATAAATTAATTTTTATCAGAGACCATCAGAATGAGATTAGTTTGAGTTGAAAAAATTGAATGCACCAATTTCTATTAATTTTTCAAGCGAATATCTAACAACACAGACTAACAGAGTCAATTTTCAACTATCTCAAAGGAAATAAAAAAATGAAACGTTCATAAAATCATCCAATGCTCACGGAAGTATGTTTCATCATGCAACTATTTTTGATAATATTCAATTGGCAAGCTCAATTGCAAATTATTATGGAAAAATAAACTTTTTAAATAAATTACAACTAATTAATTTGTTGGTTCTGTTTAAAATGTATGATGAGAACGCTTGTAAATCACAGCATTTACCTCCTGCTTTTAGTACAATGGATTTTTGAACATCTGAATCACGATCAGTGTACGTTTAAATGATTCATCATGATGAACGCAATGTTTGTTTAGCAATCATCCGGAAGGTATCTGAACGTTCGATTCTTCGTGCAGGCTTAAGTGGGAAAATTAGTTCAATGTCAATCAAAATATACAACATTTACATTTTTATAAAATGTTACAACTTGATTGTTTTTATTTACAGATTCAAAAAAATCATTTCTGTTGCATCTTTTTAAGCAATTTGATTTTGGATACACTTTTATGACTCATGAGTTTACACAAACAGAAAATTGATGCCAACTTAGCTTATTTCATAATTTTCTATGATTTTTTCATAAGAAATTTGAATTTCAGATGGAATAAAACAGTGGTCTCCAACTCAGTGAGGTGCACGGTGCACGCGGCACATGAGCAAACATGTTCAACCTTGAAAAAGTAGACGTTTTTTTAGATTTTAAACCTTATTTTTGATACTTTGGCTTTACAAGATCTCGAATTTTTGGTTGAACTCGACATACAAACAAAAATCAAGCGAACGAAGAGAGCCAAAATTCTTGGAAATTGATTGCCCGATAAATGATCAAAGTTCCACGATAGATTTTACCTGATATGCTTGCATTGAATTTGTAAAAACCGTTTTAAATTAAAAAAGAAGCAAGTATACCAATAAGGGCTACCAAATTAGAAACCATAATAATTATTGGAATATAAGAGATCGCTTTATTCATTTCATCGACGATTTGGAGAAACTATTTTTTTTTTGAATTTGTTGATTTGTTCAAAACTCATCTGCTCCAGTCAAAAATAACCAAAAGTCAAGTTTTTAGATCTATAGCCAAAAATAAGTGTTAACCTAAATCGCCATAAAGAAATATAAAAACAACGTTTTAGATTTATGTTTCACATTTATTTGTTGTTGTTGAAAAATTCATTTACATGTTACCAAGCAATTGATTTGTGATAAAATTCGGAACAACTGTGAAAATTGTGTGACATAGTGAGTGAGTTTTTCTTTTGTATGGAAATGTCAATCATTTCACAAAAGGATTTTCAAAGTTGTTCATAAGTTTACTTTCAAAAATTTGTAATGCGAAAATCCATTAATTTCATCGTTGATTCATGTTGAATGAAATAACAAACTCTCTTGGTTCGTAAATAGCATTCAAGTTGAACATTTTTGAAGGCACTAACATTTACTTGAATAGAGTTTCTATAAACTCCTCATGGACTTGATTTCAATTACATATTATATATAAATTTGAAACAATAGAATGGAATTTTTCGAGATAATAGTTTTAAAATATTACCGCACTATTATTTAAACATCTCTCTGACACGTTTACAGTTTAGAACCATTAAACATATATAATATTATTAGAACAATCTACGTACTTATTGAAAATAATTAGTTACAAATGTCTTTCAACAGATTTTATTTTAGTGATTTGCTTAAAAAATAGCCTAAAATTTTGACAATACATTTTCATGTAAACGGTACGGTAAACATTCAAACGTTTAAACATTGATATAAACACTCAAAATTCTACGATTTCACATTCACACAATTCTACGTTGTGATATTATTAGAAAAAAATCTCGTTTAATATTTATTGTTATTCATCAAAGAAAATAAATCTTTTAAATGTGTCTTTGCTCCTGACCTCACTTGAAAGAGTGATGGTTTCTTTTTTCGTTCAAACTGAAAATGAATGAATTCCAAAAGAAATGCCTCTATATGAATGTTTTTGGTGGCAAACTCCTCGAAAACCATCGACAACACATGCGAGCCAAAGTGACTGTTGAGACTAGTGTGTATATAGGTGAGTTCTTTTAGCTAGCATGCATGATCGATGAATCCCAACGGAGGCACCACTGTCAAATTTGTCTTTTATGCTTACGTATTAAAATATGGAAAATGTTATTTAATTTTCACGCTCTAGTATTTAGTGTAAAAATAATTCAACGAAAAACTGTATAGGGCCATCAAACCATAATACTATAAAAGTGATATTAAATCTTCTGCAAACTTTGTCTTGAAACTAATTACGCTGTGACATACTTTCTCAAGGTTATAAGTTCAGTGTGGATGGATAGCTCTGAATGTTGCCACGGGAGTATGACTTATAAGCTCTTGAGCTCAATTTCACAATATCTTAAGCTTGGAATAATCTTGAAGCCGACCTTTATGGCATGATTTAAACATCACAACAGAAGTTGGCAAAAGCTATGTCTGTAAGAGGCAAAAGTTGATGCACAATTATACAGAGTCTATTTAAACTCAATTGTACATTAAAAATACAGGTGGCAAAATATGGCTCATTCAAAAACTGAAATTGTCCTGAAATAAATGCGAAGAATAGAAAAATTTTCTTTTGACATTATCAAAACCACAAAAAATGTGTTAATGCATATTTGTTGTATTAAAAATCGAATGTATCATTTGCCACGATATTTACAAGCTCATATGCATAGATTTGTTGGCACTTGGTTGAAACCAATTGTACAATAAAACCGATACAAAATGCAACATGTTCTTTGATTGTGTATTTGAAAAATAAAACTATTACGTTTTGGCAATATGTCGATTTTTGAACACGCGATTCAATGAATCTTAATCTTTCATTTTCGTTCAATCAGTGTGACTTAGATGCAGTCATAACACAAGTTATATAGCACAAAGTATATATAAAATCGTTAGAAAAATTGAATCATTAGGTCGAAAAGTTCTCTATAAATTGACTTTAGTGCACGGAACAGACATATAAATAGTTCAAGACTCTTGGAATTAATTTAGGTCGATACTCTGTATATTTATGTGCGAAATTTGTATCAGTTCCTACTTTTTGACAAGAATTTCCCACGGGAAACTAAAATAGCTTCGTTATATTTTGTTCGTTAGAGACATGCTTTGAAAAATATACCATGCAATAAATGCATTTGACTTTCTACTTAGTTTGACTATCATGACTGCTGTTGTCCATTTTGGATCCAGATGTGTTTCCACCTTCAGCATTGCTGTGACTATGCAGCACATTTGTGGACGAAGTTAACGAAGATGAAGCCTTTCGACTTCGGCCTCCACTACGTAATGATGTGTATGGCGACTTGTTTTTAATCATATATTCATGAGCATACAAAAGCACCCCAATGCTGCAAATATACATAAAAGAAAACATCAAATTAGCACGAATGTTTCAAATGTAGCATGAAATTATTGAATTTACTCTCGATATCCGGCTTCCAACGAAATTTTCAGCGCCGTACTACCATCCTGAAATTTAAAAAGAGAATATTTTAATATTTTAAATCAAATTACTAAATTGGAACAAGAGTGGCCCCTTCTTACATACATAACAGTTTCTGGTTATGAAAAATTTACCGAATAACATTGAAACCATTCATTTAAGGCAACAAATACAATATAAAGAATTAAAACCTACCAAATCTTGAATTGTGCTGTCGCAATCCGGCTGGGCTAAAATAATCTTGATAATGTCCATGCGCCCATGTTCAGCCGCGCACATTAAAGCTGTACTGCCATCTTCGTCTTGAATATTGATATCGGCGCCGGCCTCTAGCAACATGCGTACAATCTGAAATGTATTAATTTTAGCATATGTACGAATCTAAACTGATTTCATTCATGAATTCGGTGGCCATAAAACATACTTGATAATTTCCATGTGATGTGGCTAACATTAATGCAGTTTGACTATGTTTTTTGGCGCGTACATTTACATCGGACATTTGGAATAGACGTTGAACGACCGTTTGATGTTCGGCTGCATCTAATTTGGCCAACGAAACTAACATAACGCAAGTGTATCCCGCATTATTCGTTTTATTAATGTCACAAACTTTGGAATCCAATAATATCGATACCACATCAAAATTTCCATGCGAAACGGCGTAATGCATGCACGTATTGCCCTAAAAAAACACAAAAGTAAATTTTGATTACATTCCCAATACGTTACGATTTCAACAAATTTCGTATAAAATAAAGCATACATTTGCATCGGTCAAGTTAACCATGTATTTTAATAAATTTGGTGAAAATTCCTCAAAACAATCCAAATAATCTTCGACTTCAAAGGGTTGTGCAGTTTCCGTGCTTGATATTCGAAACCATTCTTTTTGCACAATTTTGTTGGCATTTTTTAATGTTGTTGCCAGGTGTTGACCCTTCAACAATGAATCATTGATTACTTTTAAGGCAGCTTGCATTTCTTTCGATGGTGTTATTCTGAAAGTGAATTCGTATTGATTTGAAAATTCGTTCGAGAGTCAAAATCACAAATATAAATACATACTTCTGCCTTGGTCTGGCCGATGAGACTAGATGCGAATAGGTTGATGACGATTTCATTGAGTTGCTCCACAGTGGTTCAGGCTCATCATTATCGGCAATTGATTTATCGTGGCTTTCTGCTTTTGTACCGTGTTGTAGTGTTTTCTTCGACGCATCACTTGAATTGGATGCGAGCACCGTTGAATCAACCGAAGAAGTTGCTTTCACGGTTCTATCCTCACTGCAAATTCGATGTGACGATGTTTGGCTTAGATTTGAATGAATTTGTTTTGATTTCGCTGACGCTGCACTGCACGAACTGCATTCGATAAAAGAGTAAAACTTATTAAAAAAATATTCTGTTTGTTGTTTTTTTGGACAATAAATTGTATTATACATTTGACTGCTTGCATCATCAATTTGTTGTGAGTGCTCTGATAATGCGACACCGTTCAACAAATGTGATATGACTTGTTGTTCCTTTAAATCATCGCATTTATTGTATTCAACCATTGATAACCGATTTTATTTTGATATTTATATATTTCACAATTTATTTAACGATTGATATGGAAACATTGAAGAGTGTCTTGTACAAGAACAAAAATTAAATCTTAATTTTGTTAGAATTCGAAATGAAAAACAAATAATAATAATTTTTGATATGCTAAACATTCACCAATTTTGTTTTTTTTTTCCTTTTTCCCAAAACAATGACGTTTATATTCACGGTCTCTGTTATGTGAGCGCATGCGCTCTAGTCACAATCTGTTTCAATGTAACTATTTCATTGTTTGCATCTGATATAGCAACACAGTTATTATATACACAAAAATGAATGAATGCTCATTAAATGCATTATTCAAATTAATTACGTGCAGTCATACATTGCCAAAAACATGTCATTAGCAGACAAATGAAAGAAGACGAAGAAAAAATGTTGAAAAAAAAATCATCAAATCATACTTACGATAAATAAACTTCAGCTGGGCACGGATCAGTTGCATCCGTTTGAAAAGTAGGAGGGGGTGAAGTGGATGAAGAGGAGGATGATGGAATTGTGTATGTATTTTGTCTGGTGAACTTTCGGTCCATGCGTGGACTATTTAGTGTGGTAGGTCGAGGAATTCGTGACTGTGTGTCTGTCGATTGGGTTGTGCTCTGCAGTGATTCATTTTGAGATTCGGTTGTTGTCTTCGTCGTCGTTGACGTTGTTGACTCTGTAACAGTCTTTGATGTTGTTGTCATTTCCTCCGCCATCGATGTTGATGCCGCTGTTTTGATATTAATGTTGCTCTCTTTTTTATTCGGATTCTTTATAATCGTTCTCTGTTTGATTTCAATCTTTGCAAGACAATCATAACATTTGGGCTCTTGTGGCCGTTCCAATTCATATTTCAATATTTCTTTTTTGGACTCCGTCAAATCCGTGTTTGTCGCTGAATTTGCGGTGATGGTTTTTTTTGTGTCAAAAGTGTTTGTTGACTTTTCTTCCGTTAAAATTTGATCGGTATTTGTGAGGCGATTTTTCTTCGGTAGGACGGCATCCGTGTTAACTCCTCGATTAATGTGCAATGTTAAATCGCTTGTATCGGTTGCTTCAGTTTGCGTTGGTATTTTCGGTGGTGGTGGTGGTTCAATCAATTTTTCTTTGCATTGACTATATTTGTTCATTACATTAGGAGTTTTTTGAATGCCCACTGAACGGAATTCTTTCGGTTTTTCAACCGGTTTTACTGGCTCTTTTCCGCTCGCTAACAAAGCAATTGATTTCGGCACATCGAGTAATTTAAGCGATATCGGTGAATCAATCGCCGTCGATTCATCGAGATGTTTAATGGGATCCGTTCCGAAGGAGCGTGTTCGATTTTTCTCAAATATATTATCGACTCCAATGGATCTTATTTCGGGTCGGGCCATACATGAGCTAGTACGTACGCTTGGAATTGCCATGACGGCAACTGAATATTTTTGTACTGGTGGCGGCGGTGATGGTTCACGATCTGTTATTGTTGCCACCGTTCTTTTTGGTATTTCAACTGTTTCATGGTCACTTTGTACACTAACACTATGCATGACTGGCTTCTTTTGTAGTTCAACAAATGGATTTCGTTCGCTTATATCTGTATTTATTGCCATTGTTCGTGTGGGAATTTGCAGCGGAATTGTTACAGTGCCAACGTCTCTTGAAACGGTTTTTGCTGTCATACAGCCTACATTTTGGGTGGATGGCGGTGGCGGTTGCATAAAACTGCTATCACCATTTTTATACGATTCATTTGAACTAATAAAACTATTTGGTGAAAATCGAATGTTAAGGCTTTCCAATGATGTGGCGCATACCCGATGTGGCGGTTTTATCGTGCCACGTTCAGACACCGTTGTTTCGGTAATGGTGGTGGTGGTAGTTGAATCCACTTTGGCCTTAGCCAATTCACTTTCCAATTGTCGTTCATATTGTTTCTTTTTCTCCAGTGCATTTTCCAATGCCCGAAGTTTAAGATGTAAATCACGATTTTCCGCCTTTTCAACCGACAACTCAAGCTGCAGTTTTGGAATTAATTTTACACGCTCTTCAAAATCGCGTACACGATTCAAATTATCGCTCAATTGATTTCGTACACTTTGCAATTGGTCGCTTAGTCCGCGATTGGCCAATGAAAGTTTATCAATTTCAACATTAAATACGTCCGAATTCAATGGACTCAATTCAGCATCGTTCGTGCTAAACGCTTGTTTAGGTTCTGATTGCTTCGTTTCAGTCACATGATGAACAATCTCCTCGTGAATTTCCTCGGTGAAAATATTTTGCTGATGAACATTGTGCGAGGTAGCTCGTTGTGTATACTGTACTGGCGATCGTTCCGTTGAACTCGGTGAGTAGTGAACATTTTCCAAATCAACTTGTTTTTCATTGTCATACGATTCGTGTCCGGATATACAAGAACCTAATAAAACCGAAATGAAACCAAAAAAAGAGGGAGAGAGAAAATTAATCAAGTTCTAATGAAATTGACAACAAAATGCTCTCAGTGTTCTAATTATATACTAGATATGTTACCAAAGCTAAGACGTGATTTAATCCGTTTATAGGTTTTTTGAACAAAACTCATTGCTCACTAAATTAGATGATTACTTGTTGCGTTTGTTGCGATTAACAATCAAAATGAAACGTTATCACAGCAAGTGAAAACTGCTTACGTCTCAATCTCGACTCTTTTTTTATAAATTAAAACAAAAATGTTGTCATAATGTTGTGTGTGATGATTGGTGGTGGCGTTTATGTGAACAGATCAAGTATACACATATTTGATTAAGTAACGGCAGTTTGTTACCTCTTTGAGCTTGATTGCAATTTTTTTCTCTCCACTATTTCTTTTTAAGTACAAAACAACTGCACATTTTGAATGTCTCTCTGTATGTTTGGGAAAAACGTTTGTGCATTGGCGTATGTTTCTTATTTTTTTTCTTCTTTTCTGTTTGTAATGTTTTTGCATATGTACAACATTTATACACACACCACACATACTACATAGACACGTACGTGATGTATATGATGCACTTGTGTGTGTACAGCATTTCATGATCTCGCGTACACCACATTTGAATAGATGCACCGAAGGCGCATTTTTACACAAAATAAAATAATTTGCTCTTTCTCGATTTTAACATTTTATCACACACTCACACGATTTTAGCCTTCAAAAAAATGCAGATACTTGTATTTTTGTGGTTTGAAATAGATTTGAAGTTTAAATCATTTTAATTCTGTTCAATTTCTTCTAATTCAGAGACGTTGTCTTGTCACTGTTATTGATTAAAATAAGTATAGCACTCGCATGACGATCAACCACTTAATTACAACTGTTGACACATTTGCAATATTAGATGTGCTTTGGCAATTAAAGTTACGTCAATTTTCAAGAGATTTATCAAATTCTTATCAGTGGGCGATTTCACTTCAGTTGTTTTTCGTAATAAATTGAAATTCATAAGAAATCACACGAACTGACTGATTCGTTAGGGTGGTTCGATCTTATAAGTTTTTGAATTTCTTAGAGTCGGCAAAATGTGTATATGTTGATATAATTCAACGAACAAGTCTTGAATAAATCAAGTAGAATGATTCAAATACGCATTGAGGTTGGAGATAAAACCACCAAAATTTCGTGCAACTTGATTTTTTTTTTCAATTTTACAGTATAAAATTCACACCCTATTTCCCACACTGTTTCAGCTGAAAAAACAATCACACCAAAGATACCACTTGCTTATGCACAATTCTGTCTCAAAGTGGCAATTTAAAAAAGTTTGATGGAAATTCTACCTTGGAATTGCAAAACAACAAAACATCTGGGAACAATCAAAGGAGCTTTGTTAAATAGATACATATTTCTGTCAAGGAGAACATGGAACGAAATTGATAATGATGATGAAAAAAAATTAATTTAAATTAAGAACATCCAGCGATTTTGCATCCGAGAATGTAATTTACACTACAATGGCCTTTTCGAGAAAATTCTTTTGAGGAATTTAACATTTCAAGGTGTTAAGGTTTTTAAGCGAAAATAGAGAAATAGCACATTAATTTTGGTCCCGTGAACTTTTATAGTAGTAGAATCAAGAGTAGAATCAATATTCATGTGGACTCCTATCGATTTTTGGTCTTAACCCCGTTAAGATTCGCCAATGTCAGATCCAATGGCTCTAATTGAGTATACATGACAGAAACTTGGACTGGATCAAAAAATACCAATATTGTCAGACCTAGATGTTCGTTGTGAAAGGTTTTTATCCATCAACAAAGATAATAAGTCAAACATATTTTTCACATATATGTTCGATGAAATTGTTGAAGCAAAAAAATACATATATTTTTCGAATCAGGCTAAGGTATAAAATTGTTAGTAAAGTAACAATTTTTATAGCTCAAGAAATTCATTAGAACTTCGATGTTTTTCAAAAAAGACAATCAGTTTAATATATCTCTATAGTTCGAGCTTGAAACGAAAGTACGTTTTTTAAATTAATTTTCTGTGACGGACCGTGCGAAACTGATAAGAGTTAATGAACAATTGTCCACATCAGTTTCTCGTTATATCGGCTGAAAAACGTAAAATAAAATATACGCTTATTTAGAACTCATTAATTGAGTTATTAACTCACTTTTCTGTTTTGACTTTTCACTTTTGTTTCGGGTCGATGCACGCTCCAGTGTTCTTTCAAAGTCTGAATAAACATCGAATAGTATGCTATTCACAAAATCGTCTTGCTGTCGTCCAATGGCTTTGTCATTTTCACCTAGTTTTCTGGCCGAGTCAACATTTTCATACGGGGACGAAACTTTTTGCTCTAATTCATCGCAAACCTATTGGAAATTAGATCATAATCATGTTTAACATTTCAACGTGAATGTAAGTAATACAAATTCTGTTTACCTCATAAAATGTTTCAAAATTGGATTTATGTTGTTTGGATGGTCGTTGTTCTTTTTCAAAATCCAAAACCCATTGATCTTCAAAACCGAGCATAACTTCCAATGACTTACGTTGCCGTCGTTTGTTGCGACGATCCAATTGTTTACTTGAAACGCATTTTCCATTGGCGGCCAACTCTTCACAATATCGAATAAAGTCCAAATCAATGTGAAAACCGAATGGGCAGCATGTGCATCGTTTCAGTTTTTTCTGATTTGTTGCCGCCGGTTTGATTGGTGTTGAATGTGTGACCGATGGCAAACATGTTGTTGTCCCTTCATAATACTCCTGTTCATGCTCGCTGTAGAATTCATAGGTGATGGGCGACAATGATGTTGTTTTATTTTGAATTTGAGTGGGCTGTGGCTGTTCATAGTTACCCAGCACTAATGATGACGACATTGTTCCTACACGTGTGCATCGAAATTGAGAATTAAACATTTAATTCGTTTAAAATAGTAAAATAATAATTGTTGTTGTTTTTTCTACTGTTGGACAATATCCATAAAATGAATTTTCATTTTGGAAACAATGAACGCATAGCATAGATATATATTTGCGATAAATATTTATTGAAGTATCATTTTATATTTTTGGCTTGACTCTGCATTTTTTGTCAAAGACGTTATAAATAACGCCAAATATAGAGCATTCAACAATTCAAGCAATCAAATGACACAAATCAAACAAAAATGTGTACAATTTTAAATTGACATAGATTCGATTGAGTGTGTTGCCAGACACTGCTGCTGGCTGATCCCCTCTTCTTCGACACTTCCACACACAAAAATTTTCTTCTAATTTTTTTTTCGTGTTGCTTTAGTAGTTTATCACCCACACAATCATCGATATAATTTTTTCATCGCTCTTATTTTGTTAACATTTAAACTTTCCAATTTTAATAACAAAAAACCAGTAACATGTTACTAGTGATGGCGATGAGTTAATTCGCCTATTTATTTGACGAGCAAAAATGTATGTTGAGATCTCAATTACAATGTATCTCTTCGGTGAATGTTCTTTTTTTTCTGATAAAATGGAGATCTCTCTTGAAAACTAGAAATAAACACATTAAAGTTGTTTTTTTATTATTGTTATTGAAATAAAAGTCATAACACACAAAAGAAGGCGGATCTTAATGTTGGTGCTTTAAAATGTCCTGAAGCTGTAAATCAGCATCTATCAAATTATTTATACCATTTTATCTCCGATTGAAATAATATATTGTTTTTTATTTGCCTGAAAATATCGGTTTTGCTTAGTTTTTTTTTTCAATTATTACAATGAATATTTCATTGTCTATGACAATTTCTTGAAACATACTCAAATGTTTATATGCGCAGCACGAATGATGAAAATTAATAATCTCAATAACGTAACACCTCTATGCAGAATCGAACAAATTAGCATCTTGATATTTAAAAGTAGCTTGTTGAAATTGTTCCGTAGGATCGTTGGTTGGCCGCCACAATACTCGTTCATTACGTCATCCATTCCAATGGAATAAAATGAAGCACGTATGTGACTCTGTGTGTATTGTATTGATTAACAAATTTGTTAAATGTTATGTGTTTTTTTTTTCGCTTTTTTAGTCAATATATACACAGCAGATGCTTGAATTTACATGTAAATTATGAAAAAAGCAGGTACTCCAACTCTGCAAAGTGCTCGAGTCGCTCATTGATCGGAAAGAATGTGTGTCTTTTTAGTATGTCAACTCTATATATTTGAATATGAGTGCGACTTTTTCAATTATCGAATAGCAAACAATGATTATTGCTTGTTATGTTGTAATTTTCGAAAAAAAGGCTAATAAATGAGAGCTGGCGTATTGTTTTTCGTTTGCTTTTCGGTTTAACATTTGAATTACATCAAAACCTCCAAATAGTGAACGATATTTTTCGTCAGGTTTCACAAATACGAGATAATTTTAGATGTTTGTTTGAAGTCAAAATTGGCTTTATTCAGAGACTTTGGATCGTAACAATAATTGGATTCTAATGGAACATAATAATGAGCATGTAATAGTTTGCTGTGGTGCATTCAGAATTTGTCAAAAAGTGAAAGTGCTGCAGCTTTAGAAACTATTTTAATGAAAAACCAAATGTCATCATGTTTCGTTTGAAGCATGTGTCATAAAGGTTTTTCTTTTCTGTTTCTCCGTCAATAACAAATAGACATTAAAAAAAACAGCGTAAACTAATTTCAGCCGAAAAAAACAGCAACAACATTTGTAGTTACCGCGGTTGCTACGACTACATTTGTTTCACACAAAATGCTTTGCGCAATGAAACCTTATTCGATGAACGTCATTTAAATTGGATTTCACCCGAAACCGATATAATCGCCGATAAATGTTATCAGAACTCATTTTTTTCGTGATAACAAAATCACATTTTTGTTGTTTCAATCGAAAATTCGATGAATTTTGATGCATTTGATAGGTGTTTAAAATCATATGCGGCGATGCAGATGTATGAATGTCACACAAGATATGGATAAAATGTTGTTTAACATATACACACATACAACGATACAAAACACAACACTAAAGAGCACCGTATAAGAGCGACAAATGCAGGTGTAAGTGCACTCGTATTTCACTATGCGCGGTTTTAGCAGCCTTTGCGTCGTTATGATCGTATAAGAATATCTATTTCAATCTTGAATCAGTATTTTTCATACTAGTTGCTTATCTAATTTGTATTCGTATTGAAAACATAGCAACTCATTTCGTCGCTCATGTATGACCAACAAAAACAAACAAAAGCAACAAAACTTCATTATTATTTAAAATATTGTAAAGAAAAGAATATACGCACTTTTCGATTTAAAATGATTATTTTGATTTTACTATTGCACTATTTTTTACGTTTATTAAATGAACTTTCCAAACATGTTTTTTTTGTTTTTATAAATTTTCTCACTCTCTCTGGGAGATCAACACGATGAAAATTCAACACTCCAAAATGAAATTGCCAACTGATTCGATAAACTACTTAGAAAACACTAGAATGTGTGTGCACAACAGCCTCTTTCATACAACTGATCGAGAGAGTTAAACGTGAAAACACACGGCACACCAAGTCGCATCATAACACCTTCACAAATATTATACACCGAAGATTGGTGTTTTTAGACCATTAATGGATTAATTTTTCAATGAACGAACAACAATCGAGCATCATATTTTGTGTGTTTTTTTTTTTTTTTTTGCTTTTATACTATATACACTTACAACATCTATCTATATATATGTTGAAAAACCGATTGATTTTATACGGAATGCATTATCAAAGCAATACTTGGCAAACACAGTACACAGAGAAATACGAAAAAAAAAATAAACGATGCTGTGAGATAGAGGACAGTTTTGTAAAGAAGAGAGAGAGAAAAACACACAAACACTTGTGCACATTTACAACCGAAAAATACGTTGTTTGCTATTTATGTTCGAATTGTTATTATCTCGCACATTGCCAACGTGCCGTTCTCTGTCGTTGCCGTTTTCAACAGTGACTTGATGTTAGACAAGAAATGTTGTTTGTTGCGTGAGCGTCTCTCTATCATTTACAACTACAAACGATCGATCGCATATATATCGCAGAGAAATGTGTATGCGAAACCTTTGCTTGCAGCAGCTCAACGGTTTGCCTCGATCAACGCAACGAAGTGTATGTATATTTGTGAACATAAATCGGTGTATGTGCTTTTTTTATTTATTTATTTTTATTTCTTTTTAAATCGGTATGTGATGACACAAGTTTAAAACCGCAGCATTTATGGCTTTACACGCTCTGTCACACGTTCTAATTTTAATAATTTTCTTGATGAAAGAAATCCAACGATGAATGATTTTTCTCCTTTTATTTCATCTTTTTCTTTTCAAATACAGTTCGAGGATTCCAAAAATAAGATGAATCGGTTTAAAGCCCTTCGTAATTGCTTTTATTCGCATAGTTCTATTTATTCATTTAATTTAAAACTAAATGAAAAAAATCAAATAAAACAACGTTTCAAGACAAATTCAAGACTTTTTTTAAAAAAACTTTCTGCTATTTCCAAGTTTTGAGAGACAATTTAAATAAGGAATATATTTCGATAATTCCAATTAAGATTCTTTTCAAAAATAAATAAAAAAAAAACAGAAAAAATACTCTGGTTCCAAGCAGAAATAAAAATCAAATGAAATAAAAAGATGAATGCATTATTTATAAATTAAATTTTATTTGAATTTTAATCCATTTTATAATTCTTAAAAAATAATTTGAAAGATTACGCTTTCAGATAAGCAATAAAAATAAATAATCTTATGTATTGTAAGTAGTCACAAGTAGTGTGAGTTCAAAATTTGTAAATAAATACTCTTCTAATGTTTGGTCAAAAAAAATTATACTTTTTTTTTCAGAAATTTCAAATTTTTGTATCAATCAATGTGATTTCATTTGGTTTTTGGTAAAATATCAAACTGTTTTTTTTTGGAACATTATTGTGTTCGTCCATAAACTAAGATTTTACACACATGAAGAAAAGAAAAAGGATTGAACTCGTACACGCATTGATAGAAGAGATCTTGTGTATTAAATTAACGAAAAATTCAAGCAAAATGATAGTGGGGAAAAATCGGCTTTCTTCACATTTCTTTTTTCAATATTATTATTTGTTTTTTTCTGTTTGTTTGTTTCTGTTCTAGTTCTAAGAAAGCGTGAGCACGTTGAAGGTGTGTCTTTGTTTTACATTCAAATCAAAAAAAGAAAATACTTGGAATGCATAGATTTGTTATTCTGGTTGTTGTTCTTATCTCAATCTGATATTAAATTTACTTCTTCGTTTCATCTTTGGTGTCGGTATTTGTTTTGCTATCCAGCAGTGATGTTATCATGTTAAGAATTTTATCGCCGGTTTTACGTTCGTAGTCAAGACGTTCTCGTTCAATTTCAAGACGTTCTCGTTGAATTTGAACCAATTGACTGAGATACGTTCGAAAACCTGGCGTTGTCTTTTGTTTGAATGTTACTTGACGTTTTGTTACCGTTTCGGCTGTATTTGATGAACCTGAGCACAAGTATTTATTCGATGAAAGCAATGTTTGCGTTTTCGTTGCTTGAGCATTTGCAGCCGTTGCTGAACGGGTTTGGTATGTTGTTTGGGCAATGTTGTTTGTACTGTTTTGAACAACCGCCGGCTTTGGTTGAATATTGACTAGAGATCGTGTTGTTAATGGTGTCGAAATGATTGGTTTTGCCGCAACCGATACTGTATTTGCTGAAGTGACACCGTTTGGTTTTTGCAACGTATTTACCAGTAGCACTTTCATCGGCATACCTGAGGGGGGAATCACAAAAGAAAAGAATAAAATTTAAAATAATCGATAAGTAATCGGAAACATATAAAAAACTCATCGGCATACCATTACTGGTCGTAGTCAATACGGTACCAGTACTTCCCGATGGTTTTGCACAGATAAATTGTTGTGGCTTGAAACTGAATTGAGCCGTACTCGATTGTACACTGACCGATGGTTTCATTAGAATGTTGGTCGGTACCAAAGAAACTGTAAACGAAAACAAATGAAAATAATATTCGTTGATTAGAATGACATTTTTCGGTTTGTTCAGATTTATTTACTTTTATTGGCGCCAAGAGTTGTTGCACTACTTGATACGGTGGTAGTTGCCGTTAAGTTCGATGCAGTTGTTGAAGCACTTGTGGTGGCCGACGGTGTGGTCGGACTTTTCGGCGAAGCTGGTTCCGATATTGGTGATGAAGGCGGAGATGTTTTTATATCAAGCAATAAAGGCGATTTACTTGTCGCATTCGAATTTGTGGCTCCTTTGAGCGCTGAATTGCTGGCTAATTGTAAGTATGCTGATAATTTCGGAAAAATATCATTGACATCATCGATTTCTTGGCTAAAAATAGAATATACTCATTTTTATAAATTAATAAAACGACACAAGAAGCATATTTCACTATCACATAAATGAATTTATGTTCAACTTTTGGCATTTGCATTAAGCTACCTATTAAATATAAAGAGTTTTTATTTTCTATTGAAATAACTCACTCATTGCGGTCATTATCTCCATCGCCACCGATTTCTTCCATATCATCAATATCAATAGGTTCTTCTTTGGGCACAATTGAATCATCCATATCGTCCATGTCGTCGTCGTCGTCCATTTCCTCCTCTTCAACTTCCAATAAATCTTCGGGTCTTAAATCTTTTGGTTCAGCGTCATCGCCGTTTTTCTGTTGTAAATTTTGTAAATGCGGTTGTTGTACACGATTCCCGAAAATCGGTCGCGTTAAAATCTCATCCCTAAATATGAGCGTGCATAGAGAAAAGAAATGCATGAAAAAATATATTTGAATGTTGTTTAGTCAACTTGAACGATGTGGACCAACGCAGACGAGCATTGCTCAATGCTGAATTGAATTTTGTTTACATATACATACATTGCCGTAAAATGTCTCCAACTTGGTGGCTCTGATGAGACTCCCATTTCCATATCTTTTTTAATGCGATTGTAAAAACACTTGAGATTTTTAATGCGCGTATTTATTTCTTCTGGCGACCGATGGTATCCATGTTCACGCATACTTTCTGCTAATTTCGCAATCACCGGATGCTTTTTGTGTGTAGTTATCAATGTTTTTTGCACTTTTGGATCACCCCATAATGAAATCAGTAGTTTTGTTTCTTCGGTTTCAAAATTTGGATTACGTGCATGAGGCTTCTTCATACCGCCACCAATTAAAACTTTGTTATTCGAAATCCACATTTCACACTTTCGCCGACCAACTTTATTTCTCATATTCTACGTTCAACGACGATTAACTGTCATACGCGTGACTTACATACACACGCGCTTAACACGAAGTATAGTCAAATGAGAAGGAGAGCTGTATGTGTACTCTCACTCTTTCTCTCTATAGATATAGATATATTAGCGTGTATTTAACCTCACAACAACGGTACTATTTGGTTCATAATGTATCCCTTTTTTTTCAAATATAGTATATTCCGCACTGCATACACTGTCACGTATCGACTGAGTTTGACAGAGAGAAAGAACGAACGATACACACACACTATAGCGGATAGAGCGGTAGGTTGTATTTATGTCATAAGAAGACGCAATAATACCAAACCGACTAAACACATACACAAAATGTGACTGTTGTCTTTTTTTTTCTCTTCTCTCGATTCGTTTTTCAATTGCAGACAAGTTATATGTTTGTGGGATACACTTTGAGTTCTTAATGAGAAAAATGAAGCCACGACCGAAGACGCAAATTCAATGGTATTTATTGTTATACTTTACCAAAGTCACTGAATCACACTGAAATTGAACTAAATTCAATTTGATTTGAAATTTATTCTCACTTCTCACGAAATCACTTTAATATTCCGGCGGCTCTATGCCATTCACCATTCAAAGTGGTTAATCCTTCTTTCTTAAGTGCAAACTATTTTTATTATTTCATCAAAAAATAAAAAACGAAATAATTTCGTTTTTTCTCTGTTGGAAATGGGAATTGAAATGCGTGCGTTGTCCCAGTTTGCGCGTCAAATGCAGCACAAAGTACAAAACTGCACAGATTAAACCCTCTATATTCTTTCGATTTTATATGTTCAGTTCCTTAAATCTGATATTGTGCGCATGCCCTGTATGCCACTGTCTATGTATTCCCACTCACCGCGTCTATTTTGTTGATGAAGTATGCGGCGCGTCGACCGAGCACGACGCGACTATCGTTTGATTGTATATTTACGAATTGAAACGATGATCCAACCATGAACTGACTTGATGACGGTCTTTATTCATACTTTTGTATGGAATATTCGACCCTTCATTTTCGGCATGGGATCGTGAATATATCATGTGCCTGCGCATTTATCCAACTACCGTGTTTTGTTCATTTCGTTTAACTTTATTATATTGCGCTTGGGTGCATCGTGCTCAGCTCTATCCATGTAGGTTTTTGGCTGTATTTCTCTGCTCGATTGCATTTTCTTTTTTTTCTTTCCCTTTTTGAGCAGCATAATTGTATTGTGCGTATGAGTGTGTGTGTGTCTTGGTGTATGCGCGCATGCGTTCTTATTTGTATGTATATAATAAATGTGAATAGAAAGAGCGCAGAAGCTTGTTGAGGCGCATGCTATAATTTTTAAGTTATATCTTATTGTTAATGCAGGGTTCGTTTTCCATGTATTGTACGAGAAATGACCCATATTGGAATAGCAAGGGTACAGAAAAAAAACATTCTTTTTTTTCTATTCAGAACACTCTAGTTACTTGCGCAACCCCTAACAAACTGTATTGCATATAACGTACATTGTTTGTAGCATATACGCATTTAAAAGGACACGATATTTCCAGCTAGATTCTTATTTTTTAAATCGGTCGTTGCCCGTTTACGGTTTTTTTTATTTGTTTCATGAATGAAAATATAAACATGGCTGTAGATTTGTACACACACGAATATTTTGGTAATGTTTTGAAAATAATTTGTTTACACAAAATGTATGTAAGCATCTTAAAGTTGCCACAATTCAAATTGGAATTGTTCAATATTATTTTGATATGCATATTACGATTATTTTATGAAAATGGTTTTAGTTGATGCCATTTTCCCCCATAACATATTTATAAAAAAAATTCGATCATGTTTTTAATGCAAATAATTCGAAAAATGATAAAATCCGTATTTGCGTTAAAAATGCTATAAGCATGAATCATTCACACCTTACAGGATGTGAAATATATGCGGATAAAATGATGATTCATTTTCACGTGGTTGACTGAAAAAAAGTGCACAAGGTCTCTTTCGGGAGCCAAATGGTACAGATACGTTCAAAAAAAAAATCAGCAGTTCGACGAAAAGTACGTCTTATTAACTATGCATATTTGATATTGTCGCTAGTGAGAGGGGCTTACCCAAAAAAAAGATCAATCAGGTAGTCTCAATTTTTGATCAAAAAAATACTTGAAATATTAATTTTCTTCGTTTAAATCGCCATTGCGTATCACAAAAATAAAACTGAGACCGTGAAATAAAGCGAGTCTTGGTCTGATCTAATATTTCGTCATTAAAAATGCCAATGTATTTATCACAAAAACGCTAATTTATCTTTGGCCGACAAAAAAAAACTAAACCTTTTGAAATCGATTAGTTCATGCGCAAAAGAGACAAAATAGACTCAATTCGCATTGATTGCCGATTCATTCACAGCAAAGATAAGATAATTTCTCAATAAACAACAATACAGATAAATCCATAAGAGTTTCAAAGAAGACGAAAAAATCCATTCGTCATCACGAATTTATGAATAAAGCAATCGGATGGAGTTGAAATAATTTCAGTACACTTTATAAATTTCACCAAACCTGTTGATGTTGCGGCACCAAAAAAAATGTTATGTGTGTGTGCGTGTCTCAATCTATTATAATCAAAATAAAAAAATAATTGATTCGAAAAAATTCGCATGTGCGTCACATAAAAAAAATAAACACGTTGTGTGAGTATAAGTTGATTAATGTTTGTACTCACATTGTGCTCAGAGTGATTATAACTAGTATATTTATGATATTAAGGTCAGTTCGAACATTTTTTTGTAGATGGATCAATTAAGATTGAATATATCTACTGAGCGTTGGTGAAAAGAAAATAACAAAAATAGTTGTGTACGAAGTGTGTGAAAGGCAATATAGCTTAAATGGAATGCAATCGCCAAATTTTTGTTAGTTTTGTGTTGATTCTTGTGACCGATGTAGTCACATCCAGCGATTCCGGTGAATTAGTGAAGAATGTGTCATCGGCTGCAATTAGATTTGATGGCATTCCAAAAAATATCGCAAACAATGATCATTGGCGTTCTTTGGCCACGGTTGATGAAAATACCACGGACTGTGCTGGACTCCAAGTAATTTTCTTTAAACAAATGGCCTAATAAAAGTCCTAAAATCTTGGTATCTTTTTATGAGGAATGTGTAGATTTTAAGTGATGACCTACAACCAAAGTATTCGCCTGAACACTCATTTGTTCGTAAATGCTGTCCGATCGGTGAAAATTATGAAAAACATGAAAATGGACGAAAATGTGCGGCCGAAACATTAAATTTTGAGATCTCCGTTTTGAATGCGACATTTTATGAGTCTTGCATTGAAGACAACGAGAGCGGACCACGTTTGAACTACAAATTTGGCAGCGCATGTGCGACAGATGGCAACGGCAACAACAAAGATCCATTGAATAAAATGGTTTTGTATGGCAAAAGCCATGGGGATTCCATTTATATTCTTCAAGTAAGAATCTATTAAGTTAACACACCCACGACGAACGTCACCGTGTCATCGAATAAATACATAATGATGGCACGCATTTTTTTCTCCTCTCTTTAGAATGGTTCATTGTTATCGGTTGATCAAAATTTTACTGGATATGAAGTGCATAACGATTACTGTTTGGACATGGATCGAGACGATGGTGAATTGTATGCAATCGTATGTTATCGCAAATTAAGTCATCATCAGCGTGTGCTGCGTGCTGAAGCATATTTATACTCAACATGCTTACTGATTTCGGTGCCGTGTCTTCTTCTTACCGCCTTTTTCTACGTAAAAATCGATGAACTGCGTGATTTTCATGGAAAATCATTAGCATGTCATTGCATATGTTTGGCCATTTCGTACTCATTTTTGAGTATAATTCAATTGCAACCAAACATATCACAATTAATCACATATGTAATACAGTATTTTCTATTGGCATGCATTTGCTGGTTGAACGTACTGTGTTTTGATATTTGTTTTAAGATTTCGTAAGTATTGAGTTTGTGCTTCTTTTTTTTCCTTTCCTCCGTGATGATGGTAATCTTTTGTTATTACAGTTACAACTATTTATATAAAAGTTCCTGCTCAACAAAAACCGAAGATAAATATTTCAAAATTTATGCCATGATATCGTTTGGTTTTCCAATTATTCCAGTTCTTTGGGCCTTCTCACAAAACACATTAGGCATTCCATTGTATTACATCAAAGGGCAGCATAATATTGACGATTTTACTGCTATTCACTTTATTCTGCCGGCCGCTTGCCTGCTATTTTTCTGCTTTTGCAGTCTTTTAGTGACACTTTATATTTTTGGCACAACAAAACCGAATTTACCCAATAATAGCCAGGGCATACAAGCCATCTACGAATATGAAGAATTTTTTAAAATGAAACAAACGTAAGTAAATGTAGTCACACAAAAAGTTTTCTATTTATTTATAAAAGTGAATGATTTTGTTGGTACACGGTCATAGCTTCTAAAGTTGGCGATCCAAGAATGAATCATTTCAAAATTTGTAAACACTCTATCCAATTGAAAGAATTGTTTTTGGAAAAACCTCTAGCAAAAAGAGAGTTTTCATTCCATCCGAAATTCCCTAGAAATTTGAAAGGATCTTTTGAACTATGCACACGTTGCACAAAGATGATCGTTATTCACATTATTTAATTTTTTTCAATTTTTTTCTCAATTTAACTGTAGCGCACAAAGTATCGCGTTTCTTTTTGCTGTGATGTCGATATGCATGTAAGCTGGTTATTTCCATTTTTATGTCACATAAGACTAACACAAGCCGTATTTTGTCAATTTTCAGGATAATCGAAATGTTCACCTCTCATATCAATATAGAAAAACCGCCCGATGGAGTGTCACCATTTGCATTTTTTGATGTATTAATTGCATTGCAGGGTGTTTTTATTTTCATAATATTCGTTTGCCTACCAAAGCCATTGAAAATGATAAAGCGGTGGTGGATTGCCAAAGGCACACTTGACATCGCTGCACTTAACGAACTCGAATCGCTCAAGACAACCAGTGTTACCATTTTGGATTGATTTCATATATTTTCTTTCACACATTCGACTCAAAACAAATTTCTTTGAATTTATTTTTGTAAAATTATGGGTATTAATTTATTTTTACTTTTTTTCGTATGATCTACAGATGATTTTGTTTGTAGATTAAAAGTGCGGCAATTTCAATTAAATTCTAATTAAAAATAAATAAACAAGAACAATGATGATTAATATAAAATAAAAAAAAACTATAATAATATAACGTTTGAATCAAAATGGTGGCGGCATTGGTGGTGCTTTTGGTTGTTTTTGCATTTGATAGGGTCCTGGCTTGCTGATCAAAATCCGTTGCATCGATCGTAAATTATCCAATCGTAAATTTGGTTCGGAGCATATCGAACGACAACCGCGCACATCCAGGAATTTTATTCGTTTGCAATGCATTGCAATTGAATCCAAACTCGAATCGGTCAATTGGCTACAGCGTTCTAAATGCAGGTGTGTTAGGCGCCTTAGTTTTTTGGATATCATTTCAATGGCCGGATCAGTCAAATTATGACAATCAGACAGATTCAAAACTTTAATCGAAGGACATTTGATGACCACATATTCAATGCCTATTGCGCTGATTTGTTGGCACTTTGATAAACTCAACGTTTCCAATTCCCTGAATTCGAATGCATATTTCAATGAAACGTCACTGATTCGATTACATGAGGCGACGTTAAGTGAACGTAATCCCTTCAGACGTGCTATTGAATATTGTGTACAATTCATTTGATATTGTGTACAATTGATTGGCTGCTCGTACATGTGAAGCATAATTCTTTTCCGTTTTGCGTCATTTACAATTTCCTCTTCAGCCCGGCTTCGCAATGATATATGAAATGATTGACGATTTATTCGTTCAATCGGTTGATCCAATTCATCGTGACTATTATCGATTTCTTGAGAAGTATTTGGACTGGAGTCAGATTTTACGTTTTGTTTGCTATTCGATGTTTGTTCGTATATTCTCATTTGTGATTGCATTTCCATGCCACATATACCCGCGTCGCTAATCTGTTGAGAAAAAAAACAGTAGAATGGCCAGATTTAGTAAAGAATGATAAATTATTTTCAAAAATACAAAACAAAAACTACCATATCGCAAAATTCCAAATTCAAATTTCTCAGCTTGAGCAAATGTTTGAAGATGACCTGCAACGCCAAATTGGTAACCGCATTTTTACAGAAGCTCAAATCCAGCAGACGAAGATTTTTCAGACACTCAGCCACCTTGATAACAGCCGATTGGCAAATATTTAATGCACTTACATGCAACTCAATCATACTATCATTTGGTTCATTGGCAATGCCTTCAATGAATCCCTTCGATGTGATTACATCACACTCAGAAATGTCCAGGCATTCAAGTTGCTTTAGCAGTCGTATCTCTTTAATACTTTGGTCCGTAAGTGCTCTACATCGGCGAAGTTTTAGCGTCTTTAACTGTGTTAGGGTTTTACATATTTGTATCACACTAGGATCGGTCAATCTTACTGAATGCGATAAATCCAATACCATCAATGTATTTTGAAAACAAACAAATGATGATATTCCGCTGTTCGTTAGCTGATCGCATGATTTTAGAATCAATTTTTCCAATTTTAAATTATTCACTTGGGCCAATGTGGTGAGGGCGTTGCCATCGATTAGTGTTTCACTTAAATCGAGACATTTCAAATGTTTCGCATGAGATTCGATAAATTTGATGATATAATAAAAAGTGAGTACATTTTCACTGGCACCGATTTCTTGTTGATTGGGTGGATAGAATTTTCGAAAGAGACCACCATGAAATGAAATATGACAACCGGACAAATTGAAGCTTTCGACATTTTTCATTGTGGACATAATTCGACTGAACAGTGCATCCGATAAATAACGATTATGCTTGAGACTGATGTGCTTCACATTGACGCACGAGATTGCTTCACGATCATTTAGATCTTTAAACAAACGACCTGACATGAATAGCTCACGACAATTGTTTATTTCCAATGATTCAAGATTTTTTAGCTGCCTCAAAATGGCGTTGAACGTTTTTTCACGCAATTCGCATGAATTGAAAATGACATCGGTAAAATATTGACCGAAACAATTCCAAAAATTAAGATTTGTTTGTTCAAGATCAACTTCGTTCAGATAGATTTTCGTGTAGTAACGCATTTTTGCGGCAAATGCATTCAACGCTGATGGATCTTGCAGTTTATCAAACACAATCTGAATGCGTGACATAAATTTTGGATGTAAAGATGCGTTAAACCATCGCTTGCATGTTAAACTCGCTTCCAGCAAATCACCGGGATTTAAATAGTCCATTATTTGTAGTATTATCTATTTTAATTCAAAAGAAAAATAAAATCAAGCATAAATTATGAATATTTAATGTCAATGTAAAATATTGTTATATTATTTAATTTAATTACGATAAATTTCATAACGATAAATTAGAAGTTTTCAAGGCAACGCACAGGATTTTATTGTTGCGCAACAAAAACAAAAATGAGGAAACATCTGGAATATTTCATTAATTTGAAAATTTGCTCGATTACTTTTTTTTTGCGAAAAAAAAGAGAATGTACGATTCTAAAGATTTTCTAATTTAGATTCCCAATTTTTTTACCTAATAATGTGCACAAAAACACAACTCATGGCAATACTAGTAGTTCCTTTCACTTAATTTATCTAAGTGTCTTAATGCAATTATTTTATAATTGTAAAAATATGCATTGATTGTACATAGTGTAAGATTTGAATAATTGAAATAAATCAACAATTAATAGTGCGGTTTGGAAATAATGACTCATTTGAAAGTTTTAGAATGATAATTGCGCAGTTGCTACAATAGAGCTATCTGACCTAAACAAGGTACAAAATCGATTCGGAGACATTTTCTCCGAACTTATCACATTTCCATCGAAATTGTCGGACACCTGTTGAAGCCATTTAAACACCCTTTGTTGATTTCAAAAATCGCTTTAAACTTTATCTTGGATTCCACGAGTATACTGTCATTATAATTTGTCATTGTGATTATTTGATTGATTTTTTTTTTCATCATAAAAAATGTTCCCTCAACTGATAAGTGGTTTTTTTTTTGGAGCGTTTGTAATTGAAATTGGAAAATGTTCCAAACGGAATGATGCATATGTATTTAATTATCGTCAATTTATTTTTCATATACAATTCAATTACTTTATCTTTGAAAAAAATTTCAAATTTCATCTAAACTCAGGATACTTTGTACTTTACTTAAAAAATTATATTTTTTTAAACACCATTCGATTTATTTTGGGTTCATTACCTCCATTGGGAGATCTGCATAATCAGCTTCGGTTGACATTTTTGATCAGCTGTTTTGATCTCACGGTTCACAAGTCAGTTTGTAATTTCGATGCAACCACTATGTGTATCATTTAGTTTTCTTGTTAGAAAATTGTCTCTTTGTTACTCTTTTGCTTTAATATTTTGTGTTCAAATAAAATTTGGCATAAAAACAAATAATTTTAAAGTCTTTATATAACGCACTATGTGCCACAATGAAGTTGATTGAGAGCTCTATCACAAACAGTGCGAAAAATGTTCCGCACAACTTTATACTATTCGAATGGATTCGATTTGTATTCGAGCACAACTTATACAAGCAGCAAGATGTGTCGAAGTACGTTTTAGACAACACTATTCCATTTTCAATTCAAAAAAACTTGTTTCAAGCTTTATTCTTTTGTTATATGACGTACACCGTTCTCAATTAATATTCTTTGTTTGTACAGATCTAATTATGTTTTGGCACACACTTTTAAAATGCGTTTCAATGAATTGAACGAAAGAATAACAATTGGGATTCTTTGTTATAATTTGATGGGATTTTACAAGCAACTACAAACTCTTTATCTCATTGGAAATCATAACAACAAAATAGACTCGATTGAGAGACATTGGACAATTGCAGCCCTTTTTATTCAGTTGTCATGTGATTCTATTTTTATTTTTTTTTTTTTTTTTTTTTAATCTTTTTCTAGAGCAAATAAAGGTTTCCGTGTATGTTTCACATATGGTTTTGACAGATCTGATTACATACAGCGACATCTCGTATCTTGGCACGAGATTTTCTCGCTTGTCAAACGCAAATTGGCGCAAATCGCAAATGTCAGAGAAAAACAGCGAATAATAAAAGGGTCATAATTTCTTAAACATTTTAAACGCGCACATAAAAACCATGGATATGTCGAATAATTTTGAACCAACTGAAATAAAACGACTGGATCCAGTCGTTGTAAATAGGTAAATATTTTTTGAAGACGATAATATTGTTAAAATTTATAGTTTCGATGATCAAATTTTCTAAAATACATTTAGGATTGCAGCCGGCGAAATAATCAAGAGACCAGCAAATGCTCTCAAGGAAATGATTGAAAATAGGTGATAGAGCAAATCAAACCCAGACCTTCTAGGCAAAATCAATTGAATATAATTTGTAAATTATTTGTCGACTTTTAGCTTGGACGCCAAATCAACGAACATTCAAATCACCGTAAAAAATGGTGGCCTCAAATATTTACAGGTAACATTTTTCAAATTTAAAGTCTTTAGTGATGGATTTCACTCAAACATTCCTCTTTTCAATTGTTAGATTCGCGACAATGGCACCGGCATACGCAAGGACGATTTGAAGATTATTTGTGAACGATTCACCACGTCTAAGCTGCAGAAATTTGAAGATCTACAATCAATTGCCACCTACGGTTTTCGCGGTGAAGCTCTTTCGAGCATCAGTCATGTTGCCCGTCTAACAATTCAAACAAAAACTGTCAACGATAAATGCGCCAACAAGTAATCATCTTAAACTTTTGATTTCAAAATTTCCGCGAAAGCTATGGAAAATGTCAGAAAATATTCAAGATGGATAAAAACCGGGGAATCTGAGAAGGAGAGCAATGAAAACAAGGAAAATCTCCCTCCTCGGTGCTTTCCTTATTCTCATTTTTCTGTTCACCATTCCTTCTCAATCAGCGACATTTTTTCCACATGAAATTATACCATACAAAATCAAAATTTAGTAAAACTGAGTAAATATTTCCATTTATAGGGCATTGTACGAAGACGGTCGTCTTAAAGAAGATATTAAAAGTTGTGCGGGTAATCAGGGGACACAAATTACAGTTGAGGATATGTTTTTCAATATGCCACAACGCAAACAATTGTTTAAATCGGTCAGTGAGGAGTTTTCACGAATTATGGATGTTGTTAGCAAATATGCCATACATAATGCAAGCGTTGGATTTTGTGTGACAAAACATGGTGAGAATGCGTCACTTCGAACACCAGCCAAATCAACGCAACGCGAAAATATTCGAATTGTGTATGGTGGCGAGGTGGTGAATGAAATAAAATCAATTGATTGCAGCGATGAACTTTTACAATTTGAAATGTCTGCACTGGCCTCAAGCGTCAAATATTCATCGAAGAAATTTACATTCCTTTTGTTCATCAATCATCGATTAGTTGAGTCAACGGGTAACATTTTGGCATTCAATTTTGTTTTTTATTCAATATAAAATTGATGAATGCATCTTTATTCACAATCAGCTCTGAAGAATGCCATCGATCAAGTATATGCAACATTTTTACCGAAAGGAAATCATCCATTTGTCTACATGGATTTGCGTATTGAGCCACAAAACGTAGATGTCAATATGCATCCCACAAAAGTAAGTGTTATTATGCCAAAAATATACATCCCTAAAACCAATCAAATTCATACATCGTTATTATACAAACAAAGCACGAGGTAAATTTTCTTTATGAAAATGAAATTGTGGAAAAAATCAAATCGGCATTCGAATCGACATTGATTGGATCAAATGAAACGCGAGAATTGTATACACAACAGCTATTACCGGGCGCTTCAAATCCATATTTAGATGATAATGAGTCGATGTCACAAAAGAAAGAAGCTAAGGTGTATGCCAAAGACATGGTCCGGTCTGATAGTAAAGAACAAAAGTTGGAGAAATTTTTTGGAACAATTATAAAATCATCGGCAAATGAATCCATTGAAATTGGCACACCGAATGAAGAAAGTGCTGAGGATGACAGCAAACAGAATACAAGCTCACAAAAATCGTTTGTTTTACCGTTACAAACGAAAATCGACGTTGCACGAAAGTATGTATTATTTTCCATTTCGGAACTAAATTAAAAAAAAATCGAAACATTTTCCTCTTTTTCGGAACAAAAAAAAACATCTTTTTTTCTATATGTAGAAAAACCAAATTGACGAGCATTTTGACGTTGCGCAAAAAAGTTGAGAACAAATGCGATAAGAATTTGCGTCACATATTGGCCGAATCAAATTTTGTTGGTTGCATCGATCGTCAGCTGTCTCTAATCCAATCGGGATCGAATTTGTATCTGTGTGATATGCAAAAATTGAGGTAATAAGCTACTGACTGAATAGAAATTTTTTTTCTTCCGATTTCATAAATGTGTCGCATTGGAGCATAACACTTTTTCCGTGTCTTTTGCAGTGAAGAGTTGCTTTATCAAATGTTGCTTTATAATTTTGAGAATTTCTGCGAAATTCAATTCGAAACAGCATTGTCATTGAAAGAGTTGGCCATATTGGCATTGAGTAACAAGGAGAGTGGCTGGTGCGAAGAAGATGACGGTCCAATGGATGAACTGGCCGAAAATGTGCAAGATGCATTAATACAAAAAGCATCCATGCTTAGAGAATATTATGGTATCGAGATCTCGAGCGATGGCAAACTAAAATCACTGCCACTTATTTTAGGTACGAATGAAACGCAAATATAATTTTAAAATTGCTTTATTTTGTGAATAATTTTCGAAAATTGATTTTTTCGTCTACAGAAAATCATTTGCCGATGTTATGTCATTTGCCTATGTATATTTTACGACTTGTAACTGAAGTTGAGTGGACGAAAGAGCTGAAATGTTTTTCAACATTTTCTCGTGAGACAGCCATGTACTATGCACGCTCATCTTTCAATAATGATGACACCGAATGGAAATGGTTGTGTGAACATGTTTATTATGACCACATCAAACGGTAAACTATAAATTTATAGTATAGTAGTATAAATTTATAGTAAATTTTGAACGAATCATAACGAAATATTTTTTGTTTTTTTTTTTTAGCTACTTAATACCATCCGAACAATTGGACACATCTATAATTCCGGTGGCAAATTTACAAAATTTATACAAAGTATTTGAACGATGTTAATGACACACTACGCACTAGAGAACTTCATTTGTGATATAAATTCAACCGAATTTTGAAAATAAAAATCCAATTTTTTTTTTTATAGATCTGGCATTCGTATGCGTTTTTCTTTATGCTCATTTTTGACATGTTGACGAAACATGTCCATTATTTCGTTTTCATATTCAGACGGTGTTGGTTTACTGCCCAGCGCCCAGTTGTAGATATCCCAATCGTTGGATGGTTTATTTATCAGATGGTCATACATTTCAATTTGTTCGGCGCTCATTTTCTTCAAATATTTGGCTGCAAATGTACTCAACAACAAATCATTCTCAAGCATCCCTCGTTTACGACTTTGGTATAGAAGACTGTAAAACACAAACAATCAATACAACACATTCCATTTGACCAATTCATATGGATAATAAAATGTACCGGGATCTGCGTTGCTCGAGTGGCTCATCGGGTCTCACTGGATACTCGGGTATTGTTATAAAGGCCGAATCTTCCAAATGAACTATATCGGATTCGGAGTCACCGTTTTTGTCATTTCCACTTTTTGATGCTAAATTTCGGCTCAATAGTCTTGGCATATGTTGCACCACCTGGAAAACATACAATTTTGATTTAGCACAATGCATTTATATTTTACGCACCAGAAAAATCTACATACATTGAAGCGGCCAACTCCGTTGAATAAACTTCGCAGCATTTTTTTTTTGTTTTCTTACTTTAGCGAATTTATGTTACGCAAAGACTAGACTGATGACATAAATGCATGTGTGATTGTAGGCATATGTCAATTAGACACACACACATGGATTTGAACCAACTTCACGCATATTCGCTTTTTTATAATTTTTTGAATTTTTTTTTTCGTTAAGATAAAATATATATTTTTTTTAATTTTACACATCATTTCATTTTTCTTCTATAAAACACCTAGCTTCTGACGGTGGGAGGGGGGGGGGCGGGGCGTCAATCTGACCTCTCGAACTTTGGGTTTTTGGCTAAAAGTAAATAAATATTTGAAAATTCTAGTAAATTCAACTTTTTGTCAATATGACAAGAACGCAAATACGTATTCAATAAAAGCACAAATGCTAAAAATAAATAAAAAAAGGTGAATTCTAGGTAAAATAGTAAAATGATTGATTTCTCTTTTGTGCGAAAGTACTATGTAAGAGATATTAAACAAACCTCTAAAAATATGCTGCAACCGTGGCGAGAGTTTTATCGATATTCATATCGATTGGTCATTTTTGCTGGAATTTATTTCTATGATAAAAATTCAATCTATTATAAGCGAAAAGCAATTTCTGTAAAGTTCTGAAAGCATGTAGTTCGGTCAGTTTGATCACAAGTCGTTACAAGAAGATGTTGATTTGGTGACAAAGTTGTCTCTTATAGTGTTTTCTCAATAGATAAAACTTTCACCAAAGCAATCTCTTCGTTGGTAAATTGGTAGCAACAATCAACATACACTTGTATTATGTTCAATACAAGACATTGAAAGCCATACTATCAACGATTCAAAATGTTTGTTAAATATACAAATAAAAAGTATGATGAAAATAAGTAAAAAAGAAGACGGATGATGTCTACACCGTGGTACACACAAAGTGAAGAGTTCATTCGTCTTTGGTGAGAGACGAAGAAAATAATGGATTGCGCGGTTCGGACAGATTAGGCCGAGATCGTAGTATTTTGGACGATGTGTGAGTATGTAAAAGCAGCAGTATCGGCAGTTCAATAACTCAACACAAACCAAAAAAGCAAACAAACAAAAACAAAAACAAAACCACTCAATGATACAAAAATGGTATAAAAGCTATCTACATACAATTCGTCGCAGTATATTTCGTTCAACCGCCTACAACATCCTATTCCAATCTACAGACACTGAATGTATTTTGATTATCGCCGCACACAAAATTCAAACTCGCTTAATGCTTTACAAAAATAATCGCGTTGCTTTCGCAGATTAAAAAGCAACAAAATCGGTAGAAAAACTATCAAGCAAAAAACGGTATTTTTTAAACCTCTTTTCATTGCATTGTAGTGTAAATAGAAAAAAAGTGCCAATTTCATACATCAGTGACATCAAAATCAAACATGTGCAAACGAATTCCACCAGGTAAGAATAATTGGGACCTTAACAATTTTGGTAAATTGATATATTTTTACTCTCGACAATTTAACACCGGAATGACAGGAAAATCAACGCTTGAATTGAAAACATTCTTTGCAACAACAATTTTGGCATGCATAATTATGACCAAGATTGTGAATTGTGATGAAATCGAAAAACGTCCACACATCATTTTTATTTTAGCTGACGATATGGTATATTGATATCTCTGTGTAATTTTATCAATCAAAATGAAATGTTGAGGCATGCAAATTTTTCTAGGGTTTTAACGATGTGGGTTTTCATGGATCCGCTCAGATACCAACGCCGAACATCGATGCTCTTGCCTATTCTGGATTAATTCTAAACAATTATTACGTTACGCCGATATGTATGTATGCTGAATCAGTAATGCTATAAAGCAGCCACTTAAATTCAACGTCTATAAATTAGGTACACCATCGAGATCGGCGCTTATGACTGGTAAATACCCGATTCATACAGGCATGCAGGTACAATTATTAAATTAATTTGCACATTCCGTCCTAAAATTGTGATTTTATTATTACAGCACCGTGTGTTATATGGTAAGATGAAAATGAATGTTTGATACCGATTTTTTTCAAACGATTTACCGTGCGATTTCATTGTTTTTTTGAAGCGGCTGAACCACGAGGATTGCCACTAACCGAAAAAATATTGCCACAATATTTGAAAGAGCTTGGCTACACAAATCATTGCGTTGGAAAATGGCATTTGGGACACTATAAAAGTGAATATACGCCATTGCATCGGGGATTTGATAGTCATATTGGTAATTATAGAATTGAAACTAACATTTAAAGAACATAAATCACATCTTAATTCTACCGCGTGCATGCAGGCTACTGGACGGGGCATCATGACTATTTCGACCATACGGCAGTGGAACAACAATGGGGTTTTGATATACGACGTGGCATGGATGTGGCCTATGATTTACACGGTGCATTTTTTCTGTTATATTTGAAAATCAAAAAATGTGAAATCAATACCATATTTTAGGTCAATATACGACTGATATTATCACCTCTGAATCGGTGCGAATTATTCGGTCACATAACGCATCACATCCGTTGTTTTTGTACATTGCACATGCCGGTAATTTTGCATCAGCATATTTATATTCGAAATTTGAATCACGATAGTTTTTGTTATCTTTTTTTTTAAACAGCCGTCCACTCCGGAAATCCCTACAATCCGTTTGTATTATAGATAAATTATACTGATTACAGCATTTGCATACAAATAATATGTGATATTTTTTAATTCGATTTGATATGAATTTACATGCGATTGGAGTTGGAGTTGATAACTTTAATCTTATGTTGTAAATCCATGATCAAATAAAAACGAAAAATCTCGTTGATACGATAAGGATGCATGGTGTTTTATAATTCCGTACAAATCTATTGACAACAACAGATTCCTTTACTCCAACCGTAAAAATACCATTATAAATGATTAGTCCATTTTAAACAAGGAGCCAATGTTGATAGAGAGATTTATGCGATATTATAAAATCCCATGTATTTGTTTGATCTTATCGAAACACATGTCATATTTTTAACCATTTTTCATCGAAACTAACGGATATTAATTGTGTTTAAATAACATGCAATTGATATCAAATACAGATTACCGGCGCCCGATTCGACAACAAGTAAATTAACCCATATCAATGATTTCGCACGAAGAAAATACGCTGGTACTTACATTTATTAAAAATTGTGAACTTTTTTGTTTTAATTTTTGTTTTGAAATTTTAAAATAGCAATGTTAACTCATTTGGATTATTCGGTTGGAGCCGTTGTTCATGAATTGGCCCAAAATAATATGCTCAAAGATTCGATCATAGTTTTTAGTACAGACAATGGTGGTCCAGCCGAAGGTTTTAATCTGAATGCAGCCAGTAATTGGCCGTTACGCGGAGTTAAAAACACTTTATGGGAGTAAGCTCTTCTGTTTTAGATTATGTTCCATTACATATTGATTTATTCCCATGTTTTATTTCTGATTCACACCACAGGGGCGGTGTTAGAGGTGCTGCTTTATTATTTAGTCCAATGCTAACGAAGAAAAATCGTGTTTCCAAACAAAAATTGCACATAGTTGACTGGTAATTAAATTGACATTTTTTCCAAAGAACATAAATCACATTGTGAATCACGTCTTAATTCAACTACGCTACTTAAATAGGCTACCAACACTTTACTATGCGGCTGGAGGAAATGTTGAGTAAATATCTCGTTTACAAAATGAGCTTTTTTTACAATAAATTGAGTTTCGTCATTATTTATATTATGAAGGCAATTAAATGTGACGCTCGATGGAAAGAATCTATGGCCAGCTCTATCCGAAGACACGAAATCGGATCGTACAGAAGTTTTACATAATATTGATGATATTTTTGGTAGTGCTTCACTAACAGTTGGCGAATGGAAAATTCATAAAGGCACCAACTATAATGGAGCCTGGGACTCTTGGTATGGACCGAAAAAGAAATGAAAAGTTAAAAACTGACTTATATTTTCAAATGCTTGACATTAGGTATGGACCCGCAGGTATTCGGTCAGCAACAGCGTACAATGTAAACGGAGTCATTCAAAGTCCGGCCGGACAAGTGTTAAATCGAATCAATTTACTGCCGTCAGCAGTGCATATGCGCAAAATACGAAGTGATGCCACCGTTGATTGTACAAAAAATCAAACATCAGAATCAATTTGTCGACCACTTGAAAAACCATGTTTATTTAACGTCGACGAAGATCCATGCGAACAAAATAATTTGGCCGAACAGTAAGTGTTGAAAAATGTGCCGTTTTTGTAATTCGTTTAATTTTCGATATTTTTCGAATTTCACAGGAATCCGCAGATATTGAATGATTTACTTGAAAGACTACAATATTATAATCAAACAGCCATTCCCCCCGGCAATTTGCCACTCGATCCCAATGCAGATCCACGATTTTTCGATAACACCTGGACGAATTTTGGTGATTTCAACAAAAAAATGATGTACAGCTAAAAGAAAAGATTTGCTCTTCTTTTATCACTTGCAAAGTTTATAATAAAAAGAAATGTTTATATTCAAATCGAGTTAGTTCAAATATTAAATACGGCGCACACAGCGCCACCAATAATGACATTTGTCATTTGTCATTCGCGAAGCATTGAATGTAAACAGGCATTGAGTTTTTGAACCACAACCAAAAATATATTTATTTTCAATATATATAAAAAAAAATATTGTTCGTTTGGATCAACATTAGCTACATATTAAAATGGCATCCAAAGGTGATTTATTGATGGAAATTGCGTCTATGGATTTTATTGAGTCGGAATCAAAGATTTTGGAAAATGTTGGTTTGGTAACGCAAAAAGATGCAAATCATCGTTTACTCTTGCATTGGGGGGCATTGATGGGAAAGGAACGTTTTGTGGAGTTTTTGCTAAATTTCAAAGAGTGTCCGATTGATCCGATTGACGATACCGGTGCGACACCATTAATTTTAGCAACATTGAAAGGATCATTGCCGATTGTAAAATTGCTGATTGAACGTGGTGCAAATGTAAATCATCAAAATAATAATGGACACACACCGGTAAAATACGCCGGATCGAAAAATCATAAAGACATATTGCTACATTTATTGGACTGTGGCGCTGATCCAAATGCACGTGATCATATCGGCGACACGCCACTGCATCGAATTGCATCGATGGAGCACCACGACTGCCTTCGCATGATATTGACACATCCCAAATCAAGTTCAATCTTATTGTTAGATGCACAAAATAAACTTGGCATGACCCCATTACATTTGGCATGCGAAGTAGATGATCCAGTGGGCGCTATTATGTTGATTGATAAAGGAGCCTCAACGGAAATCTCAAACAAAGACGAATTAACACCACTTCAAGTTTGCAAGCCTTACATACGCCGAAAATTATTGGATCACATCGAAAGCAAAGCCAAATGAATGTGTCATCATTATTGTTAATCATTTATCGCATTCACTTTCAAAAAAGAAACCCAAACACGAATAAATAAACAAAATCAAACAAAACGTTCTTTCTATCTGTTTTAGTCTCTTTCCCACTCCCTTTGGTTCTTGATAGCCAGCTCTGTTATGATTCACACATCTACAATTTACTTTTTGTTTATTCACTTTATTCTCCTTTCATGTGGTGGTAGTAGTGTGTTGTTGACATTTCTTTGCTTGAACAAGTCTATACGGATTGCATTTTTAGTAAAGTCTTTTGAATATCAAGTCAATACAAAATTGCATCGACATTACATTTTTTTTTTGTTGCTCTTAATTTTTGGGGTGAGCGAATGAGAAAGGAAAATGTATTGAAGAAAAACAAAATGAATTTCCATTAAAAGTGTTCATAGTGGTGCGAGTTAAATTCAATCAATGAATATACTGTAGATAAAATTGTGAATAAAATAAGCAGCGGCAGCCCATTCAATAAGGCAAGTTGACGAATTTTCCAAATTCAGACAAATATGCCGTTTTTGATGGTGGTGCGCAAGTGTTGGTGCTGTTGATGTCAAGCTGTGCAGATTACAAGCCGTCGAATATTTTCCACCCGAAGCAACAACAACAACCACAATAATAATAATGAGACGAATAACGAGAGCACACAATGGTTAATGGTATGGTTGATAGTAATGGCGACCGTAGTACCAATACCAAAACGATATATCGCACAGAGTGTTGTAGTACATATTTTACTTCTTACTTCTATTTCATAGTGTTTTAATAATAAATGGACAATGCATTCATTCTTTGGGCAAAACAACGAATTTGTTTATCGAATGGTTGACAATGCAGATTCTCAATGGTATTTAAAATAAAAGAACAAAGAGAAGAAAAAAAAACATTGCGAATACGTTAATGACAATAACAAATCCAAGATATACGTATAAGAAAAACATAAGTCAACATAACATACATAAAGTTAACAGTACACTTTCGCGAAAGTCGAAACTGATTATTGCGAATATTAAAAATATAAAATAATAATAGTATTTTTTAAGTTAGCTACGCTTATTCAATTCATAAACAATCAAAATATGAGATTCAATCGAAATCGTATTTAAAAAACAAATCTACAACGCAATCGAAATTTCCTAAGAAATAGCTAGTGTTTAAATAGCGCACAACAAATACCATTTTCACACTATTTGTTACAAAGGAGATTCTTAAAATCACTCGTAAATATCTATTCTTTGTATTTGCATAGTCATTTACAAATTAAAAATAAAAACCAAATCTATTTATTTAAATGTAAAATTCGCCGAAATAAGCATACACAAAGAAAAATATTCGTTATTTTAAGACGAAAATAAGTCGTGATTCATCATAAATAAGTCTTGATAACATCACATTGATATGGCACTGTCAAACACAGCTTTAATGCGGCCACAAAGTGTGCTGCAACAACTTTTAGATGAAATCAATTTCCAACGAGCCAAGGAAATGAGGCAGATGCTAAAAGATGGTAACATTTTCGATTTGAATAAAAAAATGTTTTATCGCATCGAGAAATTGTTGAATTCATAGTATTTATTTGTATGTTTCCTGTTTGCGATTAGATGGTGGATTTGTAATGCTGCAGGGAACAACGTACTGGACCGATTTATTTGTTCGTCATTTTTTATTCCAAGTTGAAACTCAAGAGACCATCGATTCCGATGATTTATTATTTTTTGTGCGAAAAAAACATGTAAAAGGTTCATCAAGGCATATGCCAAAATTCGAAACGGATGTCGATGTATATCGAAAAGATTCAAGAAAATTACCGATTGGCGATCCAGACGTTGATTGGGAGGAAACGGTTTATTTGAATTTGATTATTCATCAATTTAACTATACACTGACTCTGGCCATATGCACCCGGACGTCACCAAAAGAACTACAAGTTCTTCGTCGTCATTCACAGCGAGGTAATTTTACATCAACATTTTTTATATTCGCAATTTGGATCACGGTATTTTTTATTTTTGGTTACAGTTTATGCATCTCCGAGCCGCCGAAAAATGGACACAAAAGGTGATGGCGAAGAAATGACGTATCCGCATGTGTGTTTTATGGTCGACAATTTTGATGAGGTAGATGAATAAGTTGTCTTTTAATGCGAAGATTTGAAATTTTCGTTCTCTCTCTCTCTCAATGTTTGTAGGTGTTTTGTGACATTTTGGTACGTGATGGTGAAATGGTGTGTGTAGAATTAGTTGCAAATGATCGCGATGGAGCTGTACAAGGTGTTATATTCTTGGGTTCGATTCGATATGATGCGCTAAAAAAAGTCTACGATGCAAGAGTAAGATAATATGAATTGCAAAACAATTTAAAAGTAACCACAGAACGTCGGCTAATCATTGGTGTGATAAAATTATTTTTAGCAATCAAGCATTAGTTCGAAATTGGCACAACGAATGACATTTGGTTTATTTAGCGGTGCTGGCCCGCAAACCCGATGCGAATTTGTACGAATGAAGGGACCACAAGGTAAAGGACATGCAGAAATGGCAGTGACAAAACCAAAAGGATCTGGCGTGGAAACACCAACCAGTGAACCAGGGTAAATGATTTTTTCCTCCGAAACTTTAACCGAAATAAAAAAAATACGTTCGAGTTATGAATGTTTGAGATCGAATGGTAATTCAAATAGAATTCAAAATTTTGGGAAAAAAGCGTTTGCATTACAATAGAAGGTGATTTCTGAAGATGTGAAACGCCTTGATGATGCGATGGGCGCTTGTTTCACCCGATTTGCAGAAGTCACGTTCGCATGAATGCACACCATTTCTCATGATTTCGTTTTTATTTCGATGGTATTTGGATTGACCATTTCATTGTTTTTCTCATACACCCATATGCGATCGGACGATGATGGGCATTATCTCTATTTTTCACTTGAAATGTATAAATAGATTTTGTATGACTGACATGTATGATGAATGGGACGAAGATCCGGATGATTTTCTAAATTATCGTCATCAGCGACGTCTTAGCGATCCAAGTGCAAATTTAAACAATTACAGTCGATACGGCTGGAAAACCAAACCGACACCAGCTAATGATCAATCATCGAAGGCAATGTCACAAAATGAAGGCTTGGATAGTTTGGCCAATGAGGTGTCGGAAATTGAAGCTGGCGATTTGAAAGATGGTAAGTTCGATGGAATGATCAAATGAAAACCGTACACTCTTACTTTCATTTTCATGTATATACATCTGGGTGGGTATTTCTCATTCTCATCACATTCATAATAATCATTTTGAAATTGCGAAACAGTTAGACAACGCTTGTATTTGTACATCTTATAGCATTTTTGTTTTCAGCATTTCCTTGGTTTTAGAACATTTTACTTTTCTTCGTTTGCAAATGATTTGAGAAGTTAAAATGCACGTTTATTGAATGCTATCCAATAAAAATTCGTGACATTTAGACAGAAAAATATAAATTAATTAAACTACGACGTTATTCATTGGTAGTGCTCGATATGTAGTACAAGCTATAATAGCGAGACTCGATCAATCAATTGAAGAATTTAAACGACCATTCCGTACCAAATCGTTCATATTTTCTTAAAAGAAATCTTTAAATCGAATGCTAGGACGTTTCCTAAAAGGTTTTTTTTTTCGAATGAATATTTTCCCGAAATTTTGGAAATTCCATTTTGAAAAAATTCCAAATGTTCGAAGAAAACATTCGCTTTGGAAAAAATATGTTTGGGAAATGTCCCGACAATCGACCTAAATCAGCTTAAACTCTGTCTAAGCTAATACTACTACGTTCAACAACTAATCCAGACAAAGTTTTGACGTATTTCCAGTTGTAGAAGAGCTGGTGGTATTCGGCTGGTTTTTATTGCTTTTTTTCATTATCTAGCACTTTACGTCAATAAATTCTAGGAATATGCCATCGCAAATTTTACAGTTCGATTATACTCCTGGCTACCGTTGTAATGGTTTATCAAACACCATATTTTGTTATTCTTTAAAAAAACTTAATTAAGATTTAAAGAAACAAAACATTTCGATTTTTTCGTAAACCAAAATCAATTTTAAGAATATTGCTTGGGAATGTTCGAGTAATTTCACAGCTCGATTCTGTAATTCAATAATGGTATATGAGAGATCATCTTTCGTTATCGTTCGTTAAAAAAACATGTAGAAGTTTTTGGAGACGAGCTGTCTTTTTCTCGAATTTTCCACATTTTTGCCATGAATGAATCCATCAAAATGAAAACAAAATATGATGTGTTTGTTACACCATTAGAAAGGTATATAGAATTCGCGATGGAAAATAATCGAATTAAAAGCGAAATATTTGCTCTTTGACAGAATTTTTAAGTGAATAAATAAATGCATTAATAAATTCTAATTGAACGTGGCAATAAAAAAAATCCATTTTTTCATGGGAATGTTGTAATAAAAAAAATACAAGTGCCTACGACGAGAATCGAACTCGCAATCTTTGGCTGTCTCTTTCTTTAGGAGGCCAACGCGTTGCCTTTACGCTACGCAGGCTCTAGACAAGTCTGTGCTATTTGGTAATATAACGTCAACGTGCTTTTTTTCATTACAATAGTATCTGTCTCGCTCCAACTACATAGAAATTTTCGTAAATCGGACGCACACACACAAACGCAATGTAGTCATAAACACAACCCAAAATAGCAACGACGTATCACATTTATTTTGTATCACAACCACAGCTATCGATAAGCTATCGAATCTCTGGTGTATTTAATTTTAAGTGATCGCTATAAATGTATGGCATTCGGAAATCTAAGCATGTCACTTTTTTTCAGAGAAAATTCTATCTTAATTAATTGTTTGTGTGAGGAAAATTAAGAAAAACATTTACGATTGTATGCATGCTGGAATAGAATCGATCCATTTTAGAGACATTGGTGTTTGTGTACAATACAGAAATGTTTTGTTTTTTCGTCAAATATGTTATTTTCCTAGAAATATTATTTATTTCTTGATATTTTTTTTCTTAATGAGATTCACGAGAAGGCCACATTTTTTTCACTTTTAACGTAGCAATATCAAATACGTGGTATATCAAAGACACAAACCCAAGTGGAGCTTTGCGATTCGATCATGGCAGCGAATAGACAAAGACAAAAAAAATGTACGATGTGTTCATACTCCATTCGATTTGTTTCGTCGTTTCTTCAATACTGTATTTCATTTCCATTTCATAAAATCACAGTTAATTCACGTCGACTTCGTTTAGATTTGCAAATATATCAATACGATTGTTTTGTTCATTCTATCATTTGTAGTACCATCATTTGGTTTGGTTTGTATTTGTTTTATTTTTCAGTATTTTTTGAACTCTGAATATTTTTTGGACGAAATAAAATTGTGATTGAAAAACGAAAGATTCGGAAAAAAAAGTTTCGTCAATTTCTTGGAACCAACCAAACGTTAAAAATGTAATATACGATGCAAACAGAAGGGGAAGCAGATCCAACATTATTTTGTTTTGAATATTATTTTCATTCTTTGATTTAATTTTTTCTTTTTTCATTTATTTTTTATATTGATTGCGTCTTCTTCATTTTTTTTTTACTTAGATTTTTTTTATTTTCATTTGTTGTTTTGTTCGTCTTGTAGTTTGAGAATTTAGATGCAATTTAATAAATTAGATATTGTTGTAACTTTTTCGTCCACATAAAATAGAGGATGTTTAAAACAAAAAAAAGTACACACAAACTTTTTTGATTTATTCGAATATTATTTATTGATTTGTATTTTTCTGTTTCTTGTCTGTTTTTTTTATTTTATTTAAATGTTTGCATAGATGATCGGTCTGCTTCCCCAAATAAAACCGCCATCACCCCCGCCGCCGTCAATTCGAATCGTAGTGCATCGGTGGATCGGACAGCGAAGACAATAACACCAGACATTGAAACACCGACGTGTTGCAATTGTTTTGGTCCATTGAAGCGAAATCAATGGGATGATGCAATATCGAATCAAATGTCAGAAGTGTATTGTCGGGCATGTGAAGATGAAGATGATGATGGTGACGCCGAAATTGTGCACATACCAAAAAATCGTTACGATTCACCTGCCATACTCACAAACATTACCAGAAAAACCATCAAACGGAATAATATTTCGATGCAACGAAAATTTCAGTTGGGCGTCGACAGCGAACTCGAAATACCCACGGTTCTAGAACTGAATAAAAAAATACAAGATGATGATATCGAATGCATGAAAAATATTGGCGATGATTTTGAGCTGGGCGATGATGTGGTTGTAACCAGTGACGAAATAATCGATGGGAGTTCAAGTCCACCGAAATGTGCACAAAAACAAATTGACACAAAAGAAATGATCCGGGTCCGTGGCAAAGAAGAGTTACCATTCACATCTGATGTGCAAACAGAAATTATAAATTCAAATCAGCGACACAGCAACGGTGATAAAAAAAATTCAAGTGATAATAATGTGTGCAATAATGATGACCATAAAATCAATACACCAATTTATAATAAATACTCTGCGAAACAAATATCAAGCAAAATAAATTGCACTCACAATCATCCATTAATTCCAAATGTAATGATTAACAATCGAAGCGCAAAAACGGTGGAAAAAACTCAAATTCAAGGCCAACGTAATCTTTTTGATAATAACAATCGACCGCCGACAGTCCAATCGTTTGATAAAACACCATTTCACAAGCAAATAAACCGAATTTATGCTACGTTACCAAAAATGAAAAAGCAAAAAAGTCTTCAAGACACAGTTTTCAATGCAAATCACCCACCGTTTTCGATTCCAACTAGAACAACTCCAGATGGCACAACCATTTACTACATTTGTGATTTAGCGAAAAATATTACGAAAGGTTCTCATCCAATAAATTATCGACTTATTGATTCTTAATATTAATTTCTCAAAAAAAAAAAAAGAAAAAAAAATCGCACAATCTAGTTAATCATTAGCATGCAATTGTCAATGAAAACTGAAGTTTTTTTTTTCTTTTTCTTTTTGAATTCAAGAACTGGATGATGGTGCCTGCAATCCATTGTGGACTAGCAAAGGATTTACGCAAACATTTCATTTTTGGAAAGAGCATCGCAGACAGCAATCAGTGCCGTTGAATGCATTTTTAACATATATAACGGTAACAATATACATTTAGTTTCACGAATCACAACCAAAATGAATAATTTTTTTTTAATTTGTAATAATTCTGCAGTTACCGTGGTGGAGCATCGCAAAAGGTAGCAGTTGAATCGTATTTTCTCACGAAAATGATGTTTATTCTATTTATATTTATTTTATTGAATATTTCAGATATACTGGATCATAAAGAGACGCCGATATTAACATTTTAATTTATGCGTTTAATCTATCAATTAAGGAAAGGATTGATTCTTCCTTCGAGTCATAATTTATGGTTGTGGAACTTATGGATTCCGATATTTATTTATTTGAATTTTTCGTATCCAATACAAACTTTCGGACTACTTAATTATAATTAAATAGGCCATGTCGATTTGTGATCAATAATACCATTTTTTTTTTTAATTTTAAATCATAAACCACAAGATTTCATTTTTCAAATAAACTTCATTATTTGTGAAAAAAAAAGAGAACATATTCCGACTTTTTCTTATGCATTTTGCAGCTAAATTATATAATAATCCGAAAAACAGGTTAAGAGTGTAAGTAAATATATTCCATTGAACAATGATTATATTCCACTACTTGCAGACATTTTTTTTCTAGCAGTTATGAAAAAATGACCTAATACGCCTGTATACTGATTTTTTTAAATTAAACGCTTGAATTACATCAGTAAGTCGTTTGTTTATCAATTTTGATTACTTTGTTTATTTTCAGTGCACTAAAGGTAAATACTGTCCTTTAAATTTGGCTAAAAATAGTGAAACTGGTGAATTGACTGGTCTGGTAGTCAGTGATTATTTCTGAATATGATTGCTATTGATGAATATTATACGTGAACTTAACCGTAGACGTTTATTCAGTGGACTTACAGCTTTTTGAAAATTTTTAACTTATTTTTTGGGAAATAAAGCATTTGTGTGCATATAAAACCATTTTTATTAGCCATCAATTGTCAGATTTTATAAGAAGAAAACTTACCTGCACACCAATCATTCATTCATGATATAATGATGATTGTATTTATCTTTTTCACTGAATTTGTGACTAATTATATATGTGTATGTACTTGAAACTATTATTACCTATTATATGATTGTATAGTCGTTTCCAAAAAGATCTGTGTTGTCAAACTAATACAATGCATTTCGGAACGCATTTCCATTCAAAAGTACACAAGGCTCCTTAGTTAAACGTGTCAATTTGGTTTGAATTTTGTTGAGGGTATGTTGTTTGTTCAAAATTTTGACAGTTCGCTGTAACAGATCTTATTGAAAACGACTATACTAATGTTTCGATAAATGTTTAACAAGTTCTAATTTGGATTATTATAGTAAATTTTATTTAATGGTTTTGTTCAAAAATAAAATCGTTGTAAGTTCTCCTGACGATATATTCGTTTATCATTAACGTTAGCTAATTTAAACATTTTCAATTTACAAAATTGGCCATATAATGTTTTATTTGTTTGGTAGGAAAATTTAAAATCAATATGTGATATTTAGTTGGTATTTCAGCTGACACGTTAATTGCAATCCTCTTATATTTGATGATATAATTTCTCTCAAGTAATTTCCAATCGATAAATCATACAAATAAGACAAAAACAAGATCGAATTTTAGTTAATCCGTCGATTGCAAAAGCCAAAAAGTACGAGTAAAAGAAACTCATTGTGTCATCGCATTTTCAACGTGTGATAATGGCAAAAAAATATTTGTATACATCGTCAACAGAGGATGCTTCAACTTTTACCAACAGACAATGATGTACAATTTTCTGCAAAAAAAGTGTGTCAAATCAATTTTTTTCCCCAAAACACACTTAATTTATAATCATTTAATAAATTGAACATATCAATTTACCCTATATATTTAAGATACATTATAAGTGGATCCATTCAAGTTTTAATGGTAAATTTCGTTTTCTTTTAACAAGTAGATCTATAAGTTCAACGAGAAAAAAAAATTGACATCAATTTAAACAAGAAAAAGTCAAATGGTTTAGCATCTTAAATGCTTTGTTGTTTGATAAACGATCATTTCTTTTGTCAATTTTGTGAATGTATGTGTCGTTGTCGTTTTCATTTTCAAATCTCTGTGCCACAGACCAATAACAATAATAATTGGTATTAATTGAACTTGAATTGAAAGTTGAACAGAAGATGAAAAAAAATGTAACACATAGCCAATCGTCAGGCCATCGTTGAAAGAAACGATAACGCCGAGTATGAGACACATCAGTGTGATACAGAATGAAGAGAGAAGAGAGAAAAAAAACATGATAATGGTGAAGGAAGGTATAAAGTGAAAAAAAATTAAGAAAAAAAAGAAAGCAAAACATAGAAAGAACAGACACAATGATGCGCGCATACATTAAAGTGAGAGATAAAGTCAAAAAGTAAAGTAGAAACTCGATGCTGTATCGAGAGAGAGAGAAAAAAAGGTAAGCAGACCAAAGTCATGTAAATGTGTGAGAGACATACACATAATAGTATATAGTACATAGTGCGAGAGCATTGATAAATTACTGAATACAGGTAAAAACATGTATATATAGATAAATAATAAAAAAAACCACACGAAGCGACAAAAAAGGTATAAGACAGAGATAGAGTAGGAAAAAGATGTGAACAACACACAACTGGATTGCAGTAGATCGGATGGCATGGCTATAGTTTTTGTTGGTTGCTTGTGGTTTCAGTTATTCGAATCTCGTTGAATGGTGAGCGTGCTAATACACCTATGTGCTTGCCCGTGTTTGCTCACAATATTTAACAGAAGAAACATTCAAAATACGACGAAAAAAAGAGGTAAACAACGAAAAAGTTTACAAGATCGATCGTTTGCCCATTTGATCTTTTTTTATTTCATTATAAAAATCTTAACAATCACTAAAGTGAGAAGAAGAGAACAAGAAAAAACACAGTAATATTTAAAACAAAAAAAATTGTTCCGAAAAGTTCAAGTCAAACGAATGCATTTTCATGCATTACATTAAAATTACAAAACATGACGTTATTATATACAAGTCGTTATATGTGCATATAAAAGATATACACTTAAAGAGTGGACTTTTTGTTTTCAACGTACAAAATACGTTACGCCGAAATTACAACGTTGATCGCAGAAATAAATAAATGAAAAGAAGTAACTGTTAAATTGAAAATCGAATGAAAATTAAGAATCAATCGAAAAGGGATACACAAATTTAACGAGAGAGAAGAGAGAGAGAGAGAAAAAAACGGGAAAAAGTCTTGAGATAATAATAATTACCATTCACGACATATATTTTTCTTTACATTGATTCTCGGTGTAGTGTGTTTTTGGCAACACGGCGCGCGCGATCGATTCGCTGTCGTTATATACCGAATGTGTAAGATCAACACGTTCTTATGTACATGTTTGATTTGTTTTCCAGTTTGGAGTTTATCGGTCGCCGCTCACACGCCTCATTCTCGCTCTTTGATTGTATTCGTGAATGTATTTTGTGTGTTTCTTTTTTACATGTATATATGCAGAATTTCATCGAATTGTAACAATATGCTAAAGTGTGCCTTGTATTAATCATCATACAGTTTGTATTTATAATTTGAACTGCATTGAACTAGCAGGCGCGCAGTGGCATTCATTTTCGCATCGTTGATTTATAACAATAAATTTACTAAACAGAGGGAACAAACCAAATTAGCAACGAAACAGAGATAAAACCTAATATGAAAGATACAAAACACAGAGAGCAACAAAACAAAACAAAACAAAATAAAACTGTGTGTGTGTGTGTATATTTAAATTGTGAATACGCGCGATGATGTATAAATTGTTCAAGAGCATTTGTGACCAAAACAAATAAATTCTATTCATTTGCGAGATGCATAATAAATGAATTTCAAATCAAATCGTTATTGTTTAACCAACGATTCAGTGGTGTGATCAGTGCACTTTTATATTATACATGCGACCAACTTGAACTCTTTTTTTCTTTCTTTCTGGGAACACGCAGGCCGTTTAAGTATGCTACATGATGAGACGTCGGTGTTCACCAACGCATATATATGAAAGAAGACGTGCGGTTTAAAGAGCGAGACAAAACAAATATTACAATACTCATTGATATGTTATGTTAAATACCAATCGAGTGAGAAATAGATGAAAAAAAAAAAGTAAATGACGACAAACACTTTCGTTCGTGATCAAAAGTTATTATCGTTTTACACATGCACATATAATTCAGTTATACATACAATTCAAAAGAGTTGAACAACAATCACTTTACAAATAAGAAGAGAAAAAAAACACGGCGCACAAATGATTAATATACAAACATTGTTTTTTATGCAATAGAATTTTATGATTTGTTTTTCGGAACGATTGCAAATTTGTAAATATATATCACTCGTGCGAATGCTTGCTTTATAGACGAAAAAAAACAAACAAACAAGCAAGACATCAACAACCAGAGAAATAAACAATAGTGCGATTTTTTGTGAGTGTTATTCATTTCATTCTGAACTAGTTTTATAAAACACAAAATCACCGAATGAAATCATAACGTTTTGTTTGCATTTGGTGTGTGCGCGAAGCGAAAAAGAAGAAGAAGAATAAGAAAAATAAAACAAGAACAAAACAAAAATAGGTGTGCAACGACAAAGAAAAACGTCTCCTTTGCATGCCGAGTTAAGAAACTAATCAGTAAGTGAAATACAGTATAATTTAAAGTGCCGTGAACAAAACAATTATACATCAAAAGAAAACAGAAACGAAAAACAGAAACAAAACACAAAATTATAACGAAATAAATTATTTTCAAAAGACATTTATAATCAATTTAACAGTTGTTATTTGTTGGTTTTGTGTATGTGTGGTCAGTGGCCGAAATTCAACCAAACACACACGCCTTACGCGCTATTTGTTGTTTTTTAATCCCATTTTATTTTAACGAAAGAACCGCACACACAGAAGACGAACAATGAATCGAAATACGATCATGAAATGTGTTCCGCCAATGAATACGATCGGCGATGGTCAATCGGCGCTAAAACATTCTGTGGCACACTTACCACTTCAACAACCATCGTTGATCTCAACAAATAGCAGTTGCCACAGCGGAAGCAGCACAAATACAACAGACAGTGCCAATTCACATTCAAACAGTAGCTGCGGAAGTGGATCGAGTCCATTAGAAAATTTGCCAAAGAAATTTGTTGAAAGCATGCGCACTCTATTCGATATTATGGATGATAAACGTACTGGTTTTGTTAAACTATCGGACATTGAAGCGCGATGGCAAGATGGTTCGAAAGGTTTACCGCATGGTGTATTGGATTGTTTGAGGGCGCTTACACCACTCTCTGGAATGCTATCGTTTGAACGATTTTGTGCCGGTCTGAAAATATGCTTGTTACGCAATCAAGCCAATAATAATGATTTTAAAATGAGCCGAAGATCATCAACCGATAGTAATGGCAACAATAATGTACCATTGAACAATGGAAATAATATAAACGATATTGAGAATGCAAAAACTGTCGTCAATGTTGATAAAACTGCGCATATGTAAGTATTTCATTGGAAAACTTAGTTTTTTTTGTTGTTGATCAGAACCTATGTAAATATTAGAATCGTGACTATACAACTTTTTTTTCATTCGATTTTGAAACGATTCAGGTGTTTCGTTTTCTCTGTAAATGATATTTGTTTGTTCATGTAATTTTTATTTGACACAGATTTAAAAGACAATCTTTGCCGGTGCAACGTACGTTGAGCTTACCAAAATTGAGTCCAAGTAGTGATGGTGATTCGTCATCCGATACACCTGTTATACAAAATACTGTTTATGCACCACCTAAACCGCCCCGCACCGCCTTAATACTGGCAAATGGATCATCGTCCAATTTAGGCAACGTTAATGTTGATGCAAAAGAGCGCTGGGATAAAGCTGAAATTCGTAATGCACTACAGAATTGGCAAATGAATGTACTGATGAATGAATGGGAGGCTAAAGCGAGAGGGTAATATATATTTATACTTTTTCATTACATGCTAATTAATTTTCTATTATTTTTTCGTTTTTTGATTTACACCCGCCCAGGGCTAAAGACAAGCGACGAGGAATGGCATTACCAAGCACAAGCACAAGCTACATAAATCGTGGCACAGCTGACGGATCACCAAACAATACATTGACACATCAACAACCATTTCATCACCAGCAAATAAAACAACAACAACAACAACAGCAGCAGCAGCAACAGCAACAGCAACATCAACAAACACCATCAGTACAACAGCATTCAGTCACGCTATCAAATCATAAACCATTGCAAGCGATCTATCCAACGAATCGTTCACCCACACTTTTGGAATTTCAGAAAAGCAATCGACGCCGTGAAGTACGTCGTCATACACTTCAAAACGGCATCGATTATAATATGTTGAAGAGAATCAGACACTATGAAGAAGAAAAAGATTTATTACTCGACGGTTTGCATGCCGTTGAAAAAGCGCAAGAATGGTATTTCAGGCAGATTGCATTGGTTCAAGAAAAAATGAAATGCTTGGGCCGCGGCGATGGACATTTGGTAAGTTACTATTTTTTCAGTTTAAAAATAAACAAAATTTACGATGGCGATGAAAACATACATAGAGAGAGGAGGAGAGGAAATGAAATAACTGTATTAAAACTGTTTATTTTTATTTGAAATTATTCTTAGGAGCAATGGTCTGAAGCGAATGAAGAACGGCTGGATCTACAACGAGCACGAATAATGGAAGTAAATCGATATTTGGCATCACTTGAAGATGATTCAAAAGGTGGATTGATGCATATGAATTTAGCGGTACGAAATCATTATTACAATGGCACAAATAGCTATCCACAATTTCATGATGTCCAAATCAATCAGTTGAAATTACAAAATCGCCAACTTACCGACGAAGTAAGCCAGAAAAGCGAACGAATCACCGATTTGGAAATGGAACGAAAATCGTTATACCAACAATATCAGAAGCTACAACAGCAATTGGTACGGAAACAGGGACACATTTTGTGTGGAAATGAAGAAGTCATATTTTGATGAAATTCTTTGAAAAAACAGAAATTGTTCTGTGGGTAGAGAGGATCACTTTTATGTAGATTTTGGCACAAAATGAAATGATGAACAAGATCAAAATATTATCGCATAGATATCGTAAGAGTAGCATTTTGCCAATATTTCTGCTTGAGTGAGTTGATCAATTTGTCATTTTGTTGCATCTTTATTCTATTTTGACCCAAAAATTCTTATTGGTGCCTCATCAGCTCTTTTCGTGTTGTCAAAATTTGCGAATTTATTTTAATCTCTCGTATTTTGAGACTGTACACAAAATGTACGCATTTTTCCTTTCATTCAATAAAAATTAGGGTACTTTCAATGAACAATATTTTATTTTTATATTTCGTACAAATGATAATAGATTTTTGATTTTTTGAATGATTTTCTAAATGGTTTTTCCGTTGTCAACAAATTCGTCTTAAATATCTGACTTGATCGAATTTTGCGGCTTTACAGCACCGTTAGTTTTTTTCGGACGCATCGTTACTAAACCAGTTCCATTGAGTTCATTTCGTCTAGCTCGTAATGCCATTGCGCGAGTGGTTACACCGATCCGATTTTCCTCATTGATTCTATCCGAACGTCTGGCCACTTTTGCTGATTTCGAGATGATTTTTCCCACAATTCTCTCTATTAATGAAGAAATACCAAATGACAGCAATAAATAATCATGGAAAAAATAGATGATAGACAGAATTTTCGACTTTAAAAACAAGTGAGAAACTTACGGGTGATAAGTTTTGATGATTGTCCTTGTCTATTTGATGTGATCAGGGAAATATTTGTTTCGTTGAGTAGGTTTGATGATTGTTCATGTCCATTTGATGTGATTGTTGAAATATTAGTCTCGTTGAATACCAAGGTTTGGTGGAAGTCTTCGTGTTGCTTTTCGAAGTCAAGAAAAACTTTGATACGATCATTTTCAGTCACATTTATATGGCATTTTGGGCAATTTGGACAACTATTCAGAAATGAAATATGAAAATTTTGATTATTTCAAATACATTATCAACAGGGAAAAAAATTCAATTTGATCTTCTGTGATCGCAACAAAAAATCAATGCACCGCTCAATATTGTGATAAAAAACATAAAATCTCACTTACTTTATATTCAAGCATTGCTTGTGAAACATGTGACCGCATGCTTTTAGTACAACGACATCGTCTTTTGGTTTGAAACAGTCAACACAAATTGAACAAATGACATACATTTTTGGGTTCATTTTCTTCCATATAATTACAATTTGGCACAGCCAATTCAATAATACAAATATATAAACTAAATTAAAAATAATTAAAATTCTGATAGTAAACTAGTTACACTGCATCGACGCTACACCAATTCGACTGAGTCATTAATACAATTGGATTCGAATGAGATAGAAAATAAAAAGTATATCACCGGTGAACATTTCACAAGATGAAATACGTAACAGACGTATGCGATCTATTGATTTTGTGGAGATGCAACAGTTGGCATGAATGTTGAACATCAAAATCGTTAACACTTGTCACGCGCTTATTTTTGAATTTATGCTTTGACACTGTGGCACTTTAAACAGTCATGCAGTCATACTAAAAAATATGCGTTTGTGATTGCAGGCTATGACACATCGTGTTGTGATTTAAAATAAATGGTAAAAAGCGACACATTTAAACCAATTTTGAGACCTTCTAATTCAGTACTAATACCATAGAAATGTGTAGGTGACGAAAATCAAGAAATTGTCGCACAGCTATCACACTCACTGCGGCATTTGAGAGTTTTGGATTTTAATTCGCTTCGAAATGTCATTTTACGGTTTACATGTAACAAAAACCAAATGAATTCGTGTTTTCAAAAATGTTGAACATTCCGTTCAAGCAATTAGCTGATGAATCCCATTCGATGACTCAAATTTGTGTTGATAGTTTGACTCTTTATAATAATGTATCTTGAACTCACTCACCTCTAATGCAAAAGCGAAGACATTTCTGAAAACTTACATTTAAAAATATATATTGTAAAAAGAATAATTCAAAAAGTTTGTATGAATAATGATGATAACTCGATTATAAAAATGAATGATTTGCGATAAGAATAGAGTTTTAATGACATGCATATTTTCCAAGAAAAAGTCATTTCATTTTGGTTTTTTATTTTAAACAATTTTTTTTCGGTTGACAAATAATTCAGATTATCTACAGTTTATATTGAACATTTATAATAAGTTAGTCATTAAAATCACCAGTTTTGTTGCTTCAATTTTCTTGTATTGTTGTAGAAATAAATAATTTAAGTAAACAGAGTAACCTTTTAAAGAAAAAGACACATACATGTACACTATCTACATGAATAACATTAAACTTCTCATGATAAGAAAAAAAAAAAAGTTAGAATAAAAAGTTTCGACAACAGTTACTAACGTTATTAAACTCTCTTTTTTTTAAATGATTTAACCAAAATTTTGTGATTGTCAAAGGTACATTAAATTGTACACTAGAGTGTATTTATATAAAATTCACCTGAGTTATTTCGCATCACACATCTCTATTGTAACAGCAAATATGAATAATAATAAAAAAAAAATATTTTGTTGAAAATATACGTGCGGTGTTTTTGTGTAAACATTAAAGATTTTTGGTTGATTTCTCATAAATTTTGTGCCAATCATTGATACCATCATATGGCAATGGACTGTGCACAAACGGTGACAACCATGCCAAATACCAACGCGAACCGAAAACCATGCGCGTATTCTCCAACGGACCTAAATCGAATTGACGAAGTGCATCGTGCGTTACACATCCACGCAACATATTACGTAAATGGTAAAATAGTAGAAAACCCGTAAATACGGCGCCGATTACATTTAACAAATACATCATTAGATGATACTGAAGTGTGTTCGCATCATATATAAGCATTGCCAACGGGAAAATCACTTTGAATATGGTGGGTGATGTCCACAATTCATTGCCATGTACAAGAATTACGAAAATCGTGTTAAACACAGATGAATAGGCGGTTCCAAGGCATAAATAGAACACCATACTGATGAAGTAACGTTGATTATTGTGACCGATACAACATCCTGAAAATAAAAATATTTCAAAAATTACTCAAAAATTAAGTGTCCGCATGCCATGTGCACTTCTTACCTGTGAACATACAGTGATGGTCTCGTTTTAGGATGCACACACGACATGTGCTGCAGTGCCAACTTCGTGGCGGCGTCACTGATTCACAAACCGAACAAAATTTCCATAGTGTTGAATTCGCTTTGGCCGCCGGACGAACGATCCGCTCACCAATGATACTCGTATTGCACAACATTATAGCCATCATATTGCTGACAATATTGAAGAGAATTAAGGTTCCAAATACAAAATTAAATCCATAGAATAATGAATTGGTGGCTATTAGCGTTGGTAACACAATCCACAATTCAAACCAGTAGGTCAATGGGATGGCGAATAGGAGAAATAATGTTGTTGCTCCATCAGCAAGTGTTTTTGGAAACGGTTGCGTCCGTATTTTCATTTTGAATTTTGACGAATACACTATACACTTCACAACGTTTCTTCAACGAACTTTTCTCTGGCGAGCATTTTACAATAGTCACGTAAAAATGGTGAAATCTATTTTGAAAAAAATTAAACCCAGAATATAGGGAACAAAGCGAAATACATTGTGACAAAAACAGCTCATGCAAAAACAAAATCATTGATATGAAGTTCAACGGAAGTGAGAAGTGAAATTAAACTCATTACCTGGTTTTATCACCGAGAATAGATTTCTACAATAGAATTTTATAATTGCTCTTCAATTTCATGCTATTGATTTCATTAAAAATTTATGGAATTTCACCCAAAAATAGAGTTCTCGGCGTTTTGGTTTTGTTGACATCAATTTATCGGCAAAACCGTATTGAATTTGACACTTCTCTAATGCTGAACATTAAATTCGCTCATTTACTCACACTCTTACACATTCAGAACGCAATTCATTGTTGCATTTTGAATTTTTTCTTGACTGGCAGATAAAGAATTTGCTCAATAAAAATGCGATTTTTTTCGTTCATTTCCTTTTTTTCATATTTATATAAAATGTTATATGTTACGGTTTAAGATGCTTTTTTCTAATAGGGATACAAACTATTACTCACCACTGAGTAATCGTATAAATTATCGCAGTACACTAGATGTTGTGTATTGGAAATTCACCATCACATGTACGTTTTGTAGTTTATCAGCTGTCCAGTGGTCAATCGAGTAAACACATATACTATAAATGTCATTGTTCATTAGCGTATGTATATTTTTGCTTTGTTCGTTTAATTCATGTTAAGAATATTTGTTGTTTTTCACGTACTTTAATGTGATTTCGTTGTTGTTATTTTTAAATTAAATAAGGTCTCAGACGATGTTATTCGAAACAATTGATTAGTCGTGCTTACTGCAGCAGTGAGCTATACAAAGTGTTACAGTCTTCAATATTCCAATAAATCTTATTACATAAAGTACATCGCAATTAGAGAACAGCAACACACAAAGGAAATTAAAAAATATTTCCAACCCATTTAAATTCGTTCGAAATCCGAAATTGTAAAGATGCAAAATTATAAGTATCTGGTTTTTACATTCTTTTGCATTAGTGCAATAAATTGTGATACTAAAGTTGGAGCACCTACTTATGTAAAAGCGGAAGACGCAGAAATACATTCCTATGTTAAATCAAAGCTGACTGAGTCATTGAAGCAACTAAAAGGTCAAGAAGATGGTACCGATCTTTGTTTAATAGAAATTTCATCGCTGAAAGAGCAAGTGGTCGCTGGAAAGAAGTATATTTTTAACGCTGAACTGCAACATTGTGCTGATAAAACCCCGAAAAATTGTAAAGTAACGATATGGGAACAACTATGGTTACAAACTCATGACACCAAAATGGATTGTGATGATACAACCAAATATCGAGTTAAAAGCGAGGGCAAGCGTTCAAAGCGAGCTTTAAAAACAAAAGAAACGACCAAAAAACCAACTCTCATCGGTGGTCCTACAGAAGTTGATAAAGAAACACTTGATGAATTAAAACAGAATATCACTGAATGTTTTGTGCAATCACAATCCGATAACAGTAAACCACTCGAATTGAAAGAAGTATATAACGCCACGCAAAAAATTGTTAGTGGTATTTTGTACACCGTTAGATCGTCGATCGATTCAGGTAATGGACCACAAAGATGCAATATTGAGGTGTGGGTCAAACCATGGATTGATTTTCGAGAAGTCTCTGTAAATTGTGAAAATGGGGAAAAATTTCAAATTAAAAGTACCTCTCGTCCAAAACGATTGGCACAATTCCGTCCACTTATCGACGAAAACGAATCAACCATCGATGAATTAGACGGTGATTCAGATGAATCGCATTTCAGCCGTTTCAAGCGCAGCTTTGGCCGTGTATATCGAAATGCTGATGAAGAGGCTAAGCGCTTCCGTATTTTCCAAAATAATCTCTATTTAATTCGTCAATTGAATAAATTTGAACAGGGTTCGGCTGTTTATGGTGTTACTGATTTTGCCGATTTAACACAAGATGAATATTTTCACCGCACTGGTTTACTGAAACGAAACCAAGAAGATAATAATGAAATTCAAAATCCATTGGCCGAAATTCCAGATATTAAATTACCAAAAAGCCATGATTGGCGTGATAAAAATGCCGTCACTCCGGTGAAAAATCAAGGAAATTGCGGTTCGTGTTGGGCATTCAGGTTGGTATAAATAAATTGCAATTGCAATAATATTAATTTGAAAAAACAAAAATCTTCAAAATCGTTGTCTGTTCTCTGTTTTTTTTTAGTGTCACAGGCAACATTGAAGGGTTAAATGCAATTAAAACGGGTGAATTAAAATCGTTCTCTGAACAAGAATTGGTTGATTGTGATGATTTGGATGCTGGATGTAACGGTGGTTTACCTGATAATGCAGTTAAGTTCATCGAAAAAGAAGGTGGCCTTGAATTTGAAACAGATTATCCATACACTGCACACCGATCAAAGGCATGCAATTTCAATGAGTCATTGAGTCGCGTTCGAGTCTCTGGTGAGAATAAACTCTTTTTGTTTTTTTTTTTTTGTTGTTTTCTGTAATTGCATGCTTTATTCAATTTCGTTTCGTAGGTGTCGTTGATTTTACTAAGGGCGATGAAGATGGTATGGCAAAATGGCTAATATCAAATGGTCCAATTTCGATCGGCATAAACGCAAATGCAATGCAATTTTATCGTGGAGGCATCAGTCATCCATGGAAGGTAATATTATATTATATTGCTAATTAATTTTCGATTCATTAAAATAGATTGTATTTTTTTTTATCCATTTAGGCATTATGCAGTCCATCATCACTTGATCATGGAGTTTTAATAGTCGGTTTTGGTGTTGCCGAATATCCAGCTTTTAAGAAAACAATGCCATATTGGATAATTAAAAATTCATGGGGACCCAAGTGGGGCGAACAAGGTGATTATGAAACGATTTTCTTTTTGTGTAATTTAATATTTGTGGTTTTAATGTCTAGTTGCATTTGATCGAAAAAAATCAATCAAATATATAAAATCACAGAATTAATCAATTGTATTTACAATTTCATCTAACACAGGGTACTATCGCGTTCATCGTGGTGATAACACTTGCGGCGTTAGTTCAATGGCAAGTTCGGCTGTCTTAGCAAAGTCCAGCTATTGATAATCGTATATAAAATGTGGCGCAATAATAAGCAAGAGACATGAGCATTTTACTGATACGAATATTATAGCCTTATACACACACCCACAGTAACAGCATCATCAGTTTTGATAGCAACCAGTTGTAATTTTTTGTACAAAATTATTTTTTTTGTATATTGATAATTGATTTATATTTTTTTGTATGAATTTCAACCTAATTTACATTTATTGGAGCAACAAGTTGATTCATGTACGTAAGGAGATAAAATAAATAAATCACTTAATGTCCCAAAATAAAAAAAATCTGCCATCATAATATTTTTCGTCATCAATTTTATTTTGATATCATTTACGAATTTGAATATATTATCCGATTATATACTTAATAAAAAGCAACTATCGGGTGGGGATTTCTTATGTATGCCAAAATTTTTGCTATGTGTGAAGGTTACATCTTGTATATCTTGTATATCTTGTTTTATTTTTTTTTATCTTAAAAAATGAAGACCTTAGTTGTTAGAAATTGATTTTTTGGCAATCATTAGTTCGGTATCGGTCTCAATGAATAGAAGTGTTGCATGATTCTATATTTCGTGCGAAAAAACAAATCTATACCGTGAGAAGTCATAATGTTGATCCAAAGGTCCGCATCATTTTTAGCATCAGTATTTGTGATAATATTGTATGTGACCACAATAAATGGGATACCACAGCTCGGTAGTGAAAGTCCTGTTGTTGATCAGGGCACAATTGAACACTTAAAAAAGAATATTAGTGATTATTTGGTGGAACTTGAACATGGTGGAAGTCCTCAAATGCAATTGAAACAAATCTATAGCGCCTCAAAACAAACCGTCACGGGAACACTTTACACGGTTGAGGCTCTGTTAGCCACCCCTGATGGCAATAAAAAATGTAATATTCGGGTATTAGAAAAACCATGGCTCGATTTTTGTAAGGTATCATTGACATGCGAAAACGGTGGTTATTATGAAGTTACATTTAATCCAAAACAAGACAACATACAAAATCAACCCATCGCAAACTATTTCCCCACTTCCGCATTCCAAAAGCCAGGTATGAACACGAACATTTAAGCCCGTCAAACAGTTTTTATTCAATTAGATCTCGAAAATTGAATCATTAGCAACAATTCAATCAGATCCCAAATCCAACCTTGATATTTATCGTTTTTATACAAATCAAAAAGAGCACAGTTTTGATTATCGTTTTATTTGTTTTCATTGCGAGTCAATTAAAAATAATAAATTGAATTTGAAGGCATCTGATAATATATATATATATTTTTTTGTTCCTTTGTTTTAATTAGTTGAGGTGCAAAAACCGCAGAGCGCTCCATTTAAACCTCAACAAACATTTGTTTTTAAAGCTCCACTTACAACACCAGCACCGCAAAAATTCGATTTTAAACCTCAAACATTTTCGCAATTCCCAGTGAATAATTTTGTAAAAACTCAAAGTCAATCCCATGTCGCAGCAACATCTACCTTTAACGCACCACCTACAACACGGGCCCCACAAAAATTCGAATTTAAACCTCAAGTATCATCGCAATTCACATCAAATAATTTTATTAAACCGCAAAATTTGGTGTCAGTCCCACAAAAATTCGAATTTAAGCCACAAGTTCCATCGCAATTCGCAGCTAATAATTTTGTTAAACTCCAAAGTCAATCCCATGTTACAGCAGTACCCGCTTTTAAAGCACCATCTACAACACGAGCCCCAGTAAAATTAGAATTTAAACCTCAAGTTCCATCACAATTCACAGCAAATAACTATGTGAAACCACAAAATTTGGCCCCCGCTCCACAAAAATTCGAATTCAAACCTCAAGTACCATCGCAATTCACAGCAAATAACTATGTGAAACCTCAAAGTCAGTTCAATGTTGGTGTAACATCTGCTTTTAAAGCACCAACTACAACACAGCCACCAGCCAAATTCGAATTTAAACCGCAAGTTCCATCGCAATTCGCAGCAAATAATTATGTGAAGCCACAAAATTTTGTGTCAGCCCCACAAAAATTCGAATTTAAACCTCAAGTTCCATCGCAATTTACGGCAAATAATTTTGCAAAACCTCAAAGTCAGTCACCTGCATTTAAAGCCCCACCTACAACACGGGCCCCACCAAAATTCGAATTTAAACCTCAAGTAACATCACAATTCCCAACAAATAACAACGTTAAACCGCAACATTTTACACCAGCTCCACAAAAACTCGATTTTAAGCCCCAAACACAGACAAATCAACAGACACCGTTTGAGTTTAAGCCTCGGCCCGTCCAAAATGTGCCAGCTGTTCTCCCCTTTGTTGATATTCTTCCTCCAGCACCACAACATCAGTTTGAACCAAATCAATTTAAACCAGAAATCCCACCAAAAGCAAATGATATACCACAAGCAGTGCCACACACCCCCGCACCCGCATCCAAACCAGTATCATCAGTATCATTGCCAGCAGAACTAAATGTGTTGCCTCTTAATCAATTGCCAAAAGGTGAAGCATTGAACACATATTTGTATGGATTGTTCCAAGATTTTATGAAAGTCTACGATCGTGAATATATAAATGAACCTCACGAAATGCAACATAGATTCGATATCTTTAAGGATAATTTCAAGCAAATGGTCGAATATATTAAAGTTGATCAAGCGGCCGAATATTCCATTACACAGTTTTCTGATTTATCTCAATCGGAATTTGAGAGAAATTTGGGTTTCGACACGGGCCTTTTCAATGTAACAGTAAGTAAAGAAATCTCCGGCCATGGACAATCATCCGGCGATGGACAATCATTTGGCGAAGGACAATCATTCGGTGAAGGACAATCATCCGGCGAAGGACAATCATCCGGAAAGGATGATGAAATTCCAGAGAAATATGATCAACGTGATGATAATCTTGTAACACGTGTAAAGCACCAAGGCGACTGCGGTGCTTGTTGGGCTTTCATTACGTAATTAAATAATTAATATAAATTCAATATCTCTATATATGAATATAATTAATCAAAATTTCGAATAACAGGTCAGCCGTCATTGAAGGATTGTGTGCAAAACGCACAAAAAAATTGCAAGAATTCTCCGAACAAAGTTTGATCGATTGTGATGACAGTAATTTTGGTTGCAAAGGTGGTGTACCACCAAAAGCATACAAACACATCTTCAGTCGTGGTGGATTAGAATTGGAATCGGTGTATCCATATGTATATGGAAAATCTACATGCCATTTTGATCGGAAAACGGTAAAAGTCAAGGTATCCGGTGAGTATTTATTTAAGAATTTATAAGCAATAAAATAACCAATAAAATAAGCGACAGAGTTAATCATTTGAATTTCATCATCTAGGTGGCAAAAATTTCAAGAAAGGCGATGAAGAAGATATGGCAAAATGGGTGTATAAAAATGGCCCCATTGCGATTGGTATCAATTCAGCTCCGCTCAAATATTACAAACGTGGCATTTTAAATCCATCACCGTCATTATGTTCAACAAAAAAAATCGACCATGGACTAACCCTCATAGTGAGTAAATAAACTTTGTACTTTTTTTTAACTCGACTTAAATGTTTCACGTTTTTATTTTCCTAGGGATACGGCGTTGAAGTCAACAAAGCCACCGGCGAGAAAACAAAGTACTGGATAGCAAAGAATAGCTGGGGTACCACTTTTGGAGAAGATGGTATGAATACAACAATTTTCTCAATCAATTTTTGTCGAAATAATAATATTTTGTTCGAAACTAAATTGTTCACAATCCATTTACATGTTTCTTTTGTGTTCAGGATATGTGCGCATCATTCGTGGTAAAAACGCATGCGGACTTGCATTGTGGGCGACATCAGGTATATGCGCTTTTAGATATTTCAAAGAAATAACCACTAACATTTATTAATTGTGTTTTGCCTTCTTTTTTTCAGCCAAACTAGCAAATGTAGAAAATAACTGTTTGCTGCAAGGTGCTTGAAAACACTCCATACATAGATGTTACTCATAGGCGACAAGTTTTAGATAAAAACAAAACATAACAACATTTACTCATTATAGAAACTTGTAGTTGTCTTGCTTTGCCAATGCCAAAAAGTGAGATTAATCTTTATTGCATTAAAAGATGTTCGAAGAAAAATTATAGATCGTCAAAATAAAAACATATTTTTTACATAGTATTCATGTTTCTTTGTGGTTTTTTCGATCACTCTCGAGGCCTTAACATAAATGTATTCCAGAAACTACTGGTATTATAATCTCTTGCGCGTGCGAATATTTTGTTGTTTTTTTTTTTACTTTCAATAAGGTTTAATATATGTATAAATTTGATGTGAAAAACCGATGACGACTCGATTTTAACCATATAGGTATTATTTTACTAAAAGTTATTTCTATTTGGATGGTTCGTTTCTGTGTATTTTTGCAATCATTAGCATACGAAAATAGTAAAATCGCTTAATGTATGCTTGATGAACCAACAACAATAAACAGAAATTAAAAGATGTCTGTGGCAAATGTACGTTTTCACCATATTTCAATCTTTATATATAGATATGGGAATCTCGTTCTCTCTCCGCCAATAAATATAGCAGAAGCGATAGCTTACATCTTTTCAAGTGATTTTTTCGGTATTACTCTTGAAATAAAAGGCAAAAGCAAAATCACTGTGAACCACACGAAACTAAGTTACCAACTGAAAAAATTTACGATCGACTAATAACACCTCAAAATACAATGATGTAATGTCATATCACACATTTGAGTAATAAATATTAAAGCGGATACATAAAAATCACATCTTTTTTTTTGCTATTATTGATCATGTCTGATGATTTTTGTACTCGATCCAGTTTCGCATGTCCTTTTTAATTTAAAAAAAAGGTTGATTTTGGACATGGTAGAAGAAAATGTCAATCAGTTTGACCGACAAAATTGAATGTGTAAATTATTGGCAAATTACCAAAACTCAACGCCTACAAGTTCAACATAAACTAATTGATCATCAAGTCATTGATCATCATAATTTCATTCTAATGAATTTTTTTTTTGCAATGACAAACGGCGTCAATTTTAACGTTCAATATTTGACTAAATGACCGGTCAAATCACAACATCACTAAAATGTTATTGACTTTTCTAGTTATTCTTGTTTTTTATTCTTTTATTTTGATTTCACATATTTAGCATTTTTTGTTTGACAATAAGCCAATGAATTAAGATCCAGATCTTGCTGTTTTCTCAAAGGTTAAATGAAAAATAAATCGGATATTAGAAATTTGATATTTTATGTGCAGTCAATACTGGTATCGGTCTTATCGAAAATGAGCCGTAAATGTTACAATATGATAATAAATAATTTTTTTGGTGGGGTGACCTTCATTGTTCAAAATATATACACACAAAAAATGATACAAACATATGTTAAATGATATTAATTAATGGCTATCGCTCCCAACGTCCGGCCGAAAAACTTTTCGAAAAAAGATAAATGTATTTTGAGTTAATGATAATGATCGATTTGAATATGAACCAGTTTTTTGTCATTAATATTGTCCATAAAAGAGAAGTAGAAAAGGCAAACAAAAGACATTTAATAGCAATTTTGCATTGCAAAAGGAAAATGATCTGATAATTCATGCGAAAAAAGTCGTTTTTTATATCGATGGTAATTTAAATTTTATCAGTTCAATCAAATTCATTTTTTCCATTAACCAAAATATACGAATATTATAAACCGCAAAAAATCAATATGTGCCTGTCCCAATGAGCGCTAATGTCGTAGATTAGATTTTTCTTTATCGATTCCACCAATACGACATATACTAAAAAACTTGCCGATTTCTGTTACTAGTGGTGTTTTAATACAGCTCGTGTAAACGTACAAAGGAACACACTGATTCCGATTCTGTGTATGCGTATGTATTACAAATTCTGCACTCAGTCGTCAATCGTAGCTGCTTGTGCAAAATTTACAATACATAAGCATACACAGGATCGGAGTCTGTGTCTTCTTTTGTATTAGTTCGTCTGTAATACAGCCATAGCCGTATAGTTCGCTTGAGCTGTGTCAAAGCAACAGTTGTAACAAAAATCGGTATCTTTTTTAACAGATGTCGTATTCGTATTGTAGAATCGATAAAATTAATTTGTATGGGGAATATACGATACTAGTTCCCATCGACCCGTCCAATAATGCAATAACTGACTATACAATTTGTGTGAATTTAAATAATGCTTTACTGGAAGGTGTCGTTTACATTTTTATGCATAAATTTACCGTTTATGTTATGTGATCGCTGTAATGGTTTTTGTCGAGTAACACCATATACAGGAGAATAAAAGATAGTTAAATTTGGTCTTTGTATAATTTTATTTTAATTCAAAATCATGACTAATCCCAATAGTAAAAAAATCGAATTTTGATTTTTGTTTTTCTGTTAGTTGAAGCAAGGCTTTAGATACTTGAAACAAATGATGAATATTATTGATAAATATATATAAACCAGGGTGTGTAAGTGTGTGAATCATTCGATTTCATTTTAATAATAATTTTGATTTAGAAAAAAAATTCATAATTAACATAAGGATGTAACTAAAATAAATTCTTTGCGAATGATTCATGCATTTCAAATTAAAAAAAGCTATCATCATTAGAGTCAGTGATTCAATCATTGTTCCCCCAACAAAAATAGGATAAGCAAAAATTTATATTCGTTTGTAAATCTATTTTCTATCGAATGTTCGATTTCCAGTTGAAAACAGAATGGTTTTTTTTGTGTTTTTCTTCTTTTTGCTAATGCTGGTTTGGCAATGTGGTGGTACCTCGATTTGATGTTGTTTGCGTGGATTTTTCGAATGTGCCGCTTTATTGAGTGCCTCTGCAATGGCCATACCAAAACTTTCATTAAATTCAGGGCGAGCATATGTTGTTTCCAGATCATTGGTGGCAAAATCGACACTATCTTCATCTGAATGCTCAACAGCTGCCGCAGCCATGCTCGTACCATTATCTCGATCGCTTACAAAACCACTAGCCGATTTTGGCACATCCCCATGTACCATCATCACCTCTTTTGGTCGGCTCAATGTTGGCCAAAGTTCTGTATTTGCCGTCCGTGGCGATGTTAACATCTGAAAGTTTAACAAAATCTGAGCAATGGAACAATTTCAACGGGATTAATTCGAATTACCTTAGCAAATGATGGTCCAGGTTTGTTGATACCTCCTTTTGGAGCTTCGTTCATCGTTGTCTGCAATGGGCTATGCGTGGGAAACGAATTGTCATCAAAACTTACGCACTGTAAATGAAACAAAATCACAAAAAAAGGACAAGCATTTAGTTGAAAATGTTGAAAAGTGAACATTGAAATATTTAAATTACACTTGGAAATTGCTGCTCCGAAGAGACATCGATATTGATGGCAGTATGAATGATCTTTCCAATGCGTCGTTCATTTTCGCGATCAATGTGCTTTTCACGTTTGCATTCTTCGCGTGCACGGCGTTGGCGATTTTTGTGCCGTTGTATTAATTCATCTTTGAATTTGGCTTGAACGTCATTCGATATGATGGCCGATGATGATTCAAATTCAATTTCAACCACATCAAATTGGCATGTGACCGGCAAATGTTGTAAATATTTCAAACGCTTACGTAGCTCATCAGTCATTGAGCACGATTCTTTTTGTAGAATGCGACCGTTTATTGTTTTTGGTGCATGTTCCAATGAACCAAACATTGCTTGCAACATACGAATATTGATTGAATGCAAGTACAAATGTTGTCCATCACTTGACTGATAAAAATAGAAACAATTTTCATTTGCGGCCGTTGGATTCTCGGGTGCCGCAATCGCAATATCGCTCAATGTTAAATCACCATCGGTATCAATTGTGAAATAGTCTAAATCGTCCAATGGTGAATTTGGTTGTTGTTCCATTTGTTGTTGCACATCATTTTCATCATGTTTATGATTGAATGGAATGAAATCTTTGGCATCTACATTTAAATTGATTTTTTCAATGGCCGTATTCAGGCCAGTCAACGACGATGCAATTGGTTCAACAGACCGACATTCAGTGGTGTGATTATTGTTGGCAACTTGTGCACAAATCTCTTGTTCACGTTCTTCCAATAGGCTTAAAGCTTGTTGAACAAATATTGAATCGGGACAATCAATGCCGTCCGATACCAATTGACACCTTAATTCGGAACGTTCACGTGCAATAATCGATAGAACTTCATGTGGCTGGGCCAATACCAATTTGCTATGTTTTAAATTGTCAGCGTCATCAGAGAAACATGGAAAATGTGCGGCCAATGTTTTTGATTTGGATGACATTGTTTCAGCCGTTTGCACTTGAAGTGAATCTTTGCTACGGCACATTAAAACAAATGTTACAGATTCACCGCACAAGTAATTGCGATGTGGTTTTGAAACGGCACTCCGTAAATCGCCAATATGTACTGTTGTAATGTTAGTAAAATAAATTTCGATTTTTATTACAGAGAAACAGACGAACATATGTTTAATATTTTCTTACCAGCTTCATAACATATTGGACACTTTCGCCATGATTTTTTGTCAGACAATGCCAAATAATGTAAAATACATGGCCAACAATAGACATGACCGCAACGTGTCATTTTAGCAGCAACGGGATGATACAAACAAATTGGACACTGTGGCTCTTCGCTGCTGCCAAAAAAGTTGATTTGTTCGATGGTTGACCATTCAACAAGAGTGTCTGGTGAAATGGTATACGGTGTATAATCTCCTTTTGCTTTTACAACAAATTGACAACTAAATCATAGACAGTGTTGTTATTATTTATTTATTATTAGATCATGTTCATTACGTTTCGACAGTGAAAAAGCAGTCTATGTATTTCGGATGGATATCCATCCGAGATATTTTAGAATATCTGGATATTCAACGCAACTGCACAGCGCCAGAGCTGTGTGCGTCGCAAATAGAATCCACGGTATGTCGCGACGTATATGTGTATCAAGTGCCGCACGTACATAGTCACACTGTGTCTGTATTTTACGTGTAGCGACATACCGTAGATTATATGTGCGATGCACACAGCTCTGGCTCTGTGCAGTTGCGTTAAATATCCAGATATTTTAAAATATCTCGGATGGATATCTATCCGAAATACATAGACTGTGAAAAAGAGTAATGTCTATATACTCACTTTGCTTGCAAAAAATGTTCCTTATTATATTTGATTCGTTTGACATAAGTATGATTCTTGCCCGAACGCATATAATTCGTTGAATCATTTCGTTCGCGTGCATAGCTGAAGTTAAGCAAATGATTCAAATTCTGTTTTTTACTGCCTGTAAATTCATAATTTTAGTTTGATGAACATCAAATTCCAATAAATCGATATTAATAGTAAAATACCCGGTAAATAAACAGAGTTCAGTTCGATTTTAAAATCATCATTGATTAAGTCCGTACAATCGTCATCATCGTAATGATTTAATCGGGCGCCCGAAGACGATGTAGCCCCTGTATAGCCATCATTGTTGCTGTTATAATTGCGGTTGCCGATGCGCTTGGCATCATGGCCCCGTGATTTTGGTGCAAAGATTTGATGTTGCTGCGGTTGTGTTTGTTGTTGTTGTTTGTGTTGATTGTTATTACCGTTATATGTCGATCGATCTGATTTTTGAGCTTGGGAAAAACTACTGGGAAATTCGCGACGACGTCTACCAGTTGCATCTATCGGAGAAAGAAAAATACACGACATGTTTTTTTTTTACAACAATTGTCGACAAAGAAAAAATTCTACCAACAACAAATCAAAGCCAATTGCCAAAGGAATTTGGTTTAAGGTCAGACGGACTGCAACGTGGTTTAAGGTCAGACGATGTATGATTGTTTTAAATTCGAAAAATATACATGAAAATTGTCTCACCTTGGTTGGTTTTTCGTGGTTCAGAGATCAGTACCTTTGCAGGTACTTGGTTCGTACGTAAATTTTGCTTCTTTTCCATTTGGATGATTGATTTTCTTAAAATTAGATGCCAGTTGTTGGCTATTGATGGTGATTTTGTTCAATTGTTTGATGTTATTGTTGTTAGTATGGAAGTGGATTCTTCCTCCACATGGAGTTATCAAATTGTTTTCAGTGTAAAAATACATTTTATTGGGCCATGATTTTTCACTAAACACACTGACAAAAAATGAACAAAATGAACTGTCACTTTGTTATTGGTTCGTGTGAAACGAAAATATCAAAAAAACGATGATAATGAGAAAGTTTGGCAAATTTTTGCGCGCTGGTTTTGTTGGCGATATCGGAAAAGCTTACGTTTTAATTTAGCTTTCCGATAAAGGTGAAAACGATAAAACCTATCAGCGATAGCAACAGATGAAGGAAAAAACCGAATATTTTCAGAATTAAAAAGGACGTCGCACTTTTTTTTCAAGAAAAAATGGCGACCGATCAAAGTGATATCCACGCAACCAATAGTACTATATATACTTTGTGCCACAAATGTCAAACAGGCCCCTCTTTTTTCGCTCTTATTTTGCTTCCCTCTCTGACTTGAAGTTGATAACAAATGACGAAATTTTTGCTATTTTAATATGAATATGTATTTCCTTTCAAGTTATAAAAGTTTGGAAAATAATCTACTCAAAGTCATTCAATTTTATTATTCCTCTAATTTGAAAAAAATAGCCCACAAATTAAAATTTAAAACAAATCGTCAAATATTAGGAAAAAACGAATGATTGTATCCACCGACTAACGTTAACTTGTCATAAAAACTGTCAATGGGAAAAAGCTCGTAACTAGGTTATGTCATCGAATCCAAAGTAATATTATTTTTTTTATTTGAAAAGAAGATAGGTTAAAATTCAAAATTATTGTTGAATTTCATAAAAAATTAAAATGTCTGAGAATAATGTAACTCAAGAACAAACGGTCGTCAACGAAAAAAAGGTCAAACATCAAGAAATCTATGATAAATACAGTGAATGGGTAATATTGATCTGATTTCTGTCATATTTCAAAAGCAATGCAAACTTTATGTTGTATTTTTGTTTTAGATTCGACCCTGCTCTATATATAAAGATGAGTTTAAGGAATGTAAGAGTTTCAAAGGACGTTTCAATCAATACTATGTATTTGGCGAATATCTGAATTGTGATCAATGGCGAGATGACTACAATAATTGTCAAAAACACAGTTGGTTTGATGACAAAGAGGCCGGAACATCGGTCATTCAAAGTGAATTGAGTCGACGGGCTGCTCGTCTCAAAGCACATTATGATAATGATGTTTGGACAAAACGTGAACATCCACCATCCGATTGGAATAAACCATTGCCCGCCTTCTTGGCGGAACGCTCCAAATATAGCTATTTAACGCTAAAAGCTACAGAATTAAATGAGGAAGAACAACTAAATGCAAAAAGTCTATCTGAACCAAACAAATCCAGTTTTTGTACATTTATGTAAAGCGAATAAATAATAATTACTTGAATTATTAGTATAAGTTAGTGAACAACAAAAATATATATTTAAAAAAAATTACAGTCAACTTTATTTTGGATTTTATTATTATAGTACGAATTGGTACAGTCAATGCCATCTAGTACATTTAATGTTTAACATACTTACACTGATTGGTGTAATTAGGAAAGTGGTGCCACCTCGAATATATCGTATGTATAGCACTCGCATCGAAAGCTGTCCTCTGGCTGCTTGTTTGTTTGAACACACAACAAATTCCACTTCATTCCCAATTTTTATCTCGACTAGAGAACATTTCCGAAAACTTTGTGTGTCCATTGTAAACTAAAAAAGAAAACACAATTCATCAGCCATTGTTGTTATTGTGAAGTGAAACATTTATATATCAAAACTTTAGATATTTTTTTTTATTATTGACACATTTTGAACGTGAGTAAAATTAACATTATAATTTTTTTTTTGCAATTCAATAAATTTTTGGCATTTTCCATTCTGCAAATTAATAAGAGTATATGTATATGAAAATGGCATCAGTGTAATTAACTTGGTCTAACCGGCTACATAACCTCAAATATCACGCGTCTATTTTTTTTGTGTGTAACAATATTTTCTGCGAGTGATTGATTTTGTTATTTCTATTGTCAAATTGTTGTCAACACAACGTTTTTTCATCTGGCATTTTTATTTTCATTGCCAATTAAATTGAAGTTTGTGTGAATTTCGTCTGAGAAGTGTTTTAATTTTTAATTTTTGCATATTTGTGTATTTTCATATAGCATAACGACCGTATCGAAAATGCGTAAAAATCGAAATTCAGATGGAGTGACCAGCAGTCACAACGATTCCGAAGAAGAGGAACAAGAACAATCAGTTGACGATTCAGAAGAAGATTGGAAACCAGAAAAGGTAAAACAAAAGAAAAATTCCATCGTAAAATGTTTTCGTTTTGAACACTAATTAGTGTGCATACATTTTTTTGGTGTCTCCCTCATTTTCTTCATTTCGCTAATTTTCTTTATCTCTTTCTTTCGCTTTTGTTCTGTGTGTTTGTCGATGAGAAGAAAGGACCAGGTGGTAAAGGTAAACGTAGATCGGTTGGAGCATCACCGAAAGGACGTGCAAAAAAATCGAAAAAAGAAGAATCCGAAGAAGAGTCGGAAGAAGAAGAAGAAGATGGTATGTTATTGTTTTTTTTTTTTTTTTTTCTACTTACCTGATAACTCAGTTTTTGCTACCTGATAACAATATTGAATATTAAACATCTTTTTTATGGCCTTCTTTTGAAACAGACGAAGATGATGATTTTGAATCCGAAGAATCGGATGACGATGGAAAGGGGAAAAAATCGGGCAGTGCCAAAAAGTCAAGAATGTCGGTAAGTTGTTTATTATCACGTACAAAGTCCAGATACAAGTCTGTATGATATTGCCAATTTTGAATTGTGTTTTTGAGTCGTGTCTTTTGTTCATTTCAGGTGGGAAAAAACCAACCCGACAAAGATGGCAACATGGAATTGTATTTGTTTAAAAATGATCTAACAAAAGATTTCCGAACCGATGAAAAGCTATGCATGTGGCGACGCGATGGTGCCAGTTTACTGCAGAAGTATATGGTTGTCACCGATGAATCGCAAGCCAGTGAAATCATCTTCAAGGCATCGTCGGTATATTCATGTTGGGAGGAAAAACGTAAAAACGATTTCTTTCAAATTAAAGTTCAACTTGTTGGTGACAAAAAGGAGGGAAAAGTTAAAGTTGTCGATATTCCTGAATTTGAAAAGTACGCCGTTGAAGATCGGCCAAAGGTAATTGCATTTAATTTCAATAACAAACGAATCTAGAATTCATTTCATCAATATTATTTTTTAAATTCATTCGCACACAGGTTGACATAACACCAAGAGGAGCTGAAGGTGGTGAAAATTATGAAGTTGGATCTGAGGTAAAATATATTCAAATTGAATTTAAATGAATTCATTTGTATGGATTGAAAGTGATTTCATAACCTTTTTTTATTTATATTTGTATAGGATGAGTTCGACAATGAGAACGATAATGACAATGACAATGAAGACGACGAGGATTGAAAGCAACAATGGAAACATCAGATGGGAATAATAATTCATGTGGATCATAAATCATTTAAACATTTGACATAAATGAAAATAAGTTTTAAATTTCAATAAAACAAAAACACATCATGCACTCTAAAGTATAAATAAAAATTTGATTTCTTTTTTTTTCATTACAAAAGACGTAAATTGTATATGTATATGTATGTATATTGTATATTTATTACGTATTTCGCAGTGGTCACAACAGTTTGTTTTATCAATTTCAATTTACGTGTACAATTTTTGATTGACTTGAATTTTATAGCAACATTTAATAGCTCAACTAACTAAATGTGTTTTTTTTTTTAAATATAAAAACAAATGCTCTGCATTGATTTAGGATGAATTTGGTCGTTCAATGTTTCTAAAAGAAAGAAGAATAATATTCTCTAAATCAGAATCATTTCAATTAGCAAAAGGAAATTAGTTTACTTTTCTTTTTCTTTTGATGTTGTTTGTACTACTATCTCAGCTGATTCTTGGTCATTTGTCACAGCCAAATCATTATAATCGAGGCGTAATGCGTTATTTGTTCCATTCAAATCGCGACCAGTGAATTCCTTGAATTGATTTAAATTCCGTTTTGACGGTATCATTGCTTTGGATCCGTCACAAGAATTATTACTCATTTTTGGTTGAGATGATGACGATGGTGTGAACTTACTTGAACTCAACGAATAATTCAGCATATTTAAATTGCGATTAATCACATCGACATCATTCATATCAATGCTGTTTGATTGGCATTGATCACGACTGTTATCGCCAAGGATATTCGTCCAAAAATGTGAATCAACACTGGAACGATTTTCCAAACCATGAATATTACGCAATAATTCTGATTTATTTGATTCGCTGTATCCGCCACGATTATTATTTCGTTTCTGTTTGCTGCCCAGATTGAATTCGTCCATTAGCTTATTTAATTTTTGACCATAAAAATTATAAGATAGATTTCGTGCATTTTCCTCATTGTTATTGTGATGATTGATTTCAATGTTGACATCAGAATGACAATTCGATGCTAAATTCGAATTAAAATTCCAACGATTTGTATTCGTTTCACTGTCATTTGGTGATTTAATTTGTAAAATGGAAGATGCCATGCCGCTCGTATTGGTTTGTTGCTTAGCCAAACTATACGCAGCTGTGTGTTAATTGAAAAAATGCATTTTTAGTCATTCTCTCATTCATTTTGAATTGGCGTTTGTTCTCTTCATTTCTTTTATATTATACAAACCATGTGATTCTGATGATGCTGATGATGATGAACTTGATTCGGACGGTTTTTTTGTTGAACTTTCACGAACATTCGAACCATCATTGTTAAGAACGGTAAAACTCATTTTTGGCTCTTCAATAAGTGCATCAAATACACTGGCAGATGTAACTGGCGCTCTGTAGCGATTACGTGTATCTACAAATATATATAAATTTTTTATAAAACTTACACGAAATTCATCATTCTTTTCCCACTACCAGATATGTTTGATATGTTGGGTAATGTTGAGATCGGTAATGCCATAAAATCATCCAAACTATTTGTTACGATTGGCTCACTGTTGCCATTTGAGCTACCACCACTGTCAATTGAATTTTGTTGAATTTGTTCGGGCGATGTTCGGACATTCAATGAAAATTCAACATATTCAACATCATTCTCGCCCGATATTGTCTCTTGCACCTCTTCCAATTCATTATCCTCTTCGGAGCTCTCATGTAGCTTACCAAAAGCACATGTCTTTTGTTTTCCATGCAATTCTTCATCCTAATAGGATTGATATTTATTAAGAAAACATAAAATAAAATCAAATCAATTGGCATAGACTTATTTTTTATAAAAATTTACCGAATTTGAAGTGGTCTTTAGAGCGGAGCGCAAATTTGGCGATGAAATCGATTGACCAAGCGTGAATGATCTTGATGTGTTTTCTAATAGAAAAAGGATTTTTTATGAGTATCAATTCCCCCCATTAAAGAAAATGTGATAACGGTAATTTTGTCGAGATTCATTCGATTTCCTCCCTCTCAAGAGTTTCCCAATTACCCCCCTTTTGGATTTTTTCCATTTTACTTTGGTGTTAACACCTCTATGATAATTTTTCAGTTGAAATTTAAGTAAAATACATACTCATAAATGGGGTGACTTTTGCATTTGATCCACGAGTGGAATACTTCGAATCTATCTTAATATTGTTTGCATAGATATTTTGTAAGAGATCAGAAAATAAATCTAAAAAGAATTTTTTTTATATGTAATCGATTTTGCAGCTTACGAATGACATTGTATAATATAGATGTAATTACCACCGTTTGCCATGATATCCTTTCGTTCGTTATTGGCTTCATCGTTGGCAGTTGACTTAATGTGTATTGGTCGATCAACGCAATCGTTGTATAATTCTTCATATTTTGAAGATGTTTCACCGACTTTTGTCGATCTTGTACTTGATTTTCCGTTTGAATTGCTAGATTTTTTACTATTGTGCGTATCATTAGACGAAGAGTGCTTTGTTCTTGCACCGGAACACGATGGCATATCAGTTGATTCGGATGATGCTGAGGAAGATGAATACGATGTGGTTGATGATGATGTGGATGTGCTGGCCAGATTTACCGAAATTAGTTGGCAATTTTCGCCAACCGAAATTGTTGATGACGTTGAATTGGCACCGCCAGACAATGAAGAACCGATTTCTGTGATGCTACTGCCACTGTTTGCAATTGCATTACTCGAGTTGTGTTTATTTTTTAATGTTTCACGTCTCAAGCGATCTTTTAGCTGCTTGATTTCCGTTTCATGGTGCCATTGTTTTTTCAACAGCTGATTTATGTACCATTGTTGATCGCGACATCGTTGAAAGAATGTCGATGGACGAACTTGAAAACGAAGCTCAAGCGAATCACGTAACGTATTCAAATAACCTTCAGACGCAAGCAAATCCAAGCGAAAAAAACCTATCCAAAGCAAAAATTGAACAAAACGTTTTTATATTATTCGAATCAGTTGAATTTGTTATATGAAATATTTACGATTATATCCCCATGATTCGCCAACTTCAAAATCCGAAACGAATTCACGTTGAATGACTTTTGATGACGTTTGATGTATCATTTGTACGCGATATTCATATTTGCTTGTCTCCGGATAGCCCGAGAATAGTTCGAGAAAAACGCTCAAATATTCACCGCGTACATTGCCATTGCCATAGGGATACACTTTGAGTCGCCATTGTAATCCGTTGACATTCAATTCGTTTGAATAAACAGGTACACCCTTTCGTTGTAGTGATGTGAAACGTTCCAGAATGAATATGCCTGTATCATAGGCTGGTACAATTTCGCTTATAAAATCGGCTGGCACCGGTGCCATGACATAGCATGACATTGGCTTCAAGCGAACTTGATGAATCATTTTCAATAGTTCTGGCGATTTCATTATCAATTGTGATCGTGAACATGAATTTATTTGATGTTCAATTTCATCTAGCAATTGTTCAAGCTGCTCAGTTTCATGGTTCAATGAACTTTTTTGTCTCATCAATGTCACCAATTTTAGTTTTAAATGTGAATCCAATCGATTTACCATCAGCTCAACCGCATTTCGAATTTCACGAACTTTTTCATCTTTAGCCGCTCGCACCGTTTCCACATTATGTTCAACGTCTTTGACCATCGAAACCAATTCCATCAAACGGCTACGAAGCTGTGACACCTCTTCTTTCACTTGTGCGATATGGGTTTCGTAAACGAGTTCTTGTTCATGCAAACCGAAAAAAGAAGGAGAAAAAATGATTTTTTTTTTTTTCATATGACAAGGCATAGGACATCTTCAATTGTTAAAAGGGTGTACGTTACCAAGTTGTTTGAATGTATGTCCTGAATGCGTCCCACTAGGTATAATCAGAAGAAAAAAAATGGAATTAATGGAAATTAATCAACATGTAATTGAATGTAATGGAATAGAATGGAAAAATTACCAATGCGTCCCACCCCACAGCGCACACCGATGGCAAATACACTTTTTGCACGTGCCACAATAAACGGACAATTTTTCGTTGTGTGTGGTGCATTGATCATTTTCACTTTGTCCCAAGCCGGCTTTGACATTCGCACAAATTTGCTGTAGCGATTCGACTTGAACGGCTACTTCTTCTAACCACCGGCAATTTACGAGCTCTTGGACATTTAATGGAGCCCGACAATGTGGACACTGACGACGTTGCTCATTCAACCATCGCGATATGCACAGATAACAGCACAATTTCGAACAATGCGGACACAGATGAGCTTCTTGCAATTTTTCCATGCAAATAAAACACCGGAACACATCATTCAGCGACTGCAACATTTTTTGTAGTTGTTGTTGTTTTCAATCGGAAAATAAAAAGATAAGAAAAAACATAAACAAAGAGATTTTATACTTTTACGATTAATTCATATTCATTAATTTATAATGCTTGCAAAAAATTACCATTGTCTTTTAAAATGCTAAATCATACTATATAAATTTCGAGCCTTCCGTTTTTTATGTGGACAGTTAAATTTCGATCGCAAACGCTCTTGTATCGAAAAAAAATGTGACCAATTTTGTACGTACTACGATTTATTGGTTTATTTCGTTTGACACTTTAAGTCGCTGCTGTTGCATTGGGAGACAATCGCATACTATATATATATATATATATTCAATGATTTTAACTGCACAATACTGATTGTGCTATTAGTTTATATAGACTGCGTTTGGATGTTTGGTGCGCGAGCTTGTTTATGTATGCGTACAACTGTCAGTTTGATAAACATTTGGGTATTGTTGTTGGTATTACCGTGTGCTTGAACGTTTATATGCATTGCTTAGCAACCGGTCGTCGCAATGAATTTGCAATCAATGAGTTGTTGTTTATAATTTTATACAAATGAAAAATTATTAACATGGACAAATCGGAGCGTATTAAAAAGTTACCAATCAAATTCAACGATTATGTAAATGAAAATGGGCAAGTTAGACCAAAGCTATTCACGTGAAAATTCCAATTTAACGATATATTTCTTTCTCTTCAGGATTTTATTATCTGTTCATCACAGATTGGACAATCATGGTTTAAATCCAGTTCAATTGAAATTGGCCGAATTCAGTACAAATACAAATATTTTGGTTTCAATTAGCAACCGGTAAATGGTCATCGAATTCATTTGATAAAACCGATAACTGTTTCTCTTTTTTTTTTCAGCAAAGATATTTATGTTTTCGATCTGGCCAATAAACAGTACTGGTGTCTTGGTGAAGTTGCACCTAAAATTTCAACGTGTTTTTGCTTCGATCCTTGCAATCAAACGTCTATTTTAATTGGCACAAAATATGGTTTCATTCTTGCTGTCGATTTGAGTAAGAAATTTGATTTTTTTTTCTATTTTTTATTGTAAATTTACTTGTGGTTCGGTCGGTTTCTATTTATATAGCTATAGGTAAAGTGCAGCAAAAATTGAAGTCATTTAATAAAGATAGTCGTATATTGGGACTTACTGCAATTCAACCATCGAACACTGAAACGATATCGGTATCGAGCCAATATTTTATATGCCACTCATCTGTCGAAGCCGTACTTTGTCGCCGCGATGCTGCCGCGTTATCAGTGGAATATAGTTTGTTTAAAAGTGACAATAAGGAAACGATTTGGCCAATAATTATTAGAAAAATTGTCGTTCACACGTCAAATGATTCAAAATTGACTATCGCAATATTGTTGAATGATGATTCTTTGTGTATTTTTCAACACGATTCTCTTGAGATTGCAAATTTAGAAAAGATGCAAATGACTAAACGGATTCATCTACGTGATCAACAAGCTCTACATTTAGCACATGCAAGAGATCAACAGAGTTCAGAGCCAAATAACAGTGAGTAAAACCGTTTTTTCACCGGTAATTTAAAATAATTCGCGTTTTTTTAATATAGATGATCAGAATTCGATGTACATTTCGGATGTGAATTTTCATCAAAACGGAATGGAATTATGGATAATATGCCGAAACTCAAACATTATTGTAATGGATGCTCAACAATGGATTATTCAAAAAATTGTTTCGCCCGAAAGATCGTTCTACATGAAATCATTTGTATCGATAAATTTCGAACACGAAGCGATTTGTAAGCCATTGCATAGTCTTTGGCTTGGTGTGTCAAGTAATTGTACACTGGCCTTTCTGAGCATGCATTCAACGGATAAAACAATCAATGTAAAATCGTATCTTCCACGCAACTGTTTGGCTATTAAGCGTTTGTCGTTATCATTTGACAATGAATTGGTGGCACTAATCTTGGCTGATGGATCATTCAAAGTGTATTCAGTGCGATTTCTGCTATATCAAGCATTCAATCGGCTGATTCAATCAAAGTGCATACCAATGGCACATCAATGTGTGCAATTGAATCAACAGTTGAATGCATTCGATGGAAAGGTAGTTATTATATTAAAAAAAATGTCTGTTTGAAACTTCAATACCATCTATTTTCAGGTAAAAAATATTATATCACATGAACGTTTGCTAACTATTCTATCCGAATATGATGAATATCCGAGTAAATATCGTTCCATCATTTGGAGGCAATTGTTAAAATTACCGAACAATACGCTGGCCTATTGTAAATTAATAGAACGAGGTGAACATTTTCCATCGCGTATTTACAATCGATCGTTTCGTTTGATTGATTCGGTATTGCATAAAAAACTAAAACGGATCATTACATATTTGTGCAATTGGAGTAAAATTCTAGCCATTTCATTTGATGCGGAAGATCATTTTTTGCCATATTTTGCATTTCCATTTGTGAAATTTTTTTCCACCAATATGCTAATGTGTTTTGAAGTGCTGGCAACAATTTTATTGAATCAATGTAGTTTATGGTTTGAATTTAGTCCATTGTTACCGCAAAACTATTTGGGACTGATTGAAAATCTAATCAATCACTTTGAACCATCGTTAATTCGTCACTATCGTTCGCATTCAATAACAAGTAAAACATTTGCATGGAAACTATTGCGAACAGCATTCAGCGATATTTTGGTTGAATTTCAATGGTTTAAACTATGGGATCATATTTTATCGATGCCATCATATTTTTTAGTTTTTGTTGTTGTTGCATTCAATTGTATTCAGCGGCCCGTTCTGGAACGTTTGAAAAATGCAAAAGAGATTAGCATTTATTTCGATGAGCCGTGCTCAATTGATATGAAACGATGGCTTCAAAAAGCCCATACACAAATGCGCAATTGTCCAATCGCTTTGCATCCAAAGCAATTTATTGAGGATTTCGTGTGTCTTTCGATTTCGGAACAACAATATCGTAAAATATTAAATTATCCGCACACCAATTTCAATGAGCAATTGACACAGAATGAACACAAACAACAATTGCAATTTATTAATCAAAAATATACGGAACTGGAGAAATTTGAAAGAGATCTTGTACAACAAATGGTAAATAGTCTTCAAATGGTCGAACATCAACAACGTATGCAAAAGGTTGAACTCACCAATGAGGTGGCATCGATACATCATTTACGAAAAATTGAACACGAAAAACAACATCTCATTCTTACCGAAAGACAACTGCACGGCCAAGAGGCAATGATTAACATTTTAATGAAAGAAAACCATGAACGACATTTGAAAGCACGTGAAATGGTCTTGCAGAAAACATTGTGCGACACAATCAAATGGGTGAGCATTCATTTTTATTGCAAATGATTTTGCTAATAAGAATTAATTTATTGCTCATATTTTGAAATTTGATAGAAATTATGCGATGAAACCGAACTTTTGCGGAATGAAAGTAGTCTTAGGAAAGAGGAAATTGACCAGTTTATGAAAAAATATAATTTAGCAAAATATGACGAGCAACAATGAATATTGACAATTCCATTTTGTAGCACACATCTTCAACAAAGTCAATCATTTATCGATTACAATTTATTCAACTGTTTTGTTATTGTTCTATTCGATATTTTTCGTTTCATTATTTCGTTCTGAATAATAAACAAAGAATATAATCTTTTGTAGTTTTTATTTTTATCCCGCTTTTTTTTCCTATTCAATTATATTGCACTTGCAAGCGATACGCGAACACCTCATAAGTTGAGTGTATACTTTTTATTTGTGACTTGAACCAAGTGCAATTGCAGCTATGCGACGGTTGTTTAACAACTTTAAATAAATAACCAAACAGCTTGAGTATTAATGCATTTCTTCCATATTTGGACGTATGAAGTTCAAGTGTACTAGTCTGTGGCTCAGACAACATTCTGCATGTATGGTTTACTCATCAGTAAATATACATATGTACAAACGTAAGCATTGATGGAGTGGAATGGACCGCCGAGAGTCACATATTCATTGAAAATTACTATGAAAAAATACATATATTATTCTGTTTGCGTTAAGGTTCAATGTTTCTGAAATGCATGACCATGAAAGAAAATAGTGCAACAAATTCAGAGAACTCGATGCAAAAAAAATATATAGAAAAATTGAAAAGAGTGTAAATGATTTGTGGGGTGATTGGTTTTGTGATAAGTTTTTGCATTTTTTTTTATTTCCAAATACTTATCAATACACACCACTTTTGGTTCGATTACATTGCATCACATTACAGGTAAGTAAAAAAGGTAATTTAGTACATTTGTAATGAAAAGGGAAAGTCTTCTTCAATTATTGACGTAATGTATTATTGCACTAGGCTATGCTCAAATAGCTTCATATTCGTTGATGTCAGCTGTTGCTGATACGATTAGCTCATTGTATAATATTTATGATATTAAAAAATGAAGAGATTTTTCTAAAAACATATTGTTTTTTTAAAGAAAACTCTATATTTTTACTTAAAACATATTATTTCTGAAGAAAACTCTGTCACATCATTCAATAGCAAAGAAAAAAATATATATTTCGATATCAACGAAATAAAATGATTATTCCTAGCTGAAGCTCCGTGCAGTGTCTGTCGTAACTGTTACACAAACCTACAACGCATGGGTGATAATGAAAAAAAATATGCCCAACATCGATGGAGTACAATGACTTTTGTGCACAATGCATAGTAAATAAAAAAAGCAATTTATGTTAATGTCTATGTATCGAATTTAGGCCAAAAATTCATACGAATCGTCTAGATACAATTGATACGACGGCACATATTGGGGTATATTTGTTTCTATACCCATGTAGAGATGTTATGTGTCTGTTGATTTTCCCTTTTCGTTATGAAATTGTAATATATAAGAAAGTCGAGATTTTCGTAACGTTAACAACGGTATATTATGTATAAAAGACAGACGGACAGACAGATATGGACACATTTTTTTGTTCTTTCAAAAATACAAAATTAAACCAAATTCTTGTGAAATATTCGGATTTGCTTACTTCTTTGCATATTATACTACGAAAAAAAAAACAATTAATGACTGAAATTGAAGAATCTTTCTCAAATACATCTCTCTCCCTCTCCCTGTCTCGCCTGTCAAACATCATGATATATCTGAGAAATTGTTATCATCTTATGTTGCAAGTACACAGTCGTTCTTATATTATTTCTACAGTCGTTCACTTACCTCTGTCGTCGGCAACATTTCATCATTTTGATGCTGATGCATCATACTTGTGGATGGCCACGCTGTTGTTGTTGTGGCGGTGGTTGTTTTTGTTGGTATTGCCCTATTATTGAAGGTCTTTGGCCGTTTAAATGTCTAGTTATGTCTCGTCTTCAGTTACTGATGTTACCATAGCTTTAATTCCTCTTGTCTATCTACAGCATTTGCATTCGTACTGAGTTAAAAACAAAGTAAAAGAGCATTAACTTGAAAAGTCAGCAAATGATCAAGGATAAAAGATTTCTTTTGGTTTATTTTTTTGTGTGATTCTTTTTTTTCGCACCATTTCAACACGATTTTTTTTATCCTGATATTTACTACAAGTCTATTTATTATCTTATAACAATTTTGAAAAAAATAGTTTAATAACAAAAAATATTCAAATAAAAAAAAAATAATAAAACTATTTTCATTCATTGAAAAAATAAAAAAAAAATCTCAATGTTCAATTTGAATCCAATAAAGAGTATCAAATGTTTAATATTATTTTGCTATTACTTAACAACCATTATCGACTTTCTTCAAAAATCCTTTATTAAATTTCAAATGCAATTCAATTAAATTCTATTACCAAAAAATACATATTTACACTGAAGTCTGCAGACTGAGCAATGATGATCGAATTATAATTTTAATCTTTTGTTCCAAATATTGAAATCAAAAACATTCACCGCTCACAATCAAATAAAGTCAACAAAAAGTGAAAACCGATCACAAGAAAATAGCTCAAAATTGATTGAAACTTAGATAGTTGAACAGAGATACATTTAAAGTACATACAAGTCGTACACAACCAATATGTATTTTATTTGTAATAAAATTATCAATGCTTTTGGAAACAGATAAACACTAAAAAATCGTTTTGTACATTTAAATAGACAAAAAAAAATAGAATTTGATACGCGCTTTGCTGATTGGTAAAACTAACAAAATTCGATTTTGTGGATTTGTTGAGGAAAAAACACATCAACAAGTTTATTATGATTATTTATACGGTATGTTACTGAAACATGAGCCGAATTGATAAACAGGCATTTGTTAAAAACTATACTAATTCGTTGTTTTATAATAATTTGTTCTAATTTTTGGGTTTTATGTTCGCATTCACACTGTATGCAAACCTGTGAGCGACTGAATGGTCTGAAAATAAAACACCAGACGTAAACACTGCATTTGAGACCAAGTCATCGTCGAACATAAGAATATATATATATATATATATATATATATGTTTCGCGAAAAGAAATTGCCATCGTATATCGATATGTATACAATATAAAGAACTTATGCGGCGGCAACGTGAATCCAACGTGATGCACATAAATGTGCGTACGCGTTTGTAGTAAGCAAAGTAACAACAAGAAGTGTAGAGAAAATCATTTTTTATATTCGCTATTTAGAGATTATCATTAAATAAGAAAAAAATATTTATTTTCCTAAGTCAGCTTGAAATTTGCTTCTATTCTTGAATGTTTACATTAAAAATAATGGTTTGACTTTGCCGCTCTCACTTGTTTTTTGCTCTTTTGTGCTCTCGCTTTTCCCCCCCCCCTCTCTCTCTCTCTCTCTCTCTCTCTCTTTCTCTTGCAATTCAATTCAAATACCCATACATTTACGCAGTAGCACCAACTTCAGAGCAGTTTTCTGTTCATATGTCAAATATGTATGTATATTTGCTGCACCTATAAGCTTTACGACGTGAAATGAAACATAAAATATAGTGATTAGAAGTACGGGCAAGAGAAAGAGAAGGCCGATGAATCTCATATGATTTGACAGAAGTGATTGAAACAGAAAAGGTGATGTTTTCAGCAGCGGGAGTAAAATTGTAAAATTTCTATCAAAATTGATGACGAATTAATCAAAATGAAGCAAGTGACAAATACAGGCTGGAACACATTTTGGTGGATCCTTGGCTCCCTATGTATGCCATTGACGATTCCATTTATTGTACACAAGGTGATGTCACAACTACGATTGAGACGAAATAGGAACCTTCTTGAGGGCAAAGTAAGTAATTGATCTTAATTCAAGGACGTTTATTAATGACGATTTGTTGATATTGTTTTTACTGAATCCACTGACCAAAATTCTTCAGGTTGTTGTGATAACAGGTGCCTCATCTGGTTTGGGCGAAGCATTGGCGCATACATTTTACACTGCTGGCTGCAAGATAGTTTTGGCTGCACGAAGAAAAGAAGAGCTAGAACGTGTTCGGACCGATTTATTGGAAATTCATTCGGTATGAATTGAAAGTCGTTTATTGGTGTCTTTATTTTTATTTTAACTTTATTTATTTATTTTATGCCACAACTTTCATTTACGAACATTTTTTTTTGCATTTTCTCAAAAAAACAATGTACAACAGCAAAATGTAACACATCCTCCCGTTGTGGTGCCATTGGATATTTCCGATTTAAAATCATTACCCGACAAGATCGCATACATTGAACAAACATTCGGACATATAGATATTCTAATAAATAATGCTGGAATCAGTGTTCGTGCCGATGTTGTTTCGATGGCCGTCGATTTGGATGTACAAGTGATGCTTGTAAACTATTTTGGTGCTGTGGCTGTAACAAAAGCCGTTCTTCCCAAGATGATTGAGCGCAAACAAGGTCGAATTGTATATGTGAGTAGTATACAAGGAAAATTTTCATTGCCACATCGTTCAGCTTATTCGGCATCAAAACACGCACTCCAAGCATTCTGTGACTCCTTACGAGCCGAAGTTGCCGAACATAATATTGAAGTGTTGTGTGTCAGCCCTGGATACATAAATACAGCATTGTCATTAAATGCATTGACTGCATCAGGACGTGCATATGGAAGTAAGTACATTAAAACCATTGAGCACGTATTTTTAATTGATAGCATACTAATTGTGATTTGAAATTTTAGTCACCGATGCAAATACAGCAAGTGGTGCCAGTCCAGAGCATATAGCCGATGAAATTCGCACCGCAATACTTAGCGAAAAGAAAGATATAACATTGGCTCCGCTTTTGCCGATTGCAGTACAATGGTTACGACTTCTTTGTCCATCACTCTATTTCTGGGTGATGGAAAAACGTGCCCGACGAATGAACGCATCTAATTAGACTTGAATATTATTCGAAACAAACGAAAATTAGTCATACAAATAAATGGATACTCTTTTTTTTAAAATCAATTTCATTCCTTAAATTGCTTGACTCATGAGAAACACACTAACAATTAATTGGTGTGGTTTATTCAAAGAAGTGTATATAATTTTTTTATATTTATTTTCGCCTAATAAATTTACAATGAAATTATTCAAGAATCGCCTCATTGAATGTGTGATATGCACAAAGGTTATTTTCTCCAAGAAATCTCGACTTCTTTGTTTTTTCATCGAATGTTTTATTATTAATATTTAATCGATTTGGCTACAAAATTCAATATTAAAAAAAAAAACAAATCGGAGAAATGTATGTTTTGCACATAAATAAAATCGAAAAATTGCATGCAGGTGATGAGAAATGTGTTTGTCTGATACAGTTTTCATACACCGAAATTCCCACTTTATTTGATCGATAAAGACATCACACCTACCTTTCTCTATCTCTTTTAACATATATATAATTACATCAAATAAAGACTCATTTCAACGAGTATTAGCCGGAAGATTTTCTTTTTAATTTGTTCAATAAATCGATGAAAAAAAAAACTGGAACAAAAAATTGAAATTCTAGTAGATCAACAATTGTAGGTTGGACTGAAATAAATTATTGAATCGTTATTATATACGCATTTGAATTGGCGTGAATGTGATAATCCTCCACCGCAATAGACATTGTGTGTGTGTGTGTGTGTATGTGGTTGTACTTGGGGATGTGTAACTATATATATATGTTTGTAATTGTGTATTTTCGTTAATGTGCTATGTCAACACATCTATTGAATGTTTGTTTGGCTGTGTCCTGGTGTGTTTCTAACTAGGCCGTTATTAAAAACGCACAAACGGAGGGTTTCTAAACAAAATATAATATACAATACATCGACTGAGTGTTAGTAGCAGACTAGCAATGTGATCATCTCTGCATTCGCTTCAAACTTACCGAATTAAGCGAACGGCTTCAAATTCAAAATTAAACAAAAAAAAAACAACCGAATCATAACGTTGTATCGGACTTCATTCGATATTTACTTGTCTCATATTCATTTTAACTTGATTGCTTGTCGTTGACCATTTCTGGAAAGACAGAAGAAGAAAAAAACGAAACAGTTTGCCAAAAAAATATGTGATTTTACGCCAACGTAAAAAAATAGAGAGAATAGGCTTTCAATGATTTGTTTTTTTTTTTTGTTAAAATTCTGTTCGAAATTGTGTTTAAATTAAGAAGAGTCAACCAAAGAAGTTGAAAACGAAATAGTAGATACATTTTAGTTTGTATTTATGCAGCATACTGTTTAGAGTTTATTAATTCAAAGCTTTTATTTTCTGTCGTAATTTTTGCGCTAGTTAAACTTTGAACGTTATATAAAATAAAAAAGTACTCTGTGAATCTCAATATATAAATTAGTTCATTCCGTCAAGTGTTACAATTATTAAAAATAAAATCAAAATGTTTTTGCTCATTTTAATGTTGATTTTACTGGTTGGGCTACTTGCAAAGTTGGGCCTGCGATATAGAGAAGATAAGCGAGTCAAGTTGGCTCGTGAAGAGATGCCTGGTAAAGTGGTAGTGTTAACCGGTGCTAATACACCATTGGGCGAAGCATTGGCCATTTCATTTTATGCTGCAGGCGCCAAGGTAAAGTCAGAACAAAAAGAAAATTGTTTATGGAAATAAAATCACAGAAAAGAAAAAAATAAACATAAATCTTAATGAAATATTATTAGTTGGTATTGGTTGGACCGGATCAGACGGATCTCGAGCGTACGAGAACGCATTTGTTTTCATTGCGGCCAAAAAATGTGCCCGTTTATCAACCTGAAGTGGTCGCAATGGATGCATCGAGCCCAACGGAATTTTCAGCACAGGAAGTGGTCGCAGAAATCATGGAAACATGCGGTCAAGTAGACATTCTAATAAACAATTCAATGACTGAGGTGCGTTCCGATATACTGTCGACCAACATTGAAGAGGATATTCGCGTGATGAATGTTAATTATTTTGGCGTGATTGCATTCGTTAAGTGTAAGGATATATTTTTTATATATAACATATATATTTTTATTGTTATTATTATCGCATTCATTTTCTAGTCTCAACCAAACACACACATAATTCAAATGTTCACTTAATTATTAGGTTATTCAATCATAAATTTATACACATGGCTGGTTGTAAAACGAAAGTCGTGTATTTCATACATTACGAAATATATGTGAAAGACGTCACAACAATAAGAAAAAACAACATCGAGCTCAAAAAGTTTAGCGAACTCATGACTAAATCTCCAGCTTATTTGATTTTTTGGCAAACGCTTCATAGATTGTTTCAAATATAAGAAAAACCATACATTTGATTTGCATATTACATTTTAATGTGATTTCTTGGATTTTTCTATATTTCTATATTTCTATTGTTCATTTAGCAATGTTGCCAAGTATGGTCGCAAGAAAATCGGGAAAAGTTGTTTTTGTAAGTTTAAAATGCCGTTATATATTGAAATGAGCTTTCTTTGAGTTGATTGCACTTGAAAATTTTAATTGAAATCTTTTCTAAAGGTGAATAATGTAGCAGGTAAAATAGCAATACCATTTCGTTCATCATTTGCTGCTGCTGAACATGCCCTTCAAGCATTCGCCGACACTCTACGCGCTGAAATGGCTCTGTACAAAGTTGACGTACTCGTTTCTAATCCCGAATACTATGCAACTGAAGCAGTTGAAAAGAAGAGCGCAAAAAAAGTAGCAGAAAAAAAAGGTACTGATATATTGTGTGTGTGCGATAAATTTTAAAGAATTGAAAAACAATTGACCGAAAATCATTTATTTCTCAAAAGATGGTGAAAAAGCAGCACCAGTGGATCCAACACAACAATTAGCCGATGACATTCTATTGGAGGTGTTGAAGGATAGCGACGAGCATATGTACTTTTCGTTTAGATTTTCTCACTGGTTGAGTGTGTTAGTGCCCGGCTTTTACTACTTTATGCTGGCAGCACGTACCAAGAAATTATATAAGTCAGAACCAAATCTACGACGATTTTAAAACAACAACAAAACTACATTTCACACACGTTTCGTACCAATATGTTTTGCAAAATTCATGAAAACATTCATGTGTTTTTGAATACAATCAATTCTTTATTCGTATGCACATTAATAATTATTTTATAAATTTAAAAACTCTCATGAGTTGGCATTGTTCAAAAAGAGCTTCAAGGTTTTTAATTTGAAATAGAAAAAAATGTTGGAAAACTATCTCCTTTCTATAATTCAAAATTCTCATAGTTTTGCTTCGAAACCTTCACCAAATCTGTTATCCTCCATTATTTCGAAAAAATTGTCAAATCGCTAATGTTTCTATACCTACAAAAAGTATTGCTAACGAGTGTTTTTTTTACATGAAATGTTCAATTTAATTATTATTGTTGAAATATCTATCTCACTCTCTCGAATCCATCTATGTATTGAGTTTGTTAAAAAGCTTGAATTATGTAAAAAAATATGAATTCTAACAAATTGAATTGAATCGTTTTTTTTATGCTCATTAATTGACTCAATTTATTGCACAATGTACATAGTAATGAAAAATTTACAATCTATTGAGTTCATGAAGTTTTCTTTTTATGATAACAAAAAATTTGAAGAAAAAATTCTTCCATAGAAGTGTCGATTTTCCATCAACGTCGGTGAACGTGTCAAGCATTTAACGAGTATACATATAACAAAACGGTTGTCTATAGAATGATGGCATGAGGTTCGAATGACGCAAAGTGTGTGTTTGATGAAAATGACACTGCACGCTAGTTGATAAGAAGGATATGGGCCACTTAAAAATATTCAAACAGTGCGGTGACCGCAGGTAATTGTATTTCTGTTACTCTACGCTGTAAGCATGGTGATTACTTCAAGAAAAAAAGCGGATAAAGAATTTACTGGCGACTCGGTCACGTTGTCCACCCATTCAATATAATATTTAGAATAAAATTTCGTGAACACATATTTCGTTTGTATTGATTTTAAATTCGGGGAATGCTCTTTTTGGTTGTCAAATTTCATTAACATTGCGTGTGGTTTAACTGTTACACAGACCCATGCTAGAAACAATTTTATATTAAACCATTTAATGTATAGATGTGTGTATGTGGTGTTTAATATTCAAAGTAATCAACATTCGCTTGATATGAACGGTTGAAAGCGAGTTTATGAAACAACACATTCTTGAATTCACCTAACCAATTTGACATTTAGCTCCCACCTTTCTCATTCATTTTGGTATATGTATACGTTTGTATTGTGATCATGTACACCTATCGCGTTAAGTTTGTAGGTGCGCTTGCGTCTCTTAATTAGTTTTCGTTCTGATTGAAGAAAAATTCTGATTTGTTCGTAATAAACTTTAATTCCAAATAATTTGAATCGAACTACAGTTGAGTTGTTCAAAAATCGAATAATAAAAATGAATTAAATCGATGTGTGCACAAAATAAATTCCGTTAAGTAAGAAAATTATCAAACAAAAAAAGAGAAAATGATTACGTTGACGATATTATTAGTGCTAGTTCTAGTGATTGTTCTTTTGTCAATTCTTCAAAAAATGTACAATGAACATAAAATTCAAATCGCAAAACGAAACTTAGCTGGGAAGGTTGTGATCGTTTTTTACTTTTTTTTTCGTTTTATCTCGTTTCTTGTTTTTTTCTTCTTCTTTTGTTTATTTACAAAGTCATTTATTTTGCATCGTCTCATCTAAGCATGCATACATTCATATCGATGTGATGTTGTTGTTGTTATTTTTTTCGAATTTTTTTGTTAATCTATTTTGTTTCTATATTTTTCGTAGGTAGTGGTAATAACAGGCGCCTCATCTGGTTTGGGCGAAGCATTTGCACACGAATTCTATATACATGGTGCGCGTGTTGTTTTAGCCGCGCGTCGTGCTGGTTGGTGACTTTTAATAATAGACTAAAATGTTTAATAAATGAATGACATTGTAGTTGTAATCAAAGCAAAATGTAGTTCAATGATAATTTCTCTAAAAAATTGTTTTGGATGCAAGGTGAACTGGAACGTGTACGTCGAAATTTGCTGAATTTCAAATTACCAAATGGCGTTCAATCCATTCGACCAGAAATTTTACCACTTGATTTATCCGATATAAATCAATTACCCGATAAAGCACATCACATTTTAAGACAATGTCTGCATGTGGACATTTTAATAAACAATGGTGGTGTCAGTTTGCGATCAGATGTGTTGAGTGTCAAACAAAACGTTGATCAGCACATTATGAATGTAAATTACTTTGGCGCTATAGCATTGACAAAATGTAATTGTGCAATGGATGTGTCATTAAAAGAACGTCAATTAAAATTGTTTCTATTTAAATGCAGCTTTATTGCCATCGATGATCGAACGAAAAACGGGAAAAATTGTATTTGTAAGCAGTATTGTGGGCCGCTTAGCGATTCCATACCGATCATCATATACGGCATCAAAACACGCCCTTCAAGCATTCGCCGATTGTCTGCGAGCCGAAGTTGCGGCTCATAATATCCAAGTGATTGTTAGCAGTCCTGGCTATGTTAAAACGGAGGTGTCACGAAATGCATTAACTGGCTATGGCACTTTGCATGGAGGTTTGCACAATTTTTATGCGACTGTTTGCTTTTTTTTATCTCTTCCTTAAAACCAAATCATAATTACTTACATTTCATTTTCAGTGATGGATCCCGAAACAGCCGCCGGACAAAAACCCGATGAATATGCATACGATGCGGTCAGAGCAATTTTACGTGAAGATAAAGAAATAATACCTTTGAAATTCATACCGGTTATATGGCTTCGAGCTCTCTGTCCAACGGTTTTCTTTCAAGTGATGACACGACGTGCTCGAAAATTATCCGCAAGACATAATAATGTCAGCCAAATTGTCTAAATATTCGATACATTTAATAAAACATCTTCCTTCAATTCTCAAAATGTGAAAGTGAAATCAATTTATTTACGTCGATCAAATCATTTAGAAAATTCTATCAATTTGATCGTTTCTTTTTAGGTTATGTTATGTTTTTTACATTTTATAATGAATAATGTAGTTTCGTTTATTTTTTGCTTGGCGGCAAAACAAATTGTGGCCGAGAGGATCGTGTTTGGCGCTTACGCCCGACGGGTGCTTTCTTTGACCGTATTTTCGATGTCGATGCTTTGTTCGATACATTCGTTGGCATTTGAGATTTTTTCAATTGTTCCAATAGAATGACCGGTTGCATGTTGCGCGAATCTGTGAACAAATGTCACAGTTTAGTATGCCGACACATTGTGTTGATATTGTTTTTTTTTGTTCGTTCGAAAAGTGTACTTACTGTAGACTTCAGAGTCCGGAATGAAGCCATTGTTTTTGCGTTGATTAGTTGAACTGCCGCTGCGTTCCATGTCATCAACAGTATTTTGGCCCTGTGAATTCAATCGCGGAACTGTATGGCTTTCTAAGAAATCCTCTACCACTTTACGCGATAGTCGTACAACTGGATATCGGACATCTAATGATGGCGAGGTCGATGCAAGTAATGCATTCATTTTATGAATTCTTTTTACACTTTTTATTAATTTGATTGTGTTATTTGACTTAATTTATCAGAGAGCGCGCCGAAATACCGTCTAAATAGCTGTTGTGACTAAAGAACAATGATGCACAGATCGTTTTCACGCTTGAATGTGTCGTCTTTTGTGAGTGTGCTTCAATACGTTTATGCAACCACCACTTAGAATCGAATGTAGGCAAACACACATACAGCTGAGCGAAGTAGCACAAAAGAGCTGCATATCTACACAGTAGCCGGTGAATACAGTTGCAATACGCACAGTTTATGAAAAGTAGCCAACATTGCGAATGACAAATGAAAAAAAATCACCACTACCAACTACCGCCCTCAAACGCCTGTAACGAATGCAAATAAATGCAAAACTTTAAGAGAAAAAAATCAATTCGTCAATGTAGTATCCAAATACTTTATTTTCCTTCTGATTTTTTTGCATGTGATCTGTAATTGACTCATTGCGCTGCTATTTGTAAGGTTGATATCAAACTGTCAAAAACCATTCAAACATTTTTTTTCGTAAATAATGTGAGAATTTATGTCTCCTTACGCAAATCGAGTCCATTTAAAAGATTGAAAAATTAAAATTTATCTGATTGTGTGTTGAATCTTTTCCATTAAAACTGTTGGTTTTTGGAAAGTGAAGGTAAGATGCTGTTATTATGGACGTCTTTTCCATGAATAATAGTCAGTTTGTATGTAAGTATGTCAGGATTTGAAAATGCTTCATGCATTTGACCATCTTCATGTTGTATTCGCCCAGTTGCGTACTCATGTTCTTTTTTGTTTGCTGCTGTCACATTCAAGCCGCGCACCACATCCATGTATTGATCATCAAAGTCGATTTCACGAATATTTCGAAAGTTCTGCTTCAGTTCGTTCATCTCCTCTGCAAAGAAATAGAACATATTTGGATCATTACTTTTGCATTACATTTCATAACAATTGATAGCGTGCCAATTTCGATTTGACGACATCGGCCCTCATTTGTGCGATGGTTTCCTCGATACGTTGTCGTTGTTGTTGAAAATTATCAGTCTTTCTTTCTCGTTCTGATCACTTTCTTCCAATAAATAAATGCCAAATTGAGAGCAAAAAAATTGCATTAAAAATGTTACAAGCTGTAAGCAAATCGAATAGGGGTGATTGAAAGATATGCATGAAAAGCGATTTGTCAAAAAACTCTTGCATTTCGCACGCAGAATGAGACAGTTTGTGAAGGATATGTTTCAAACAACTAAATCAATTTTGGAGAAATTTCCAATGGGAGTGTTCAATAGGACACTTCTATTTCAGATTTGCCTGACAATTTTCTTGTAGTTCAATGATTTTTTTATATAGATTATCGATATTGTTTTTCTTAATAGAATTGCTGCGTCTGAAATAATTGAAAAAAAAATATGCATACATAAGGCAAACTATTTCCAAATGTTTGTTTAAATTGTATGTTTACTTTTCGATGGTTATTATTTCGTTGAGGAAAACTAAAAATATGTAATAAAGGAAATAATTGACTTAAGGCCTACGGAATGCATAAAAAATTGAATGTGGCCTTTCCAGTAAATTATGTAAGATTTCAATACTTACTAATAATATAGCCCAATTACTCCCTGTCAAAAGAGATTTAAAATAGCTAACCTGAAAAGTTGATTCTCACAACATCCGCATGGTTCAGTGATGATTAAATAGCAGATGATCACGAATTCTCAGAATCATGCAAGTCCATGAAGCTCCTCCGCAATGAATGAATCAAATTGATCGTCCGCTGATGAGTTGTTGATTTGATCGTCCATTGTTCGGTGGTTGGAAATTCTGTTTATACGAAGAACTGCTTTGTTGAATCTCTTATTCTTCATGTAATACCTCCACTTCCATTTCTATAACATCAGCATGCAAGTCTTCCTTCGTGTCAATGAATGAATCTAAATTTAATTTTTTGACCAGTATTGTCAAAACATTCGCATGGTGATCCGTCGGACGTCCGCTGATGACATTGGTCGTCCGCTAATGACTTGCTGGATACAATTTCAGTTGAGGATTGTCCGTTGTTCGGTGATTGTATTGGTTCAATTGAATTAGGTTCAGTTTGCACCGTGGAGTTGCTCGATATCTGTTCCTTCTTTTCTTTCATTCGTTGGTTCTGGAACCAAAATGTTATAACTTACGGATGTCCTTATACCAATTTTTGAGCCAATTCGATGCGATCTCATTGAATGTGTTAAATACTATAAATAAAAGCAATGATTGTATTTTAAATAATATATATTTAAATTCAATGCTGATGTTCATGAGAACACATAAAGAGGGCCAAATTGTATGCCAATTGATAGCAATTACAAAACATAGAGATTGTTATCACGACTTCCCGAAGCGTATATAAAGTCGTGTAGTGTAGGCTCCACATGGGAAATACAAAATAAACAAACATAAATATAGCGTTGCCGAACTAATGAAAAAATAATAAATATTCTGAACAGCATCGAAAAATGTACATTTTGATTTTGTTTATATCGAATGAGCGTTGTGTTTACTGTTTCAAATCAACAAAGTATTGTGGTTTGTATGCTAATTTTTTTTTTCCTATAATTTCTTCATCTCACTCACATGTGACTAGCATCGTCAAAAGGCAATCAATGTGTATCCGTTTGTTTGAATATCAAATACCATTGATTTTATTATACTAATACATTGCTGACTGTCTCGTTTTTGACAGTCAACGTTTCAGCTTCATTAACATCAAACTTATCAAACTTGAGACAAATCTTTCGATAGTGTTCAGTTTGTCATCTGAATGTGCAAAAGAACGCAACAATTATAATCAATAAATTCCACTATTTTGAGTCAAGATGTTTTGTTTGCAATAATAATGCATTCTATTGTCATTTTTCCGTTAATTTTGTATTTGGTTCTGCTTTAGTAAATGGGGGGCAGAATATTTGCAAAACAATATGGTAAAATTTCAAAAATCTCCGATCTCTTTGTGTTTTTGAACCGTTCGCCATCTGAATTTTGCAACAAGACGAAAATTCGGACATCAGCTGTGTCGCTGAGTTCATCAAAGTAAGATCATTTTGAAGTTTTTTTGTGTGCATATTTAAAACAAAAGTGTAAAGTGTGTAGATTAAAATCTCTGAATAATTCAATTGTTCCCTTCTCTATTCCGCTATTAGATTCATTCGAACATTGCTGTATGGTGTTTTTGTGCCAATTGAATTGAACTGATTGCTGCACTCGGAATTGAGTTAAAGTGAGTTGGAAATTTATTTTATTGTGCTCTCAAAGAACAAAAAAAAACAATAGAAAGTCATTGTGTTCAGTAGTATTTTATTATGTCGTATCGAAAAATTTATTTTTTATTGCAATTGCATTAAAATTCTATTTTTAGAATTCGGTATTGACAATGGGCGGACGAAAAAGGATCGAGACCGAAAAGACGTAAAGTGGTCAAACTTCTAGAAAACGAAGATAGAATATTAGCCATAAAGGTATCCGCCACAATGGCTGAACGATCAACTTGAACTCGAACAATAATTGAAGGATGCTTTTTTGCTGTGTTGCGCAAATATAAAGAAGACTAAGGCATGGTGCCCGAATTTTGAGACATAGTCGAGGCATCGGACGGAGACAATCGGTTCGCATGGCCCAATAATGATTATTTTGGGAATCTTATGAAATATTTATTCCAACAACATGCACGAAATGTCATAACCAACCTCACCACACACGAAGAAAAACTGAGGTACTTCGTGAGTATCTGAAATTGTTGATGTGGGAACACAACGTTGACAATCTGAATCCAAACGACGTATTTGATGAACATGATGTCAACAATGCAGTGAAGTGGGGCCATTGAAAGATACGATTCAACCAGAGGTGATGCGATTAGATTGGACAAACGGAATCAGACGTTGGCGGACCAGAAGACGACAATATTGCCAAAGATACAAAAGAGAATTGGTTCGCATCGTTGCCAATGTGGCTACACATGCAAAAAAAGATCGATGATTATGACAATTGGGTACAAAGTAATCTCTCGTAATTGAGCTTCCCATAATCAAAAATCTTTCGGTATTACCAATTTGCACACATTTGCGAAAGAATATTAAAAGCGAACAAAGAATTTCATTATCATGTTGTAACCAGCGGTGTGCCAGCATCGATATTATACGACGTATCGCGAAATACATTGGAATAGCTGGTGAGCGATGAACTGATAAAAAAGCGGTATGTGAATGGCTTTTATATTTACAAATTGGGAATCGATACATGAAAACGTGGAACGCGACCGTTATACGGCATATCGACTCCGGCAAAGAGATATGTGTTTGTGATTTCTCAGTACGCATTTCATTGCATCGTGTGATTTATTTCATTGTTTTTCTTTCTCTCTCTCTCTCTCTCTCTCTTTATCACACACACAGAATTTCAAGACCAGCAGTAAGAAATAGCATTACCTGACTAGGCAAGGAGCACGAAACAGAAAAGCAAGGCGACGAACCTATAGCCTTTGAACAAAACGATCGAAATGACAGAACTCGTTATCCGAGCCGAGTCCAAAAGGAGCAAATTGGAGAGACTATATAAGTCATCGCTTGAGGATTATTAAGAAAGCCATTGACGTGTATACGAGCGAAAGATACACCCATCTCCGATTCGATAAATACATCGAATCGGGTATGTGACAAGATTGCTGCCATGCTGGTAAGAACAAAACATAGAGCATTTGTTGAAGATATTTGATTTGTTAATAAAAAAAATATATTCCTGTTTCCAAATAGAGAAATGTAAGCCTTGTATAATTTTCATCGGAGCGGAAAATATCTCACCCAACTCGCCGATAAAGATTAAGAAGAACATTCGCTGCACTGGCAACCGGAAGCTGATTAAAAGTTTTAAGAAAATGCTGGGCAACACTATTTGTATTCATTGAATTGAAATTGGATTACTACTAATACCAAAACTTATGTGTGCTTTCTCTTTGTTGTCAAAGCGATTGTGGACTCTTCGGATTTGAGCTGCATCGTAACTTCACCGTCAACGCCTCATCCATCCACGATGGATTCGAATCCACTAAAGAGATAGAATTAGGATCGATGAATTTAAACTTTGAAATTTAGGTTCTATCGATAGAATTTAGAGGAAATAATATGTATAGGTTCATAGAATACGTATTGAATTCATATGCCAATATTTTAGTCCTTCGATAATAGTTCATGGATAGATAGAGTAAATTGGGGAAGAGTTCTCATGTAAGTATTTATTCTTATTATTTTTTAAGCATGGCAATTAGTATTGACTTAACCATAGCTTCTTATGATTCGGGAAGTCGTAAGACCATTCTCTATGTTTTGTGACTGGTATCAATTGGCATGAAATTTGACCCTCTTTAAATTGAGAATTACCATTTTTCCTTTGCAGATATGAAAAACACCCTATAGGGCAGATAAACAAAAGACAACTTTCTTCAGAAGATAAAACAAAAAACAAATGCTTGATGAAAATGATTTAGTTTTATTATATTCATTTTTTTTTGTTCCCTTGCGTGTACATTTCGAAAAAGAAGTGTTCAAAACAAAATTAAAAGACTGGCTACTACGATAAATGATTAAAAACTGAATTTATGCATAACCATTTTTCATTTATCTTCAATGTATGTTTGGGAATATCCTTGGTGGTATCGATGGAATCAAAGTTTTCAATTTTGATCAGTATTCGATTTTTCACCAAATTTACAACATTTTCGTAGTCTTTTATAGCAATATCAAATTCCTGCGCCAAATATGATATCTCAGATAAATTTTTGCTTGAAAATTTCAATATAAATGATACGTGCTCCAGAAGACTCTCCATTGTAAATGATCGCATAAAACGCACATTGAAACATAAACTTTTCAAAGATGTCTGATATTGCAGTATTATTTTGAGGCTATCCAACGGGGTGTCACCATCGAGTCCCATATGTTCGAGTGTCTTCAATGTGGGCAGGCTGCTTTGAAAATCTTCCTTCTCGTAGTTTGACATGAATAATTTCTCAATAGGTGTATTTTTTGCGGCAAACTTGTTAATTAATTTGTCAATTTTGATTTCATATGTCTCATAAAAAACGTCACCCAAATCTAATTCCTTCAAATGTTGTAGACTGGCCAATGGTACGATGGTCTCGTCATCCGTTAATATTGTTATTTCGTCGTGTGAATAAAAACAAGAGTTGACGAAATCCAAACTCTCGATATTTGGAGCATAACGACTAATGATTTGGAGTGTTTCAAATGGCAATACGATGCAAAAAAGTAATTCTAATCGTTTCAATTGCGGATTGAGCGATAAAAGTGTTCTTAATAAATGTGTTGTTATATCTGAAACTGAGTCAAAGCCAAGACATTCCAATTTGGGAAATGAACACATATCTAATACTTTTGAAAACACATCTGCACTGCCTATCGTAATCCGCAAAGATGTTAAGTTCTTACGACAAAATGTTTCGATCATTTTAAATAGTTCGATAAGGCGACTTGGTTTCTCATCTCTCCGTTCCAATTCAATTTCTCGGATTAAATGTCCAAATGTTTTAAACAGAGTTTTGGCATTATCGAATGATAAATAAGAGTTTATTTTGACCATACGTAACTTTGAAGACGGACATTGCAATGAACATTCTTCGAATTGGACGCACACCTTAGATGCACTTAGAAAGTCTTCTAAGTCATACAGTCGAATTAAAATTTCTCGAATACAATCATTGTTCAGGGCGTTGAGGATATGATTTGGTGAATCCTGTCTTGGTGGTATGTCCATGTTCATTTTTCTGGCTGGATGATGATGAATCTCTTTGGATTTCAATTAGAATAAATACATTTTAAAATTGTACGGTTGACTAAAATAAAAAAGATAAAGAAAAAGAAAAAAATAATAATAAATAAAGTTCCCGTGTACAAAAGTGACGGACTGTTTTGGGACAAACTGACTGACTATTGACTGTAAAAATAAGCAACCTTACATAAATTTAGTTAACCGCCTAACTATAATTGACTATGATTAGTCTTCACGTTCCAAAATAATCGACTGACTGAGTGACTATACAAAAAAAAAAACTATAACCTCAATATTTGAAAATCTGACATAAATGACAGTTTATACACATTGTGAACGTATTTCGGATAAACTGTAGCAATACAAATGTATTGTAAGCCTTTATCTCAAATCAAAATACGCGACTTCATATAAACTCGACACACCAAACATAATACAATTGTATTGATCCAGTTTATCCGAAATACGTTCAAAATGAGTATAAACTGTCATTTATGTCAGATATTTGCAAATTGAGGTTTCGTTTATTTTGTGTGTAGTCCAGACATTATATTGAGATATTTTCAGCCAGATGAATCAGTTCAACCAGATATCGTCAGGAACTGAAATGGAGTGCAAAAAATAAAAGTGATTGTTATAGTGATTATAGCAATTTAAGTATAATTATAACCATAACAATCACTTCTAATTCTAATGCTTTCACTCAATTTTAGTGCCTGACTATATCTGGCTAAAAATATCTCAATATGATGTCTGCTAAAGTCGATTGCTTTCCATGCAAGAGAAAATTTATGAATTTAGCCAAATATACCAATAGTCACTTTTTTGTTTTTTCCCATACGGGTTATGTCAAAAACGAATAATGCAATAGAAAGATATATGTTCTTTTATCGGAACATATTTCCCTAATTGATTTAATTATAGTAATTAATTATAATAATAATATAATACACTTACGGCGGTACGAAAATGTCCTGAAGATTTATTTTCTCTTTGTGGGATTGAACGATAATTTAGAATGTAATAAAAAAACGAAGATTCAGGTACATTTATAAGCGCGAGTCCACATCAGAAAAATTATGGACCCAATCATTGGATGACCTGCATTAATTGCAATAGGTAGATTAACTCACTAGGCATATTTTTTCGTTAATTAGAGACACTAATTACTACTAATTAGTAATGCTCATCATTTTCCGGATTTTTAAGAGAAAGAAGATGATCTGTAACAAGTTTCAATTAGTTTTAAAATTTACACACTTCACTGCCTTTTTAAGAAATTTTCACAAATATGGAATTAAACTGGTGGCTTGAAAAACAAAACAGAACTATGAATCATAGGTTTCGGATTATCCCCCTCTAAAATATTCTTAGGAAACCATAACAATTTTGGAAATGAGGGACTTTTTTTGCTCTTCACTTTTTTCAAATGTGAAATCCCTAGATTTTCGCCAAAAAAGTGAAGAGCAAAAAAAACGAAAAAAGGTACAGATTTGGATAGAAAGTGAGAGAACCTCCTATGGATTTTTCCAGAAACGTAATTTTGCCATAATCACCTCCCTAAAAAAAATTCCGTCATCATCTATGACTATGATCATAAAAATTTAATTCTGCGACATAAATATCATAAAAACATTGAAAAGATTTGACATTAATCAAGTTTCTTGGTTAACGTTATTTGATTAATGTTATTTAAATTATAGATAAATAATCAAGCAAGTAACACCTGATTTCTGAATATGATCATGATTAATTAATCAAGAAAATTAATCATGATTAACAAGGCTTTGATTAATTATTCATAATCATAATCATTTATTTGGATTATCAATTTGCCTGACTGTGTTCCAATTGAGATATTTTCAACCCAATGAATCAGCGCAGACAACTGACGTCAGGCGCCGAAATAGACTGATGTCAGGCGACAACAATAGAAGTGATTGTTATATTTAAAAAAACACTTCCATTCTTAAAAACAGCATGACAATCTCTTCTACTGTTTTCACTCCATTTTAGGTCCTGACGATAGCAGCCTGAGATGATTCAGCTGGCTGTGTTAGACACATGCAAGATGAAGAATCTGTTCGATTTCTAGGATTCTTCCGATTCCATGATTCCAAGATGGCGGAACACATATAGAAATATTTTTCAAAACATATTAAAAAAAGCACAGAATTACTACACAGAATCGAAGAATGTCTTCAAAAAAGAGAATGAAAAGTGTAAGCTGCTAGATGATATTTTGACTTTATATATACAATCAACGATTCCCGACCATTCTACAGTATTCTAAGATTATGATTCTAACAGTAAACCATTCAATATGTTACAGCCCGATTTTCGATTTTTTGCATTTAATCGGTAGAGAGGCCAAAAAAAATATAATTTTTTCGTTTGGCGCGTTACTTTTTTTATATGAGAAATTCTTTCCCAATCGCTTGAACAATGTATGCTCAAGTTTTGCTTTGCCTGAGCCAGACAATCTATCGACACTTTCATCTAGATATTTCAGCTCATCTCGAGAACGTCAGCTGCTGAAACGGAATGAAAACAATAGAAGTGATTGTTATAATATGCTTAACAACACCTCGATCACTATAAGGTGCATTTTCCTAAGCAACGATTGTTACGTTTTTCGTCATCATCACATTCAGCTGCAATCCATTTGGTACAAAGAACGCAGCTGCTGTATTTGCAACGGCCTTAGCCAACGCCAAAAGCATATTTTCATTGTAACGGTTTTCCAGCACTTCAGTCTGAGATTCATTAATTGTTCAGTAGTGACATAATCCAATGACATGTTCTTCCTCTCCGATTACATTAGGCACTTGTTCTATCCGCGTATGACTATCATTCGACTGTTTGATGGTCTTTGCCTTGCTCGTTGATTTGATATTTGCCGGTGTGTTTCGCTTTGATAAACGCTTCTTTTGTATATCTTGAAGATCGATTTGAGATTTTCCAATTTTGTCCGCAAAACTTCAGTCAAAAGGCAATTTTGGTTGTTTATCTTTCAACACCTTAAGTTTGACTTAAAATGTAAACGAATCAAGTGAATAGCGGTGACTCAAGAAAACAAACTGAGTGAAGAGCGGCAACGGATAAAATCAAAAAATTAAAATGTTCAAACGAATTATCATAATGAGATCATTTGGCACCACCTAATGTAAAAAAACTAAATATTTTTGATTTCCTTAAAAAAACTTGAACTTGGTGATTTCCAAATGAATTTTTATTTGTTTTTTTTTAAGTTTTATACATATTGTCAGATCACATAAATTTACTTATTTATCTTTGTATTTGTTAGACTAAATAAATTTTATAAAACGAGAACTAACACCGTGAACGGTAGTTTTATATTAAATGAATTCCGTAGTGGAAATGTACAAACGATGTCTTGCAATTGTTCAATACAGACATGTGTGTTCAAATAGATGTATTTATGAGTGATTGGTAATAAAATTGACAAAATTGAAATGAATATTCGAATGCATGTTATGAATTTAAGAGGTGTGTACAACTCAAAGAATATCCATTCCGTTATGGTACGCATAAAGATTCTGTTCCATAATATAAGTGAGTCGATTTTTCTTTTGATTTCGAAAACTGTCGCTTTACTTAAGCCCTCTCATGTGTTTGTCAAATCTGAGTGCATATATTATTCGTGCTGAGGATTTGGTTCTATTTTCAAATGAAAAGCAAGTTAGGCTTCTATTGATAGCTTATAGCATGTATACTGTTATCATGCGTCGAAAATTAAATGAAAATAATAAATCGTTTCAAATGTTCTTCATTTGCAACGAAATTTGTTTATAAAAAATTGTGGACATATTTGAATGTTAATATTTTGATTTGACTGGTGTTTTATGACCATTCACAAATTTATCACGAAATACTTTGATAAAAGTGTGTCTTTGATTATAACATAACATTATATTATTCATTTATATATATTTGAATGGAGATGTTTAAATAAATCAACAATGACTGCACTTGAAATAACAAGCTGTTGTCTATACTTTTCTTGTATAATTAAACAAGAGTCTCAAACATTTTTTTAGATAGTATAACCATCTTTGGAACGATAGGAAGTGTTCACTTACGAGGAGACGTTTTAATTTACCTGTATATTTTTGATTTTATCTTACATGGATCGTTTATGGAATTTCAAGGCAGGGAAGCAAATAAATTTTTTTCTTACTTTTTTTGATTTTCTGTAAACTTTTTTTGTTATGTGTTTAAGCTTATGTTTTAATTCTATGGGTGATTTTATTTTATTTTCTTATTGAATGTGTTTTATATATGTATAAGATACGTATTTACTTCATGACTCTGTTTGAATTTTTCTAATTTATGGTAAAACTTAACGGACGATTGCGTTGGAGGACTTCTCACTGGGACTACACAAGGGAAAATTTCTACCACCTGCTGGGATTGTTATTGGTTTTCTTCGAAATTGGGTTGCAGTGGGTATTATAAATAAATGTTTACTTTTACGTCATCAGTTTCTATTGACATGAAGCATTTCTCATGGAAATTCTACACCGATCTTTGCGTTAAAACCAAAATACTTCATTCGCCCATATTCAAACGAATCTTAAGGAAGAAAATAGTTAAAATCTTCACACTATCCTGTGAATCTTTATTCATTTCTAAAAATTATATTCTTGGCGATAACGGTATCAATCGTGAATTTCTGTAAAAGAATTTCAACCAGAATGGTCATTTTTAAACATTGGGAATTTTGACTACTCTTTAAACAGCTTCTACGAGAAATAAAAGGGCATCACACCCTACATACGGTTTTTTTTGGAAAACCCTTTGTTGGGGAAAAAAGTATTGTCGGAAAATGTTCCAGCATTCCGATTTCACTTATGGTGGAGACATCCATTATGGGTGACCCAAACGTAATTTTATATAAACGTTTTATTTCCACATGTACTTTTCCGATTTTTGTATGATAGAATCAAATGTCATGCATATCAAACTTATTTCGCCTATTGACGTAAAATTTAGTCAATTCTTTTTTCGGATGTGTATTTTTAAGATTCTATCATTCAAGCTACTTTTAATGCAGTTATATTCGGGTAAAATTTTACAAATCTTTAAGGGGTCAATTTGAACATCAAAATTTCAGCTGTAGATAAACCTCTAAGACTTTAATTTCAATTGTTGTTTGTAAAATTCTTACGGAAACCATTATTTGGACAATTCACAGTTCAAATTCCAAATTTAAAATACTAATGTTGATTTTGGGGCACTATACCATATATGTATCATCTATGTAAAAATTAGTTTTGTTCATGTGTCACTTTAAACCAGTAGTGTACGGAGGGGGAAAGGAGTTTAACTCCCTGTGATTTGGATGAGAAAGAAATTTCACGATAGTTATTCTGGTTTTTGTTTCAAATGTGAAAATCTTTTTTAGTTTGCTCAACAAAAATTGTAAATAGGATGAATTATTTCGATTTGCTAGGGATTTTCACTGAAAATGTGATCTCCAAAAAAAAAAAAAAAAACGAAATCACCCACCCTGAAAAATTTTCCTCGCACACTACTGCTTTAAACATAGGATTTTCCTAATCCGACAGCTGCTGATGGTTTAAATCAGAGATTGTTTCTCTGAGGAGCAGGAATGGTGAGGAAGAAAAAGGAGAGGAGAATGTTTCAACTAAAAAAGATATATTTTGTGATGAAAATCTTCTTTTGACCAAAAAAAAAATCTTCTCTTCTTCTCCCTCTCTTTTTCCTCCTCCTAAGAGGAACAATTCCTGGAAAACATTGATTTTATCGCATTTATTTCGTAAACATTTTGAATATCGCATCTATGTAGTGTAGCCAATTGTTTTTAAGGTACAATGATCCATTTTATAACCTTCATTTTCTTAAAGCGCCACAGCGCTAAATATTTATATACTTTTCAGGGTGTATTATATTCAGTATTTATGTTTTTTTTAGTTTCTACGGTTGTTTGGTAATAAAACTTTTGTAAAGTGTAGTAAAAAGGGATAGAATATTTCGATTTAGTAAGCGTATTCAAAAGAAAATGAGATTTCGACATGTGCTTCTACCGATAGAATACCATCAAACAGCACAAATACATGGATTATGATCAATAATGTGAATAAATAAAAAATAAACAAAGAATAATTGACACAATCAATAAGAACTCAAAAAAATGTTGACCTTGTGCAAATAATTTTCTCTTTCAGAATTAATTATGGGCATACCGGAAAATATGGAATAAAAATTGACAATTTCGCAAAATATTGTAGTCAACAGTGATGTTCATTTTATTTCAAAATAGTGCAGGTAAAAATCGATTTTATCTTGAATACGTTTATTGATAAGGTCTTACAATTAAGCTCTAGGGATTGGTTCATTCAGTTATTTGCATACAATATTGGACCCATAGTTTTCCATATTAATGTAGTTGATTTTTATTCTTTGGTATCAAATTGTTTGTTTGTTTGTTTTTCACTTTCTCGTGAATAAGAGTTATCAATCAATAATTTTTGTAAATACGATTTATGAATTGAAGATTTGACCACACCAGATAGTAAAAGAAAGAAATATAAGACACAAATTTTCGCAAGCTTTTTCATCCATTTTCATATGAAGCGAGGAATGGAATTGATCCGCCGAAAATCAGAAGAAGCTGTATTGCGCATTGATCGCTGATTTTGTTCTACATTATATATTGAGCTCGTACTAATTCAAACAGTCTATTTGCCACCTTATTTTTTGGAGCTTCTTTGGACGCACATTTATTTTTAAATTAAAATCCGATTCTCACAATGAAGTGACAAATCGACACTGTTTCACAGCATATAAGTCAAAAGAAGTTTTTTTCTGCAAATCTCTAGGCCCTGATTATAGCTCAAAATGATTGCAACAAGCTTTGCTGAGCATTTGTGTCTTCCGTTCCGATATTTATAATCAAAGTAAGAAATGTTTATACATGAGTACCTGAGGATGAATGTGAGACATATAAATAAATATTAAAATTTGATCAAATTCATTCTCAGTCATTCAAATGTAAGTTTGAATTTGTGATTCTCTATAATCATGATAGATCATTTCACGCAATAATATTACTTGCTGTATTTTTTTTGTAGTATATGTATAGATAGCACATGTTTTCAAAATTAATTAATTTTTGCATCATTTTATGCAAATGGATTTTTCTTAATTTTTTTTAAATTTCTTGAATATTTTTGTCGAATGTACATCATTTTCGACCATAGCGATTCCTTTCTTGTAAATTTTTCAGACTAGCTTTTTCTAATTGACCGAAGGTATCTAAAAGATATGGGTTAATTTTTGTTTGTAAATACGAAAAATTATAATGCAAGGCAAATACCAGATGTAATCACTGATGGTACTCGGTGACGACGGTGTGTGTGATAGCCAGTGTTCGGTAAAATCCAATTTTTGAGTATCTAAATAAGATAAGATTTTTGTGTGTGTCGAAAAAAATATCTAGATAAGATACAGGATCTTATCTAAAAAAAACATAGAAGATGAGATAATATCTTCGATTATCTGAGATATTTATGAAGATAAAAAATGGGTGAACATTTTTTATTTGAATTTTTTAGAAATATCTTAGAAAGTATCTTATCTGCAAGATAAGATAAGATATTAGATAAGATACTGTACATTTGATTGTCCGAGAATTAATTTGAGACTTCTCCTAAGATTTTATTGAAATGTAACACCGCCATGCAAAAAGTACTGAGTCGTCACCAATTTTTGTCTCACATTCATTCTCGGACAATCATTTTCACCTTGTGTATACGTGATGAATATCTTAAAAAGCATCTTACCTGCAGATAAGATGAGATATTAGATAAGATACTTTAAATAATAAGATATTAGATAAGATACTTTAAATTTTTTAAATTTGTTTTCTCAAAAAATTATCTTAAAAAGTATCTTATCTACCATTCAAAGATACTGAAATTTTTTAAAGTATCTAAATAAGATGAGATTTTTTCGGTCTAGGTACAGATAAGATATAGATAGCATCTTATCTGTATCTTATCTGGTATCTTATCTATTATCTTCATCTTTACCGAACACTGGTGATAGCCCAATCTAAAACAATCATTGAATTTGTATGGGTAGTAATTATCCTCTTGAAGCATCAATTTTTCCCATTGCCCCTTTTCACATTTTTCTTTGTCTGAGACGAATTTTCAAGCGAATTTTACACTAGCTATAACAGACTTTCGGGGAAATTCTTACGGTTTGCTGTTTTGTTTGTAGGATAAAATTAGATTTGCTAGAAAACAATTGGTGGATCAAAGTGGAGGAATAAACCCTTATTTTTCAATACACCTCCGTTAAGTTAACGGTACTATCAATAGCAGCAGCTGAGTACTTGGCTCGGTTCGAAATATGGACATTTGATAAAGAAGAAACTTTTCAAATCGTACGTAGCTCTAGACATTGTTATAAATATTTGCACATACATGTATTTGTTCGATTAAGTAAGATCATCATACTATCTTCATGATTTTAATCATAAATATTAACTTGCGATTTTAAAAAAATGTAGTCGTGTAAAGTGCAAACAAATAATAAAAGGTTATTTTTCATGTTTGCAATTGAAATTTAGTTTTTTCCTCATAAGAATGCAAGAATAAAAAAAGTCAATAAATCATAAGACAATCTTATTAAAACTGATAATTTTTGTTCAATGGTTTTTAGATCGAATCGATTTAATTCAATGCAGTCTGCATTTCTTGTAGAATTATGAATATGATATTTTCCTCTTTTAAATGGTGTGCTTATTATTACTCTCTAAAGTTTTTTTTTTTTCATTTTTCATATAACTGTAAATATTTTTTTTAAATTTATTTTTGATATTTTTTTTATATTTATAGTATTTCATTTATTTTTTTCATGCAGAAAATATTTGCTCAGTATTCTGATTGAGTTAATAACGTTAAGCCTGGTAGAAATGGAAAAACAAAAAAAAAAAAAATTGTGGGTGTGCATGATGTGAACTGCATCGAAGACTAGATAATTATATTCATATTGAAAAAGTGCAATATGTAAGTGAGTGATCTTTGATATTTGTATTGTATGTTTTATTGGTCTATTTTAACATGATTGTGTACGTTAGACTTCCGTCAAACATCAGATTTAACAGAGAAATTATTTGTCAAATAGCACAAACTACTAACAAAAAACATGTTTTTTTTGCTTAATGCATTTAGCTATTTTATACGTTTACATTGATGGTATATTTTATGCATATAATTGCACTTAAGATTTGTAAGTAGAATTTTTTATGTATATTGGTTGATATGATATATCATCTCTTTTGTTTCTGTTTATTTTATTTTTTTCTTCAACTCAACTGGTTTGTTTGCAAATATAAAGAAGACACCGACATTTTTTGAGCGATTTTTTTCTTTTTGATTTTTATTTCATCCATTGACATTGCGAATGCGATGTAAACACAATTTACTGCAGTCATTTGCATTGCGTGAATATATAATAATGACGCACATTATAATATGCATCAATGGACGTGAATTCCTTCTGTTCTCTAATGCATTGTTCATTTTTATTTTTATAAAACCTGAAGATTTTCACAGTTTTTGAATTTGGAATCTTCTTTGCCTAAAATCCATGTTATCATTTGGCGTGCCTTCATACTGGCTTTAACAACGCTGCGATTTTTATACCAATGGGCTGGCGAACTTTCTCGACCACTCTATAACAAAAATAAACGACAAAAATGTAAATGTGATTATTTTTTTTTTCAAAAATAAACAAAAAAAAGAATACAATTTATTTATAACGGAAGAAACTGAGAATAAATTCATTTTGATCATCATGAATATTAATACTATTTATTTTCCCCAAATTATTTTCAATCACCCGAGAAAAAAAATCGATATGGGTTATCTGTTAGGTAAATTAACCGTGAACCTGCATTTCATTTTGTGTAACAAATTGTGTGGTCAATATTAGCCGTTTTTCCGCCAAATTGAGTTTGAAAAGAAAAAATGAATACTGAATTTGGAAAGTATGAGATACTGAACGGACTGTTCAAATAAATCTTGAAGCAAATTATCGTATAGTTGTATGATATACATCAGAGCGTAAAAAAGTCGTTTTCGTGCAGAAAACCGGTTGTCATTTCGGTGACCGAAAAAAAACAGTTCAGTGTAGTTAAGTGCGTTGAGCCCGTTTTATTTTCAAAAAATGCACTACAAAAAGAATCTTCTTTGAGCTATTTCCTGGCTAAAAAAATGTATTTTTTTAATTAATGTTGCGAATACATCGAATGGTTTTTGTTTGCACTCCCAAAGTAGCTCTTACAATAAGTTGGTCAATGGTTTTATATATGGGGGATACATTTTATGATACTTCTAATACTCACTTGTAATGCGTTCTGCTCTTTTTTAAGTCGAATCTGTGTTAAGGTTCCAGCAAGAAGTTCATCAACATTGTGATTAATGCCCACAGATACTTCAACAAATTTCGCACGATATGTACACGCTAAGCATTTTCCATCTATGATACAAAATGAAATAATGCTGTTAATGTAGGTCACAAACTTATCGGAACTAATTTACTCTCTTAAATATATTTAAGGATTTTAACAAACATTTGTACATTTATCCATCTATGTAACAAATATTTGCTTTTCATGTACTAATTGTGATTTTAAGTTTGCCACCATAGCGAGAGATAGATAGAGAGAGAGAGAGTAAATTATTGGAAAGACTTGCGCACTATACTGAAAAAATATCATTCTAAATAGAACGATAGACTGTATATATATAAAAGAAATGATTTGAACACCAAATATGCATTGTGGAATAGATAGGATGACAATCTATTTAAATATAAAATACTTAAGCCACATTAATATTCACCTTGCGATGAGACCGCTCTCGAACGTGCCAAATCGATTTTATTTGCAACAATTATAACGGGGCGAGTGCGAATTAAATCTGCATCTTGAAACGTCATCAGTAACTGTTCAACTCGGGTGTACGATGCCTTATCCACACATGAATATACCAAAATAAATGCATCGGCTTTCATATATTCCTCCTATACGGTGTTTAAAATGTCAATTCGATACCATAGAAAAGGGAGAGAGAGAAAATGATGAAAACATGATGAAATGACACGGTATTCACTTATCGTAATTATATGCTATTTCAAGAGATCAAATCAACATAGATGGCGAGAAATATCAACCTTAAATTTATGAATATGTACCTTTACCATTCAAATGAAATTGTCAATCAACAACTCTTAAGCTTTGGTTAAAAAATAATAAAACAAGTTTATTAATTTTTGTATGGTTTTTTTTTTGTTTTTATGAAGAAGAAAAAACACGGTCTATGCCCATTATATTGAACGTTCGTGTGTTCATATTCACACGCGCTTATTTTCGTTTTAATAGTAATGCCATACACTTTTTTTAACGATTTTGCACACTCACGCACACGATTATGCAATTCGGCATGAATTCAATTTCGTCACGATTGGAATTCAATTGGATTTAAAACTTCATGCCATACTATTTTTTTCATACATTCTGACATCGATTCGTACATTACAAGTTTATGGTAAAAAAAGTATTTCTTTCGACTTTATATTTGATACATTGAGTGTATGAGGAAAATTTATTGCAATCAAATTTTATCCTTCAAAGGTTTTATTTTTCACCTTGACGAAAACCTTTTTATTTCCTGATATCGGAATGTACTCGAAAATTTGTATAGCTCATTTCGCTGGGAAATTAAAATGAAATCTGTTTTTACAAAAAGGGATTCGAATGACAAGAAATAGTAACCATTATATAGAATAAAAACCGTTTGGAAAGAAAAAGAGGCCCATTAAGGTTTTGTAACACTGTAATGGAGTCTTTTTCTTTTATTTTGTCTATTTTTAGATTGAACGACTTAAATACCTTAGTTCCTTTTTGACCGATGACAAATTTCAGCTCTGATTCAATGCCATTTAAAATGACTGATACGTTTTGTTCCACCGTGGATTCTATAAATTGTGTGTTTTTTTTTTATAAATGTGACATTGATTCAGACGTGGAGATAGAAAGTGCAACGATTATATAAAATTAGTTGTATTTGTCTTATGCTCACCTGTGTCCTCGTAGGCATTGATGCAATCAGATGTGCTAAATTGTGTAATTAAAGCAGTCTTACCGACGCCCGGTCCACCTAACATGTGCACACGAAATGATTCGACTGGACCAAATGACCGTGATGGATTTGACACTGATGGCGATGGGTTTGGAGACATTGGACTATTTGCCAAACTATTGCTACGCGACCGCTTTCTACGAAATGAATCACCTCGATTGATAACACCTGGTTCAAAATCATCAAAATGATTAATGATCTCATCTAATTTTCATAATATTGCATTTTGAATATTGTAATTTCTTCATGCATTTCAGTGCTTTGAGGGGCTGAAGGAGCACACAGAAGCAAGGCTCAGTGAGGAGCAAAATATTAAAAGTTAAAAAGATAATTTGTTGCTCAGTTCTCCTTCGGCTTCTCACAGCGCTCGTATTCACATTTATTGCTCTGAAAAGCAGCCTCTGTTTTCAAATATATTTACTTTCACAGCTCAATGTCCCTGACTTAACACATACGAACATTAAATTTATCTTACAAAATGATTTGTGGAATTTTTAGATCTAGCGTGTATTTAAATTGATTGATCGATTCAATCGATTCAATATTTTTTTTATTGGACATAACGATTTACGTAGAAGTTTGATGTTGAGAAAAAAACACGTATCGTAAACGATGTAGAAGTTTGATCTTGGTCGATCGTTAAAAAAATCATCTGTTTTATGTCAGTTGTTTGTTATTCATTCTCAATTCAATTGAAGAGTATTTTTTTTGGGGAGCATTTTATTCGTTATTGCTCATTTCATTTGTGCGATTTAAAAAAGACGATGAAAATGTGACGAATACGTTGGAAAAAATATATTGCCCCCCTGACGACGATAATAAAAAAAAGAGGGTGCTTTTCATTACTTACAATATTTGTCGCATTTATTAAGATAACACACGAATTCCGTTTTGGCATTTATTGAATGAACACTGATTTAAACCATCAACATTTCAATATGAATAATCTTCGAAAAAAAATTGTAGAGATGATTCAAGGGGCTCATACTTCTCATAACATGCCATAGAAATGGGTATCATGAATTCAAACTGTGTCTTCAACTGGAAGAATTCGAATTCGAATGCATTCGCATGAATTGAAAATAATTGCAAATACTTAAGCGCATTCTTGTTGAATCGAAGAATTTCTATTAAATGGCCAACGGGTAAGTGGGCGATATTTGCCGGTGACTACAAATAAAAAATGTGAGATTCGTTTGTACGATAAGTAATTTAAGTATTGGAAAATTATTTGCATCAAATAATTCGAGCCATATTTTTTGTTGTTTTTGGGCGTTCACATTCGAAAATTCATGTTCGTTATTAAGTTCGTTTCGTTTGCATGTTTTATCTACATTCTTACAAACAAAAACAATGACGCATGTGAATAGAAGCGATGCGATTTTCTGAAATGCGAGATGCTGAGAATAGTTTAAACACACAATATGTTGTGTAAAGGAAAATGTTCACTGCAACCAATACTGTATTACGTTCGGTTGATTCGAAATCTAAATATAAAAACTGACGAAATCGAATGTGCGTTGGTTTTGCCGGTTAAATTGTGTGTTGATTTCGTAAGCGGTTGGTTTTTTTTCATGTGATACCATTTATTGAGAGACTAAAAAAAGAAAAGTAGTAGTGGTAGTAGAGCACCAACAACACCAGTGTCTGTTTAATCGTCTTATAAATATTTGCAATGAATTTGGTTTTTATCTCATTTCTTTTCGGCATAATTTTCCGTCTTTTATCTCATCGAAATTGAGGAAAACAACAACGCAATACAAAGTAACACACGCATCCCTGCGATTTACATGTCGAAATCAAATTGTAATGCCATGCTATTTTAAATGTTACTTATGTATTAAATTAAGCAGATATTTGATTTTCATGCGAAAATTAATCGTAAATGTACAAAATATTTAGCATGAAATTAAAAAAATCGTTTTTCGAATTGTGGTTCATCGATATAACAAACTAGTGATGTACATTTGAAACGTGCTTTAGATTTACGATCGTCAATCAACATCGGGCTTCCTTTTTTTATAGAATACAATGGTGAAAGCAGGGTGTAAATCAACCGTTTGTGAGATATGTTCATGACATGCGTGCGAATTATTTTAAAATACATTATTTGATTTTAACGCCCAATTTTCGTATCCATAATACAATACCAATGTTAAATGAATTTAATATGGTCGCATCAAATAACATGGAATACTTTCGTTGATAACTACATTTACATTTTGGAATTGTGTTGCGTTCAATACAACATTTGAATGAAAAAATTTCCAATTTATAAATGTTTAACCCAAATCAGTCTTACGGTTACCATATGGAAACAACTGGAGGAAGTATACATTTTTTTATCACATTTTCACACAACACCAATGTTTACCAAAAATTCAGAACACTGAAATTGTTCTTCTCTTGAAATTATTCCTCTATTGGATTGCCATAAATTTTAAAATTATCGAGTAAACGATGGTATGTTGTCGCACGGTGTGCATATTCAGCTGCCGATATTTTCAGTCAATTGTTGATATCGGCGCTTTATAAAACTCGTCTTTTTCCATCAAGTTGACCAGGCATCAACTAGAACGTAATATTTCCGAACATATTGATTGACTTGATGACTTTTATTAAAATAATGAAGAATTGTTTTTTAAACCCCATTATTTTAACCAATTTTAATACTATATCTGTTTTCAACACGCCATAAAATGCTCGGTTGTCAAGTCTGGGATTTTGGTTAGAGCGATTCAATTGAAAATCGGCATCAACGGCATGTTTGAGAACAGAAATACACATACAAAATTACCAAAAGGTTTCATTGTATTACATTGAACATGGAAGAACTTGAAGAATATACACACATATATTGAAGAACATATATAATATATAGTCGATAGTCAATAAAATTGATTGAATTACCTCCTTTTGATGCGCTAAAAGTTCTTAATCTGTCAACATCTTCATCATCATTGTCACTAATTTGTAAATGATTGAAATTAGCCGATGGTACATCTAAATAAGCATTTGATTTCCTTTGACCTGGAACAGCAGAACAACCGAATATATATTAAACAAAACAAAAGGAATGTTGTATGAATTTGGCACAAATAAAAACCATATTAATCATCATTTGGAAGTAGTTGTTGTGTTTCAATATGTTCTTCGCTTGCACTTACTTTGTGTATGAGTGGGCCTTTTTTGGGACGCTCGACGTCGTTGTGGTGGTGTTTCTGTTTCATTCAAACGTGGTTCGCTTGCACAATGCGTCCTCGACTCGTGCAAATTATGTTGCTGTGTATGTACAACTTTTCTTCGTACCTAACAAATGCCAATAAACAGAAAAATACCAAAATAAATAAAGTGTGAGATGAGTTCAGGTTTTATGGTTGAACAAAGCAACGAACCAACTTATAACTACTGTAATCTCATACAAAATCGAAAAGCAGAAAACACCGAATATATCCGGAATTTTCGAAGATCATCTTTTGTATCTACCATTATCAAATAAGTGTCAGGGGAAAAGGGCAATACTTTTTCTTGTATATAAAACTCATTTTTTTATCAAGTTTGGTACCACTTAAAAACTGGGAAATAGCTCATTGCCCTTCTCGGAAACAATGAAGAAAAAGAACATTCTTGCTCGATTTTCCAGGCGATTGCAAAAATACTGTCATTCACTTTGTACACGAAGCAATAACGCTTGAAAAGAGTGCTTAAAATCACTTAAATGCACTGAGGGGGTGTTTTCAACGCTTTCCGTACTAAATGTTTTGTACACTTTAAAATTAAAAAAAAAAAACGAACTGGTATCCAACCAGTTTTTATGATTGACACTACATTTTTATCCATGTTCTCAAGTTCTTATTAGTTGAAACAAGCAATTCTATTAAAATGATGAACTTCAAGTATTTTGGATGAGATACCATTGCTCAACTTCCATCTGACTCCGTCACATATTAAGTTCTTCGTTTATTGAGCAATAAATAAATGTTCATGTTTATTTAATACAAAAAAAGGCGAGCGGATACTTACCGAACGAGCGCCCGTAATGCGAGCACTTTGCGTGCGTGTCGCAGGTCTTCGCCGTTGGTATCCAATTTCTGGGGTTCCATTGTTTGACGATGGATTTAATATAGTTTCTAAGCTTCCGCTGGTTGGTGCACTTATTGATGCAGATCGTGTTTTAACACGCGGCGGTGTTGATTCATAAGCCATTATTATTACAACTTTATTGAAGTCAATGAAAACTATTTTTCACTCTATCCTCGCTTTCTTTCTCACTCACTTTGTTCAAAATCAAATTAGACTTACTTAAAACGTTTAAATTAATTGCAATTATAGGCGTGTTCTTTAAATGATGGTAGTCACGGTGCAAATGTTTTTGTCGACACAACTTTGAAGAACTTACAGAGATTGAATTTATGTGCTTTTTTCGTTCTGCTTTTTTTCTCTTCTTCTGACGCTTCGCTTTATTTACACATTCACAATTTAATAGATAATCAGTTTATATCACGGTGCAGTTGATCAATGGTACTTCCGTTTTGAAATACTTTTACCTTATTTTTTGCATTAAATTAAACTGTCTTTTCTTTAATATAAAGTTTTTATTCTTTGTTTGTTAGTTGTTTTTTTTGCCTTGTGTCTGAAACTTTATTGCCGTCGTCGTTGAAAGGTTGCTTCGCTTGCACTTTTCCGTTTTACAAAAACAAAAGTCAATCTCACTGAAGACAATTGTGAACTATTTTTTTTAAATCACTTAATAAACTATTAGAACTTTAATTTCAACTACTTGTATAATTTGATATTATGTTTTGATTTTGTTTTCAAGTTTAATTTATGTTATCTCAACATTTTCTTTTTGATAAGACCTTTTAATTTTGGTTAAACTTGGAATTAATATTTGATTGACTGAGCGTAAAAAAACATTGTTGAGTAAATATATTTCTTTTCGTTTCAGCTCATATTATTCAATCGAGAGAAAATCGACACAAATTCTTCAAATCACAGAATGTTTTGGGCATGTTGATTTGTATCAATTCTATTTCGGTTGCAATTAACACCGATTTTTGATGGTTAAATCACTTTTTCTGAAAAAAAAAAACGCAAACATTTGTATTATAAATTAGAGGGGCATTTACAAAAGGTTTTCTTTAAAGATAAATGTGCATAAACTGAAGAGACAACTTGAACATTTTAGTTTTGTACTTAAATTCATTACAACAATGATTTCTTTGCCAATAAACGTATAGTTTATTGTAAAGATAGGAAAGAATATGGTTTATTGTAGAGTTTTATCGTTTCGTTATTTTTCTTCAAACATCTAGAATCTTGATTATGGTGACCAATTGTACAACATGAACGATGCAACGAAAAAAGAGAAGAAAAAAATAAGGTCAAACAATGTGTATTATTTTACTTTTCTCAATGTTTTATGCCATTTTATATAATGTTAAATGGGCGGATCCAGTAAAATCTGTTCATGATGCTATCGATGGAAAATTAACTATATACGGTTAAATATACTTTTGTTTTGCTTGATGTGTCATCAAGTGTTTGAATCGTTTTCGATTTGTTTGTGACACGCATAACTCAAGCAAATTATCAGCTATCAAATTGAAACCTATTTTTTCGGATCCCTGAGCACAATTGAAAAAAAAATTATTTTTCTTTTTGAAAGAATCGTCCAAGAAAATTATTTTTCTTTGAAATGTGTTTTTTCTAAGAATTTGTATAGAAGTCAGAACACTTTCTGATTTTGATTAAAATAGCTTAGTTTGTCTGCAGACCCCTGAAAGTTAGAATTTTAGTTTAATAATTCCACCTGGTTATTCAAGCACTACTTTCAACTTCATTGGCAGTGTTTTTAATTTTGGTTTAAAATTTAATGACTTGATTAGGAAAAATTTAATTAATAAAAAAAAGCAAAAAACAACAAAGCGTGTAAAATTTGATTCAAAAAACTGTAAGAATGCGATTTACATGTACTCTTCCACTTTCTGTTATAAACTATTGTGGAGTTTCCTTTTTTTAAATATGAATAAACAAAGGAGCGAGTACGACGTTTCCCCCTTTGCTAAGCGAAATAAATCCGATATGCGGCGCTGATTTAAATGTCACTCTATGTCATTCCACAATGATACATTTTTTGACTTGACAATATATAAGCTCTTCATTCAACATGCATAATTTTTGAACGGTCGAGTAAAAAAAAGAAACATATCATAAAATATTCTTCTTACGTTTATTTTAAATTTATTTGTTTAAAAATAACAATAATTTCAATTTTTTTTTTCATAGATTGAACAAGAATCTAATGTAAAAAGTAATACCAATGCGACACCTACCGTTAAAATAGAAAAGGAAACTTATTTGGAATTGTAACATTTTGGTCCGCCATAACAGCATCTTCGTTTTGCTTCTCTGTGATTGGTCAAGTAAAACGAAGATGCTGTCATGGTGGACAAAAATGCTACAATGGATACCAACTAAGTTTCTTTTTGCATTTTTACGGTAGGTGTCGCATTGTCATTACTATTTACATTGGATTCTTATTTAATCGATGAAACATTTTTTGTTGAAATTATTGTAATTTATAAACAAATTAATTTTTTTATAAAAAAAAAATTTAATAAATTTTTTAATGAAAAATGTTAGAAAAATATTTTATGACATGTTTTTTTTTCAACGATTCAATAATTATGAATGTGTATGCATTTTAAATGAAGAGCTTATATATTGTCAAGCCAAAAAAGTATTATTGTGAAATGACAGAGTGACATTTACATCAGCGCCGTATATCGAATTAATTTCGCTTGGCATAGGGGGAAATATTTTGACAGATAGTACTCGATCCTTTATAGAAATTAATGAACTGAACATTAATGATAAAAAAATAAATAAATATATAAAATAAACAAATTTGATGCGAGGCTATATATAGCCATACTATTTCAAAAGGGTGTTCTATAATGGGAAAACTAAGAGAGAGAGAAATACAAAATTGTAGAAATGTCTGTGAAAACGATAAAGAACGTTCATCATCCAATATAATTGTATAAAATGTGGAGAATAAATCCCATCTGATGTTTTCTCTTCATATTTCAACTAGAAAATTGATGCGAATATATGAACCCAATAAAGTTTTACTATTCGATTGTCAATCGGAAACTAGAAATGTTCATTTTTCATTTGTTTTTCGATTGGATGTTCCAAATGTTGATGCGGCTTTTATGTGTCTGTTATTTTAAACAATTTTAAATACAAAAAACAAAAACCATTCAAATGTATTCAAGTGTCACTCGTGCATGTATTTGGAATGGCCAATGGCGTTGACATTGCAAACATGCCTTTTAAAGCATATTTCCATAATGATTATATGAAACGTGGATCTATGCATTTTCTCGTTAGAAAAATGTTCGTTTTTCAATGTATATACATTTAACAATGGGGTTTAAAAAATGTTAATTGAAATAATGATGTCGTTGAGTGAAAAATGCAGCTTGTTAATGAGAATAGCAAATACCTGGCCAGCTGTGGGTAAAATAGAAAGTCAAATATAGAATAGGCTAGTGAGTAAGCCATGGCATTGCCAAAAGCCCTCCAGTTCTATCTCGGTAAAATGCGCATCCGTCATACTATGAACAATGTAAATATTACATTCAATGGCCTCTCAGCAATTGTTCAATTTAATTGCAAGCAAATATTGTGGTAGTTCAATTTTTTTTACATTTGTATATGGAAACGCTTGTCACAAAATTACATTTACCAAAATCATTGAGATGTGCACAGTACTAGCTGTTGTTATTGTTGTCCATTTTGTTTTATCTCACAATTTTCCAACAACACTTTCTACAATGCCTTACAATTATAATTTTCGTATAAACAGCAAACGTCAAAAGACGATGATAATTTCTATTATTTACACACGAAAAAAACAACAACAACCATTGTCATTGAAGCAACAATATACATTTTGATATGATACTGAACGAGGTATGCTTGGTTCCATACACTTAAAACTCATTACAACCCATAGCATCAGAATTGACGTTAAAATTCATTATGGGGAAAATGCGGATGTTTCTCGATGATATGGAATAACATTTAAAATATATGAGAAACAGGAGCATGATAAATTGAATGTATACAATTTAATGAAATTGTCGAGAAAATTCAATGAATCGACGATTGTATTTGAAGTGAAAAATGTGATAATAATTATTAAAAAAAACCTTGCCTTTCTTAATGGTACTTTAAACAAGCGTCCACATAATCACCGTTTTTAATGATAAGAAATGGGGAAAAATTGAATTTTTACAATTGTCGGAACAATATCGGAGCATGAAATCAAAATTGTGATGCAATGCATCCGCATAGTGACCGAACAAGTCTGATGTTTTCCGAAGGAAAAAAACACCTTGCCAACTTGTCAGACGCCGAGTCATGAGTACTCTATTAGTACATAACCCACACCAATAGAACCAATCACAATACTACTAATTTCATGTAGATAGAAACGGAGATCGGTACCAATTTCTTGCTCTAGAAAAAATTGTTCTACAACAAAGCTTCTGAATACAAAATAATATTTTATTTTGTTGATATATTATTTAAAAAAAATCAATATGTTGACTGCATTCAATTCTGAATTTCAATTGGTAATGTGTACCCGTGGATGAATTCCATCGAAACAGGTGAATTTAAGAGATGGAATGAAATTGAAAAGCGGAATTAAAAAAAAACCAGCAAACAAATAAGTGAGAGAGAGCAAAATATGAGAAATAGTAGATGTAGTGTTTAATTAAATCTCAAACACACCGTTCAACACACTTGAAATAGCAAAAACAGAACTATTAAAAACGTTATGAGTTGAATGCTGTCAAAGACACTCAGATTCACTCTTTCCGAATGCAATGTGTTTTAGCTCTATCTCCGACCATGGCTCCAAATTCATTATGTTTATAACAATGGGGATTTTCAACACTGAATATACATAGATAATCCAGCATTCAACTTTGGTGTTTAGAAGTGGTGCATCATTATAAAACGTGGCTTTGTGATTTGGACAATGTATCCCTATTCGCTGCTGTTTTTACTTCAAAACTAGTAGTCGATTTAGTCATTTCGTTATCACTTTTCGATAGCAATGCCGCCCATCTGCTGTTTTTTTCTTCTATTACGTACACAAATTTGTGAATTCATCGTTCATCGTATTTTGCATAATTTGTGGTACATATTTCATTTTTAAACAAAGACACAATCCAATGAATAGAATAGAATAGTTAGCATAGTATGAATAGAAAATATAGTTTTGTGTTGCTTGTATGTTTGAGATATGTGTAAAGTGTGTGCGTTCGCTTTTTCTATGCGACCAAAAAATCACTTATGCACACAATTTTATTACTTTAAATAACTGCGTTGAGCATAAAAATCGTACATTCAATTTACGAAATAAAATGGTTGCAATAGCTTTGACACAAGCGATGGTGTATTAAAAGCGAGTCTTCATAAAGATATTATATGCATTTTGCATACACTTTTACATAAATTTATAAACTTTATGAAATACCACAACTTTACTGCTCGCCACTATGAATTTAATAATTTAATTTAGAGGAGATTTATGTTTGAGATATTTGTGAAATTTGGTTATTCCAAGCCTTGGATTCAAGGGTATTTTCGATGGGGTAACGCACGTCGGGGATTTTTACAAATTAGTTTTGGCCGTACGGCCTACGCTGTCACAAATGCTTTTGAATAGTCGCAACGAAGAGTATTTAACTTTTACCGTGAAATTTCGAGAGCAACAGAGACAAAAAGAAAAAAGAACATAAAAATTCCCATATTCTATCTTTAATACAGTTTAAAACTGTAGAGCGTTTCTCCCAATTTTCGCACATTATATTAAAATGTAATAAAATTTATGCGTGTATGAAAAAAAGAAGAATAAATAAATTAAATACGATCAAAACGAGTATGTAGTCTGTAGTGAGTGATTGAGTGACGGAACGGAATTAAAATGAATATCCATTATAAGCACAGCATACGATGATGATAAAAACTGCATAAAAGACTTATTCACACACATTGAAAAATAAAATCGGAAAATTCAAATAAAATCACATTAAATATGGACGGTTTTGAAAGGGTATAAATTAAATTTATTATTACATATTAGCATATATTGGCAGTTGAAATACCAACAATATATGCCACTTTTTAATTTAGTTTCAACGTGAAAATAACAATGATTCACATGCATCTCATATTCTCGTTCACTTGCGTTCAATCTCGCACCCTCACTCACTCAGTCTCTGTCAATATTACGAAATATTTTATCATTTGTAGATAATGGAATCAATAGAAAATTTCTGTCCGAAATGCATTTTGAGCATATCATGTGGTAAGATTGAATCAAACTAACTCAATTTCAAAACTCATCCACTCTTTTGTACACACAAAAATGTTTCGAGAGCACTCTTGAATATGCATTTACGTTCGTTTCGTTAAAATTTCATGCTGGTCGTACAGAAAAGCAGCTGGTATATGTATCTCAGAATGAATGTATACATATACATACAAATGCAATAGAGCAATCTGCAATCTAAATATCTTCCACTTGCTCATTTTCATCTCTGTCTCTCTCTCAATCTGTTTCGCTTCCTTTCAATCCAGGTAAAATGTTACGGCATAAAATTCGAATTGAAAGTGCTGCCGATAAAAATGGATAAAAACCAAACGTGACTATTCTCGACACTATTTAATCTGAACACCATTGCGACACAACAAGAATGCCATTAGGCACAAATATATCCAAGACAGAAGATAGCTCTCTATGTAGTCCATTTGTATACGGGATGTATTGTACATACGAAGCAAACACACACACACACAGTACATATGATGATGATAAATGGACAAGTATGCCTATAAAATGACTGGAACAACAATCAAATGAGAACATCGACTTTTGCCAACAATAATAAAATGATATAGCGTTTCAAACAAAACACAACAAATACAAATAAATTCAAATGTGGATTTTCATTACCAATAATAATCAAATCGAATCTTTCTACCGACTCTAAAGTGATTGCAGGTAGAAAAAGTTAAGTAAGGAACAAATCGCATTACATTTCACCTAAACAAATGCTACCAATGTGAATTGTTATATTGAGCTTTTTTGTTCGTTGGTCGTTTCGTTCGTTGTTTGTTCTTTTTTTATTCGTTAACTATTTGAACATAGAACATTAGGTATTTTGCTTGTTGTATATTGGATTTGTAGCTTTTGCGATTATCTTCTGTGTGTATAAGGGTGTGTAGCCTGCACACTTCAGCTATTTTTTATTTATCAATCTTAAAAGAACATAACGGTCAGCAGCAATGTTTTGATGTATCCAGTCAATTCAAAACCGTTAAAAGGCAAGCAGCTCATCGTGATTATGACACTTTCTGCACTGAATGCTTTATTGTATCCACATATAACATAAAAAGGTAAGAAATAAAAGGAAAAACCCATGTTTTCTATACATATTGACTTTTAGTATTGTGCTTGAAAATTCGACTCTCGTATTATTCGCTGAGTATCACTCTATTTCCATGTGAATCATCACAATATGTGTATTGTATATACGTTTCAATGTTATTTTATTTATCTATAAATGATTCTATATCTCGTCATTTTCTTTGAAATTTGCTGGATTTTTTTTGTTCTCGGTGCTTGGAAATGTCGTTGTCTGTAAGTTTTTGCTTTAATCACACTGATTATAATGAGATATTTTCAACTGAAATATTGCAGTTGGATGAACGCAGCTACTACTTCAAAATGATGGAGCTCTCACAATTGCAAGTAAGATCAAATATCTATCTTATTACAATATTGGCTTTTAATTTTTCTTTTCAAACTTTTAAGGTGTGATACTTTATATACACTGCCGCCAGAAAGTTTGGGAACGACTACCGATTTTCATACAAAGTGCCGTTTTTCACACGTGTCACGGACCATGAAGGAGTCATTTACATTTTTTACAACATTTTCTTCTGAAAGAATCTACTTCTGAACTACTTTTTCGACCGAAGACTTCAAACTTCAGTCGGCCTCAGACATTACATACTATGCCACTGTTACTAATTTCTGATACAACGAACACCGTTAAACGAAATAGGATCTAATCACTATCGATACTAATGAGAATCTATTTTGAAGAAAATTTAATTTTTAATAAGATACATTTTATTATCATTATTACTATGTTTACACCGATATTTCGTTATTTAATTTTTAAAAAAATGTCCATAGTGATAACCATTTTAATAAGATAACTGAGAAAACCTACATTTCTATAACTGAACACATCAGAATCTGAATGAATCATGAATTTCAGATTCACTGGGTTGCAACAGTTTCACATTATTTTTTTTTTCTACAAAGAATTAAAGCGATGATTCTCATTGACAGGAATCATTCATTCATGTCAGATGCAAAGAGAAATATTCATTCTACACATACACATATGACGCCCATAATCACAATTAAAGCATTGGCAGTTTGCCATTTTCATCTGTAACATATTAATGCTTATTAGAAGTTGCCAAGCAATATGCTGTTATATACATATGGATATGTGTGAAATGGTATTGTGGTGACAGTTTTTAGTGTCTATTAAGTGGAAAAATAGTATTTTCTTTACACAGAGAGAGACACACACCCAAGATTCAATTATTATTTATCAATCATCCATATGTTGTGATGTTAAATATTTGCGAAGAACGAACAAACGAACCGAGTCTACCGAACCGACAAAATAAATAAAGCACGAATACATACAATTTTCAGGCTCCATAATTTGTTTGATATTATTTGTCGATTCAATGTCTTGAATGGAACTTTTCGAGTGTTAACATGTATATTCAGAACAAAAAAAAATTGGCTCCAATTTTTGTACCAAAATTATAATTTCATAAAATCATGGATTCGATTTTGAGCATCGATTTCGATGAGCCAATCTTTGAATATTAAAGGAAACCCATGTACTTAATATTTAAATGCTGTTGACTTGGGGTTACTCGAGTTAACCCAATTTTTCATCTATTTTATTAAATTAATTTTTAAATCCGATTAATGTATACATGTTTTAAAAAAAGCGCTTAATTTTTCAAGAATTTTTTTTTACCGTTGATAAGCAGTCTTTGTTCAGCATATTAAATGCGCTTATCATCAAGACTCATCGTTTTTCATTTCATGGTGCACCAAAGCAACAAAAAGTGGTGTGTTAACACTCAACACCGCTAATAATAAAACTTTCACTTTGAGATAATTAGATATTCTCTTCAATTCTGTTTAATGAAAATAAGGTGAATTTTAAATGAACTTTTTGATTTTAAGCGATAATCACAGCTTTTTATAGCATCAGTTTATCAACTACCGCCCAAATATACTAAAACATGCTGATTTACATTTTCGTGTTGTAGATAGTATGATAGAAAAAGATGTAATGCATAACCATTGTGATTCATTTATTTGAATATTCTTTAAAAGATTCCAAAATATATTTGTTCACACCGAAAATGGCCCATAAAGTATGTATTCAACAAGACACGACGAAATAGTCACCGTACAAAAATAGCCACATTAAATGCAAGACGCAAAGAAAAGTGAAACATGAAGAAAACGAGTACAGGAAGGCGATCAGATAATTGCATAAAGCTGAAATGATTGGCTCGAAATAGCTGCAAAGATTATAGCTTGGATTATACGGTGTGTTCACTGTATATACGCATTAAAATTAATGCACACAATACTAACGTATTTATATGACAATGTGTCGTGCAACAGAATGGACGAACAAAGAAGAAAAAAAACGATCTGTATGCCAAGCTAAATATGCAGGGCTTAAATATTTCTTTGACATAACATGTGTTCGATCGATTTGGATGATAAATCTTGGCAATATGAAATACCGTCGTTCACATATTATGAAAAATGTATGCGTCTATTATTGTATGTTGTCACCTAATTTGATTGAATTTTCGACAGTTTTTTGAACTTTCAATATTTTTTTTTTTCGAAATCATGTGCAACGAGTAACTTCCATCACATTTCAATTTGACGTTTGTGAAAGAAAGAAAGAGATATAAACACATTTTAAAAACTTTTTCTCTACCAAACTTAATTAAAAAAATAGCCGTAAAATGGAAGTAATAAAATGAACATTGAAATTTCGAAAATAAGGTGACTAGCACGCATCATTGCGAAAAAGCAAAAGCAAAAGAAATCAAATTTACTCACAAATTTCTCGGTGCCTTACTAGACTAGTTCATTGTTTGGTGATGGTGAATTCGCTCCCATCCGTTCTCTCAATATCGGTAAATCCACAATGAAAAAGCTTGGAACGATACGTATAAAGAAACGACACACCAAGAATTCGCTTGAACTGATTTTCACTTCCAAAAATAGATATGAAAACATATCGCTTTGTCCCATATAAATTGTGCTGTTTTTCTGCTCGTCTCTTTTTATTGTTTGAAAAACGTTTTTTTCATCTTCTTTTCTTTACTGAATTTTTCTTTTGTTCTTGTCACTGCCTTTCCCATTGAGTTTATTGACTTTGTCGGTAAATTAATTAGCTTTAAAAAAGCAAAAATTAAAAAACGGCATTTTAAAGAGAAAACCATTCGATATTACATTTGATTATGTACAAAAGTGATCCTATCATTCTAAAAAAAAAACATTTTCGATCATCATTTGCAATTTCGATTTGTGTTACTTGATAGTGAAGTTTTGCTCCAAACTGAGTAAATACAATGAAATGTTATATTTTCAATATAAACAGTTATTTTATTTAAAAAAAAACAAGTTTGCTTCTTGCCTTGATCACATAATCTATGTAAGGTTACCCTAGGAGCATATTAAAATGTTTGCGAATGAATTTCTGACTTTATATGACCACCAAAAGCGACGGATATAAAATAGAGAGGAGCATGAATACAAGCATTCTTTACAAATGTTACTATGTAAAAGAGGCCAATATTGTTAAAGAAATGAAATACGAATAATGTATAAAAGTGTATCATTTGAATAGGCGCTTTTGAATGTTAAGAATTTATCTCTCGCTTTTGTTAGTGCTCATATAGGAATGTGTAAAACAGCACCACCGCTATTCCACAGCACAATGTTGCAGTAACAGTGATTATGCGAACTACTATAAAACTTACATTCAGTAACTTTTGTGAGCTTGAATGCGTACACTTTCACTACGATAATTTGTTGTCACTGTGGGTAGCCATGAGTAATTCGGTAAATTACCGTCGGTAATATTAAAATCATAGTCTCACACATTTTAAATAATTGAATGCTCTAAAATAAAAACCGCAAATCATTTGGTCGCAGGATCAAAGCGTTGTGTTTGATGCGGCTAAAACGATACGCTTTTTTGCAAACGTAATATGTGAATGACTCATAACATACTATACGCTCATCGCTTCGATGCGATAACGAAAATGTGCTATCGGTTTTTATTCTAGAGCATTCAATTGTGGATTAATCATGGGAAAATCAAATTGTTTCGAAAATGTGTTTTTCTTGTTGATCATGTGATGTTTGTTGGCGATTGTTATAATTTTTATTATTAGCTTTGTCTCAGCATGTAAAATATATTATATATATGTTGTTCTCCTCACATATATTTTATTTGTATTTGGTGGAATTTTTATGGCATGCTCTTACCAAATTACAATTTTGCGCTTTTTAAATTCACCACGCATTTGGAATGATCTACAAAAGCGGACAAACACATTTCGGACACCACCACCATAAATGATAAAATATTTTATGTGCACAATTTGCGAAACACCGTGACATGTTGGACAGTAAATGAGACACAAAAAATATATTCAAGTCATACCGTACCACGTGGAACATATATATGTTTTGCGGTGACACTATCAAGACAATGGCTTTTTAATTTGTAGCATTTTCGTTGTGTATAATTTCACTTGGACACTGTGGCCTCTATACAAACACACTTAGAACATTGTCGTGAAAAGTAAAGCGCGTACATTTCTTATAAGAAACTATTTAAATTGTGTTCGGAAACGTTCATATGTTGCCATCTGCCAAACATATAAGCCAAGTTTTATGAAGCACATAAAAACCAAAACGAAAATGTTGCGTTTGCTTGAAAATGAGCTCATAAAAAACCCAAAGATTCTTCGGAAATCTTTTCGTCCACCGACGGTGCGAGTAGTTGAAAATGAAATTTTGCATCTTTGGAAGAAATTTCCATAAAATAGAACAGTTGAGCCGTGAATTTTCATTCAACTTTTTAAGAGCTCCACAATTTCCAATTTCAAACTATAAAAATGCTTTTGAATTGTCCATTGTATACTAAGGCATTTAAATTTTTCAGCACTCTCATTCATGCTCCTTGATCTTGCAGTTCTAGAAAATTTGATCTTGCAGTGAGTAACAGCCATATGTTTGCATCGCTACCACTGGCAAGAGATGGAGAAAAAGCAAATATGCTAAGCTATGAATTCATTTTGAAATATTTCGAATTGAAGTAAAGTGTATACTGTATAGGACGGTTAAATTCAAAGTTAAAGTAATTCAAATTGTGTTGTGTCTCAAAGGCATTTAAACGAAACACTACTACTTAAGCTTTTAATTCTTTGATTTCTCTTTTTCTGTAACTACTGCTTTGTTTTTTGAAGATTGAAACATTTTACACTGACTTTTGTGTATTGAAAACTTTCAAATGCATACACTTAAGAAAAACGTACAAACATTTTTCTCAATCATTTTCAACTCGCATTTTTTCTCCATTTGTTTTGTTCTCAAACAACGTATTTATGTAAATAATTGTATTGTTTTTCCATAAAAAATAAAGGGATAATCGTTGTGATGTTATTTACATGGCCGAATGTGTCATTAATTCATGATATGGGCTCACCGATTTTATTAATATTTCACATTATCTCGCTGTTTATGACATTTTTTTTTTCCAAACAAAAACGGTCTTCACAAGAGATGGCCAGATGACCCTTCATGATTTTGTTTGGAATTTAAAAAAAAGTTTAAAATAATAGATAAAACTCGAATCAAAAAAGGTGCAGACGATGGTATTATTTAATAAATTAAAATTAGTGCCCAAATTGATCCACCAGAGACATTGAATTCCTTGAGCTGAGAAAAAAATGCACACAACAATAGCAACAACAAGTCCATTCTATAAATTTTCCATGTAAATATATATATTTTTTCTCTTCTCATTTTAAAGCTAACCGACTATTGAATGAAACTTTGAAATGTGCTAATGTAAGTGTGATCTTTGTTCAATGTATGTAATATGTACACACAAATACTATATACTTAAAGCGAGTGAACACGACAATAGCCTGTGTGTTGTACAAGCAGCACACATATTTGGGTATTTGGACAAACCGTAATAAACAACGACGGCAATGTCGGTAGCACCCACCGGGACAAAGTCGATATACTTATATTTTAAATATAATACCGTAATAGGATCAGTGCGTTTAAAATTTCGTGTTCGCAATCATAATATTTTCACAACGGTACAAATCATGGCATAGCACAGTAAGTGTGCCAAAATAAAATGTAGTGAAAATCGAATGCTTTTGCCCCAATAAGAGCTAATCATATGATTGAAAGTTTGTGTTACTTTCGACTTTATTATCATTGCATCGAATTGAATTTGTATAAATTGTTTTTGTGTAGCATTTGTTTCTTTTTTTTTCCTCTTGTTGCTTGTTCAAAATATCGACTTAAATTTCTCACATTTACAACAAACAAGCACAATCAGAAGCTCTATCTCGCTCTCAATATCTCATATTTTTTCCCTCTACGTTTACGCACTTGGACTTTATCATTTTAGATATATATGCGTGTTTCGATTTGTTTTTGGCCACTCGTCCCTCGATATTTTTTCCCTTTGGCTAATTAATGAATATAAATCCTTAAATTCGTTATAGTAAATGAATGTGACCGAAAACCATTTGAATGAAAATGATTTTGAAACACGTAATATTTAACACACATACACACATATAAACCAAAAAATTGATTGTTTAAACGACATAAAAGTCGAATTTCAATCTTCCATTTCAACATACAAAAATATAACGGGATATTCAACTCTTCGCACTACCAGCACACCGTTGTCTACTTCACAAATGTGTACGCACCAATCAAATTCTCATTGTATACTGAAATTGAAATTTTCACGTCGCTTTTCCCGACACACAAACTATATGTGAACTGTGTCGGCGGCGATGGCGGTGGCGGCAATCATTCTCGTGCTATGTATTGTTTTTGTTGGTGTTGTTGGCTCTTATCGGTACGCGCGCGTCAATCGCACGGCATAACTTTGCTCCTTCGTGTATATTATTCGTTCGCCGCCATCATTCAACAAACTCGTACTTTATCGAGTTCTTCTCAAAATCGGCGGCGCATTCAGGAGAGATAGGGAAAGAGAGAGAGAGCAGAACAGCATGTCGTTTGGCTATAACGTCGCAACGAAAGCAATTTTAGTCGATGTGCATGCAATGTATTTTACATGTTGCTCCATTCGATTTCATGTGTTGAGTTTCACTTGGCTAACTCTACTCTGGCTTCCTTCTTGTTACTTGTTTCTTCTCTCTCTCTCTCTCTCTCTCTCTCTCTCTCTCTCTCACTTTCTACTTTACTCTCTCGTCAAATAGTAAAACTGTGTTTGTTTTGAGTTTGTACGCGCATTCGGTATCGCACACGCCGCCGTTCTATCTGCATTAATATAACGATGTGGTTTCATACGTATACATACATGTATTTGTATCGCGTTACGTATACGATCCATAGTATATACTTATAACTGTAATTTACTACCGGAACGTGTGTATCAGGCAAGATGCGAATCGGGAAAATATGTACCATATACTTTATAAACACATGTAGTTGTGCTCGTTTCCACACATGTTACACATTCATTCCTTATGGAAAGTTCTTTCGTTCTCCCTCTTTCTTTAGTTACTTTTTTCGGTTTTGAGTTACTTTTTTCTTTTTTTGTCGTTGTTTATATGTTAAAGTCTAAAAAAAGATTTGAGTCTGATTCATTGTTCTGTTTCGTTAATAACTTATTCGGTCACATTAAAACTAGATGTTGGCATTATTTTGGAGTAATATGGCCACTAATCCATAGAAATTGATATTAATATTTATATTTATTAATTTGTAACTTATATATCAAAATTTGTTTACACTTATTCGTTTTCCGTTCTCAAGTATATGTGGTTCTATTCATTTCCGAATGATAGACTTACTAAAACCATAAATATATTTTGGAAACAAACAAAAAAATTAAGGATGAGACTGAAGTTCAATTTTGATGTCAAAATCCATACATATTTGAGAAATAACCGACAATATCAAAAGGAACAGCGATAAAAGAAGAGAGTTAGAGACATAGAGAGAGGGAGACATACACGCTGAGTTCAAATCGATACCGAAAATAGAATGTGAAATGATCATTTTGGTGGAAAACAACAGCAGCAATCAGTAGAAATGCGAACAGGCGCCGCATGATGTGTTGTTTAGTGTGCGGTTTTCTGGTTTTGTTATTATTAATAGCTTTCAGCAAAACCGATTCCGCGAAAACTCCGCATTCTCAATCATTCCGAAAAATTAATGACATCTTATATTCATACATTACACTTGTTACTTGTTATTTATGTTGTCTATGTGTGCCTATGTGCCTGTGCATGCATTATGAATACACGGCCTATATCTATTATTTTAATGCTCTTTTTATTATTGTATCGAACAATGTATTAATTCATGTTTTCAATTAATGATGCTGAATGCTGTTTTATGCTTTCATTCATTTCACAATCCATTTAATTCAAACGGTTGATCATTTATGACATTTAAAAAAACAATTTTACTGAAACTGAACAGAAAACCATTTTCCACACACATAGAGAGAGAGAGGCATTTGCAAATTCATACATATTTATACAGTGTATTTAAGGTAGTGCACTATAACAATTTTCCAAATAAAATCGCCCATAAATAATTCAATAACGTTTGTATTCATTTGAATATCATAATAATACATTTTCAGCATGAGGAGATAACACACAAAATCCTTGAAAATTAATGATTTTGAATCGAACTAACATCGTAACTTGTCTACTATTTTCGATTATAAATGTGCATATTGAAGCTGAAAGTCTCTTTGCGAGAACCAAGAAATATTAAAATCTAACATTTCAAAAAGCAATTTAAATATGGTATTAGATTCCATGTCTTGGTGTCGACACTTTGATACATTTGACCACAATGATACATTTTTCGCAAAACAGTTTGGAAACTTTCCGAATCACACTTCAGCAATTACAATTCCACCTATTTTCGAGGACTGAATTTTTTTTTAATGAAGATCTTTTTTTGCTATTCATTTTTTGTGAAAGTAAATTTAAAGAATTTAAAAATCTGAATCTTTGAAAATTGAAAGGCATAAAATAATTCTCACTTTTACCATAATAAAAATGAACGCCTTTTTTTTAATTTGAAAAATATGAAATCACCTTTTCATCAAGGTTTATTTTCATCTATCACAATGGATCTACGTAAGTTTTACCATTTGTTCATAATTAACTTTCTCAAACAAGGATTTAACAAGTAATTATAACACCGTCTATAAAAACTTAAAAAAAAGCTTAAAACTTGAAAGAATGTGTATCTCTCCTATATACATTCCTACCATTACAATGGATTACATTGTAAAACATTGTACAACGAAATGAATGTTCATTTTATATTTTCAGTCCGTTGGAAATGTTGACGATATTACTATAGTTACTGTACTTGACAGCATTTAGATTGAAAAGACGAAACAAGTTCAAAGTATGATACCACAACGGTAGTAAACATACGTTAATGCTATCTAGTGGAAAATTGATGCGAATGAAGTATACTGTTCAATTACAGTAGATTTGTAATTTTCGATTGAATCCGTATAAAGCCAATAAACGTCGCACATGATAGAGTATAACAGAATAATATCAGGGATAGAATCAATTCGTTGCAATTTTCGGCAATCCTTCATCCTCTAATTTGCACAACAATAAATACGGTACAATGTAACTCCACGTCCATATACCTATGCAATACATTACAAGCATCTATAGGAATCCTAAATATCAATTACTTTTTTAAGGTGTATTTAAAAAAATTATTAGGTAATTGTCAAATGTCGATTTTCTAACTATTTCTTTAGAATTTTGTCTCCAATATCAAAACCAAATCAAAATGATGGATAAAAAAAAGACCAGTTCCTGAAAAGAATTTGCGTCAATGTGCAAAGATATTCCTGACGTTATGCACACTATTCAAACTTTGCTCTGTTTCATCCTGTCTGTAACGTTTTCATATATCTATTGTAACTAATGCTATGCTTTCAAATAAATTACTGTGCTTTCCTACAAAATAGAAAAAAATGGCTTTATGTCCTTATTGGTCCAAACTTCCTATTTCCATTGAACTTCGGTTGTTATGTATAGATTATACAGTATAGTTTTTCATATAGAAAAATCCATTACAATTTATAAATAGAAGACACAGATTTGTGTCAAAGTTTCCCATTTGCTATCATTCGTCTTGGAATAAAAAAAAAGCCATAGAAGGATACAAACATTCAGCGCCACCATTTGAGGAACTCAGACTTTTTTTCGTACCTCCGTCCCCTAATTATTTCGATTTTAATGTTTTTTTTAAAAAAAAGATGTATTAATATAACATTTAGTAGAAGAGGGCGCTTGAAAACAAATTCGATCATATTTTTTATTGAAAACTTCGTGTTTCTATGCGATGAACTTCACCACGAACAGAAGACATGATAATAAATTAAAGGGAAATGGACTCCATGCAGTCGACATGCTCGCCTTTATTTTCTTCTTTATCATAATCGATGATTTAGTTTGTGTGAACAATTTCAATCGTGCAATAGAATATTGACCTATTACGGTCGACAGAATATTGGTGATTTGAAATACATTTCCAGAAAAAAAAATCCCTTTACACAATCGCAGATGGAACTCAATAGACTATTGACAATAGTACAACAAACATTGTTTTATGGAACTTTGTCATTGAAATTTTTTAATTATTTTCCTTCACATCTTAAAAACATTTGATTGACGATTTTTATCATGGATTCGGCCGGGAATGGCTTTTGGTGATTATACTGATCAACAGTTACTAATTAGAAACGATAAGCTGCGAAAGCTGGTCCGCAAAAAATCGGCGAGCATAAAATCACGTCTATAGCCGTCAACATATGCAATTTTAGTGTGAAGATTCTCAGTGAGGTAGTGCTAAGCGAGCGTGTTGCAATGTCATATCATGCTTTGAATGTTAATTATTTCTCCTTTTAGATTTGGACCCAAACACAAGATTGTAATCATTCTTCTTCAGTTTTATCTTTTACAGCAATTTTTTGTTATTTTTTTTTTTGTTTGAACTCAAAGTTGCACGTCATATTTGGCAGCAGTTCCACGAATTTCACAAGGAATACACAAAGTAAACTATTTTCAAAAGTAATAAACCCCAATGTTGTGAAACAACAATAAAAATGAGTCTATATCTGGTTCAAAAGTTTGATTCACGAGCAGTGTATCTTTAATATATATGAAAAAAAAGTTTTTTTTGCGATAACATGACAATGAACGTTTGCATTTGAAGTAAATTTGTGAAGCATTTTTACGATAAATTATGTTTTCTTTCCTTGGCATGGTTATTATGTTTTCTCGATGTCTGTTTGTTTGAAGAGGATTGTGTTTTTATTTGTTTCATTTATTTTGTCTTGTTTTTCTTGCTTGTTTTGACTACTCACACGTTATGGAATGAATGGATTTATGCCGTTCCATCATTTATACTGTTGTATATGCATCACAAGGGATAAAAATAGTTCAGCATGCAGAGGAAGTAAGCTGTGTGCATGACAGAACAAAATAAAAATCGAAGAAATGAACAGCATCAAAAGAGACAAATGATGAATGGGTTCGAATCAAAGCGGTTCGAAAATATATTCATAAAGAATCATCATCGTTGAGCTCAAAAATAGTTCCATTGTGGTGTTGTTTACATTAAGATATGATACCAACGTATCGTTCCTTTTTAAACTCCACCACTACGATGTATTTACTACGAAAGGTCAAACCAAAATACATCCCATGACAATAGGAAAATGGATTCTGAATTCCTGTCGAATATCTCTACAATTTACTCACGACCATTCCAATTCCGGCATCTAATTTCAATTTGATGATGACTTCGAATTCATTGTAATATTCCACATAGCAATTGTATCTTATGTGTCGTTTCTATCTATTATACATATTATAGATATATCAACATCAAAACCTGTTGCTATGACTGCTTATATAGTTGAATGAAAACGCATAACAACAACTCAGTTAATCGGCTTATTTGAAATGGGTTTACCCATTCAAAACGGAAACTGGTTATAGAGTTAAATGTTCTAATAATAGTTTTTTATTTATGTACAATTAAAAGTCAGTTTATAGTATTTATTTGTCATGGGGGATTATCATTGATTCCACTTGTTCACCAAAAAACATACCGACTTCCTCGAACATATCGTTGGGATAATTTTTCAAATAAATGGACAAAAATGCATGTCGTGTGTAACGATTACAATAATCTCCTTTTTTCCACTATTCAACATTACAGTTTTTAGACAGAAAAACGTTGTTCTATATATATTAGCTTTTGAAAAGCTTTCAGAAGCTTTTTCAACCAAAAATGTTAGTTACAAATTTAAATTCTATTTCATGCGAAAGAAAGTTTCCGGCGGAAATTAACAATCAAAAGATTTATATTTCTGGATATTGTTAATAGGAACTAAATGCGAACTAAAAGATATTACAATCGAAATGAGCTGAGTTTGTGCAAAATAAAGTTAGTTACGATAGTTGCTTTTTGTTTCAACCACCGATGACGGAGAAGTAAATCTTTATAGAACAAAATGAACGAAATCTTAGAAACACTTAAGATGATTGATAACGGAGAGTATCGTACCTTACGGAATATATCCCTTGACAATTGAGAGTATTTGTTGCACTTAAAATGTATACGAAACTCAACAAGTAAAAGGGTTTCTTATGTAAGTAGGCTGGATTTACATTTTTCTTTTGCGCTGTCTCTTTATATATTTGGTTTTTGCTCTCATAAAATTTGTATTAGTATTATTTGCAGCATGTTCTGTATGTTATTGTTTTCTTCTAAGGCCGTCAAGTGTCATGAAACAGCTTCACAACCGTTGATATTTGTTGCATTTAAAATGCATGATGAATTCAGGGCCATTTTTTATTCGGAGTGGTGGTGGTATATTTTTGCTTTGGAACTTCCAAGTTGGAAGTAAAGGTTCCATTTTCTATAATTTCACATTTATTTTTTTGTATTCATTGGGTTCCATTTATTTTTTTTTTATTGGCGTGATCACTTTGAACTAGGTGTCAAAGAGTGAAAATACGAAAACGTTTAAAAGAATGAGACTTTCGATTTTTTATGAAATTTTATTATTAAATATAAGATAAACCTATACATATTGTTAAACAAATAATTTATATTGACACATGAAACGTTCAAATAAATATAACGTAGGTGTGGAGCTTCAAACCAAAAACTGCTTATAGATCCTCGGATTTTTTAAAAACCATTTCAAAACATTTATTAATTGTTCACACAAAATGCCACGGTTTTATAATCAACCGACTTTTTTACACCATTCATTTGTTCAATCCGTGGGATTCCATTCAATTTGAAAGAAACGTGTAAAAATATAAATTTTTCTTTTCAAAAATATTTTATATTTCAATAATCCATTTGACTTGTGAATAATTATGGCAGAGGTGATTTAACTGTTATTTTTTTTCATCCCTAAAGATTTGATGAGAATTTATTTATAGACAACGTTAGTTCATCTTCAAAAATAATCAGCAATAAGGTTAATTGATCACACAAAATTGTTCATCAATCCGTTTAACCATAATAAATAAATATACAGGAAAAGTCGAAAGAATTAGACACAATATGTAAAACTAAAACTTTATTTTTGAACAAATTTTTTTTTTTTTTTTCAATTTGAACATTGTTTTCTCTTTGTTACATTTGATCTTGACGACGATATACACTTAAAATTTTAATGATCATTTTTTGTCATTTGTTCAACCATAATTCAGCTTGGAACGGCTTGCTTTGAAACTAATGTCAGATGTCAAGATGCATTCTTTCATTTATACTAGTTAAACACGGACACGGAAACGCTGGTGTTTATTGTAATTTCACTGTTCTGTGCGAGATTTTTCTTGTTGTAAAATTGTTATTTATAGCATCTGATATCAAAGTTAATTTTTATCAAATAAATGAAATGACCTATCCAATTTCGACAATAAAATGCGCTCGAGTTTTATTTTCATTTCAGATTATTACTACCATTTACAAGAAGAACGATGGATCCGCACACGCATTTGAAACACTTTATAATAAGTATTTATAGTTTATTATTTGTGCACTGATTTTTGTGAGCGCACATCAATTTTATGTGTCAATTTCATCCGACGTACAATGTTGACCAAAAGTTTGAGCACATTCATCCAAAAATTAACGCTTTTTGGCTAGGCAAATGCTATTTTTAACTATCCGATCGTAAAGAATTTCAAAATGTTGCTTCTGTGCATGATGTGTGAGGTGCCGACACTTTTCTTGTAAGTTCTGCTTTTTCTTGTATTCAAGTGAGGCACTTGAAAAATTATAAGTGCGTGCCGTACTTCTCCGGTGCATCAACGACAATCCTGTGATTTTTTGGACACTGCAGTAAGTACGGGATAAGGGATCGCAGGGCGAGGATTGAAAAGCATTTATTTTTGTAGGGATGCACTCAAGGTTTTGCTCATTACTCTATGGGTATCAATAAGCCCAGATTTGTCATCATTTATGAGAAATAAAAGTATTAACACATGTATGAAATGATTAATTTATTAACTATTTATATTTATAAAATTATGCAAAAATGTTTTTATTATAATATTGTTACTTTTTTGGTCGATGCATCGGTGTTACTGTTATTTTGTAATTTATTTTAATTTATTTCAATGGAAATTATTGAATGAGCCACCAATGCAGTACAATGATCCTTTTCTCTTCAACTAGGATTAGTTGCAATTAGCTCAAACAAAAGTATGTTGATGATATCCGAATGTTATAATTAATCTCCATTCATATTTTCTGATATTTTATTCAGTTTACATTAGTATTACAACTTAGCAGACGCTGAGTGTGACGAGGAAAAAAACATTTATACATATGCATAGTGCACCACATATTGAACTCTTTCGATTAATGATTTTTTTTTTCAATCTCATGCTCGTATCATTTAATATTGCATTTGTCCCATAAGGAGTAAAGACTTTTCATTTCTTTGAATCATTTATTTCACTGTGGTGCGTACAATAATTGGAAATACTGCGCAGTTTGTGGAAATGTTCTAGCTCCAAATCAATTGTGGTTTCAAATTAACATTCACCATCATGGTTCTGGTTCAAAAAGTTGATGTTTATTTTGTTTGTTTGTTTGTTACAAATAGATAAATAATTGTAATTGATATTTTTAATTTCCGTAATGAAAACTCCGTGCCCGGGAGTGTATGCGAGTGTAAAATATATAGAAATATAAACCTTAAATGTTTACCACCTAACTAGAATTATTTCCGCCTTTTTTGGCCACCACCTCTTCCGCAATAGATTTCCATTTGTTCAGATTTCTCTGGCACATGTCGAGCAGTGGTTTTGTTTCTGGTATTAACCGATATAGTAATGTGTAGCATGGTATGCAAATGCCAGTAAGGAAACCAACTTGTGATGCGGCTTGTTGATCTGGTTGATTTCGATCCATCATGGAAATTGGTATACGACCTCGTTCTCGTTCCGCATCACCTTGTTGATAAAATTCTTCAAAAATCACTCTGACCGTTTGCACCTGAATGTCCCATGGTTTCGTCGATGCAGATAAGTCACTAGCCGTCATTGATATTGCTTGCATTAACATGCGATGCTCCAAAATGCTCCATGAAAATTTCTCCTCTTCCATTAAAATTGAAAGCTTTGCTTTGTTTGGAAAGAATAATGCCAAATCGGTTGCTAAAATGCAATGTTTTATAAGGCCAAGAACTTGTTTATATTCATTGCTATTTAACTTTGCGAAAATGTTGTGTCCCTCCTGGGAAAGTGAAAAAACAACGTACACAATTTATTGATGCGAAAAACTTCAATTGCAATTTCTTACTTACCTGTTGCAAAATTGTAACTGTTTGGTTAAAGTGATGATGTTCCATGGTTGACGTGCTGTAAAAAGGAAATATTAGGTAAAAACCAACAAAAAAATAGAACAAAATATATATTAATAATAACCTGTATATTGCAGCCAATGGTGATTCTGTATCTAACATGAACTTATTATTTTTACCACGGTGGTCCTATGGATGTAAGTAAATACTATAAATGCCTGAAATATGCGTATAAATATATTTTATTCTCTTACCAAGTCATGACACAAGGAACCAATGAATAATGCCAGTCGCTAGAAACAGATGCAAATACACCTCGAATTAATGTCGATTGTATGATACGTTTGCATTAAACTCGTTTTTCAACTTACTTCAATTGGTCTAAATGCGCCCTCGCTTCGCTTAATCACTGTGTACATTGTATTTGCCACCGAAAAGCCATGCGTCCAATTATGATACGGAACACGGCGATAATTTTTTTTAATTGTTAATGTGAATCGACAAAGCGACATCTGATCAAATCTATGCAAACCAAACAGATCTGTGAACATAAAGATCGTATACTTGGCCTTTACAAAATCATCAAATGCGAATGGATTGAAATGATAGTTATCGATATCAACGATTGTTTCCGGTATTCCACTCTCCAGGCATTCTTTCACTTCTTCATCGGAAGCCGTATTATGATATGAGAGCACCTCTAATGCAACACGATACTTTTGGGCCGACCGTCGAATTTTATCATATAATTTTGCATGATGTAGCGCTAAACCACAATAGACCGCAAACATTTCAAATGCCTCTTGATCTTCGGTCACAAAGCTTCCACATCGTTTGTTCACCATTTGTACAACACCAATGATCGAGCCCCGAATGTAAATCGGCATACAAAGAATCGTCTCCGTTTTGTAGCCGGTTATTATGTCGATAGACCGATTGAAGCGCGGATCTGAATATGCATCTTTGATATTTAGTGTTTCGCCACTGGCCGCTACGTGTCCTGCAATACCCGTACCTGTGGAAATACCAAATACACCATGTACATATCAATTAATTTTCTATATTGGATGTATCGAAAATACGTTGTCTCTCACCCATGGGAAAACGAATCTCTCTCGATGGTGGCTGTATAGTGTTCTCATCGTTTGGATCACAGTTTTCTTGGGCATTCGAACCATCGACGCCAACGTCAAAAATGGTCGCATACAATTCCTTGCTTTTTGAATCGACTAAAAACAATGATGCACGGTCGGCATCAACCAAACGCTGTGCAAAGTTCATTATTTTTATTACCAACACATCCATGGAAACCATATCCTGGAAAATGGATCTGCATTGACATTTGAAAAACATATTTTTTTAGTACGTTTTGTTAAACGATGCATGCCGTTTATTTTATAATTCGGATTTCATACTAACTTGACAACAGCCAGTAGAAAATCGTTCAGTTTTCGCTGTTTATTCATATTTAGAAAAAGATGAGCATAATGCAAGGCGATACCACCCCACACCAAATAACTGTACGCAATTTCTTCATCCTCTTCATGGAATGCATCTTCGTCCTCACGACGTAAGATTTCGAGAACTGCAACTAAAGCTCCGTCAGGTTGACTGATTGGTTGACACATAATATGAGCAACGTCTCCCTGTAGAGTGAAAATATAATCATCATCATCATCATAAACATATTGTAAACAACGCTATATAATAATAAGTATACAGCCACTTTAATATAAAGCACACACATACTATGGTAAAGAGTTGAATATGTTTCTTTTGGAATATATTGGGTGTATCTACACCACACCACCAAAAAATGCTACGAAAAATTGGAATAATCAAGCAAAACTTTGGCACCATTGAATTCCTAGATGAATGATAACTGTGGACGTTTTTTTACTCCCCGTGGGTTGGGGCATATGTGGAAGGAATATTGACATTGAATTAAGGAACACCCTGCGTACACCCAAAGTTTTTGTTCAATTCGGTATAGCGTACATCTCCAATTTCAACGCTGTATGTCGTCAATCTAATGAAACATCAAGCGGCTTGCTTGGCTTATCTAAGTTGGTTGTAGACCCTTGGTATAGATAATAAATCTAATAATAAATCTAAAGTCATTCTTACCGCATCAACGAAGCTATCTCGAAAGCGTGCATCTTGGTCGTTTTTGGAAACTCGTACGGTATCCCGTGTGCGAGCAACATAAGGTGGTATCGTATTTCTGTCGCAATTAATTTTTTGCATTTTTGGCTCTCCATTATTATCCGTTAAATCATGTCCGATATACAAGTATAGAGAGTCGTGATTTCCATTTTCGGCTAAATATAGACGAAAACTGTCAGCACCAACCGAAGATGCTATACAATTTGACAGTTCCCACAATACATGAGCCTTTGTTGGATGTAGTTGCAGCGATGTGGTTAAGTCCAAAAGCATCTGACGTTTATCGGCATGAACGCAAAATTTCCATCTGTAAATGCATCTGTTTATGTTTTTGTGCAATTGAAAAAAAAACCAGTGGGAAAAGAAAAAGAAGAGAGAAGAACAGCGAAGTGTCTAGAGAATAGGACATTTTTTTTCTTTTCAAGAATCATTGACACAGAAAGAGAGTAACGGCAGAAATTACACTACAATTTGTGTGCAACTGTGTCTCATCAAAATGTTTTTTGTGTGTTTGGCTTGTGTATTATCCATTGGTGTGATTTACGCACTACATTCGAATCGTAACGAAAAGCATGGAATGAACGAATTTTGTTTGTTTGGTGATTGAGAATTCGATCGTGAAGTGGTTTCACGCCCTATTCTTCTATTATAAAGAAGCAAATGAGAGTTAAAAATTAAAACGTGTAATATAATTTTGCAAATTAAAATTACGATTTTTATGTCATACGATCAATGTTATGGAAATTGTGTGAATTGGTTGAATGAGTTGTTTGTGTGAAAAATCGTTCGGAATCTTTAGATGGAAAATATTTTTATTCATAATTTTCTTTGAAGAATTTATGATGACATTTGTCTTAATGTTGGGACTTTTTTCATGGTTCTTATAAATGGCTTCTGAAGTTTACAATCCTGAGTTGGGAGTGAGTAACTTTAAAAATTATCCGAAAAATGTAAAGGGTCAAAAGAAAATCTCTATCGATAAAAAGTGAAGAGCATATAAATAGCTCATTGGATAAAGTATGAATTTGTTCGATGAGGTCATTTAAAATACATTCCCCAAGGAGGAGGTAATCCAACTTCTTGAACCTATCAACAGAAACGATGAATATCCATAAATCATGGAAAAAAATATTTCTTGCTATATAATAATATCGGTTGAACACGGATAACCAATTTTTCTTCACTGTGGAAAAATTGTGTGATTTTAAGATTTCTATCTCATTACAGAGTTAAAATTTAACATTTTAAACAAAATACTTTCCATATTTTGTGTTTTAGTTTGCATACGACAATGTTACTTAACAAAATTATCAAATTACCAATGTCTGAATAATGTAAAGAAACTAAGAAATTATCGAACTGACTTTTCTACAGAGGGGTAAATGTTGTATCATAGACCGGAAGATGTAAAAAGTTCAGATAGGGGCAAACCCAATTCTTTTTCCTGGAAACCTGTGTGACCAAGGTGGTAAAAACACGGAACCCCCTGCCAACCTATGATTTGAGAATGGATAGCTGTCCCGATCAGATTCAAACTAATTTTCAAAACGTTAATCGTATATATTTGTGCGTGACTGTACATTTATGATGGTCTATGTATGTATTTGAACATTTTTAATGAAAATATTGTGATTTAATTTGTGTGATATATGTAAATACGATTTTGATCGGTGTTTTCTCTTCATTCAGTAGAACCTGAAAACAGTGTGAAATTCGAGAAGAGCAAGACTTTGGTCAAAAACTCTTATGCGATTGTTTTGTTTTTAGATTCTACTGTAATTCATATTCATTGGATGTTCTTCTCAAATTACCGTGACAATGATGTTTTTCGTCCATTTTTACCCAAAGTTGATTGTGCAGCTTTCTTTGCTTGTTGTGTTCGCCTAATCATCCATCTCTCCAATTGCTCCAATTCAATTTCTTTCATTATGTGTCGCTCAAGAAAGTCGGGATTTTCCAAAAGATATGTCGTCACCTGTTCTGGCGATAAATCTTGAGTGACGAAAACGAAAAATATGACACCATCAAATTTCATTAGTTTTAAAAGATTGTCAGTGAGAAAATAATGGCTTTGGCGCAATTTACTTGCTGAGGTTTTATTAAATGTTGTATTTGATTCATAGACTGTGCTGCCATTGCTTTGGTAAGTGCCTGTAAAATATATACAAAAAAAATGAAAAATACAATCAGGCACTTCGTTAAAACATGAGAAAAAAAGACGCTGAAAAAAACGTGCCAAAACATCTGCTTCTGAAATGTTTTTTTAACGTTCCGAATGTACAAATTTATTCTGTCACAAATTCATATACTATGCATTGTGTTTTAAAATTATCTTAGGCATACAATTTTCTGAGCTTTCTATAATTTATTTCAATCAGTTTGGGTTCCATATTGTATTTTTATAACTCAATAAAAATTGAGTAAAAACTTAGAAACGGAATTTAAGAAAATAAATATTGAAAGCTGGTAAAAATTGATTTGGGAAGTAGAAAGTCTCGCTATGCATTTCATGCTATTTTATGAAAAGAATATTAATACAAAAGTGTTATTTGGCTTTTGTATGTAAAACTTAATGCAAAACCAAACAAAAAATAAAAGTTGGCCAAAGATTCTCTGTTGTGGTGATCCGTTTGCATTTTTTTCCTTTGTCTAGCTGCGCTTGCCTCATTCTGTATTGCACAGTGCACGAGAGATACATTTAATAAAAAAGAACGCTTATGATAACTGCGGCCATCAAGGTCATTTACATTTGGAGATGATATGGTACGAAATAAATAGAAATGGATATACAATGTAGTCAATAAATCCATATTATTTTAACGAGAGTTTAGTCCACTTATCCAAACCTTATTTACGCTACAAATTTTGCCGCGTTGACTTTCAATCGCTGTATTTTTTTATTTAAGCGTTTCAACTCCCACTATGCACACCACCCAAAATGCCATCGAACTGTTTTCTTTACTCCACTTTCTATTCCAGACAATAAACTGTTCGTGAATAATATTCAGAGATAACGTGAAAGTACGATAAAAGAGAAAAAACAAACGCAAAAAAGGGTGCTGGGTGGTGGTATTTCTTTTTCGAATTGACGTACAACACACTCATTGCTGCGTCATTCGTTGACTATAATATAATATTGCAGAAGAAACTAACGAACAAAGAACCGTAAGGGAAAGGTAAAGTTATAATCTCAAAGAAAGCAAGAGTCAAAGCATATGGCTGAAATTTGTTCGTCAGCTTTTTCATTAATTTCAAACGATCTCGTCAAGTGAATTATGTGAACACTCTCATTTTGAATCTTATGAAAAGGGATGTTAATTGAGCTTTTATCTTTTTTTTCGGCTTTTTTGTGGTGATTTATTCATGAATATGTATGATATTAAAGAAAGTTATTTTCACATCGGCCCAGCATGGCTCACATGTTTTGTGAGCCTCAAATTCAACATTAAAATTACTAAAATTTTCATTGCTACATCAGACATTTTCTGTTTGAGGCATCAAATTACCCCATTCCGAAGACTCAATTTGAGACTGTCTTCTGTAGAAAATTGGCCAAAATTGCTTTAAGTTTTTTTGCTGCCTCTTTGCAGGCCTCAAAAAGAGATGCAAAGCGCTTTTGTCAATTCATTTTTGGGAAAAAGTAGGACATTTAAACAATTTACCCAACGAATTTCAATTACTACATTTTAACATCCATTTTCTAAATGCAAATGAAGTCTATTCAAAACTTTCATAAATCAAATTGAATAAGTCAGTGAAATGACCATTATTTAAGTCACTTTTTACTTTGCTATGTCATTATCTATGAAACTACATTTAAAAAAAATTGCATTGGAAAATTGACTTATTCTCCGAAAACTCTTATTTTGAAAATTGACTTATTCTACTACAAAAATCCGAATAGACAATTCGCAAATAAACTAAATAGACAGCGATTATTTAAGTAATAATATGTATGTTGTGTGTTGTAGACGTAAAATCAGAGGACGTTTATCAGAGCAATATATGTGAGGAGAAGCGCTCTGAGAAGCCAAAGGAGCATTGATGAGCAAAATAGTGAAAAGAAAAGTTTTAAAAGTTGAAAAAAAGTAAAAGATTCGAAAATTATTTTAATTTGTGTACGCCACTTTCCTCTGAAAGTTTTCTATAGGTGTTTTATGCATTAAAAATGGATAAAATGTGTTTATATATATTTCAATTACAAAAAAAGTCAAAAACACAATTTTTCATTTAAAAAGAAGCATGTGCATGTGCTTGTGTTATCTGACAAAAGCACGTCTTTACTTAAAATATTCTAAATAGTGTGTAAAACCACGTTTCAAATTTTGGAACATAAATGTCATTTTCACTGTCGCATGAACCAAAGTGTTCTGGCGATGAAGCGAAGTGGTGCTTAACAGCTGTGAAAACGGTAACATTATTCATATATTATAAATCTCAAGTGTACCTTCTTCATACGAATAAGCTACAAACATTAATATAAAGCTTACAAAGTTATTATCATTTTGAAGCATGTGACACTAAATGTTTTTGGCTAATTTATTTTTGATTTTAAGTATAAGTTGTTGTGCATATAAATGAAGTGCTGGTGATGGTGTTGATACAAGCTGCCAGCAACCATAATGATAGTGGTTATCTTTCTTTGTAAATTATATATTCAAAAATTATCTGCAATTAAGGCTGACGCCCAATGCGTCATTGATTTAATTAGAATAACAATATTTGGTTTGGTTTGGTTGGAATAATTAAATTGCGTTTAAAGCCATGAATGGCATTATGTGTGTGTGTGTGTTATCTTAATTCAATCGAAAACAAATGCTTCCTAATCAAATTTGAATTGATGTTAAATGTAAGTTAACGATGCATGCTAATCGAATTCAATTCGATTGGGATATGAAATGTCATTTCGAATGGGCTGCGAGAGTGTGGAAAAAAGCCATTAAAATTCCACAAATGCTCTGGCGATGTTGAATTTTTGTTGGAAATGCCATTCTTGAATTTCGATATTCACAAAAGATTTCTGTTTGAATTCGAAACAAATTGAAAGTGAATCTATTTTATCCAATCATTGCAATCTCATTGTGAGCACTTTCAGGTAATATCATATAGCAAGAGACACTATGACTTCTTATTGTTTTTTTTCTTTTGCATGGTTATATTCAAAGCCGAACAATTAAACACGATGTCGTACATGCCTTTGCAAATAGCGAATGTTTAATAAACTGTTGCTATCTTATCGAATTGGTTTTATCATAAAATTGTCCAATTTGTGTTCAAAGTAAAAAAGAAAACAACATAGTAGCCCACACAAGAAGACCTTGTGGCACAGTTTTTTTATTGCCTTCTAACACTATCATCCATTATTATGAAAATGTATAAACATGCCACCAAAATTCGTGGCACACGCCATCCAAAAACCTTCAAAAATATTGTAATACTTGAACAATTCAATTAAATTTAGTACATTTAATAAATAAGTTTGTTTTTTGTTTGATTCCCGAGATAGATTTTATGAGTTGAGAAGTGAACATCGCATCAACACACCAACAGCTAGCACCAAAAACTAAAACAACAAAAACAAGAAGATTGATAGAGTGACGGAGAGAGCACACAATTGAATATTTGGAAAAGGTTACATTCCGTTGCCACAGTAGTATCTAGTCTCATTGTGGTCATGTTACCAACAAGTCAGTATCGAATGAGGAAAACCCGTTACGGAAAACCATCTACTTAGGATGGAGAAAGAGCGAGAGAGAGAGAAAACGAATAAACATTGTGGAGACAGTAACGTATAAGGTCGTTTCGTTGTACGTTTGTTCAGTGCTTTTCAGTTCTGTGTTAAAAATCCAAATACGTAAATACAATTGCGACAAAAAAATCCATGCGATATAAATGCAATAGCATTAACTCTCAACTCTCTCTCTGTCTCTCTCTATCTATCTATCTCAAAATGAATAAAATGTGCAGCAAACATGTAGCAGCCAAAGTATCTGTCGTATACTAATATTCCGGAAAAAGCGTCGAGAAATTTCTTCAGACACATTACGCTTTTTTGCATTTTTTTGAAATGGATGAGATAAATCAAGCTGCAACATGACCATACTGAAGGATACATGATGTGATTTGTTGAATTGAGCTTTGAGAACAAAATGCAAAACCTCGAGAAAGATGGCACACACACAAACATTTTCGGCTCAGGGACATAAGTGCCCGGACGGACGGACAAAAACAGTTTAAGTATATTACGTACATACGGTCAAAATATCCGTACAAACACGAGCGACATTAGTGCCCGTACGGACGGCCAATTCTTCTTTTTTTTGCAACTATAGAAATGAACATATATATTTTTTTAAATTCTTTGGAATACGTACGTACGGTCAAACATATGTTCATGCGAGAAAGATATCGAAACGTAGTTCGGCGTTCACGAAGTTTGTTTTATATTTGATATTGCTAGAGAAAAAAATTATAGCAAAGTGGACGCTCGGAAGAGATAATCGAAATGTTTCAGGGATTCTTGGAAAATAGTTCCGTTTACGGACGTACGTACAAATTAAAAGAAATATATATAATATAGTTATTAAACGCCGTTAGTGCACCTGTTGTTGTATTTACCTGTTTTTATATTATAAATGTTTGTAGAATATAACTGTGTCCGTACGTCGAACTAACATATATATTTTTTAAAAATTCTTTGGAATACGTACGTCCGGTACGATAAACAAAAGTTTTTCATGCGAGAAACATATCTAAACGTATTTCGTTTCGTATTTTGTTGATATAATAGTTTTTATATTGGGCGCAGCGTCTGGTTTTTTTCTATAGTAAATTTATCAAAAAAATTATTATATACTTC